GAAGCCTATGCCTAGTGCCCTACTGTCTACACCTATTGAATAAGAACCCGTGCCTTTGGATATAACTGGGAGGTATGAAAGCTTGAACCTATGGAGAGGTTTTTAAAAAAGGGGGGTCGGTCATTTTTGGTGCCAGATTTTCAGTGTGGGATTTTTAGTGTGGGACAGTCAGGGACAATTGATCACTCGACATTTGGTCACTGGGACAATTGATCACAGGACATTTGATCACTGGACATTTGATCACTGGACATTTGATCACTGGGACAATTGATCACTGGACAATTGATCATTGGACATTTGATGACAGGGACAATTGATCACTGGACAAATGATCATTGGGACAGAGATCACTGGACATTTGATCACTGGGACATTTGATCATTGGGACAATTGATCATTGTACATTTTGGTCAGGAAGGGGGGGGGGGGGGGTAATTCAAAGGTCAAAGTCTAGGTCAACGTCTAAGGAAGCCTATGCCTAGTGCCCTACTGTCTACACCTATTGAATAAGAACCCGTGCCTTTGGATATAACTGGGAGGTATGAAAGCTTGAACCTATGGAGAGGTTTTTAAAAAAGGGGGGTCGGTCATTTTTGGTGCCAGATTTTCAGTGTGGGATTTTTAGTGTGGGACAGTCAGGGACAATTGATCACTCGACATTTGGTCACTGGGACAATTGATCACAGGACATTTGATCACTGGACATTTGATCACTGGACATTTGATCACTGGGACAATTGATCACTGGACAATTGATCATTGGACATTTGATGACAGGGACAATTGATCACTGGACAAATGATCATTGGGACAGAGATCACTGGACATTTGATCACTGGGACATTTGATCATTGGGACAATTGATCATTGTACATTTTGGTCAGGAAGGGGGGGGGGGGTAATTCAAAGGTCAAAGTCTAGGTCAACGTCTAAGGAAGCCTATGCCTAGTGCCCTACTGTCTACACCTATTGAATAAGAACCCGTGCCTTTGGATATAACTGGGAGGTATGAAAGCCTGAACCTGTGGAGAGGATTTTTGAAAAAGGGGGGTCGGTCATTTTTGGTGCCAGCTTTTCAGTGTGGGATTTTTAGTGTGGGACAGTGAGGGACAATTGATCACTGGACATTTGGTCCAGGGACAATTGATCACTGGACATTTGATCACTGGGACAATTGATCACTGGACATTTGATCACTGGGACAATTGATCATAGGTACAATTGATCATTGGACATTTGGTCACTGGGACAATTGATCATTGGACATTTGGTCACTGGGACAATTGATCACTGGACAATTGATCATTTGGACAATTGGTCACTGGGACAATTGCTCAGTGGACATTTGGTTCCGGAAGTGGGGGGGGGGGGTAATTCAAAGGTCAAAGTCTAGGTCAACGTCTAAGGAAGCCTATGCCTAGTGCCCTACTGTCTACACCTATTGAATAAGAACCCGTGCCTTTGGATATAACTGGGAGGTATGAAAGCTTGAACCTATGGAGAGGTTTTTAAAAAAGGGGGGTCGGTCATTTTTGGTGCCAGATTTTCAGTGTGGGATTTTTAGTGTGGGACAGTCAGGGACAATTGATCACTCGACATTTGGTCACTGGGACAATTGATCACAGGACATTTGATCACTGGACATTTGATCACTGGACATTTGATCACTGGGACAATTGATCACTGGACAATTGATCATTGGACATTTGATGACAGGGACAATTGATCACTGGACAAATGATCATTGGGACAGAGATCACTGGACATTTGATCACTGGGACATTTGATCATTGGGACAATTGATCATTGTACATTTTGGTCAGGAAGGGGGGGGGGGTAATTCAAAGGTCAAAGTCTAGGTCAACGTCTAAGGAAGCCTATGCCTAGTGCCCTACTGTCTACACCTATTGAATAAGAACCCGTGCCTTTGGATATAACTGGGAGGTATGAAAGCTTGAACCTATGGAGAGGTTTTTAAAAAAGGGGGGTCGGTCATTTTTGGTGCCAGATTTTCAGTGTGGGATTTTTAGTGTGGGACAGTCAGGGACAATTGATCACTCGACATTTGGTCACTGGGACAATTGATCACAGGACATTTGATCACTGGACATTTGATCACTGGACATTTGATCACTGGGACAATTGATCACTGGACAATTGATCATTGGACATTTGATGACAGGGACAATTGATCACTGGACAAATGATCATTGGGACAGAGATCACTGGACATTTGATCACTGGGACATTTGATCATTGGGACAATTGATCATTGTACATTTTGGTCAGGAAGGGGGGGGGGGGTAATTCAAAGGTCAAAGTCTAGGTCAACGTCTAAGGAAGCCTATGCCTAGTGCCCTACTGTCTACACCTATTGAATAAGAACCCGTGCCTTTGGATATAACTGGGAGGTATGAAAGCCTGAACCTGTGGAGAGGATTTTTGAAAAAGGGGGGTCGGTCATTTTTGGTGCCAGCTTTTCAGTGTGGGATTTTTAGTGTGGGACAGTGAGGGACAATTGATCACTGGACATTTGGTCCAGGGACAATTGATCACTGGACATTTGATCACTGGGACAATTGATCACTGGACATTTGATCACTGGGACAATTGATCATAGGTACAATTGATCATTGGACATTTGGTCACTGGGACAATTGATCATTGGACATTTGGTCACTGGGACAATTGATCACTGGACAATTGATCATTTGGACAATTGGTCACTGGGACAATTGCTCAGTGGACATTTGGTTCCGGAAGTGGGGGGGGGGGTAATTCAAAGGTCAAAGTCTAGGTCAACGTCTAAGGAAGCCTATGCCTAGTGCCCTACTGTCTACACCTATTGAATAAGAACCCGTGCCTTTGGATATAACTGGGAGGTATGAAAGCTTGAACCTATGGAGAGGTTTTTAAAAAAGGGGGGTCGGTCATTTTTGGTGCCAGATTTTCAGTGTGGGATTTTTAGTGTGGGACAGTCAGGGACAATTGATCACTCGACATTTGGTCACTGGGACAATTGATCACAGGACATTTGATCACTGGACATTTGATCACTGGACATTTGATCACTGGGACAATTGATCACTGGACAATTGATCATTGGACATTTGATGACAGGGACAATTGATCACTGGACAAATGATCATTGGGACAGAGATCACTGGACATTTGATCACTGGGACATTTGATCATTGGGACAATTGATCATTGTACATTTTGGTCAGGAAGGGGGGGGGGGGTAATTCAAAGGTCAAAGTCTAGGTCAACGTCTAAGGAAGCCTATGCCTAGTGCCCTACTGTCTACACCTATTGAATAAGAACCCGTGCCTTTGGATATAACTGGGAGGTATGAAAGCTTGAACCTATGGAGAGGTTTTTAAAAAAGGGGGGTCGGTCATTTTTGGTGCCAGATTTTCAGTGTGGGATTTTTAGTGTGGGACAGTCAGGGACAATTGATCACTCGACATTTGGTCACTGGGACAATTGATCACAGGACATTTGATCACTGGACATTTGATCACTGGACATTTGATCACTGGGACAATTGATCACTGGACAATTGATCATTGGACATTTGATGACAGGGACAATTGATCACTGGACAAATGATCATTGGGACAGAGATCACTGGACATTTGATCACTGGGACATTTGATCATTGGGACAATTGATCATTGTACATTTTGGTCAGGAAGGGGGGGGGGGGGGGGTAATTCAAAGGTCAAAGTCTAGGTCAACGTCTAAGGAAGCCTATGCCTAGTGCCCTACTGTCTACACCTATTGAATAAGAACCCGTGCCTTTGGATATAACTGGGAGGTATGAAAGCTTGAACCTATGGAGAGGTTTTTAAAAAAGGGGGGTCGGTCATTTTTGGTGCCAGATTTTCAGTGTGGGATTTTTAGTGTGGGACAGTCAGGGACAATTGATCACTCGACATTTGGTCACTGGGACAATTGATCACAGGACATTTGATCACTGGACATTTGATCACTGGACATTTGATCACTGGGACAATTGATCACTGGACAATTGATCATTGGACATTTGATGACAGGGACAATTGATCACTGGACAAATGATCATTGGGACAGAGATCACTGGACATTTGATCACTGGGACATTTGATCATTGGGACAATTGATCATTGTACATTTTGGTCAGGAAGGGGGGGGGGGTAATTCAAAGGTCAAAGTCTAGGTCAACGTCTAAGGAAGCCTATGCCTAGTGCCCTACTGTCTACACCTATTGAATAAGAACCCGTGCCTTTGGATATAACTGGGAGGTATGAAAGCCTGAACCTGTGGAGAGGATTTTTGAAAAAGGGGGGTCGGTCATTTTTGGTGCCAGCTTTTCAGTGTGGGATTTTTAGTGTGGGACAGTGAGGGACAATTGATCACTGGACATTTGGTCCAGGGACAATTGATCACTGGACATTTGATCACTGGGACAATTGATCACTGGACATTTGATCACTGGGACAATTGATCATAGGTACAATTGATCATTGGACATTTGGTCACTGGGACAATTGATCATTGGACATTTGGTCACTGGGACAATTGATCACTGGACAATTGATCATTTGGACAATTGGTCACTGGGACAATTGCTCAGTGGACATTTGGTTCCGGAAGTGGGGGGGGGGGGTAATTCAAAGGTCAAAGTCTAATCAACGTCTAAGGAAGCCTATGCCTAGTGCCCTACTGTCTACACCTATTGAATAAGAACCCGTGCCTTTGGATATAACTGGCAGGTATGAAAGCCTGATCCTATGACCACTAACAAGTTTTAACCACAAACAAAAAAGCGAAATTTAAAAAAATATACCACTTGTAAAGAAAAGTTCCAAACCTTTTTTACAAGTGGCAACGATAGTACTTTTCCGTTTTTCACTTAAAATTTTCTCTATTAGAATAAATTCCATATAGATGAGTACTAAAAACATCTGAATCCAATTTTATATTCCATATTTCAAAAATTAACGACTTAATATTTAATTACGAGCTATTGATACCGAATTATCTGGCAATACATTTCGTTTTACTACTATAGGTTGTGGTCTTCTTATATTGTTTTTACTAGTATTAGCGGCCAACGATAGATTTGTCAATTCAAGTTTATCTGGATACATGCTTGCTTTATAATTATTAGCCTGAAACAGTTGAGGTGGTGGTCCAAACAGGAAAGAATCATCTGATTTGAATGCTCTTAAAATGAACAAATTATATTTGCATTTATTTGCTTTCTTACTTGGTTTTATCCAATTCATTAGTTTCTATGATTTCAATTTCTTTTTGTTGTTGTACAGGGTGTAAAGGAAATTGAATCAAGCCTTTATGCATTGAATATTTTACAACTGACATAGCCTTGACATTATATTGAGACTCTCGCAATTCATCTGTGTCTTCATATTCATCATAATTCTGTTGATTTAGTTCAGGCCTGTCAGCTTAAATGTTGACTTAATTACTTGTAACGATGTATTTATTAACTCTGAATTCTATTTACATTACTTTTGCGTCAAATTTATTTCTAATAATAAAATCCTCACTTAAATTGCTTTCACTTGTGCTCTTGCCAGCCTGTCTAGTCCATTGGCGCAGCTGCTGCGTTACTCGAGCATATCTCTCATCGTCATGCTCTTTTTTCCAAGATGAAGAAAAATTGGAAATGTTTTTATTAGATTTGGCTGAGGCTCCTCGAGAAAGTGGATCGATATACTAAATGGTATTTTTCAGATCTCTTGATAAAGTTTAATGGTATTGGTATTGTGAATGAAATTTTCACCTCAATATTTTTTTTATTTAGGCTTTAATCTATGATACATATCTGCATTTATATGACCTTAATTATACTTTTATTCAAGACTTACTGAATAAAGATGTTGTCTGCCTTCGTCCTGATGCTTAGGTTGCTTATTCTCTTCCTCTTTGTGCCGCCAATTGTTAGTGCCAAAAACATCTTTTATTGGCTAAATTTGTACTAATATTGAGAATATAAATTTCTTTTAATTATTCGTTTTAGGTCATATTTTAAATCTTAAACTATTTGGTTGAAAGTTAGAATAAACAACTTATAATAGTACTTAATAGAAATATACCCGATCATTTCGAAATGCCTCGATGATATTCCAAATTGCTGCTCCTGGGACAATTAGTAGAGGTCTGCATTTAAAATAGTTATTTGTACAAAGAACGAAAAACATATTATAGTATATTTCAATAAAATATCGTACGATTAATTCTAGTAACCATGTATTGAACATACCCAATCATCGTAATCCAAGCGATCATTTCGAAAACAAATGGCAATTCTACGTTATTAAACCGTACTCTCTCGTAACTTAATATGGATGCAAATAACAAAAGCTAAATTAACATAATTATATTTTGAACTCTCCAAATTCATTATCTTTAGTCAAAGCGGTGGTCACTTAACTTCTTACAGCAAGTTAACGTCTAATAATTAACAACTTACTATGAGGACAATGGGTGCAAATAAACTCCACATCCATTTGATATATCCACCGCATGGACCAAAGAAGTAACAAAATCTATGCCTTAATAAAAATAGAGATTAGTTTATGTAAACGAGATTTTTATTTATGGGTCTACCAAAGAAACTGTTCTCGGCTTATGCCCGTAATAAGAACAGGACGTGGCGGTTTTTCTGCACGCAACATTTCACCAATGTCTTCGAGGAAATTGTCTACACCATAAACATGGCAAACAACAAGTACTTGTACAAGCGATAAAGAAAATGAATTCCAGTTTGAATTAAGATTTTCAATTGCATGAAAAATATATATCCCGCCTCGAGTACAAAAGGGGATGCCACAAAGACAACAGAAAATACATAGTGAAATTAACTGAATTGTGAATAATGGATCAAATACATAAATTGAAGCAAACTAGGCGATTTTCAAGACGTTTCCTGTTTAATTGTACATTGATAAATAAAGAGATCCATATAATTAGACTTCGGGGCAAATAATTTATAAAATTCCTTATTGTACCCATTAAATTGACCCCACCTGTCTCATTTTTCGGGGTTAAAGCAGAAATTCAAGACCTTTTGCTGCCGAATTTGTTCATAATACTGTTTGCAATCATTTCAAGCCTGGAAGAACGGATGGCAACTCATATATTCTAGAATTTTAATTAAAAAACTTGCCAAGCAAATTCTGCATCCAATGCCTGCAAAATAAGGAATTAAATTATAAGTACATTTAATTTTGAAAATTCGTACAGAAAGAGTCAAAACTGTGTAAAAAAGAACAGCCCATATGAAGCCCCACTCCAGATAATAAGTCACACCGGGATAAACTGTGAATGCAATGTACGTTGAAGGAGAAGTAAGTTGGTCTGAAATTAGATTTAAATCATATTATTGTTGATCACTCTACCAATTTCTTTAGATTTTCGATATTGCTGCTAAGCAAAATTTTTACGACCTTATTACAGTCTCACCTTGAATGTCGCTAATACGGATGCCCTGAGCTGAAGTCATAAATCCGAAGAATGAGAAGATTACCATTCCACATAGAATACTAGTAAAGGAGTCTCTGAAGAACAGAATTAAATAAGCGATATGCATATTTATGTATCTCGGTTAAAATAATCAATAATAATATGATGACAAACATGATAACAAGAAGAACCGCATCTCGATATATATTGTTTCGGTATCTGCTAAAGGATGCCTAAAACTTGTGTGCGAATAACACATTAAGGAATATACCATTGAGATCAGAGGACCGGCATCAATTCCCAAAGAGTAAAAGACGCATTCTGCCGCTTTTCTCCAAATCTTTTTAAAAGATTTCTCTATTAGTATTATTTATATGCATACCCTCAAGCACCAGAGCCTTCTTATATCCGGTATCTATGAATTAAGTAAAACCCACGACAATTATAATACCGTAAACAAATATACAAGTCCTGAATATGCCCCCTTGAGTGAAATGCCTCTCAGAAGAAGTATTATTAACTAAAAATTTAAAAAATTAGCAAATTTTGTCATATGATTATGTATTTCATTTGTTACCAAAAGATAGGGTACAGTTGCTGTAATTGACACCGCCCATCCGATCGAGCCTAAGCCTTTGAATACGCCAAAAAACACTGAATTTTAAGTTAAAGTAATCTAAGTTAAAGTATCAAAATCGTAAAAACCTATATAATTTTAAAGATCTAACAAAACCTAGAATCCAAGAGAAGACGAGCGAAATGACCAAGTGATCTTGAATTTGGCCTAGCGCAGGCTCACGAATATTCTGGCTATATATCATCTATTTATATGTATTTATAACTCACCAAGGTCCGATTCAATACCTGTATTCATAAGTAAAAATTTTCTCCGTGAGCATTATACAATATTCAACCTGGAAACTTAATAGGAAAAAATATTTCAATATAAAATTTTATATAGCCTTTCTCTAATAATTTTAAATTTCTTAAATTAGTATAAGCAAATAATTTGAACTTGTTCAAACAAATCTAACAAAGAAATTTTACAAACAGAATTTTTAATACATACTGAAAGAATGCTTCAGGTGCAGTTATTTGGTTTGTTTCGTTAAAAAAGCATCGATGCCGTGATAACTCGCAACAGTTAAGTTTATTTATCCAATCAGTTTGACACTTTTCCCAGACGGATTCATGACCACCTGCGGCCACCAGTCCTTGCAATGCAAACCATAGATAAACTAAGCCCCAGACAACGTAGAAAATATCTCAATATTATATGTACAATCTCAGTATATTATTTCTATCTTACAGTAGATGGAAACGGGTACAGCAAGAAGCACAAGTCTAAATTATATTTAGAATATTTTTTTTAATTAAGACAAACGCCCATCCAAGTCCAGAAGCAATCGGCATCATTTTATGGAAAGCGGCGTTTGCTGAAAGGCCTAAATTTTAAATTTTTGATATCAACAGGAAATTTTAGTTACCTGAAAATTGTCCAATGGCTAAATGCATATAAACAAGTGGCAATCCGAAGATGACCATGAATATTGCATATGGTATAAAGAACGCACCGCCAAACTCAAAAATCTATGATTATTAAGAATGTATTTTCTCATACATAAATTAAAAATAAAAATATTACCATTGCAGGAAATCTTAATGTATTTCCACCCCCTACAATAAAGCCAAGGCATGAAAGAAAGAATTCGATTTGTGTGCCCCAAAGATCGCGTACTCCATCACGTTCGCTAGTGATTCCTTCTCTATTTGTTCGACTTCTGCCTGTTATACGGTTCCATAAACTTGTTCGCAAGCGCCCACTCCTGTTTATATTTCTCTCACTGTTGTCTTCCTGAGTTTGAATGTCTCCATTGAAATGAGGCTGTAGGATTTCGTTACTTGCTAACAGAGGATTTTTTATAATTGGTGTTGGCGGTGATACTAGAATTGGGATCGGACTAAGATGATCCATTTCTTCGATGAGAACAAGACATCTATAAATAAGCTTACGATGTAGTTTTTACATATGTAGCAATAAAAATAATTAAAGCTTTCTTACTTCACACAAAGAAGAGCAGATGCTTCATAATTATCATATTCAATTAGCTTTTCTAACTCCATTAATAGCAATTCTAACTCCTTAAAATTTTAGTCTTGAATTTTCCGTTAATGGTCCCGTATACTAGTCCGGAACGTAAATAATCAGTATACAGAACTAAATTTTATTTATTAACTCGCCTGAATTTTTTCCGGTGAAATTTGCATATTATTTTTGAATCTCTCTTTATGACTATAAATTTTATCAATTTGACTACGCAATGCCACCTTGCTGTTGGTATTTGACGGTGTATCAAAGTATGAAGAATCCGTGGTAGAGATTCGAGACATTCAATCTTATTTTAAAGCAAAACACTATTTTCCTGGAGTTCAAAGATAATTATAATTTATAATGATTGATTAACCTGGAAACTGAAATTTTCAGGTTTTATTTACATAATGTATTAAAGATATTATATTCGAGAAAATGTTTCAACGTTTTGTATTAGTAGTTCATAAATGTGTTAAATTTAGTTTTATGTATAGTATATATAATAATATCGATTTATCACACCCTGCTAAGTCGATTATCTCGATTTTAAATGCTTATTTTTGTTTCTGCGGCTCTTAACACGGTGTTGATTAAATATCAATCAAATGACTAATATTGGTTCAAATAACGTGCGCCCTGCCTCTGACTGAATCATCATTAGGCCAGCAGCAGCAGTCAAAACCTGTCTTTCCTCATGCTGAAGGGTAGAGTCAATTGAAACTATAGGCCTGCGCAACCATAACCGATATGTCCATTCAACCGCAAAGAATGTAGCAGCGTTTGCAGGAAAAGCTTTTTAATTAAGTTAAATTATAACAATTTTGTTAAAACTTTTCCTAGATTATTCCTGAAAATTACCTCTGACTAAAGTAGAACCTAGGCCAACATAGAAGGCACGTAGACCACCCTCTAGATATATTCGGCGAATCACTTCCGAATCTATATATTTTTTAATTCTTTCTTGAAATAGTCACTTACAACTTGAGTATCTCTCGTCAGCTTGGAAACGAGTCTTGATAATATCAGAAGGATAGTTAGCCAACCATGAGAGCTAACTTGGAAAATTTTATCTTTATTGGTTAAAATTATATATAGAACCATTCCTGCACCACCACCGGCTAGTAACAATTGCCAAGAATTAAGCCCCTCAATGTTGTTAGTGCTACTAATTTGACGACCAATGTATTCGAATGAGGCAAAATATACACCCATTGCTGGGCAATCACGTACTTGCGTCGAAAGAAAACCTCTGCATTAAATTTGTTCAAAACAATAAATTTAAAAAATAACCGAGTGAGATAACGCACGCCCTTCTCACGAAGTATCTTCCTGAAATATGAAGTTCAGTTAGAATTTCTCGAACAATATTTAACTAACTTGGCTATATCAGAAGGGGAATTTGATATTTCCATTTCTGTTTGTATTTGTAGGCGTATTTTAAGCAGTTCCTATTATAAATTTGTTAAACTTCAATTTTAATGCTTCTCTCTGACCATGGGAGATACGACAAACGCCTGACAAGCACCAGCGGCAGCACCAGCGAAAAAATTTGTTGTAATGGAGTGCTTATCAGTAAATTGTTTTGAAACTTGGTCGTGTGCAGCAAAACATAAAGCATTCACCATTGCAATGCTGAGAAATTGAACTAGATTCGTTAAGTTTAAATATAAAATAACCTCGCAAGAGGGCTTGTCATTCCTATTATGATATTGGAAAATATTGATAATGAGTTAATTAAAAACCTTTATACAATGCAATTGGCCCCTCCTGCGATATAATACAGCGAAGACAATGGAGTATACCGTTGTATTGAGGAAAAGTGACATTCTGTGTTTGAAGGCGGACCTTTATTGTATCCAGGGGGTAACCTGCAATAACGCCGGCGAGACCTATAAAATATGTGTATGCTTTGAAGTTTTTTTCAGATAAAAATCGTATAAACTTAATGAACATACGTACCTCCAATTGATCCTGCAATGAGAGCATTTAAGATTTCTGCAGACATTAAGAGATAATCGTGATTTACAGTTATTGATAACAGAATCTGCCTCCTTTAGCATTCGGCAATGAACAAGGTTAGCAACGAATGAAATGTCGATTTTATAATAATTTGATTTATGATATTGAAAATTAGAGTAAAATATAATTATAAATTATATTCATAAGAAACTTGTGCTCGTACCATTAGTTGGAAAAGTAGCGCCTGATCGATCACCATAACGTTCTCTATCGTTTAAATATTTGTCAATGTTATGTTCCTTCAGTTTTTATAAATTCTCTTTGATTTTAACGTAATTTTCATGGCCACGAAATTAATATGTTAATAATGTGATCATATATAGAAAAGGCCTAAAATATTATGAAACTTTTATATAGGCATAATACTAGAACATAGAATAACATTTCATTTCAACCTGTGTTGGAAATCTATTTTACCTTTGTTTTATGTAGCGTAAATTAAAATAGCAAAATTTATTGTCCTTATTGCGTAATTGAATGCCTCTAGTCCTATTGTCGTTTAACTAATGTAAACTGGAAATAGAATTGAAAAAACTAGAAATAAAAAATTGCTTTTCCCACTACATTCATATAGAAAGCATTTGTGAAACAATATTTTATTAGAGTATTTTGTAAAGTTAATTCCTAACCTTTTCAAATGAATCCGGTCTTCTGGGTAATTACCATACTTCTCGTTTTATTGCCTGCGTTTCTTCGACTTATAATCATTCGCTTTCGTAAAAAACGTGAATTTGTGCGCTTGATCGACAAATTGCCTGGACCAAGGTTTTAATTTTAGCAAATCTTATATACATTATCTTTGGAGATCATTGCCTGTGGTTGGATGCGCATTGGAGTTCTCGCCAGATAATGAAAGTAATTTTTGACTTATGATTAATTTAGCAATACATAGAAGCAACTTACCAAATGGAATATTATTTCCGCAAATACACAGAAGACAAGGATTCTCCAGGTCTGCTTATAACTTAAATTCCAAAATGAAACAAGCATTATAATGAAGATTTTAAGGGATAATGCGGATCTGGCTAGGACCAAAACCGATTGTGATAGTCTACAAACCAGAAACTGCTAAAATAATTCTTGAAAGTGTGTCTATTTCTTGTATTAAAAACAATTTTTATACTTAAAGGCAACGAGCTTATTTCTAAACCATTCGAATATTCTGTAAGTAAATCTATGTATATTTTTTAACTGTTATGTATTTTCTAGCTGCTTCAAGACTGGCTGGGCACTGGTTTGTTAAATACAATTTACTTTTATTTTTAAAAATACTGCTACATAAATTATTGGGACTCTATGACTATGTTTTAAATTATTACTCCGAATAAACTCCGATCTATGTATAATTTAAGGTTTATTGACAAGTACAGGTGAAAAATGGCATAAAAGGAGGAAGATTCTCACACCAGCATTCCATTTTAAAATTTTGCAAAACTTTATTCAAGTGTTCAACCGACAGTCAAATGTATGCAGAATCATTATTTAATCATATTAAATGATAATATTCAGACTCTTGTTGAGATCTTGGACGAATTCGTGAACCGGGGCTACCCTTTCGACTTTTATAAGTGCATAAAACTGTATGCTTTAGATATAATATGTGGTAAAATTATGAAGAACAAGTATTTAATTTGTAACTTAAATTTTAGAAGCTGCTATGGGTATTCAAATGAACTCACAAAAGGGTAAAAACGCTAAATATGTGGAAGCTGTCAAAAAAATGTGTGAGATGGGTTTTTATAGGTGAACGTTTATTATTTTGGCACAGCTAACTATTAGGGGTTATTACGTTTAAGTTAAGCATTAGTACGTTAAAGTTAAAACAGGATGCGATCTCCTTGGCTTTGGCCTGAAATAATTTGGCGAATGAGCACAAGTGGAAAAGAATTTAAAAACAACCTCAAAATTATTACTGAATTCACGCAAGGGGTTATTTTTAGAATTTTCTATATCTAATGAACTCGAAGGTGATTTCAAACCGTAAAATGGAACGAAAGTTAGAGAGATCAAGTGAAATAAAAAAAATGGAAGCTGGGAAAAGGACTAATTGCTTTTTGGATATCTTGCTGGACTTGCAAGAACAAAATGATTTTACTGACGAGGATATACGAGAGGAAGTAGAAACTTTTATGTTTGAAGGTGAATATTTTTACTAACTGTAATTTAATTTGTCCCATTCATTTTATAAAGGCCATGATACAGTTTCTAGCAGGTTAAAATTTAAGATTATGAGATAAATTTTAAAATTGACAATTAAGTTTGGGATTTATGGTATTCTGGTTGGGTCATAGAGAGAAACTTCAGGAAAAGTTACGAACAGAAATGCGGGAAATATTCAGTATATACATATTAACTATTTATCTCAATGTAAAATTTTTAAGATAGTGATATTGGGCGGGATGTAACACTAGACGATATGACAAAAATGCGTTATGCGGTATCATTTAAAAAATAAATAAAAAAAATAATCAAAAGAAAATTTTCGCCATCAAAACTCTCTTTCAGGAGTCATGTATTCGTGAAACTATGCGTCTTCTTCCCACTGTTCCAGTATGTTACTATGATTTCATTAGAATTTGCCATTTAGATAATTGGTCGTGTGATTACAGAGCCCACAAAAATAGGCAAGTAAATTATAAAGATGTTAACTATGAGTTTACATAGGTGGATTCATAATTCCGAAGGGAGTCACAGTTATGGTACCTCCGTTTGCAATTCATCGTGATCCAAGAGTATGTGACTATTTTCTTAAACAATGCTGGATTATCCTTCAAAACTATTAAGTACTTCCATAACCCCGATGAATTTGACCCTGATCACTTTACAACTGAACGAGTTATTGTAAGATTTAAAAGCTGATAATTCAAAATGGATGAACAAGTTAAGATACGCAACAGGGAACCTTATGCGTATTTGCCTTTTTCTGCCGGACCGCGCAACTGCATAGGCAAGTTTAAATTTTTGCCGATAAAATTGAAAAATGTTTATATTATCACGTATTATATAATAATATTAACACGTATAATATAGTATCTTTATTGAAGGTCAAAAGTTTGCTAGTGCTGAACAGAAAATTACGGCCGCAAAAATATTCCGTCGCTATAGAGTTATTTCGACAACTCACGAGCTGGAAAACAGAGGATTACCAGAATTAGTTCTGAAGCCGAGGTATCATCTAAAATCAAAATCTTATTCAACTACCTATAATAACTTTACTTTTAAGCAACGGCTTTTGGATAAGGATGGAAGGAATTATTTGACCGATAAAAATACGAGACTTTCTAAATACTTGCAAGTAAATTAAAGATAAAGAGGATCATCATAAGCATAAATCTCTAGGCGCATCATTCCTAACTGTCCAAAATTACTGCAATGTTCTTTGAAAATTGGATATCTCAATAGTAAATCAACCTAGTATTTCTTTCGTTAGTCGTTTGTTCAACTATTAAATAAAGTTACCCGTAAACGGTCGTTTTGATCAGCACGTACTCTAAGTCTAGCAAACCCAATATATTTGTTTCTGTGATGGAATTCATTCTTTACGAATACATCAAATGTAAAATTTATTGTAGGACATAAACTAAAAGAAAATGTATATGTAAAAATCATTCATATTAAAACCTATGGAATATGAAGGATTCTCCATCAAATTTAAATGATGGTCCAGATAAGGATCGAAACGCAACACCTGTTCTAAGTTGTTCGCCGGTGCTAGATGATAAGCGACAAAATAACTCCGTAGCTGATAATTAGATTTTAACAAAAATTACATAAACAAACCTGTTATTTTATTATGCGGATGGAAGTGAATTTCTTGGATTTGCAGCCGGACTAAACAACGAAAACGAATGCCAAATTTATTTAATGCTAGAATAACAGAAGAGCACTTTGGGCAATAATTGTGTTGTACAAAACTAACCAGATACCGGTGTATCTTCTTCCAATAACCTTGGATTCATTTGTTGAGTTGAGTAGATGCGAAGCAAAAATTCACCTTCCTCTTTAGGAGCAAAACTTAATTGCGAATTGACAAAAACACAAATATATAATTAACCTAGACGGTATCAGGATATCTAAAAAGGAATATTTTAAGAGAACAACCTCCGCAAAACATACATCGACCAGGAGTAAGCTTGTCAAGATGTAAATGAACTGAGCGCCCAGAACTGTACTCCGAAGTAGCTGTACTCGGAAGGGGCTATGAAATTGAAAGAGAAAGAATTATTTAAAAATTTACTCTGTGAAGACGGTGCCGTCTGTTAAATTCAACACGCATGAGTTGCATACCAATGGCAAGATAAGGTAGTCTTTTCTTACCATAAAACTTATCGGGTTGATTGAGCGCAAAAATCACTTCAGCAGTTCCAGGCCCATAAAACTCCAGCAGGAATTGTGGGTTAAAGCAGAATGTAGCCGAAAAGTTTGGACATCTGAATTCAGAATTAATCTATTGAAATTCATTTCTTAATTTCTAAATTATCCGAGTGAAAAGACTTACCCTCCAGACCGATCTTGTGGTGCACCACTCTTAACTCCATTAGTCGTCCAACGACCGTAGAAATCCTAAAATATAGTAATTTAATATTTATCAATGTCAACCCATTCGTGATATCGTCGATTCAAAGGAGTTCCTATAGTTGCGTTAGATCGTCTGCTGGCCTTGATTGATGGTTGCGATTTTATTTTCGACCGGACTCCCAATTCCAGCGGTATCAGCATTTGGCACACACTTATATCGGTGAAGTATTCTAAGAATTTTTCCCAGGGCATCTAAATTTTATAAACATTAACGTAACACTCAATATATAATTCATTTGATCTTGTATATTTATAGTACATAAATGTAAATAACCCAAAACTCGCCGTCATCATTTGCCGTAATACCTAAGCGAGACTTTTGCACATCAGTCACCTATGTAAAAAAAATACAAAAAAGATCAGATAAACTCACTTGCTCCCACTCAGCTGATCCGTCACTCCAGGGCCCATTCCATTCCTTTTCGCCCCAAGGATTTTGAAGTCGAACCCTAAAATCGAAAAGCATTTAAGTATCCACTAATTAATTTTTAATTTCATAAGCATAAACGAACATTGCCTGTCGCTTTCCAGTTGTCTCTAGTCCTCGGTCTGGTTTACTCTTATTAATTAGCTGCAGAGCATCAAGTTCAATAAACTGAATTGAGGTTAACGCATAAGCATGTCCCATGACTTAATAACTAATGTATGCTTTTCATTACATAAGAAATACCCAATCCTTAAAAATATCTAAATGAAAAATTTTTAAAAAATGCTTACCGCACTCAAGGCTTTGCTCAACTTCATCATTTTTAGCCTATTAAATTAGAATTCAATTTTTTAAAACAAAACAAATATTAATTTCAGACTAGACCGAAATAGCTGCAACAATAAGTGCTTCGCGATTGAACGCATGTTTAAGTGTGTAGAAAAGTCGTCTTGATGCAGAGATTCCAGTTTTGTAGACAGAAAGTGAAGTTAAATTTCCGTTAGCCAAATTATTTAGCCTTTTAGATAAATCTAAGTCCTCAGTACTATTCATTCCATTCAGTATTTTTCTATGCTGACTGATAAATCTATGGACATTAAGTGTTTCAGCAACTCCACCAGAAACATCCTAGGACAAAAAGATCAAATTGAAGGATTTATTATATCTTAGTAAGATCAGTAATCGTCGACCTTCCGATTTACTGATATTATTTTTTTATCCAAACTTCAAAATATAACTTGATTTCATTATTTCGTTCTTAGATTCTATTTTAATAAAAACACCTGAAGCGCATCCGCTAACTGTCCTCCTACTAAATTCTCGTAGCAACCATAAAACCTTAACAATGTAGATAAAATAGGAATTACTAATTTTTACTTGGCAAAAGCCTTCTCCAGTAGTGCACTCCAAAATTCATTATCAGTTTTTGATCGCGCAAATAACAACTTGCCACTCCTACATGGCAGTAAATCATCTATGATAACATCGATCCACCGACCAAACCGCCAAAAACAAAACTGAAAAATTCCTGCATAATCATTGCTCGTCGAATCCCATTCTTGGCCATCCAGAATCACCTTAAAGTTTTCACAATTTTAAAACCACTACACAAGATGGATGTTTGTTTATAACAACCTTACATAGAAGTGCATCACTGTTTGTTAATGCTGAACAAGCTGAGACGAACCTGAATTGATATTTTGCAAATCTTAGACAGTAGAACATTCCTTTGATATTTTAGAAAATATGAAATAAAATCGTACCAGCAATTTCCAAGAATGCCTTGAGTAACGTCAAATGGGCTAGCTCCTTCTACGAATAACCTTGGATCATCAACAATTTCCTTCAAAACATTATTTTATTCAAACAAAAATGTAAAATATTCACGCCCGGTCTCTTCCACTCGATCTCCAAGTCAGCCCCGTTCCATCTACTTTCATCCAAAAACAAGGACTCGTTTGAGGGTGGAAATTCTGATATAATTAAATATTATCGTAAAAGTGTTAAAATTACCAGAATCAATAAATAATTTGCCCTGTTTCAGACATTCTCGCTTCAACCTTCGATAAGTTTTTGATGTCTGTGAAGGAAAAAATGCGCACTTAGATGTCATAGGCGAGGATCTCGACGTTGAAGGATGAAATGGATCAATGGTAGCAGCGTTTGAATCTAATACAAATTTCGTGTTTTGAAATATGTCTATAATCAACAAATCAAGAACTTTAGTGTACGTCACCGAACAAGTTCGTTATTTGTGATTATCCTTGCTTACCGTTTAACTCCTGCTTGGAAGAGAAAAATGATTTAATCAGCGGAAGTATTTTCATCACAATTATCTTTTTAAGTTCACAGTTATAGTTTATTTTAAATATTTACTAAAAATAAAACATTTTAATTTAAATATTTTCAAAACAGCATATGTACAGACGTTAGTCAAGTGTATTGATGAGTAAAATTAAATTACTACATAAAAATACGTGGCGAGATGTCGTCATACCATTAACAACCTTTTCTCAATATAAATCGAATATCAAATCATTCTCTCGCCCGTTTTATTTTGTTCTCGACTCTCCTTAAACTAAATACGAATATAACTAAAAGTGGAACAACGCAAGAAGTTAAATACCTCATGTGTGCTTGGGTCGGAATGTCGTTTCTTGCAATTGTAACTCATTTAATATTCAGGATTCAAAAGTTTACCCGCTATTCCCCCTTATTTTTTACTCGTTAATAGACACCATAAACGGCTAAATGCATAACTAAGTTATAAAATTCTAGTTTATAACAATTTTATTTTATAGAACAAATTAATCCAACAATCACTAGATCTCAAGTTTTCCGACGGAAACTTTTTGTAGCAAATTTCTTAATACCATTATAACTACGATTTTTACCCACTGTTTTCCGTCTGTGCTTCCGTCGTCGCATTTTATCTGAATTCTTCAACATTTTTATCCAAATTGCAGTAGAGTTTCCAGATGATTTAACAAATGAGAGCAATTCCTCGATTCCTATAAAAAATTTTTATAAAATCATAATTTGTGTGGCAAATAAGGATAACAAAATTTGATGACAAAATTTATTTTTAAATTAATAAAAAAAACTTTTTACCAAGTATATCGATAAGTTGATCCAATAGTAGAGAATTCGCTTTTCGTGTTCGAACGGTAGAACTGTCGATAGGTTGGGAGAATACTGCCATTAATATTATATTCTAAATTTTAGTATTTGCAAAATTCAGAATTAAAATTTATGTAAAAACCTTAAATTGATTAAACATAAAGGGTTGCATTTTTGAACAAGCAGTGCGCATTAAGCTGTAAAGAATAAAAATAATTTTGAATAATATAACTATTAACAGACCGGATGGCCAAAAGTCGAACACTCGCTTCCTTTTCTGAATCTAATACATCATTTACACAACCAATAAGCTGTGTAACCAACGTCGTAGAAGACAAATTCCTCAAATGTTTGCGCGTTAAAATATTCAATGCAATAAGTGCGCAACACAATTTATTGATATTATCCTTCGAACACTTTTTAACTGTAACAAATAATCTACAAAAGTATGTGTCCAATGGATACGGTTTGTAAGAATTCCTACAGTAAATATTTATAATTAGCAAATCTGACATCAATTCAAATACTAACTCTTCTGTGGACCAAAGACGCAGTAGTTTTTCGATCATTTCTGTCAAACAATTCGCCGATTGCTGTCTTGTAGATTTACTATTAACATTATTTAAATGATCCATAATTTCATTGTAAATCAAATCGCAAAATTCAACTAGTTTGTCAAATACATTAATTGAGCTCAAACCCTTAAATTTGCGGATTTTAATTTTACAGCAAAAATCAGTTAAACTTGCTCAATTCTATCCTAGATAAAATTTTAAAACCAACGTTTCTGTAAATTGCAAGGCGCCAAGGTAGAGAACAACACTAAAATGAATAAAATTAAATTATAAGAAAACTGCTGTGTATCAGAACAATTATAATTACGTATTTGATTAGAATAAATTAATAACAATAACTACCTGAATTTTTTCATATCCTGAACTTATTATTTCATTCAAAAATGGTTTATTATTCGCAAAAAACGATTTCAAGTCATCCTCATTTATTCTATGATAAATCTGTGCCAAAAGTCTAATACAAAAAAGTACTTTTAAAAAAACTCCAAATAAGAACCTGTAAGCTTTCTTTTGAGGCCTTTCAGACAAATCAAACCAAGGTTTAATAGAATTAAAAATGGTTTGTAAATCATCAACATCGGCAGCAATGCACATTGCAGTAAGTAAATCAACAAGTAATATCTAAAATTTTGAAAACAGTGCATATTTAAAATGGTAGTGCGAAACTTGCGGACCGACTTTTGCGGACCAGGGGTATATGTTTTTGTTTTTCTATCGTAACCTTGTCCAAGCCTGTACAATCACGATGATTTTGATGTCATTCGACTCAGCTCGTCGAGCTCTTTCGAATGAGCTATGTTTTGAGAAATTCGTCGGGCCTGCAAGTTTCGGTCCGCAAAAGTCGGTCCGCAAGTTTCGGCCTGCCTTTAAAATATACTTTTTGTTCGGAAATTATTTTTTGATCATTTAATTTCGTCGTTGCAAATGCAATGTATTGTTTAAGTAATGATTTAGGAATTGCGTGCATGTAGAGACGTATGGTTGCCAAAGTTGATTGATGAACAGCATTAGGATCAACCTTAGTTATAGGCTTGTTTTCTACAAACAAATCTTCAACACCATTAGTATATATACTGAACAAGATAGGAAGAAAATTCTTGGCATACTTTTCCATAATTTTTAAATCGTTCTCTTTGTTGATCTGAAGAGCAGCACGAATCGAGGCGAGGGAAATACCACAATATTCAGGTTCGTTTAACGCAGCACCTTATTAAGTAATTCAATTTGTTATTTGAATAGAATATAATTACCTAGAACAGGCACAAACATAGGCAAAGTAGTTCTATAGTCACGAGAACATGAAGATAAAATGTTTGAAGGCAACATCTTCCAAAGCAACTGGTCGTGTTTTGAAAATCGTGTTTGATTCAAAGATTCCAATGGCATTTTCTTAAATATTCAAGTAAAAATCCACAATGATAGCAACTGAGAAGCGGACAAACAATTTCAAAATCTAATACTTACAGAATGTTCAGTTGATCGTAGAGTGCTTTCTTCACTCCTTTGTCGAACATTTTCTTTAAGAGACATTTGATGCTGAAAATTAATATTTATAACAACAAAACCAGCAACATACAATTGGCAAATGTTCATCAAAAGCCTTATCATCGCCATCTTCAATAGTTTTAAATCCATCGTTAATACTACCCAAAGAGGAAATATCAATCAGCCTTTTAGACCTATTAAAATAAAAAAAGAAATTACTCATTAAACCTAGTCAACTTGGCAACACTCCTATGCTTTGTCACTTTTGAGTTGCTCGAAGAACTAAATTTATAATAGCTTTATTGTAATTTAGAATGAAAAAAAACCTTCCATTAGATGGCTTGAAAGCCTTCGAACCTCTAACTCGCAAACGAAATTTTGCCATAACTACGAAATCCCCAAAAACAATTAAATGATTGAAATTAAATATATAAAAGTAGTTGAATAACTAATAATAACAATAATAAATAAAAATATTCTTGTAACATATGTATATTCGATAATAAATAAAACAAAAAGTATGATTGAGATCACTAAATAATATATATGTATAGACATAAGTTAATGGAATTCATCCTTTAAAACCCATTGTGAATTCGGTAAAAGTTTGCAAATATTCATAAGAATCGATCGAAAAACAAAAGAATCGGAAGGATGAATATGCTTCTTAATTTCAAAAATTAAAAAGATTAAAAATAAAAATCACCTTAAACCGTGAGAGAATTTCATTTGTACTTGCGCGACCATTATTTACTGCTAAAAAGTTACGGAGCTCTGCAGCTAACTTCTCATTTTTATCATTAAACGTCGACTGAGTCTGCGTTTTTGGAAATGATGGATATTCCTAAATATCTAATTTAGCTTCAAATATTGAAACAAAAAACATCTGATTCGTCATCCTCGTCGTTACAATCCTCATTTATATCTAATTGTTTTTCTTTCCTGAGTCGGATAGAACGCAGCAAATCAGCGCCACTAACTTCCTTACACTCGTCTAGAATTGAAGTTCCTCCAAAAGGATTATCTTCCATAAAATAAAAATGATAAAAGAATAAATAAATATTAACCATGTCCATCATCCTCAGCTTGTTGATTATGATGCTCAGTAACGCCATTTGTGACGTTATTAATATCAGAATATTCAGGAGCTCGCTTTTGCCCAAAAAGTGATTTTTTCGATCTCGGGGCAATCCCAAATTCTGATATATTTTCAAGAAACGCTGAATGCATTCTAAATATTAATTAAAATTTAAAATGTTAAGGAATTAAAATTACGTTCTACTACGTTTCAACACATTTGCTGCCCTTTTTGCAACAGCATTTGCTTCATCCTCAATTAGTTGTATATCAACTGTTGAACTCGTTTGAATAATTTCATCATGCATCAATGTAGAATTAACTCCGCATTTGCTTTTCCTAAGTAATTTTCCCAGAACATAATCATCCTTTTTATTTTTAAACTTTTAAATATTAAAAATAAGTTAACCTGCTCTTTGCTGCAAAAATTTTCACTCTCTTCTGCTTTCAATTTTGAAACAACTTGCTGTTTTTTCAACATTGGAACTATGATTTGACCATCGAAAAGATCACTTGATTTCTTTTTTTGGATTTCACGCTTTCCATTACCAAAATTTCTAGAAATAACATGAACATTGTAAAATAAAGGAACATTACCTTGCATATTTTTTTGCCAATAAACGAATTTTTTCTCTGGTTTCTTCATTCAATTCACCATCCTTTGAACTAGAAGCCTCAATCACCTCTCCATCGCTTGTTGAATTTATTGCGTTGTTTTTATAACTTCAATGAAAATAATTGAGTAAAATAATAACTTAAAAACCTTTTCGAATCCTTTGCACTTTGTTTAGAAGTTTCCCTAGTTACAGAAGACGAAGCTGAATTGAAAACAGCCTCAGTTTCAGTGCCGTATTTCCTGTCGCTTTTTGAAGAACCCAATGTAAACTACAATAGAATAAAAGAAAATCTTCATTATTTTAAAATATATATAACGAACAAGTTCATGCAAATCGTTTGTTTTGAAAAATCTTTGTTGTTTAGGATTAACAAGGACACGATTCGCCAGAAAATGTTTGAATATTTGCCTTTGGTAGATTTTCTCTTCGATTGTACCGCTCGTTAAGAGTCTATAAACTGTAACTGCTCTTTGTTGTCCTATTCGCCATGCCCTCTCTCGGGCCTGAAAATAGAATTTAGAAACTAAACAAATTTAAAAAAACCTGTGCGTCCGTAGAAGGATTCCAATCTGGGTCATAAATTAAAACTCGATTGGCACCTGTTAAATTTATGCCTAAGCCACCAACTTTTGTAGTTAGAAGAAAAGTAAAAATATCTTTATCCTGTAAATAAAATAGATGAGATTAGGAAGCGATACAATTAGGCACCGTGTTGAATTCGTTTACAAGATCCTGTCGTTTTCCTATAATTTTTGTTTAATAGTAATTTAATTTTAATCGTATATTCCTCACCTATTGGAGTAGTGCCATCCATCCTAAGGTATTTATAACTTAAAAAGGTAATCTTATAGATATAAATAATTTTATAAAGTTATACTTCTCTCGTGACATAAATCCTTCAAGTATTGTAAGCATTTGGCGGCTTTGGGAAAAAAGAAGAACCTTTTGTTGCTGTTGAGACCAGAGTCGAAGGAGAGTTTTAACAACTATCATTTTTCCACTCCTTTGATATGAACCATATTCATGTTCAGGATTCTTGTCGTCTTCTAAATCCCCATATTTGTTTGGACCTCCAGTTACTAAATCAGGATGATTACAAAGCTTTCGTAGATGCATTAACGCAGCAAACGCCATGTTTTGCCCGTTTATCAGATCTTGACAAGGTTTGGATGTTATATATTCCTGATATAAATTCCGTTGCTCAGAAGTTATATCGCAAAACAAAATCTGTTAAAATATAAAATGGAAAACAAACATGGTTTTAGAAATATTTAATTTGGAAATAATTCAAGCGAAAAATAGTCTATTATCTTAAAAACAAATTAGACAAAGATATGTACCTGTTCAGTTTTTTCTGGTAGCTGAAGGATCATTTGAACATCCTTTTTCATCCGTCTTAAAAGATAGGGACTGATAGCATCTCTAAATGAAAAAATAATTTTAAAAACGAAATAGAAATTTTACCTAAGAATACAGGCACATTTATAAGCAGTTCTGACTTGTATTGACGTTGCGTTTGCATAACCACCCTGGGTTATTGGTATTGAAAATTTTTCAATAAATTCTTTCAAGGAACCAAGAAGTCCAGGATAAATAAAATCAAACAATGACCTAAAAAGATTTTCTCGGCGTAAAATAAATCTAGCAAAGTAAAAGAAATCTAGAACAAACCACAACTCCCTGAGATTGTTTTGAAGTGGGGAACCGCTCAGAATTAATCGATGAGGTGTGCGTAATTCCTTCAGTGTTAATGTGATCTTTAAATTTAACAAATTAAATTAATTTTATCTTAAAATACCTTCGCTTCTGGATTGCGTATTTTATGTCCTTCATCCAAAATAACATAGTTCCACTTAGCAGCTAAAATCTTTTTATAATCTAACATATATGTCGAATATGAAGTAACGAGGACAGAACCATCGCTAAAGAGAAACAAATAAAATAAAAAGAATATAAACAAACCTTCGAAATTCACTCATTTTTCTGATTAGACTATTCTTTGTGCCAGAATGTGCACCACTCGAATGTAAGACTGCAACTCGACACAAAGGAAACCATCTATTGAATTCATTTACCCATTGATGAAGTACCGTTGCAGGGCAAATAACAAGTGACGGTCCCAGACCTTTCCAACTAATATTAATAAAAAAATATTTTAACCAAAATGTTAAATAAATACCCAAAAATAGATGAAGGCCTTTGACTTTCAGCCAATGATCGCAAGAAAACGCAGATTTGCATAGTCTTACCCAGACCCATTTCATCAGCCAAAATTCTAAAAAAGGCATTTGTTTCTTAAACATTATTTTAGTTTACCCTCCAACGCACTGATTATGTAACTCGTATAGCCACCTTATACCTGTTTTTTGGTATCTAAAACAAACATTTAATTATTCATATTTTGTCTTACTTGTAACACAAATCCCAAACGGACTTTGAAATACGAAAGCCGTCTTTTAACTCATGGTAATCATGCAAATCTTCAGAATTAGGTTCGCTTTGATATTGCCTGAATGTAAATTCTTTAGTTAAATTTGGCACATTTATCATACCATTGTCATACCATTAACAACCTTTTCTCAATATAAATCGAATATCAAATCATTCTCTCGCCCGTTTTATTTTGTTCTCGACTCTCCTTAAACTAAATACGAATATAACTAAAAGTGGAACAACGCAAGAAGTTAAATACCTCATGTGTGCTTGGGTCGGAATGTCGTTTCTTGCAATTGTAACTCATTTAATATTCAGGATTCAAAAGTTTACCCGCTATTCCCCCTTATTTTTTACTCGTTAATAGACACCATAAACGGCTAAATGCATAACTAAGTTATAAAATTCTAGTTTATAACAATTTTATTTTATAGAACAAATTAATCCAACAATCACTAGATCTCAAGTTTTCCGACGGAAACTTTTTGTAGCAAATTTCTTAATACCATTATAACTACGATTTTTACCCACTGTTTTCCGTCTGTGCTTCCGTCGTCGCATTTTATCTGAATTCTTCAACATTTTTATCCAAATTGCAGTAGAGTTTCCAGATGATTTAACAAATGAGAGCAATTCCTCGATTCCTATAAAAAATTTTTATAAAATCATAATTTGTGTGGCAAATAAGGATAACAAAATTTGATGACAAAATTTATTTTTAAATTAATAAAAAAAACTTTTTACCAAGTATATCGATAAGTTGATCCAATAGTAGAGAATTCGCTTTTCGTGTTCGAACGGTAGAACTGTCGATAGGTTGGGAGAATACTGCCATTAATATTATATTCTAAATTTTAGTATTTGCAAAATTCAGAATTAAAATTTATGTAAAAACCTTAAATTGATTAAACATAAAGGGTTGCATTTTTGAACAAGCAGTGCGCATTAAGCTGTAAAGAATAAAAATAATTTTGAATAATATAACTATTAACAGACCGGATGGCCAAAAGTCGAACACTCGCTTCCTTTTCTGAATCTAATACATCATTTACACAACCAATAAGCTGTGTAACCAACGTCGTAGAAGACAAATTCCTCAAATGTTTGCGCGTTAAAATATTCAATGCAATAAGTGCGCAACACAATTTATTGATATTATCCTTCGAACACTTTTTAACTGTAACAAATAATCTACAAAAGTATGTGTCCAATGGATACGGTTTGTAAGAATTCCTACAGTAAATATTTATAATTAGCAAATCTGACATCAATTCAAATACTAACTCTTCTGTGGACCAAAGACGCAGTAGTTTTTCGATCATTTCTGTCAAACAATTCGCCGATTGCTGTCTTGTAGATTTACTATTAACATTATTTAAATGATCCATAATTTCATTGTAAATCAAATCGCAAAATTCAACTAGTTTGTCAAATACATTAATTGAGCTCAAACCCTTAAATTTGCGGATTTTAATTTTACAGCAAAAATCAGTTAAACTTGCTCAATTCTATCCTAGATAAAATTTTAAAACCAACGTTTCTGTAAATTGCAAGGCGCCAAGGTAGAGAACAACACTAAAATGAATAAAATTAAATTATAAGAAAACTGCTGTGTATCAGAACAATTATAATTACGTATTTGATTAGAATAAATTAATAACAATAACTACCTGAATTTTTTCATATCCTGAACTTATTATTTCATTCAAAAATGGTTTATTATTCGCAAAAAACGATTTCAAGTCATCCTCATTTATTCTATGATAAATCTGTGCCAAAAGTCTAATACAAAAAAGTACTTTTAAAAAAACTCCAAATAAGAACCTGTAAGCTTTCTTTTGAGGCCTTTCAGACAAATCAAACCAAGGTTTAATAGAATTAAAAATGGTTTGTAAATCATCAACATCGGCAGCAATGCACATTGCAGTAAGTAAATCAACAAGTAATATCTAAAATTTTGAAAACAGTGCATATTTAAAATGGTAGTGCGAAACTTGCGGACCGACTTTTGCGGACCAGGGGTATATGTTTTTGTTTTTCTATCGTAACCTTGTCCAAGCCTGTACAATCACGATGATTTTGATGTCATTCGACTCAGCTCGTCGAGCTCTTTCGAATGAGCTATGTTTTGAGAAATTCGTCGGGCCTGCAAGTTTCGGTCCGCAAAAGTCGGTCCGCAAGTTTCGGCCTGCCTTTAAAATATACTTTTTGTTCGGAAATTATTTTTTGATCATTTAATTTCGTCGTTGCAAATGCAATGTATTGTTTAAGTAATGATTTAGGAATTGCGTGCATGTAGAGACGTATGGTTGCCAAAGTTGATTGATGAACAGCATTAGGATCAACCTTAGTTATAGGCTTGTTTTCTACAAACAAATCTTCAACACCATTAGTATATATACTGAACAAGATAGGAAGAAAATTCTTGGCATACTTTTCCATAATTTTTAAATCGTTCTCTTTGTTGATCTGAAGAGCAGCACGAATCGAGGCGAGGGAAATACCACAATATTCAGGTTCGTTTAACGCAGCACCTTATTAAGTAATTCAATTTGTTATTTGAATAGAATATAATTACCTAGAACAGGCACAAACATAGGCAAAGTAGTTCTATAGTCACGAGAACATGAAGATAAAATGTTTGAAGGCAACATCTTCCAAAGCAACTGGTCGTGTTTTGAAAATCGTGTTTGATTCAAAGATTCCAATGGCATTTTCTTAAATATTCAAGTAAAAATCCACAATGATAGCAACTGAGAAGCGGACAAACAATTTCAAAATCTAATACTTACAGAATGTTCAGTTGATCGTAGAGTGCTTTCTTCACTCCTTTGTCGAACATTTTCTTTAAGAGACATTTGATGCTGAAAATTAATATTTATAACAACAAAACCAGCAACATACAATTGGCAAATGTTCATCAAAAGCCTTATCATCGCCATCTTCAATAGTTTTAAATCCATCGTTAATACTACCCAAAGAGGAAATATCAATCAGCCTTTTAGACCTATTAAAATAAAAAAAGAAATTACTCATTAAACCTAGTCAACTTGGCAACACTCCTATGCTTTGTCACTTTTGAGTTGCTCGAAGAACTAAATTTATAATAGCTTTATTGTAATTTAGAATGAAAAAAAACCTTCCATTAGATGGCTTGAAAGCCTTCGAACCTCTAACTCGCAAACGAAATTTTGCCATAACTACGAAATCCCCAAAAACAATTAAATGATTGAAATTAAATATATAAAAGTAGTTGAATAACTAATAATAACAATAATAAATAAAAATATTCTTGTAACATATGTATATTCGATAATAAATAAAACAAAAAGTATGATTGAGATCACTAAATAATATATATGTATAGACATAAGTTAATGGAATTCATCCTTTAAAACCCATTGTGAATTCGGTAAAAGTTTGCAAATATTCATAAGAATCGATCGAAAAACAAAAGAATCGGAAGGATGAATATGCTTCTTAATTTCAAAAATTAAAAAGATTAAAAATAAAAATCACCTTAAACCGTGAGAGAATTTCATTTGTACTTGCGCGACCATTATTTACTGCTAAAAAGTTACGGAGCTCTGCAGCTAACTTCTCATTTTTATCATTAAACGTCGACTGAGTCTGCGTTTTTGGAAATGATGGATATTCCTAAATATCTAATTTAGCTTCAAATATTGAAACAAAAAACATCTGATTCGTCATCCTCGTCGTTACAATCCTCATTTATATCTAATTGTTTTTCTTTCCTGAGTCGGATAGAACGCAGCAAATCAGCGCCACTAACTTCCTTACACTCGTCTAGAATTGAAGTTCCTCCAAAAGGATTATCTTCCATAAAATAAAAATGATAAAAGAATAAATAAATATTAACCATGTCCATCATCCTCAGCTTGTTGATTATGATGCTCAGTAACGCCATTTGTGACGTTATTAATATCAGAATATTCAGGAGCTCGCTTTTGCCCAAAAAGTGATTTTTTCGATCTCGGGGCAATCCCAAATTCTGATATATTTTCAAGAAACGCTGAATGCATTCTAAATATTAATTAAAATTTAAAATGTTAAGGAATTAAAATTACGTTCTACTACGTTTCAACACATTTGCTGCCCTTTTTGCAACAGCATTTGCTTCATCCTCAATTAGTTGTATATCAACTGTTGAACTCGTTTGAATAATTTCATCATGCATCAATGTAGAATTAACTCCGCATTTGCTTTTCCTAAGTAATTTTCCCAGAACATAATCATCCTTTTTATTTTTAAACTTTTAAATATTAAAAATAAGTTAACCTGCTCTTTGCTGCAAAAATTTTCACTCTCTTCTGCTTTCAATTTTGAAACAACTTGCTGTTTTTTCAACATTGGAACTATGATTTGACCATCGAAAAGATCACTTGATTTCTTTTTTTGGATTTCACGCTTTCCATTACCAAAATTTCTAGAAATAACATGAACATTGTAAAATAAAGGAACATTACCTTGCATATTTTTTTGCCAATAAACGAATTTTTTCTCTGGTTTCTTCATTCAATTCACCATCCTTTGAACTAGAAGCCTCAATCACCTCTCCATCGCTTGTTGAATTTATTGCGTTGTTTTTATAACTTCAATGAAAATAATTGAGTAAAATAATAACTTAAAAACCTTTTCGAATCCTTTGCACTTTGTTTAGAAGTTTCCCTAGTTACAGAAGACGAAGCTGAATTGAAAACAGCCTCAGTTTCAGTGCCGTATTTCCTGTCGCTTTTTGAAGAACCCAATGTAAACTACAATAGAATAAAAGAAAATCTTCATTATTTTAAAATATATATAACGAACAAGTTCATGCAAATCGTTTGTTTTGAAAAATCTTTGTTGTTTAGGATTAACAAGGACACGATTCGCCAGAAAATGTTTGAATATTTGCCTTTGGTAGATTTTCTCTTCGATTGTACCGCTCGTTAAGAGTCTATAAACTGTAACTGCTCTTTGTTGTCCTATTCGCCATGCCCTCTCTCGGGCCTGAAAATAGAATTTAGAAACTAAACAAATTTAAAAAAACCTGTGCGTCCGTAGAAGGATTCCAATCTGGGTCATAAATTAAAACTCGATTGGCACCTGTTAAATTTATGCCTAAGCCACCAACTTTTGTAGTTAGAAGAAAAGTAAAAATATCTTTATCCTGTAAATAAAATAGATGAGATTAGGAAGCGATACAATTAGGCACCGTGTTGAATTCGTTTACAAGATCCTGTCGTTTTCCTATAATTTTTGTTTAATAGTAATTTAATTTTAATCGTATATTCCTCACCTATTGGAGTAGTGCCATCCATCCTAAGGTATTTATAACTTAAAAAGGTAATCTTATAGATATAAATAATTTTATAAAGTTATACTTCTCTCGTGACATAAATCCTTCAAGTATTGTAAGCATTTGGCGGCTTTGGGAAAAAAGAAGAACCTTTTGTTGCTGTTGAGACCAGAGTCGAAGGAGAGTTTTAACAACTATCATTTTTCCACTCCTTTGATATGAACCATATTCATGTTCAGGATTCTTGTCGTCTTCTAAATCCCCATATTTGTTTGGACCTCCAGTTACTAAATCAGGATGATTACAAAGCTTTCGTAGATGCATTAACGCAGCAAACGCCATGTTTTGCCCGTTTATCAGATCTTGACAAGGTTTGGATGTTATATATTCCTGATATAAATTCCGTTGCTCAGAAGTTATATCGCAAAACAAAATCTGTTAAAATATAAAATGGAAAACAAACATGGTTTTAGAAATATTTAATTTGGAAATAATTCAAGCGAAAAATAGTCTATTATCTTAAAAACAAATTAGACAAAGATATGTACCTGTTCAGTTTTTTCTGGTAGCTGAAGGATCATTTGAACATCCTTTTTCATCCGTCTTAAAAGATAGGGACTGATAGCATCTCTAAATGAAAAAATAATTTTAAAAACGAAATAGAAATTTTACCTAAGAATACAGGCACATTTATAAGCAGTTCTGACTTGTATTGACGTTGCGTTTGCATAACCACCCTGGGTTATTGGTATTGAAAATTTTTCAATAAATTCTTTCAAGGAACCAAGAAGTCCAGGATAAATAAAATCAAACAATGACCTAAAAAGATTTTCTCGGCGTAAAATAAATCTAGCAAAGTAAAAGAAATCTAGAACAAACCACAACTCCCTGAGATTGTTTTGAAGTGGGGAACCGCTCAGAATTAATCGATGAGGTGTGCGTAATTCCTTCAGTGTTAATGTGATCTTTAAATTTAACAAATTAAATTAATTTTATCTTAAAATACCTTCGCTTCTGGATTGCGTATTTTATGTCCTTCATCCAAAATAACATAGTTCCACTTAGCAGCTAAAATCTTTTTATAATCTAACATATATGTCGAATATGAAGTAACGAGGACAGAACCATCGCTAAAGAGAAACAAATAAAATAAAAAGAATATAAACAAACCTTCGAAATTCACTCATTTTTCTGATTAGACTATTCTTTGTGCCAGAATGTGCACCACTCGAATGTAAGACTGCAACTCGACACAAAGGAAACCATCTATTGAATTCATTTACCCATTGATGAAGTACCGTTGCAGGGCAAATAACAAGTGACGGTCCCAGACCTTTCCAACTAATATTAATAAAAAAATATTTTAACCAAAATGTTAAATAAATACCCAAAAATAGATGAAGGCCTTTGACTTTCAGCCAATGATCGCAAGAAAACGCAGATTTGCATAGTCTTACCCAGACCCATTTCATCAGCCAAAATTCTAAAAAAGGCATTTGTTTCTTAAACATTATTTTAGTTTACCCTCCAACGCACTGATTATGTAACTCGTATAGCCACCTTATACCTGTTTTTTGGTATCTAAAACAAACATTTAATTATTCATATTTTGTCTTACTTGTAACACAAATCCCAAACGGACTTTGAAATACGAAAGCCGTCTTTTAACTCATGGTAATCATGCAAATCTTCAGAATTAGGTTCGCTTTGATATTGCCTGAATGTAAATTCTTTAGTTAAATTTGGCACATTTTCTTACTTAATCCTTTCATTAAAATAATTGTTATCTCCATCATCCTTTCGCATTCTTATTGTAAGTTTATTCCTCTTTTTTATATTGTTCTTATTATGTTTGCTAAGCTTTTGGGTAGATTCGTCGAGTTCTTCGCTTATTTCTGAATTGTCTGACACATCAGAACTTTCGTCATAGCTTTCATCTTCAACATCCTGCTCATCAAAAATCCGTTCTTCACGAGTATTATCGGCCCTCTTAAATTAACATGTTGAACAATGTTAAAAATAATAAATACAAACATATCTTTGCTGCGGCAAGTTCGGTTGGCTTTGATTGGAAGATTTGATATGTCCGAAAGTTAATCCACCCCTTTTTATCGCATTGCATTTTGATTTAGAACCAGACAATTCTTGCTGCTTGATCAATTCAAAAGGTGTTAGGTCTCCTTTCTTTATTGAAGAATTAGTTTCTTGTACTAAAACCTCAAGATTCCCATTCTTTAATTTCTTACTACGATCGTCTCTAAATTGCTTTTCTGCCTGGAATTTAATACAATTTACAAATTTAATACTCTTAAAAAAATACCATATTCTCAATTAATCTGCCTTCAAACTGTGCAGCATCATATGCGTCGACTTTTTCCAAATCAAGCTGTTTAACATCGTCATTTGGAGCAATATCGGTAAATTTAGAGCGATCAAAAGTGTCTAAAAATACTGTAAAACTTATGTTTTAAAAATAATACCCTCGACTGACTCATCGGAGATCTCCCCATCTTCACATTCCTGATCTGAATAATGTCTTTGACCATCCACCGATCCATCACGCATCTTTGGTATTTTAACTAAAAAAATCATGAATTAGAGCAAAAACAAATCCAAAACCGTGAATTTCTTGCAAACTTTAATAAAAATATTATAAGTCATATGTTTAAAGATCAATCGTGAATTTCAAAAATAAGTCAAATTTTATTTTTACACTTAAAAGTTAAATGATCACAAATAAAACCATAATAATTATGTATAGAGGCTAAGAGTCATGGTGAGAATGAAATTTACCATGATGAAATGGAAGTATGAAAACAAAACGTTCGGGAAGATGACAATAAAGAAATCTTCATTAAAAATATACAACTTTAAATAGAAACTCAAAACAAAATACTAGGCAAACTACACAAAAATTTAAAGTGAAGGAGATATAAGATTTTGTAAAACGACTAGTTATTCAGGAGGTTAATATATTATTCGTCGTATTAAAACTTTATAACATTGTTGGTTGTATTCGAAGGAGGCATCAATGGTGGAGGTCTGCGTGGTGCAAACATGTCCGGAGGTAGCACTCTAATTTTTGTAAATATAAGGAATTAGAATAACTTTAAAAAACGAACTTATTAATCAAAAAATCCTCAAACATGTGCTGTTCTTCTTTGGCAAGTTTGTGCCGCTCATCCGCTTCAGAAACATGCCTCTTAGCCTCACAAAAACTTAAATTGCCTGTTATTACCAAATATATGAAAAAAGAATACCTCCTCGGCTCCGAAGCAAATAACCGTGGATCTAGACGACTAAGCCTAAATATTAACATTTTACTATTAAAAATCTTTGCCAAATAAACATACAAATGTGAACCGATTAGTGCTCGAAAACTTCCTCCTTGCGCTTGAGGCAATAGACGATCACGAAGCTGACGGTGAAACTCGTTTGCTTCCCAATGAAAATAACCACTCTCAGTGCTATTCAATTGAAGCTCAGCCAAATAATCCTCATCGAAAATCTTACGGCAAGTGTCTTCTACAATAAAAAGAATAAGAATATAAAGCGTCTTAATACCTTTGAAGCGTAAATAGCGTGCCCAACTTCCTCTAGAAATGTGAGCCTGTGTCGATGGTGCACTTTCTGCCATCCAATAACGTGTAAACAATTGCAAATTAGGTTTTAAATCATCAGCCGAGTCGGTAGCATTTTGTTTAGCATCTTTCGCCTCGTGTCGCAGTCTAGTATTTTGTTTCACATCAACTTGCCTATCTGACGAAGGAACCAACTGAACATCAGGCTTAATTGACTCCAAAACGCGCAGCGCTGCCACAGGGTGCAACAATGAAAACGAAGACATAAAGATAATCCGTAAAACAGGAATTAGTAAAACAACAAAAAATTTGAGTTTCATTCTTCAGTTGATTTGATGACAACATCACAGAATAACTTCCAAAATTTCCATTAATTATAACTAGTTAAAACTAAAGAAAATCATTAATGTAGACAAAAATGCAAAAAAATACCAAAAATGGATCAAGATTTTTTAATCAGCCACAACCGAAAATGAAGATTATTCAAAACTAAGAAAATCAATAAAAATGCATAAAATCGTAGGGACGATTCAGTACCGTCGCTTCAGTATCTGGGACATATATTGGGCCATAACTTGTTTGATTCTTAACCGATTTAAATAAGTATTATATCAATCAAATGTTCTAAAAGTGGGGATTATTTTACCTAACAAGATTGATTTGATCAGATCATCCAATGAAAAGTTACAGCCGAATAAGTGAGGTCAATCGTATTTGGCTTTAACTTCTGTAGAATGTTCAGATCAGTTCATTATTAAAAGATGCCGCATCTCGACTTTCGAATTACATAAGAATTACTAGAATAGGAGGGAGACCGAGAAAGTTATGACCCAAAATATGGCCTAGAATCGGCGATACTGAATCGTTCCTATTCGGAATAAAAAAGTAGGATCAAAACGCACAATTTCGAAACGTCCAATTATAAATGCCAATGTTCCTTTTAATTTTAAAACGCAATATTCAAAACAGCAAACGAAGTGCTCAAGTATAGAGCCCAACTCCGGATTAAAAATATTTAAAAAATAATTAACTAATTTTATTGATAGATCCAACAAATGAGAGTGACAGACAAATTTTGGAAATAACAAAACGGATCTAAAGTATATCCAATCAAAATTTGTATTTTTAATTATTCATAGGTCCACTTAGCCTGTGCCGAGTCCCAATCCACAATTTCCTGTGGATTAAACCAATGCGCAATCTCTTGTTTGGCCGATTCAACCTAAAAACAGGCTTTTTATTCCTTTGACTCAAGCTTTGATCACTTACACTGTCAGATCCGTGGCAGATGTTCCGCCCAGTTTGAATACAAAAATTCCCACGAATCGTACCAGGCATGCTAGACAATGGAAAGATTTATTAGTGAATGCATAATTAGTAGAGAAAAACCTTGATAACGGATCAGTAGCGCCAAGCATAACACGTCCCTGTTTTACAGCATCCAAACCTAAAAATACTGTTCATTACAATTAAATAAAATCCTTCAGACCTTCCCAAACCATCGCGACGATTGGTCCAGAGGCCATGTAATCAATCAGAGCCGGGAAGAACGGCTTCTTACTCAGATCTTGATAATGAACTTCAAGATGTTGACGAGTTGCTTTAACCATTTTCATTGCCACAAGCTTGTATCCACGTTGTTCAAATTGTTTGATAATTTTGCTTACAAGTCCTCTCTGAACACCATCAGGCTTTATGGCGATAAACGTACGTTCCTTGTTTGACATTAGTTTACGATAAATTCTGGTAATTCTATTTAGCTAAAAATAAATTTTAATTTTGTTTCAATGTCAAATTAAAAAATATTAAAATGAAAAAGTAACATAACAAGCAATTAAACAAAACGTAAATAGTCAAATATTTTATCAACCAAATAATTTATACAAGCAATAAACTAAATGCGTGCTATATATAAATAGCACGGAACGCGATCATTGAGTACGGCCGTTTGTGTACCGCCGTTTGTGTACGGCCAGTTGTGTACCGCCGGTTGTGTACCTTGCCGTTTGTGTACCTGGCCGGTTGTGTACGGCCGATTGTGTACCTACCCAAATGGGGACGTTTGTGTACCCGCATTTTTAAGAATTTTTGTCTTTATATATCCCAGAACGAAAGTATTGCTGGTAAGATAGTAAGGGAATATAGACTATATCACCCAATTCAGAATCTTATTAGACCCAAGGTTACTTTATCAGGGGATTTTAGGCCGTATCTTCACTTAAAGAACTTTTTGTGTTGCTACGAAGAATAGGTCGGCATTTCAACTCAAAAAATCGATAAAAGGAATAGGTTTATGTTACTGGTACGGAACCCAGCGACCGTTGACTCCCGCGAGACGCGTGCCGCAAAAGCCCGCGCGAAGCGCGGGCTTTTGCACAAGCGTCTCGCCGACGCCCATAGGTTTACTGGTTTATTTTTGAATCGTAACTTTGTCCAAATTTGTTAGATCATGGCAATTTTGGTCGAATTTGCATTTCGAATTTTTTAATAAGATTCTAAGTTGGGGAATATAATCTATATTCCCTTATTATATTCCTATATAATGCGGTACACAACTGGCCAGGTACACAAACGGCCAAGTACACAACTGGCGGTACACAACCGGCCGTACACAAACGGCGGTACACAAACGGCGGTACACAATGGTCCCCTACCGTAAATAGCATGATGTCCTTCAATATGCATCAATAAGTATCCTTAATCTCAATGACAAAAATAATACTTTATCGACTCGTTAGAGACTGTTAATAACTAAAAACAAGTAGTTTGAGTCTCAAATATTTTAGTTACTTGAAAAGATTTGCTTATGCCCATCCCAACACCAACACGTGTAACTTATAAAGACTTACAATTAACATGGACATTTTTCAATAATTTAGAAAAGAAATTCGTGATAAATAAAACACTTTTAAATAATTTTTCGCTACTATGATAATCAGCAATATGATTCAATCCCTAAGACATATTCCCTTGTTCATCCTTAAATTTTGTTTACGGTTGAAGTTTCATAATCTTTCAAAAATTCAAGATTTGCCGATAATTCTGAGAACGATTTAGACGTTTCCATTTCCTGTATAAAAAATACAATCATACATATTTAACTTAAAAATTCAATCATACCACACAGTCTTCATCTTCTAGTATAACAACTTCATTTATTCTTTCCCCTTCTGATGCTCCATCCATTGTTTCGTTTACATATTCATTATTATCTACGTCATTTATAAATAAAGGACCACCGTCATACTCATAATGCGCTCTTTTAGAATTGGCCAATTCGTCTAAAAATTCTAAAATTTTTTGAATATTAAAAAAACCCCTACCCAAGCCTCTTTGATTTACACCTTCTCGGGCTGTTTCCATCCATTTGTACCTGTCTGTCTCGTCCATCAGAAACCCACCAAGTAATAATAACGCTACTGAATTTAAAAAGTCCAATAAAAATTTAAAAGGAAAACCAGAGAAAATTAACCTTTAAATGTCTCGAATTGATCGTCAGCCACGGGACTTCTTGCTACGCCATTTACACGCTTCTTACTCCTTAAATAATTCACTTTTATTTTTTAAATACAAAACCTGTGATTAACGCCTTTAAGGATGGGCAGCAACATTTTTCGTTGAAAATATCCACGCGGCCAGAGAGAATCTGCAATCATTTGACCACATCGTCGACCATTCACCAAGTCTCTTGAGCAGTCAACGCGATAGATTTTCTCTGTTACATCGATACCCCGATACATCTCCAAATAAAATAATTGTAAACAGTAAATTAACTAAATGTCTAACCACATGCTTTCCCGCCTCGACAAGTTCTCGACATTTTGTTTGACAGGCTGAGAAAATTTCGCTAGCTCGCCAATGAAATATTGATTTTTTACATCCGTTTATCGTCAACTAAATTAAGAGAAATTTAAAAAAAACTTAGTTCCCTTGATTACCATCATTCCCACTTCTTTCATAAATTTATAAGATAACTCCCGGCGTCGTTGTCTGTATGCATGTCTCGATTTGCGAGCTGTTTTTATTGGATTGTTTAAAAACTTAATTGGATTAAAATTTGTCGGAGATTTGCCAGGATCCTGCGAAAATAAGTCATTAGACATCATTAATCCATCTGCCAAAGAAGTATTTAATTGGGAAGGCATTTGCTCTCTAGCACAGGTTAAATCCGTTGAATGTTGTTTTGAATTGTTAGAAATTCCAGCAATATCTTTTTCAGAATTATTTACGTGATGTTGTTGAGGACTGTTTATAGTGAATTCAATTTTATTATTTAAATCATTTGTAAAAGATTACCTATCAGTTAGCGAATTCTGTGGCTATAAGAAAAATAAATTAATTTTATTAGTAAAAGAATTAAATTGCTAAAATGAAACAAACATGCAAATTTAGTTGAAATCGTCTATTAGAATTTTGTATTCTCGTTTGATTCGAACTTTGAGAAGTTGTTGGAGACGAAAAATTGCGATGCTGCTGCGAAAGTCTTTGTCTTAATAATGAACGGGAAATTGTTGATAATCTTGAAGATTCAGCAAGATGTTTGCCAAATGGTTCTAAATTAAACTGCGATTGTGCTGAAGTTTGACAATGATTTTGAATGGGTTGTTGTGCTTTTGTAATAGAACCAACTGAATTCTTCAAATCATCAACACTTTTGGTGAGTTTTTTAAGTGTCTCAATGATCGAATCGAATTTTGAATCAATATACTTAGAGAATCGGCCCTAAAATAAAATTTGGTAATGTTTTTTGAGGTTTAAAAAATTCAGACCGCAACTTTCTCGACGACAGAATTGATGATAGAGTCATCCAAATGTTTTGTTACATCCTCATCAGCATCGCCAGCTGATCGATTTTCCACTTCAAATGCATCCTCATCTAATTGATCTTCGTAATTGGCATTGCAATTGTCAGTAGAAAATAAGCGAATGGAATGATTATTCAAAATGTTAGACCAAAGCATCTCCATTGGTTGTGAAAGTGCTTGTTCTTCGTTTAAATTCGAATCATTTTGAAAATGAATATCAGTAGAACATTCTCCTGTTTTCTCTTTCGTAAGGACCTCTTCAGTCAATGATGAGAAATCGACTTCTTGCTTTACTTGAATTTTTCCGTTATTATGAGCCTCTGATGGATGTTGAAAATCTGAAAAAGATAAAGGAATTTCATTATAAATTCTGTTAAAAATTTACTTGTATTCAGTGAATCTTGAGGTTCATCATGTTCATTGCTGGTAGTCTGTGAAGACTGATCCGGTAACGTTCCGTCATCAAATTCAGTAGGGACAATTAATGGCCCATAAAATTTATGATCATGGGGAAAAGGCAAAACCTGAATTTAGAAAATTTGTGATTTAAATAAAATTAAGTGAAAAAGTCAGAAAATGTGTCTATCAAAAGAAGTTTAACAACAACCAATATTCGCGGATTCCGGTATTTGGCAATCGAAAACTTAAATTACCTCTACAATTTTGTGGCCACTTCGGCGATTATGTCGAACACGCATTTGTACTCTACACGCATAACCTTTTCGCCTTCTATAGATGCAAGCATATTGATCAACTATCTAAAGTTAATAGCAATTAATGTTTAAATAATTCAATCACACATCTTCAATAGTAACTCGACCCTTTTGAACACTGAAAACAAAAATAATGTAAAATAGGTATACGTAAAATCCAGACTCACATGCCCCACTTTCTATTCTGAGCATTTAACCACTTTTTGAGTTGATCTTCTGTCTCAAAACGTTCAATTTCTACGTACTGATTCCTACCTCCAGTCGAAATTACTGGATGATTCTGTTGTTCGTCTTTAAAAAATGTTATTTATTACCGTAAATCTAAAAAATTAACTTGACGTATGGCCAAATATTTGGTCAAGAATTTGAGAAGACGAATTGTCCATTTACGGCAGACTTTATATCTCAAATAAAAGTAAATTATAAACAAATTCTGGAAAAGTTCTTAATCCTGTTTGCTATTTTTTAGCCCTAGAAATATGTAGTAACAAATCAAGCTAAATTAACACGTTATTACTTTTACAATGTAGAAGGATGCATCACAATGACAAAGTTGTGACTAATAAATGAGAGCCCCAAATCGATCGGAATGTTGTTGGTTGGTAAAGACTGCTGCTAACGACATGACAGGGGAAACTATAACAAGAGAGGCAAGGCATGCACCCGTATTATAGCTGCAGTCAACAAGGCCATTTGGTGAGAGGAATTGAGAGGAGATAGATAGCATGTTTAATATATTAATGTCATACCACCAATGAGAAAAAAAAACGTTTGAACGTAACAGCTAAAAGTCTTAGATTAAAACATTAATTCATCTCTTGTTGACCATCCTAAGATATTTTTGTGCATATGGTGATAGTAGTACATGGTTATTTGTTAGTTTGCGGATTACATATTTGCGGATAATCAACTGCAATAAATGTACACCTATTTTTACGGCGGTGACATAGACATTTACGCAAATGTCTAAAAACCGTAATAAGTACTAAATATATCAAGTTATATTAATTCACATTTTCTAATTATTATTAAGCGAAAGCATGACAAACACCTGCTTTTCACTTTTAAACCACCACATTCATTATAATTACTTTCAAACATGTAAACTTTATTAATAAAATAATTCATTTTATAGTATTTATGTAATAAAACAGTTAATAATGGTTCGAAAAATTGAAAAAAACAATTTCCTCTAAAAAATTTAATTTTTAATTCCGAAGTACACTTTTAACCGTTTCTAAGTCAATGAAATACATAAGCCCTGGTTTAAACGCTTGTCTTTTATTGAGTTCACACGTCAGTCTGTCCAGGACTTAGTCTAATTGCCAGATTATCGCCACTTACCACGCATTTGCTTTACTCATTTTTTCTAATAACAATTAAAATCAAATTACACAATTTTTTAAAGTTTCCATTGAAAGCAACAAAAATTTTAATAAATCGAGCGCAATTAAATTAACACAAATGCCTTAAGATTTTTGGTAAACAATTACAATTTCATTGTCACAATTATAGCTATAATCTATAGTTAAAAGACTATATCTCGCCAAATTATTTAAAATATCAAACAAATAAACATTGGAGCTACCTAGACAAAAAAACTCCCAAAATTAACCCATTTTCATAATCTAAATTGATGCCATATTCAAACATTGTTTTAAGCACAAAAAGCATTACGCCTCAACGTATTACATAAATGAATATTTATGTTTTATCGCTATATTAAATCCTCTCATTTTTCCTTCTTCCGTGTTCGGTCCCATTTTATGCTTATTTTCCTAAAAGGCAATTCGAAACTTTACCACAATCCTTTCATTCAAAATGTGCCACCATTATGCTTTATCGGAGAGCACGCTCTTAGAAAGTCGTTGGCTTTTGTTATAAGCTTTTCATCCAAGTTATGCTTCCAAATGAGGAAAGCAGCGCCGTGAATAAACATCAAAAATGGGTATGAGAAATGTAGGAATATTTTGTGTTCTCAAAAATCATTGCTTATGTTGGCTTCCTAATGTGGTCATTTCCATGAATTGAATTGGCCAAATTTACTAAAAATAAACGCTCAAAAAACAAAAGGAGCATTTCTATATATAAAAAATGTTTTAAAAATTTATAAATCTCCCCAAATCCACATTCCCATTAGCTTAATGTTCTCATTGTTTTAGGTTTTTGCTGAAATGCTTATATTATTCAGCAAGATGTATAAAAAGAATAAAAAATAATTTTAATAATTCATTTAAGATTCTCTAAATTTAATTCATTTTTATTTTAATAATTCAATAAAAATCCCATCGAGGAAAAATATTTATTAAAGGCATATTGTTCTGAGTAAAAAGAGCAATTTAATATAGCAAAATTGCAAAAGTATTTAATATTAAATATCAATCCCGCTGATACTAATAAATGGTTCACACTACATTAAAAAAAGAAAAACGGCATTTAACCAGACAATGAGCTACAATCAATTTTTAATGCAATTCTTAGAATAGGCATAAGATAACAAATTTAGTTCCGTCATATAATCCTCTCGTTTTTCAAAATTTAAAAGCTTGGAAATACATAAATCTTATTCATTTTTTCAGAGATTTGTAAAAAATTTACTCTAAAGTTGTATTATCAACATCATCTGTCGAAAATGAACTCAAACATAGGCACACCTCGTCAATGGCACTTAATCCTAATTTCAATTTTTAGTGAGTTTAATACAACTAATATATATATAATTGAGAAACTTTTACCTAATAGTAATTGTAGAAAGCTTAGAACACCTTCAAAATCCACAAAATTTTAAACAAATTTTATTCTTTTAAAGCTGTTGCTCTTCTCGTATCAAGAACTTGCACCAAATCGCTACCCTTAAATGCTAAAAGTGAATTGGAGCATCCTTTATATATGATAGCGCGCCCATGGACAGACTATGCCCCGGCTTCTGCCTGGAACGGTCAATGGATTCGAAGGCCTCAAACCGCGTTAGAATCGAATCTTGGAGAAATAAGACACGACAATTCACTTCAGATACAGAAGAAATGGACACGACTAGAACCATCAATTCGTTTTTATTGAATCTCAAATCTTGCAAAACAGTAAAGTAAAAAATTTGAAAGATTATAGCCTCTTATTTGTTTGCTCGGTCCCAATAAAGAACATAAATATTTTAAATTGATATGGTTTTTTGATATTCTGATTAATTTCTGAGTTGATTTTTAAAATTTTTAGTCTAGTCGCATTCTTGATTCATGTGAGATAAAAAACTATTGTTTAAGAGTCACTTATTTAGTTATCATTTAACTTAATTCTCTTAACATTTTTGGAACGAAATCTCTATAATTTTGTCTAAAAAACTAATCTCCTTGGCAACAAAGAAAAATATTATTCAACGACCTTTTCTCCTCACATCCGTTAAATTGTTTTCAATTTTGTATACATACTCTTAAAAAAATCTTTTTTCTAAATTTTGTCCATACGTTGTAATTTTTGCCCATACAAATAAATGAAAACAAAATTTTCCCAATCAAAGTAGAGTTAAAAATAGCGATTACCACTTAACGCGTATTTAGATGTTGACGGATAGAAAGGTGTAGGTCGGAAAGGAAACATTTCAATCATTCATTTTCAAGTTAAATTTTTTTGTAAAAGAACTTTTAATTCGCTTTTGATTAGTCTTAAAATTCCTTATAGCAAAATTTAAGCATTTTAAATTAAAATACAGGCTGAAAATAATAACAAAAATTGTACTTCTTGTGCTTTTTTAATTTTCTTGAAAAATAAAGTGAGGAGAAAAGTAACAAGTCATTTTCTCATTGAATTTCGCGCCCCTCACAATTTCATAATACACTGCTATTCTGGGTAAACTCACTTTCTCCTCATTAAAACGTCACAGTCGCACTATCCTCCTAGCCCTCACTATCGCCAAAAATATAGATTCACCGCAATTTTCTATCATTATCTTAAAGTTTCCTGTTTTTCATTACTTTTTACTTGTTTACGTCTTTTTTTCAATTTCTTTCAAATAAGCCCACAGGGAAGAAAAATTGAATAGTAAATTTGACAGCCGACACTTTCTTACCATCTGTTAAAAATTAAAAAATTCGATCCATTAGTGTTCCTTATTAAATTAGAAATTTCCAAGTCTAGAAAAATGACTTCCTATTAGATATGACAATCTCTTATACTTTGGATGTGTCACGCAGGACCGGATGGGGCAGCTTTATAAGAATCCTTGCAAGATGGAGAGGTTCTGTTTGGAAGGCAGTATGTATTGAACTAACACTTTGGTTGATCGTCTATTTATTAATTTCACTTATCTACCGTTATTTACTATCATCATTTGGACAAGAGAAGTTTGAACATTTAGCACACTATCTAGATGCAAAAATGGATACTACTTTACCTCTTACATTTATGCTTGGTTTTTTCGTAACGCAAGTAGTTTCTCGTTGGAGTAGTATACTTAATGGACTGGGATGGATTGATGAGTTAGTGAATTTATTAATTCTTAAATCTTAAATATTTAAAGTTCGGCGCTTGCATTTGCTAATTACATCCGTGGCGCTGATATAGAAACACGCATTCTTAGACGAAATATGATCAGATACATGGTTTTGAATCAGGCAATAGTGCTTCGAGACATTAGTATGCAAGTACGAAAAAGGTTCCCAACTTTGGAGACACTTGCTGCTACTGGTAAGAATGCAAACAAAATGTTTTACTAATATAAGTAATTTTTTAACAAAAAGGCATAGTTTCTATGAGTGAGTTAGAAATGCTTGAGCGCGTTCATGACCCTTACTCGCGTTATTGGACACCAATTCACTGGTGCTATGCATTATTGTAAGCGTTTATGAAAAATCAGTTAGTAATTTGCTAGATATGAGGCTCGACTTCATGGAAAAGTAGCTAGTGATTTTTTACTGGACAAGATAACGTCGGTAATCTTCTTAGAATAATCTAATCCTTCAAATGAAAATATCACATTTAAATTCTCTAGGAAATTCGACAATTCCGCCATGGACTTGCTTCATTGTTGAAATATGACTGGGTAATTACATTTCAATTATTGCATATTGTTTTAATTTCAGGTGCCCATCCCACTTATCTATCCACAAGTAATTCAAAAAATTCCATATACTTGATAAAATTAAAACAAATTATCTAGGTAGTATTCCTTTCTGTTCGTATTTATTTCATTATCTGCTTAATCAGTCGGCAATTTATTACCAGGCAAGAGTCTCCGCTCAAAAGCGAAGTAATTTTACAATATTAACTTAGCCTAAAACTGAGCAAAACTTAGATTGATCTAATAATACCCATCGGTACAATAATTCAATTTTTCTTCTATGTGGGTTGGATGAAAGTTGCTGAAGCTCTACTCAACCCGTTTGGCGAAGATGATGATGATTTGGAATGCAATTATGTTATAGACAAAAACTTGATAGTATGAAGATATTTATTCTGTCCAACTAAAATTCTTTTAATAGACTGGAATGACATTAGTAGATCTTGGGAGCAACAGAATACCAGATCAAAAGAGAGATTACTTCTGGGATGAAGACCATATAGTTCCACTCTATTCACTAGAAGCCGCAAAACGTACTGTTCATCCTATGATAGGATCAGCATCTAAAATAAAGTTTGAGCTTACTTAAAATAAAAAATCAAAATACTTAAAAACAGAAATCACAAAAAATCCTTTTAAGCCTGGTGGAAAAACAAAATAACGTAACAATGGCACCACACAAAAGCAAATTGAGTAAAATGGATGAACAAGCGCAAAAAGCTCATATTCATATTATAAATGTGGAAGCACACAACAGAAGACACTCAAATGAGTTAAAAAATGAAAAGGGAGCAATTGATGATGATACCGCACTTTCGAAAATCAGTAAAAGAAAGTAAGGAATTCCAAGTAAAAGTCATGTTTAATAATATTTTTATGTTTCGATTTAGCACAAAGCAGAATTGGTTTGGAAAATTGCTTCGTCGACGTAAACAGAAAGGTCATCAGATACCAGTTCAATATACACCAGGAGTTAATGAAAAGCGTCACGATAGCCCCGCAGGTTATAAAAATGAAAAGTCGAGAATTTATCAAAACGAATTCAGCAAAAAATTTAAAACATGACCTAATGTTTCTAAAAAATTCCCTCTTTTAAATTCAGGCGATGAGCATTTACCTTATTATCAAAGATCACCTCCAAGAAGCCCACCACTCGATTATACGCTTGGCGAAACAAGACGTGACTATTCACCATATGGTAACTAGATTTTAAAACAATGCTAAATTATTTTTAAGGACAACGAGGATCTGAGGGAGGTACACTCGGATTGAGAAGATATTAAATAAACTTTTAATGTTCGGAACTCATTAACACACAATTATTTGAATCACCCATCATAAACCAAATAAAAATCAAGAACACTAGTTCAAACACTAGAATAAGTTTTAAACAAACAGGAATTCACAAATGCAACCAAAAACCGTAAAATTCTTGGTTCAGAATACCGATATTTCTAAAATTTTAAAACCTACTTTAATGAACAAGATAAGCGTCCAGTCTTTGACTCGTAAAATATCCATCAAGTTAAATACGCTTTCTAACACCATTAGATTCACTCCCAGCAAATTCAGAAAGATTAATGATCATAAAACCCAATTTTTGCAGATTACGTCCAGCACGGTCTTCCTAAAAATGTTTTTCAAAATTAAATTTCTAGAAATTAAAAAAACCTTTCTTAATGAAATTTTGCATCGACAGGCCTAAAATTAAGTACAAAATTAAAGAAAACAAAATTAAACAAAACCTCAAGTTCTCCTGAATATTTAGAATCATAAGGGATATAACAATAAAAAGAAAATGGTTGTGTGTTCTTTTCAGCATAAACCAAATTTCCAAGTTCATCGATAAAGTATTCAGGCTAAAAAATTGTTTAAACAAATTTTTCGAAGTTTCAGAATTTTAGAGAACCCAATTTTGCTCAAACCTTCTTAACCCATCACTGATATAAACTAGAGCTCAGATCGGACAGAGACTAGATCTCGTTCAAAAATATCCGATATGAGATAAATATTCTTATGTACTTGTGTGAACTAATATGAAATCCTGTGAGAGCTATCCAACTTAAATAACCAAAAATCCACCCAAGTCTGAAAGATCTCAAATAAAGGAGCTCAAATAAGCAAAAAATAGATTAAAGTGTACAAAAAACATTAATAAAAGACCTGATCAGAATCGCGAATTCTATTCTGTATTAGCTCATCAAATTCATTTTTAATCCCATCTTCTTCTACTAATAAATGCTTGTATTTTCGATTGCGCGCTTCAATTTGCTCCAAAAATTTTTGGTAACTTGCTTCATCAATTTGGCTGTTTTCTGCTTGTGCTATTAAAGCTTCCTCGAAATCGTCCCATTTACGAGGCGCATCGTCTAATTCACGTGGAGAACGTTCAGTTAAAGAATGTCGCCTTTCAATTTGTTGAAATTTTCTATGAGAAGCTGGAGACGAAGAAAATTGTTTATGTTGTTGTTGTTCTTGTAAAGAATTCATGGAAGAGGCAATAGAGGATCCATCAATTATGTCTGTTGTACTGCGCCTAAAAAAGGAAAAAATGGTCATTCGACTCTGATTGGGCTTATTGTGAGATAATTTTGGGTTTGATAAGAGAAAATTTAAAAATTTGATAAAAGCAATGGTAAAAGTCGCTTACAGGTCTTTTTTCCTCCTATGTTTATTTACTATTAAAGTCCAAAATGGTCAGACTTTATTTACTTTACTAGTTGCCAGTTCCAGCAATTAAAAAGATCAATTTTTATTTTGTTTTGACTGGAAGAAAACGAAGTCTGAGCATTTTCTCATTTCAAAAGGAAAAGCTCAAGGATAAAAAAAGGGACCTGTAAACAACCATTTCAACAAAGAGCAAGTCTTTTAAATACACAACCCCAAAATTTTAATAAGCTAAAAACCTATGAACATTTGCATTTGGATAAATTTGTCCACTGTTTGTCCTACTTCTCATGCGAATATTTGAAGGTGCAGAACTATTAAACCGTCTTGAAACTGACGGACTCATAAAATCAACTTGGTGGGAACAGACAGGCCTATGCAATGTAGTGCCAACAAAAGAACCACATTCGAGTAGACGAACCTTTAAATTTTATAAAATTTGAAAAATAATGAAAAGAGAGCAAGAAAATCGTGACGGCCATATCGGGACAGCTACTCTACTAGTTTCACGCCCTAAGCACAGGGTCCTCAAGAACCAACGTAAATACACAAGAAGTTAATTTTGTCGCCTAAATTCCGATATGTCCGTTCCAGACAAGTCTCCCAATCCCAAAAATTAAAGGACAAAAAATACCTTTGCAAATATCACAGCATTTAATAACGGAACATCAGTCAATTTTTCCACGACCAATGCAACACTGAATTTAACCTTCTTTTTTCGAAGAAAAGCCATCTACTGAAGTTGATCAAATATAAAGCAATAAATATATAATTTTTTAAATGCAATCTAAAATGAAAGGAAAGTTTTATTTTAATGATGAAAGAGAAGAAAAAAAGCTGATTTCAAATGATTCAGCAAAAATGAAAAGCGCAAACAATGTGGAATATGGAAAACGGTGGAAAAAAATGAAAAAAAGCGCATGGTGAAAGAAATATCGGCGGGGCAGTGAAAATTCTTTAAAGAACGCTTTAAACAAACAGTTTAAAAGTTTAAAAAAACGTCAATCGGAGACCTTATCTACACACATAAGGAAAGTAGCACAAGCGTTCACTGTTAATAATATTGCAAAAAAAAGTGAAAAAAATGCCCCAATACAGAAAAGAAAGTGCTTCCCCTATTCAGTAACGAGAAAATAAGCAAGACTCAAACGCTCCTTTTAAAGAAAATTTCTCTTACATCTCTAACAACGCTATTTTTTAATTAGGATAAAATGTCACATATATAAACAGAATGCCAAAAATTTAAATTTAAAGAAAAAGAGCGGCATGACCCCACTCCAAAGAATATGTCAACCCTGAATTTTTCACCCCTAAGCATCTTAACCCCCATAAGATTTCGTTTCAAACACATTTTTTTAAAAAACTCTCACAAATTTTTGACCACCATATTTTGACCATACGACAGAGAAGATCAACCTGTTCTAGAAAAAGGCTAAAATTGAAAAGACGAGTTAAAAATGAGTGGACAAAGACAAAGGACAAAGACAAGTGAAAAAATACACGAACAAAAAAAGTAGAGGGTAGCGCTCGCGCATTTAAAGTTTTGCCAATTTTTTTTGTTTAAAATTAAAATTTTTCGTACCAGAGCCAGTTGAAGTGTTGAGACAGCGAGCCCACCATGTTGAGCACCACAGAGCTGGAGTTGCACAGCTGGAGTTGCACCACACATGCTTAAAAACCACCCCTCCCACTTTTCCCTTAATTTAAATAAAAACCACACCACTAAACCATCCAACCAAAAGCATATTGACCAGCCATAGCATGTTCTCCAACCACCCAGAAGCATGTTCTCCAGCCAACCAAAAGCATATTGTCCACCAACCATCCAGAAGCATGTTCTCCAACCACCCAGAAGCATGTTCTCCTCCAACCATCCAGAAGCATGTTCTCCAACCATCAGCAGCAGGTAGACCTAGCTAAAAATACCCACCCTCCTCCCTTATTTTTTATTAAAAAACGACCACACCGCCTTCCACCATAAAGCATATTGACCAGCCCATCCATGTTGACGTCCTGAACAAAAAAATCAGCCATAATTGAAAGACATCAAAAAACCATTGTGTTGAGTCAGCAGCCGTCTTAAAAGAAAAATGGAAAATTTCTAAAAAAATTTACAAAATCAAAACCTCCAAACATCCATTGAAGTTGGACCGCCACCACTGGTTGAAGAGCATGTTGAAGGCCACCATCCAGAAGAGCATGTTGAAGACCACCATCCAGAAGTGCATGAAGAACACTGAAAAATCAAAATTTTAGAAAAGTATTTAAAAACACAAAAGGTTAAACCACACCACCACCAACATCAGCAGGCCAGGATGAGCATGCTGGAATTTGAGGGGATTAACTTTTTTAATCAAAATTAAGTTTATTTTTAAAATTTTACGCCGCGCGCGCATCAAGGGGGATAAAAAACACATATAAACACATAAAAACGAAAAAAAATTGAAAAACCCGTACCGCGGTACGAAATACCCCTAGAGCTCGAAGAAAAAAAACAAAAAAATTGTTTTTCTCTAACCTGCTCGTTTTTGTATTTTAACGCTTTTCCATTTTCACATTTCGTGTCGAAACTTTTTATTTTGGCATACTGTATTTATTATTTTTTATTTTAAATAACTATACTATTTCTTTCTTCTTTGTCTCTCTGCCAATTTTACGTTAAAATTTTCCAAGCGGAAACACGTTTTTATTTTGTTGGAAATTTTTGCTTGTTTTTAACTGTTTTATTGTTCTTTTTTATTTTAGATTGTTTATTCTTTAATTCTTCGCCGTTTGACACTTTATTTTTAATCAGAACATGTCTTCAGATTTTGGCAATCCTTTGAACAAATTCAAGCTCTTATGTATTTCTTGGAGAACAAAGCGGTTTATTTTTTAATTCTGGGTTTAGTTGCCCTCCCTTAGTTTTAATATTTGCCCAATTTTTCTGTAGACTTTTTTGAGGGTTTTTAAATGAATATAGGCTGTACCAATGCTTGGATTTTCGCCTTTCCCTAAAATCAGACCCAGGGGTTTTGGTTTATCTATACATCGGGATTTTTGTTCATTCGACTTTTCCAGCTCCCAGATATTATTTAGGACAACCTGGCCAAACTCGGGGATTTTCTCTGCTTTCAGGCCTCTCGAATTCGTTCAGTTTTCGTTTATTTCCTTCTTTGAATTACTTTGAAATTAACTTTTTCTTACATTCCGTCACCTTTTTTATAAAATTTACTTTTTTTCCAGTTGGCAAGACTTCCCTCATCACCAGATTTATGTACGACAGTTTTGACAACACATATCAGGCGACAATTGGCATCGATTTTCTCAGCAAAACAATGTATCTTGAGGTGAGCCTTTTTTTCTATTTTCTGGATTTAAACAATTCAAGTTTAGGTTCGTTTACAACTTTGGGACACCGCCGGACAGGAGCGTTTTCGATCTCTTATTCCTTCCTATATTCGTGATTCTACAGGTTTTTTCTTTGCTTTTCTGAATTTTTTAATAATTTTTTAAATTTAGTTGCTGTTGTTGTTTATGATATTACAAGTTTGTTATCAATTTTTAAAACTTATTTTTAAAAATCTGGGGAAATCTTGGATAAAATAACATCGGTATTTTTGCAAGTTCTTTGAAAAATCGAGACTAGAAAATGCTGTCTCGGGATTTAGGCAATGATTTGGACGGTTCAATACATGCGTAAATAGATGATCATGCGAAAACCCAGGTTTATGGTTCCACTTCTTTAACACGTCGATACAGATTTCAGAGCCATTTTGCGGGCTTCCCCAGAAATACCCCCTCGATCTTTGAAAATGGCTCAGAAATTTGGCCTGCAAAATGGCTCAGAAATAGCCCCTCGATCACTTTCGAAAAAAGTGCGGATCGTCTTTCGCCTTTTTTGTTGTTTCGTCTTTTCTTTCTAAAATCAGTTTCAGCACACTCCTGATCCATACTCAATTTTTCCTTCGTATTCATATTCAGTTTTCCTCGTTTTTTTGGGCCTAATTTTATTATCCTACTTGCTTTGTAAAAAATATTTTTTTTTAATTTCAGACGCCAACTCTTTCCATCAAACTTCCAAATGGATTGACGATGTTCGCACTGAACGCGGAAGTGACGTTATTATTATGCTTGTTGGAAATAAGACTGATTTGACTGAAAAACGGTTTTTTATTTCTCTAAAGTCTAATCTAGAAATAATTTTTTAGCCATACTCCTCTTAAGGAAATTTCCATGACATCTCCAACAACGCTATTTTTATTCGGATAAAATATCACGTCTAAAACAGGATGCCAAAAATTTAAATTTAAAGAACCAGCACATTCAATTTAATTTTAGCCAATTTTTTATTTAGAATTGAAATCTTTCGTATCGATGCCAGTTGAAATCCATAAAATTGTTTTTATTTTTAAATACCCTTTTATTTTTCCGTCCTTCTCACTCTTACTTTTAAACCTTTCTTCATATAAGCCTTATTCAAACAAATAGAAAAGCAAAGCACATGATGCGCGATTTTGCAATCAATCGTCGGATCTCATAATCGGCATCGAGAATCGAGAAAGCTTGGCAACAATGTGGAAGAATGACAAAAGGCAACCAAAGAAAAATATGGTAGTGAAAATATGGGTTCTCCGCCAACTGCCAGATTAGCAGTAAAGCGAGCGCATTTTGGCCTTTTTGTGAATGTTTGTCGCCGCTGATCGGCGATACTGCAAACAAGGACATGTCATCATCGCTATTTTATGGCCACATTTATCGAATAAGGAGAACCCAATGGAACAAAAAGGGATAAAAGAGGACATAACCATGGATCCGGAGCTGGGGCAAGAATTTATGTTATTTAAAAATGTCTGAAGTAATAAAAATATTGAACTTTTTTACTTTAAATTGTATTTATTGGCCTTTTTTAACCTACTTAATTCTTAATAATCTTGACATCAACATTTTCATTCAATGCTATTATAATCCACAGCTTAACCACTCATGACTGCTTAGAAATACATATAAACACAAAATGAAGAGGATTAGAAAATTGGCGATAAATTAGCGATTGGGGAAATTGATAAGCGAGCATTTCTGATTTCAACACAGATGTGTTTGTTTAAGTGTTATTAAACATTCTTAATCCGATAAAATTTCTTATTGTTTATTTTTGCATAAACATATCTGAAAATGAGAAAATGATTTCAAAAAATAACTATTATGAATATTTTGCCCTTTATTACCCACATTATATATCAATTGCGCCTCTTCTTTCAATTTAAAGTGAATGAATGCCTTTGTGGTCCAAGTGCCAAAAATAATATCCGCCAAAGGCAAAAAAGAAAGTTGTTGGAGGGCATCAGACAGGTTTCTTTTCCAATTTTTTTGTAATTTGCCGATGGAAGGAACCACCAAAAATGGAAGATGAGAAAACAAAGTTGGAAAGTAATCATAAAATCCAGAGAAAAGACTGTATTTGCTAGAAACTAATTACAATCCAACTCTTAAATACATACAAGTTAAAATTAATTCTAAATAAATCACAGGCTGTAGTGTAGTTCACCGGAGGTAAAAGTTCGGGACGAGACATATGTCATTCGATTCGACTTGGCGAGCTGAGTCGAACGGTACCACTCCCAATTTCAGGAAATGATTCTGGACCGAGTTATAGGTCCCGAAAAATCGAAAAACCAAAGGGGGGACCAAGCACTTTTTTGGGGTGAAAAATTCGAATATGCAAATTATACCTCATTCGAAAGAGCTCTTCAAGCTGAGTCGAATGACACCAAAATCAACGAAATCTGACTTGATTGGACAAAGTTATGATCCTTTATTTTAGCTCCTTACCTATGGCATCTGTGGAGATTTTTGCTGCTACGGAGGCCACAAATACGTCCAGAGCAAGGGAGATAGGAATAGGCTTATGTTACGAGCCCAGACCCAGCGCCCGTAGACTCCCCGCGAGGCGCGTGCCGCAAAACCCCGCGCGAAGCGCGGGGTTTTGCACAAGCGCCTCGCCGATGCCCCATAGGTTTAGGTTTTTGTTTTTTGTATCATAACTTTGTCTAATCTTGTTCAATCACGGTGATTTTGGTGTCATTTGACTCAGCTCAATTTGACTCAGCTCGTCATTTGACTCAGCTCGATTTTGGTGTCTTTCGAATGAGGTATTATTTGTATAAAAAAATTTTTATTCCAAAAATCGCCCCTTTGGACTTCGATTTTTAGGGGTCTATATCTCGGTCCAATCAAGTCGGATTTCGTTGATTTTGGTGTCATTCAACTCAGCTTGAAGAGCTCTTTCAAATGAGCTATTATTTGCATATTCGAATTTTTCACCCCAAAAAAGTGCTTGGTCCCCTCTTTGGTTTTTCGATTTTTCGGGACCTATAACTCGGTCCAGAATCATTTCCTGAAACTGGGAGTGGTACCGTTCGACTCAGCTCGCCGAGACGAATCGAATGACATATGTCTCGTCCCGAACTTTTACCTCCGGTGAACTACACTATATCCAAATCACATGCAAATTATAAGGTTGTGGGGATAATGTCAAAAGATGAAAGTGTTAAAGTAGTGTCTAAAAATAATTAAATTTATGGTTTTCCTTTTTGTGTGGGCCGTTTTGTGTCATAAATAATCACATTTTTTGGAGACCTTTAGCTTTGGGCCAATTTTTTCTAATTTGCCGTTCGCGCTTTTTAAGTGTAGAGGTCATCGGGATCGTAAAATCTGAATAACGATAATTATAGAAGGAAATTGAAGAGTTGTTTTAGGTGTTTTTGTCAGAATAAAAGAAAAAACAAAGATATTTCTCGGTAAAAGTGATATCGATGAAAAAATAGATAAAGTCAAAGATGTAATAAGATGGCAAATTAAATATTTAAAATGATAAGACAAAAATCTAAAATGATATTAGACGATTAAAAAGTTTTCCCAAAATCCAGGTTCTATAAATTGTGAGCATGTATACAAAAATTTTCCTTGAACATGCATATATAAAATTTCATCAAAAGTGTGCTTACAACCAATCAGAGGCAACCAACTACCGAACCGCACGCCCATCGCACAGACACCGTTGAATAGTACAAGTTCTACTCCCGTTTGACTAGCACACACATCCACTTTTCTTCTTTCATCGCTTCCACAAACTAGTGTACACTCTGTAACAAAATGATAGCGCCACCTAGTTTTTATCGATATCCTACCAAATATTAAATGGATCTGTTTCAAATTTTGGTAGAATATAGATAAGGATATTATGTATCAATAATGGAAATAAAAAGTTTAATGCAGATTTAAAAAAAATTTTATAACAATAAATTTGATTTTAGAGTGTAACAAAAAGATAGCGCCACTTGTATTTTTGACCTTAGGGGTTGTCCGAAAAATCTAAAAAAATTCCAGTATACATATCTATTAATATCTATACTAAACACAAAAGAAACTAAGTTCCTATATAATTCCTTCATTGAGATCTTGAAACCCGAAAATCAACGGAAAACCGGGGTAGACGTCTTTAAAAAATATTTTCGACCCCTTACACGTGATATAAAAATTTTATTTTCGGCTCATTTGAAAGCCCTTGAAATTTGCTACAAGATAGCATCAATTTTATTTACTGAAAAAAATTTACCTTTAAAACATAATGTGATAAACTTTCATGTCATAAAAATCACTCAAACGCCCCCCAAAAAGTGATGAAAATGTGACTTATAAACTTAACTCATTATTTCTCAAAAAAGAATTTTTTCTGGGCTATGAGATAAAAACTAACTTGTAGCAAATTTCAAGGGCTTTTAAATAAGCCCAAAATGAAATTTTTATTTTACTTGTAAGGGCTCGAAAATATTTTTTAAATACGTCTACCCCCGGGTTTCCGTTGATATTCGGGTTTCCAGATCTCGATGATGGAAGTACATCAGAACTTCATTTCTTTTTTATTTTCTATACATATCAATGGATATGTTTACAGGGATTTTTGCAGATTTTTCGGATCACCCCTAAGGTCGAAAATACAAGTGGCGCTATCTTTTTGTTACACTCAAAAATCAAATTTATTGTTATAAAATTTTTCAAAAAATTTCAACAAACTTTTTCTTTTCAATATTGATACATAATATCCTTACCTATATTCAACCAAAATTTGAAACATATCCGTTTCATATTTGGTGAGATATTGATAAAAAACTAGGTGGCGCTATCATTTTGTTACAGAGTGTATGCTCATCACTCGCTGTTTGCTCCCGCAACTAAAAAACTCCGCCCAACCACTTTTTTTAACCACCATCTTCACAAAGCTATAAAAGCTACCTCTACATTTTCCCAACTTTTTATTGTTAAGAAAAAAAACGGAAAAAAGAATCATCTATATTTATATCAGCATGACAAATAACACAAGCGTTGGCTCCCGGTAAACCTCTTTTGTTACGATCGCTTGCGAGAACTGTTAGCAAACTCCTTAAACATAGTAAAAATTCTCGTATTTTAAAGTGAATTATTCATATATTAATGTAGCTTTAATTCATTCTGTCACGCTTAATTATCTTTGTATCCCTTCATAAATTTTTCTTTTTTCGTTTCACTAATTAATTATCGCAGTAATAATTATCGCACTAATCATTTTGTTGAACTCTACAGTTGAGTCAACAATATAAGTGAGAATGGACCTAATTATCACTTCCATTTCCTTGTTATGATAAGAGTTTTTAACATCAAAAGATGCCGCCAAACCACTTCCAGTCATTTTATTTTTATTTTTAAAGTTTTTATGGCCCTCCGCTTTTTTACTTTTCCTTAAAAATTGGCCAAGAAATCCTTTAAAAGCATGTAGAAAATTTAATACCCGAAATATGCTCAAGATGTTCAGATCAACTAGTCTATTAAAAAATGTTCAGATTGAAAGGCATTTAGTAAAAGCACCTTTAGACCTCAAATAGGACATTTTGCACTTTCACAGCTGGGCAGTTATTTTACAACCTCAAAGCTAAAAAATTACAAATAGATCCTTTCAAAATCGCAATATAATATTCTTTTTCTCGTTTTCTGATTTTTTGCCAATTCATAAAAAGCCGCCGCCTGATTATGCGCAGAAGCGGCGCGCATTGACTCTAATTTTAGGCCGAGCCGGAAATTGGCTAACAGGATGGGAAAGATGGTCAATAGAAAAGAATAAAATGAGCAAGAGCAAAGGAAGAAAAAAACTGAAAAAATGGCTGGCAATTAATATATGCAGCTGAAAATTCTATAGGAATTGGAAGAAGGAAACCGGATTAGATTTTTAGAATATATTGTTTAAAAAATACCATAATTAACACTTAATTTTCATTCAAATATTTTCAGATGTTTTATTCTCCTGACCAGCCTCATCAACATAAACAAAATCGCAAAAGACACAATGATAATACGCCTCAGACTACTATTCCAAATGGGGCATTTCCTTACGATATTAATTCAATCTACCCACTATTCACAACGACAAATACGATGCCACCAAATTTGTCATTCGGGATTTTCCCATCACCGCGCTTTCATTCTCCAGCCTTACTTCCATTATTAGCTTTACAAAATATGGCAACACAAATTGTCAATTATTCTGTGAATTCACCAACTAACCAGACTACAAATAGTAGTATTTTTCCACAATTGCCAAGTATACAACAGAAACAACAAAAATTACTTGAATGGATTCAGGCCATGCAACAACAACGACCAATCGCAGAATCGATGGTACATCAGTATTTAACGCCAAAAATGCACGAAAATACTAACTCAATTTCAAACAGTATTCTTAAAAATGAAGCAAACGTCGTAAAGAAATTCGACTTTTCAGACATTTCTTCATGTGTTAACAATGAACAAAGATACATCAGAGGTATTTTTGCCTTTTATTTTTTTATTTTCAATATTCAAATTAAGAGATAAAGACAGAAACAGAAGGTTTAGAAGCAAAAGATTCTGCCTTTACTAAAACGCACGTCTCCCCTGAAGCCTCCTCTGCTTCACTTTTTGAAGCAGCGATTGTAATTGCAGCGGCCGCAGCTTCCGCTGCAGCTGAACAAAAAACTACTGATACATTCATACAAGTGAATATTCACCAAAACAATAATAATCAATCCCACACGTAAATTTATAATTATTCAAAGTTTAAATAATTTTTAAATTAAGCAAGACTGTGAACAAAAATACACAATCCGCTGGTAAAGTTAAGTCAGAAAGAGGGATACCCCCTTCGTATCCCCCTCGATCAGTAAGAAGTCGGCGACAGCGCAAGCAATTTATTTGTCGCTATTGCGGACGCCAATTCACAAAATCTTATAACCTCCTGTAAGTTTTACCTATAAACACATCCAAAAAATTAAAAATATTTGGCAGTATCCACGAACGCATACATACTAACGAGCGACCATTTCCATGTGATGAATGTTCGAAATCGTTCCGCCGCCAAGATCATCTACGCGATCATAAGTTTGTTTTTTGCATATCATTTCAATTTATAAACTCTATACTTCTTCAGGTTCACCCACGCCAAAGAGAAACCTTTTAAATGTAGCGAATGTTCACGTGGTTTTTGTCAGCAACGTACATTGTTGATTCACCGGCAACGAGACCATGGTGCCAATGTTGTTTTGCCTCCACGTAAAAATGCTAGTAAATTGAAGATTCTTAAAGAAAAAGTACAATAGATATAAAAAATTTTAAAGAAATTGTGACACTTTTTAATTTTACTTGATATTTAGATAAACAAGTTTATAATACTGTATTATGTGGCCCTCAATCACAAGACTCAATTTCCCATATTCATGGGACTCAAGCGACACGAGAATTTTTCAGAAAAGCCTTTTTTGGGCGTCATTTACTTTTTTCCCTTGCTTTAGATTAATTTTCTTTTTTTTAATTTAGAAATTTGATCTTATAATGTAAGGGTATTGTGACTTATAGTGGGTTTTTTTTGGCTGGACCGATTTCGACAAATGAGGTGTCATTCGAAAGAGCTTCGAAAACTGAGTCGAACTAGATATGGGGGAAGTCGGTCCGACAATCAGGGGCCGAGTTACAGACCCCTGAAGTTTGAAAAAGAGAAGGGGGGAGTAAGCTCATTTTGGGGTGAAAAATTCGAAAATGCAAATAATAGCTCATTCGACTCAGCTCGACGAGCTGAGTCGAATGACACCAAAATCACCGAAATCCGACTTGATTGGACAAAGTTATGATTGTTTGTTTTAGCTCCTTACCTATGGTCTATGGAGGTTTTTGCTGCTACGGAGGCCCCAAATACGTCCAGAACAAGGGAGATGGGAATAGGTTTATGTTACTGACCCAGACCCAGCGCCCGTAGACTCCCCGCGAGGCGCGTGCCGCAAAACCCAGCGCGAAGCGCTGGGTTTTGCACAAGCGCCTCGCCGACGCCCCATAGGTTTATGTTGACCATTTTGAACCTGTTTATCTTGGCTCAGAATCAAGATATAGAGCTGATTTTGGTGTCATTCGACTCAGCTCGTCGAGCTGAGTCGAATGAGCTATTATTTGCGATTTCGAATTTTTCACCCCAAAATGAGCTTACTCCCCCCTTCTCTTTTTCAAACTTCAGGGGTCTGTAACTCGGCCCCTGATTGACGGACCGACTTCCCCCATATCTAGTTCGACTCAGTTTTCGAAGCTCTTTCGAATGACACCTCATTTGTCGAAATCGGTCCAGCCAAAAAAAACCCACTATAAGTCACAACATTCTAATGTAAATCTTCAAAATAAATTAGAAAGATGTTGGGAATTCCATTTCTTTCCACTTACATTCAACGTATTGTTAAGGTTCAGGCTGTAGCTGATTCAGTGGACTGGCTTAATTATTATTGTACTTCTGTGCTTCTTGCCTTTTTTGCATTGGCAATTTCAGCTAAACAATATTTTGGTTCACCTATCCAGTGCTGGACACCTAATGGTTTTGTTTTATCTTATTAATAGTATCGAGTTGTTTTTTAGAGTTCAAAGGAGGTTGGGACAAGTATGCAGAGAATTACTGTTTTGTGTCGAATGCTTATTATGTACCTTTTGATGAAGAAATACCAAGAGATTTGTCACACCGCCAGGACCAAATCAGCTACTACCGGTTTTATTTTTGCTTAAAGAAACGATCATTTCCTTAAATTTAAAGTTGGGTCCCCGTCGTATTAGCTGTGCAGGCTCTACTCTTTTGGTTGCCTAATTGGATTTGGAATATTCTACATAAACAAACAGCTATAAATCCACGTTGTCTACTCAGCGAAGCGCAGAAAAGTCGAAAATTGCATGGAGCTGACCGTGATAAAGAAATTGGTGAAATTGCGTCTTTTGTCTCTGACACAGTTTGTTTTTTTTTGTTTTTTTTTCATTTTTTATTTCAAATTTTAATAAATTAAGATTTCCAACTTTTCACCTGACGATAAATTTGGTTATCGATCCCGACATCCTTCAGGGTTAAATGCTACTTTTCTTTACCTTGCGCTCAAGCTTCTTTATGTTTTAAACTGTTTTGGTCAATTAATAATTTTGAATCGATTTCTTGGTGGCGAATTCCATAGCTGGGCATGGCAGGTATAACAAATTGTTGAAATTTTAACTTAAATTTAAATTCAGGCCGTTTTTGATTTGTTCAAAGGTGTGGATTGGGGGGAATCTAAATTATTTCCTCGTGTTATCATGTGTGATTTTTCAATTCGGCGTTTGGCCAATCCTCAACGACATACAGGTTGTTATTGATAAATATTGTCATTTTTATTTTTCAGTTCAATGCGTAATTATGTTAAACATGATTAATGAAAAGTATATTTTTTTATCTTTTAACGTGTTTATTTTTTATTTATTTAAAGGCTCTACTTTTTCCTTCATTTTTGGTTTTTGTTTGTTGGTATTGTAACACTCGTTAACTTTTTCTACTATTTTGCTATGCTCATGATACCAAGGATGCGTACAAATTTTGTCCGACAAAATATTAACAAGCATCAACAGAAGGTAAAATTTTTCGAATGTCTAGAATATTTCTTGAATTTACTCTGATTTCTTAAGCTACGTGGTTTTGGGCGTCGCGAACTCCACCGGTTTGTCCAATGTCGTTTACGCCCCGACGGAGTTCTTCTAATTCATTTTATACGGCAACATGTTGGTGGTCGCTTTACTTACGAATTGCTTAATGAGTTGCTGCGTCTACATTGGCTGGCACAGACTAGTGGGGCAACACATCATAGTAGACTTGGCAATATTAATATGGTTAAAGGAAGTTCTAATACTACAACAACAGCACATTTTATGGGTAATGGTTCAGATGGAGTTGAAAGCACCACTAACTCACCAGGTCGTGGAGATATTCTAACTATTGGACATCAAGATGAAAACAGCTTTTCTCGCCAAAACACTTATAAAGTAACTTTTTCGTTTTTTCCAAATTTTATTTTAAATTTTAAAGCCCACTGCTTATGGGCATGCACTTGGATATGCAAACATGTCTATGGGAATTAATAAGTCATTGTCTGATGCACCAGTGGCACTACATGAAACACAAAATTTTCCCATAATGCATCAGAATGCATTTAATTCTGCCTCTCTTCTGCGTGCTATCAGTGGGACAGCTTCTCCAACTAATGCTTTTGTACCACCAAAACTGGCAGAAAATCAATATAGTGCACCGCCAACTTTACAATTTGTTGATGGAGGTGATGAGAAAAATCAATCGAAGCAACATAATCAGTCTATGAATACAACTCCATTAATGCAACCTCGACGTTCAAAATCTCCATTGGTTTAATTATAATCTTAATTATCTAATCAACTTTTTTCTAAAAGGTAACTGGACTTGGCAAGCGTCTTTTGCAATCTCCACAGGCGCTGAACAATATGGATTCTCAAACAAACAAGGAAGATGTTACATCAAATGATGAAAATAACACCAATTCTAATTCTGATGTTTGATTAAAGATAATTCGACTTTTGAAAGGTTTGATCAATATTTTTTATCTAATTTATTTATTTTGGCTTTTTAATTTTCTAAATTATTTTTGAATCTCCTAACATTATATTTTTACTGCCATTAATTCTTATTTTTAACTATACTCTGGGATTTTAATTTAAGTATTTCACTTTAAACACCAATGTTGCTTTAACATTCCATTTATTTTTGCATTTATGAGGATTCTACCTAATTTTATACTATAACCTTAATATTTTCTTAATTTATACTTTTTGTAACGCTGATATTTTGTAACGAATAAATATTTTTCAGTTATTCTGCCATTTCTTTCTTTTAACGGAATTCCTTATACTTTATTAAATTAAAGCTGATAATAATTGAGAATCTATGAAATAATAAAAGTTCAACAGATTGACTGTCAAAAATAACTAGAGAACTTGTTGGATTGTGATGGATGTTGAAAAAAGCGTAGTGCGGCGATGTGTTTGTTCGATTGTTAGGCAGGTATGAATTTTGAATGTATGGTATTTGTTTATGATTTTCGTCTATTCCTCCGGGCTAGGTGTACCGCGTTTAAATTTGTTATCACCCACCAACACCTTAGTTCTAAATTTAAAATCAAAATTTAAGTTTGACTACAAGACGAAGGAAATAAATGCAAAAGCACTCAAAGAACTTGTGGGAACCGTACGAAGAATGGAAAGTATAATTCCTTCGTTTGTTGATATTTTGTTTGAGCAACTCCGTCAAACTGATTGTGATGTACGACTTTGTGTTCTGCACGTTTCCGGGTATTTCTTTCAACGTTCTCACAGGTTTCGTATTGAGTTGATCAATGGAATTCAGGTTTATTATTTTTATTATAAGGAAATAGAATTTTAAGGATTTCCTTGTCTACACTCTGGAGACTGACCCTCTTCACTATCCTTTGCCTGGACCGCCTGAGGCAGCTTGTTTACTCAAAAATGAAACAATTACAATGCTTCGTTGTTGGATCGACAAATTTGGACTGGGTTATCAAAAATTGAGATCGCTTGGAAATTACTTGAATAAATCAAAAAGTCTGGATTGGGAAAATTCCAATACTACTTCACAAGTATTTTTTTATAAAATGAAATAACTTTAAATTTTTTAATTAGATTGAACGGGAGCGTGCTGCAAATGAGGCTTTCAAACAAGAAGTGAATGCTCGAAAAGTTGTTGAGAAAATTACCAAACTTTTTGATGAGTCACGAGCCGATATTGAAAGGATTCAAGTTGAAGCATTTCAGGTTAGATAGCTTTTTCTAAGCAATTGCCTAAAGGTTTTAGTTATCAGAGCTTTTACTTCCAAATTTCTGTTCTCTTAATAACAAAGAAGGCATTGATGGTTCTTTGGAAGGAAACGAAAGATCAATGAAGGTAATTTTTGTCGCATAACTTTTTAAAACTTGATAATTTTAGCCCGATTCCGCCGAATCTCATGAAGTGTTCTTGCCCAGCACTGATGTTACAATATACCTTAAACCACAAGTTGAAGTTGAAAAAAGCGCAGACAATGTTGATTTAATCCATCAATTGTATGAAACCACTAAGCAGCTTGAAAAATGGACTAACAATGTTAACAATTGGTATTGCAAATTTTTATTGAATTAAAAATGTTTTAAGGCTTAAAAAACTGTCGCAAATCGGAAGTAATACTCAAACTTCGACAACCGCCATTACAAAACGATTAATTGATACAAAAAGGGGATTAATGGAAGAACTGGAAAAATGCAAAGAATTTAAGATTAAAGCAAAAACTAATGGAGATACTGATGGATCAAGTTCCATTGATTCTGAAGATGATGAATTTTTGGATGTTGAAGAAAAAGAAGGTTTTTAATTTCGAATAAAAAATTGTTAAAAAATTATTTCTTCAAGGCTATGAAGCAGAACTAATATATACAACGGAAAATTCAAACAAAAGTGAGGATTCTTTCATCTGTTCTACAATTCCAGGTCCAAGTAATCAAAATGTACAACACAAATCTTCTCAACAATTTGACCAAGCATCGTTAATTAGAAAAGATCAGAAAAATGAAAAGAACAATTTAAATCAGCCAAAACGTTTGGCAATGGGTTTGGATTTATGCTATTGGGGGGAAGAACGTATAAATCCTGAAACACAGAGGATAAATAATCAAGTAGCTGATGATTGTTGGTGGAGAAAACATTCTGAAGATGATAAGTGAGTTGTGTTTTATTACATTTTTGAAAAATTATTAGAAATTAATGATAAATATTTTTGTTAATTTCTTTTCTGAAATTTTAGTTGCAATAATGAAGCGCGTGACAATTGTGATGAAAAATCCTACGTTTCTAGACAGATAACATTTGTTGGTGAACTGCCAATTTTACAGAAAATGTGCCGGTATCGTTTCAACAAAACCTAAATTTTTCTTAAAATATCACATTTTCAGTGCGCCGTTGCCCAGTGGTAAACTCTGCCCACGAATGGAATACGATCGTTGTGCGTTACACGGGCCGATCATTGATCGAGATGAACAAGGATTCCCAATGGAAGAGCAAATTCAGTAAGTACTTTGTACGACAAAATTCTCATAAATGATTAAAAATATTATAGGGCTGAAAATGCTGACAACAAGAAAGCTGATAAGAAAAAAGCTGAAGACGAGGAGGCCTATATTCGAGACATTGAAGATGCCACCGGTATGAAATTAGCAGGAACATCTTCGAACTCGCTCAATACCAAAAAGTGCAATAAAACTGCAAGACAACGACCAAAGCCAGAAGGTTTATTGGGACGAGAACGCTTAAAGGTGAGCAGTAACTAATTAGGAGTATCGTTTGGATTTTTATTTAGACAAAATTGTTCGACAAGCGAGCACTCAAAAGGGTTTCCGAGACATTAGAGCAAATACAAAAGGCTAAAGCTGAAAGAAATTTTTTACATCAATTTAATTATGCTATGACTAGACGATAAGTAACTGGTTAAATTTTATTTTTAAGAATTTTCTAGTTTGTATTTTCACCCGGTTTAAAATTTTTTATTCAATAATTTATAAATTTTTAAAACCTAAAAATCATCATCTGAATCAAATACATCTCCGCTTCCAGAATTTTGTTGTTGCTCCTTTTCTATTTGTTTTAGTTTCGGCAAAAGCTCACCACTAACTTTTTGTATATATGTGAAGAATTTCTTCTAAAGTATTTAAAAAATTATAAATGAGGCCAGTTAAAACAAACTTGTAGTCTTTCGCTGTCTTCTGCACTAAAGTTTTGTGATGCCTGTTCACATACAAGTTCGCAAATTTGACCAATTCGAATTTGAATTTTTTCCAGTTTAAATATTTCTGCAGCGTTCTTTTCTCCCATTGCGCCAAAGTCAGCATCCATTAGCTTTGCAAGTGAATCACGAAGAAAATTTGAAGATCTTGGTTCTAAAATTTTGAGGTTTATTGACACATTTTCTCCAAATTTACCTCCTATTGTTTTGTCCAATCCATATTTGATAGCAGCTAGGGCAATCTGAGACGGAGGATATAACAACATCACATCACCATATAAGCACATCTAATTTTTTTTATATTCTTCAGTCAATAAGCTTCTTACCCTAAAAAACTCCGTAGAGAATGGCCTTATTGCCTCAATGTCAAATTTGAGTGATGAGAGCTGCAATCCCATTCTTGTTTTTATTTCGATCATATGCCCTTCAAAAGGGCGAAAAGGTGAATGCACAGCCAAGTAATAGTCAAGCTTAAGCATAATTTCAGGTTCTAAATTCAGCACCGTTTCGATGTTTGATTCGCGCGTGCCACTGCTTAAAATAAAATATTACGTTGATTCTATTAAAATTTTGCAAACCTTAGATTGTCGACAAAATTGTCGATGGTAACGTTGAATTCATCTACCTTTAAGTTAATTTAAAAATAACTTTGAAAACATCAACCTTTGCTGCAAGATAATAACAAGAAACCATAACATTCTTGGGCGAATACTCCATTACAGAATGTCTTAAGTAGAATCGTTTGAAATAAGCAAATGCAGTCCATCTAACTGAAGGCCACATCTCAGGGCGGAATTCGTCTCCAAAACTAAATAATTGTTTAAAATAAGAAAGATTATTTACCGAATTCCAGTTTCAGTCACTATTCGACAGAAAACGGCTTCTTCATCGGCAGTAAGAAAATCTTCCTCACTTGCTACATGGGGATATTCTGCCAATATTGTCTTAAATCTTTAATATTTGAGTTTGATTAGTTGAAAATAAATTTATTGCCTGTCAATGTGTGCTGTATTAACTGCCTTTCGCATTTCTGATAGTTCATTTTTGTTCCCAAAAATCCAAAAACGTTTCTGTGTACTCGTTGGAAACATTTCTAACAAACATTATTAATAGGATTATTCCAACGAATTAAAAAAAGAAAAATTCCTTTAATATGGACAATATTTTTTAAAAAATTAATAAAAAACCATTTATTATCAAAATATATACTGAATAAAAACTGTAAACTTTTCTAAATAATATTTTAAGTTGTCAATTGAATTTCCAATTTCTTATTAATTTCCCATAAAATTATATATAAATTGTGTCTTTACAAATACGAATGATCTCGATTATTTGAATCTGTAGGAAGAGTTGTACAATTATTGTCATCGCCACCGCCCTCGGTACTTTCTCCCTGCTCCCCTCCTTCCTTTACAACTTGATTGAGTTGCATTGATTCATCGCCTTCTTGATGTTTTTGTTGCGATTTGTCCGCCTTTTCTTGCTCTGATTCTTGTTTCTTTATCTCCAATTCCTTTGAATGAGTAACAGAAACTGACTTTTTCGGTGAAGAAAGAATCGCGGAACGAACTGGTTTCTTTTTTGGCGATGGATGCGGACTAAAATTTTTTTAAAATATTTCAGTTAAAATAAAATATACCTTGAAACATACCCTGGAAGAACTGGTCCCAAAATATTTCGTTCACTAAATAAATGAAATTTTTCGATTCATATCAGAACATAAAATAGTTACTTACATTTTTGGATCCGGATAATACGGTCTTGGATTTGTCCAACTAACAATCTAAAAATATTTTGTATTAATGAATATATAATTAAAAATCACTTTGCCAGTTGAATACATTATACGACCAGGATTATACGGATCAACCAGCTGCGTGAGCATATCAGCCTTTTCCTTATCCATACATGGAACGTCTGCTCCCGGTGCAACTTAATGAGAAAACTCAATAAACTAATTTTAAGTCACTTAAACTCACCAAATTCATCTGGTGCCAAATTTAATTTCTCACAATATCTAAGTTAAAATTTATTTGTTGTTAATCTTTAGATTTCTTTTACCTATACATTAAATGAACACGCATATCAGAACAAAAGAATGCACCAGCATCGCAAAGCGAACAACGAACACGAATAACTCTAATATGCGAAACCATATGACGACGACCATCCTTAAAATTTAAAATAATTATTGCTTAAATAAAATTTTAAATATTACCTTGATGTTTTTGCGAACATCACCACATTCTCCACATTGACATAATCCATCCGAACTAACATTCTTATTAAAAAGCGGTTTCAATGGCTTAAAGAAAAGATCACGCTGCGTTTCCGTTAAATAAACAGGAATTTGTGCAAGATCCTTAAAAAAAAGAAAATATTTAATTAAATCATTTTTTAAACTTTAGGTTTTGGTGGTGGTAACGGACGATTTCCAGATGTATTAGATACTGATGGAGAAAACTTGGTTATTTTTTCTTTTGCATTACTAGTTCCAAGGACTGAAAGTTCTCCATCCGCTTCTTCGTTGGTTAATTCGTTCAAATTTTGTTTTCGATGAGAAGATGATTTGTCTTAAAATTGCTTTTTAATGTTAATTTACCCTTGTGTAAAAAATATACCAGAAGTGGACGAAGTTTTAGTCTTCGTCTCTTTAAGCACTTTAGCCCGTGGAGTATAAAGTACCAATTCTTCTTTGTACCGATCAGTAATAACAGAAGGGAATTGTTGCTTTTCCTTTGTTAAAACTGGCGGAGTTTCAGATTGCTCCTCATTCGCAGAGTTTGAGTCAGTTCCACAAATTTCATCCAACATACTACTTGTTAATTAAAAAATGTTTTTTGTTTGGAATTTTTAATAATTTTAAATAAAAAATAAAGGTTTTAGCAAAAATTAATTAGATATTATTTCAGTTATACCGATCAATTTGTTGTTTTGTTGTTGCTGCAACGCTACCTCCTCTAGCACCATTGGAAAATTCTGTCGGTGTTTCACTTCCTGATTTATCAGTCTTTATTGAATCGGGAAGAACAAAATCTCGAAATTCGCGGAGTGCTGCTGCTGCAGTCGTCGGAACAGTTACTGCTTGAGGCGCCTTCTTTACTTTAGTAAGATCAACGTTTTCTTGATGAACAGCTTCTGCACTAGATGTAACAATTGGAATTTTTTGACGCTTCTGTCTCATTCTTCGTTCAGCAGTTCCGTGAGACAAAATTCTTCGTTTACCAGCAGAAAACACTTTCATTGGTGTTCTTTTCGCAGTTTTTTCCGGACTTTTTGGTTCTTGTTTTGTCGGCGTTTTTTCGGACTTTTGCTTTGGTGCTAAATAAAATAACTTTACAAAGGAAAAAAATTATAGATACTTCCAGATCGTTGCTTTCGCCCTTTCTCACCGCTCCCAACAATTCCAACATTTTCATAAATATCGTATCTCGTATTCGGACGACGCTATTAAAATTAGAAAAGTCTATTAATACCTATTAACAAGTAATTACCGAACGGTGTGGACGATTTATTAACAAAAGGTCGCTAGTTGCCGGAGATGGAGTGCTAGTATTGCTCCGATCAGCCGATGCTTCACTTGCATGACCATTTTCTTCTTCGTCTTCTGGAGCTTTTGAATTTAGCAGCTAAAATTGTATGTTATTTAATTTTGTGATTTTTCAAGAAACCATTTCTTCTGGTTTCGTCTTATTTAAATTTATAAGATTACCATATCAATTTTACGTGCTTCATCTTCATCAATGAGTCCAATTTGAGTTGAATCACTCCCAGTTTCAACATCATTTAACATGTCTTTTGAACACGTAGGTTTGTCGTCCAAATGAATGTCTAATGATGGATTAACTCCTTCACTTCCCCCCATATCATTACTTGAATTTGTCGTTTCATCGATGTTCCCAACCCAATCCTTTCGTTTTTTCGCTTCAATAAGTGCATAAGTAGCAGAAAGTTGCTAAAAATTAAGATTTATTATCTCCCCTATTATTCAAAACTCTTACTTGTTTAATCTCCTCCTGTTGAGTTAACCTAGCCTTTGATGTTGGCCTTGTGTATCTGCTTCTTTTCGTTCTTGTGTTAGTAAACCCTCTCTTCCTTGAAGGTTTAACGATAATTTTCTTTTCGACAGAATTTTCTTCTTCAAAGTTTTTAACAAAAAATGGACTGAGACTTCGTGCGCGATAAGTCGAGACTTCTTTATCCTGAGCAATAGGAGAAAAATTTAAGTCAGATACACTCATTTTTATCAATTTTCTTTAACTAAAAGTGAAAATAGCCGTCTCATTGAACTTATTTTTTAAATTTTTATCTCTCTCACATTATTAGCCTTTCAAGTTGAATTTTATCGAGAAAAATGTTTCTTCAAAAGTATCTCGTTTTTGCTCAACTTTTTGAGACTCAAAACGCCTAATTCAACGACTATCAAAATCGCTAAACGAAAAAGATGAATTAAACAAAAAAAAATTTAAAAAATAAGTTGTTCAATGAGGTGGAAATAAAGCTGAAAACAATTAGAAAATTTAATCAAATCAAGAATTGAGCTCGGAATCGGCTTCAAACTTTTTGTTTAATTAAGAACATTTCGCCAGACTCAATGTAAATAAAATATTTTTAAATTTTGTGACTTACTCTACGCCTACTAGAGTCTGAGCTAAACTTTTCAAAACGAGCTTTGATGTGTTGTTCACGAACGGATGTGTGAACAGTATTGAAATGTTTTTGAAGATCTTCTAGTCTGGAAAAAGAATATAAAATGGAAAATTGAAAAAAAAAATAAAAATGAAGAAAAATTTAAACTTTTTAAACGCAGGTTCATCACACAAGAAGCATTTGATGTGCGGTGCCGGGTTTTTCAACAATGCTTCTTCAGTATATTCAGTTTGATGTTGAATTGCAAGATGATGAGCGAGAGCAGCTAACATAGTAAATGAACTCTGGCCATTTGTTGTGCATCTAAAATGGTTGATTTTTTTAAATTTTTTTTGGTGAATTTTCCTGAAAAGTTTGTCAATTTTTACCTTTCATCTTCGCAACGTAAATGAACAAAATCAACAGGTATTGCAGATGGTATGCGTTCCAATATAGCAATCTGTTTGAAAAATATAAATTATAAATTTATGCGTTTAAACTTGTTCCAATGTCAATTCATGAAGTTCCGCGTCCCCATTCCCACTGTTTCCACCTCCATCCCCACCATTAGCCAATTTCTTTAATTGTATAGATCGTCTACGCCTTAACTGCATTTCGCCGCAACGTGTGCTGTTTTCACGTGGAATAACTAACGCTACGCGGTTTTCCGGTATTTGTTCTTTTATTGTCATTCCAACGGGAAGCTGTTCAATAACCTTATAAAAAAATTTTTTAATTAAAATTTTATCAGAAAGATTACTTGTTTTCCATCAATAATTGTAGTTTTTGCTACTTGACGAATAACTTTTGGTAAAGTTTGTATCTCAATATTGGACTAGAAAAAAATTTTTTTAGAAATAATTAAAAATTTGAAAATTCTTAAATTATTTACATTAGCCTTTTCAAGATGAACATTCACTGGACGAATATGTTTTGCAATATTCCCTACTGGATTAAATCGACGAAGTGCTCGAACATTTTTAACATTTCGTTTTGCAACCAGGTTATTGTTTCCATTATTACCTCCACCATTGGCACCAATTTCTTCGTTTTCTGGTTGTTGATCGTTAGTTAGGCCTTGAAAAATTTATTTTTCCTGTTTCTAATTAATTTAAAAATTACCTTCTTTGGCGTTTTTGATCACCTCAGAAAGTTGTTCTGTTTGTATATGTGATTGTAAAGATCGGCAAATCGTACGCTTGTGAGCGATAAAATTGATAATTGAACGAAAAAGAGCACGACAATAGCTAAAATTGAAAATTTAAAAATACGTTAACTGAAGATTTGGCATCTTTTGGATCAATATTTAATATTAAGGCTGTGAAACGGACTTGGAATATTTTCTAAGTATATTTTGTTCCTAGTGGATTTTATATTTATAAGAGATTTTAGTTATCCTAAATCCTTTATAATTTCCAATATAAAGCAAAATTAATGTTTGAGTATTACCTGCACTCATAAATCACACAGCATTCGTTCTTCAACAAATTCTTCACTTCCTCGGTACCATTTTGGTAATAACGAACAATTGAATCGACACCAGAACTACCAGTAGAAAGTGTTGGCACTTGAGAAGCAGGATCTTTTATATAATTTAATGACATTAATGATTCAAAACTGAAAATTTAAAAAAATATGGATAGGTGTAAAAATTTGGAAAAATAAGAGTAAAAATAATTTTGTGGACAGTGGTGCCTCGATAATTGAAACACCAAATTTCTTAAAAAATATAAAGTTTGTAAAGTTTAAGCGTTCATTAAAAATAAAAAAATCATTTGATTTCAATTTATGAGGCAGTGGCACTGCTCATTGTTAAATTACATAGGATATAGGATAAAGAAAACAACCTTTACATTTGTTATAAATTTGAATGGATTTAAATTGCACATTTTTTTATCAATAACTATGTACAAAACTGTTAGCCTCTTGGATTCAGCGTTATAAATCTAAGATGTTTGTATGGATGCCTTCTCAACTGGCATGGCTTATTAAACTGTGCATGGTTTCTTTATCAATATTTAGGTACAAAACTGTTAAAAACTTTTGGATATCAATGATATAAATCTATGATATATGGGTGGGTAGTTTTCCTAACTGAATGGCTTAGAAGATGTTTACAACACAAAACCAGATTCCTACGATCTTAAATCTATACAAATGCTTGCATAATCTTATTTTAGAATGCGCAAAGTTGAATGAAAATTAATCAGCAATAACTTAAACTGATTTACTGATCGCAAGCGGATTTAATGGCATTTAATCAAAATGATTAAACTTAAGTTATGTTTATGTCAAAAGGCGACTTTATTCTATAGATCTATTTTAGAGATCCTTTCAAAACTTGTGCAAAAGCAAAAAATTTTTAGCGCATAAAAACAGTCAAGTGTCTATTTTTTGAATACCATTTGGATAGCGTTTTGTTACAAGACTAACTCGATTTTGTCCAACATCGCAAAAGCCTCGCAGTCATATAAACTATTTGAATTTGCAAAGGTATGATTTTAAGGGTGATTCTAATCAAGCAACTCGATTTGCGTTGGTTAGCACTTTTTGTATTGTAACATACGAAAGAATCATTATTAACCGTTAAAAATCATGTTATGGGCTTCGAATTCTACATTTTTGCTAGGAATTATATTTTATCAGTTAAAAAGTTAGTTGGAAGAAATCATAAAAACAGTGAAGACGTGTAAACCTTAGTTTTAGACTTTTTGCATTCTTAGCGTTGCAAGGGCTAAAAACTTTTGCTTATTTTATGAGGAATCACCCATTGATGTTTTATATCTTCCCGCGTTTTGGCACACTCTACTGTACTGACGTTGTGCCAAATTACTGTATAATACTGTAGAAACCCTGTAACGGTCCTCTAAATACGCACCTAATTCGATATATGAAATTCAGTTGTCGATTAATTGGTAAAGGGTATGAATCTACAAAGAGATGGGAGATAATTCACATCATTGGTCTAGGGATTCAACATGTATGAGAATGACGAGTCTACAAGAGTGAAGAGCAAATTGCAACAGTTTAAATCTGAAAGCAACTTTTCCAAAGAGAACAAATATCAGGAGATAAGCTAAGGTTTCTCATCTTAATCGTGACCTCTTGTGCAACACTTGCTGTGCGGAGTGATAAAGGATGAAAGGAATGGATGAAGGGAATTTTCCTTCATGGTAATCATCCTATGAAGGTAATGTATAAATATCAATAATTTTATTTAAAAAACATTTTTTTAATCAAAAACTAATTCAAGAATGAAAAACAAAATTTAAATTAAATCACTACTTTTTGACATTCTTCTTTGCAATTTTATCCGGTCTTCGCCATCTGTTCGCCTTTTTGTTTCTATTTTGTTTCAAAAATTGTTTGCCAACTTGTCTCTTTTTTTGATTCTCTTCCAAGTCTTTTAAATCAAATTCTGGATTTACAACGTTATCCTCATTTAATTTTTTTGTCTGCTGACTGAAAAAAGATTTTTTAGAAGTTTTTTAAGTTTTTATTTCTAACCTTAAACATTGATATTCCTCAGGAAACGGGTCTTTCGAGATCAAAATAAACATTTCTGGAGTTATTAAATTTCTTTCTTTCTCATTCTCGCTTGATTTGTTGTTCTGAGTTTTTCTTAATACATTCCATTGAAAAATAGGTTGTTTAATTTTTTGTTTAAAAACTTCAGCAAAACAAATACATTTTTCACAACCACTGCCTGTTCCTTGAAAAATAAGTTTTCTAATATTTTCGTCCTTTGAAAAAAATTTTTTTTGAAAATTTGAAGAAAATTAAATTAAAAACCGAAAAATCCTTTTCTGCTCTAGCTATAATTCTTTCAAATTTTGTATGTTTTTTTAAAACAAAGATTGAAACATTTTTTATTAGGTCTTCAGGGAAAGGCGAATTTGTTGATAAAATAGTGTTGTTACGTTCACTGCAACTGCTATCATCAGAAATTTCCATCCCTAGAAAGTTTTTGCTTTTAATTAAAATGAGAGAAATTGGGTACACACCCAATATAACGCTTAGCAGTATAACTTCGTTCAAAATTATCGAATCCGGGATGCCTTGGTTCGATGCTCCTCGACAAGCTGAATCGAACCATAACAGGATGTCTCGGGTTCGATCATTTTGAACAAAGACATATGTAGCTCAGCGGTACATTGGCCTGCTCCCAGAGAAATTCTAGTGAAATTTAAAGAATTGTAAATTTTTATTTTGTTATTTTTTATTCAATTCAATTTTAATATTTTTGAAGAATTAGCACCAAAGTGTCCAATTTAAATTTGTTTAAAAAATTATTTTTTAGAATAATTTATTTTTAAATTTCTTTTAGATAAAAATGTATTCGAGAAATGCTTTTCTTCATCGATTTATTTATTCATTCAAAATCAACTACAGAAATATTCATAATGATCAACTCCTTTCAAGTTCAGAACAATTCGAAAATTTTGTACCTAGACAACGATTCGAACTTCCAGTCAAATTTGATAGGAAAGATTGGTCTGTTTTATTTTTAATTTATTTTACCCTTTTTTTAATTTTAATTAAAAATTACCGTTGTGGTGTAGTGGTTAGTGTTTCCAACTTAAATTAGACACGATCCGGGTTCGATGCCTCATAGGGGATTAAATTCGTGTTTGACTTGTTTAACCTAAAATCTCTCGAAATCCAATCCCTATATATCCTCTTATCCCACAAATCACCAATATCCTCCTAATTTCCTTCAACCTTTCGATATTCACCTTAATGTACAGATATCCACCTTAATCCTTTAAAATCCCATTATATCCCTAGATATCCTCCAAATCCACCGATATCCTTGTTGTCTCTCAACTCTGGATCCGGGTCTAAAAAATCGGGGTTTTGATCCCGAAAATCCGGTCCGGATAAAAAAATTATAGATCCCGAAACGGGATCCTGCATTGCCTAAACAACTCTATTACTTAATAATAAAAAATTAATTTAGGTATCCAAAACATATGCATATTCAAATGAAAGTAATGGAAGGGAAGCTTCGAACAGTTGACTTGATCTTGGAAGTTCATGACTGTAAAAACATTTTTTTAATGTTGATATTTCTTTAATTTCAGCACGAGTGGCTCTCTCAGGAAGGAATTCAAATTTTGCTCAAAAATTGTTTTCAGTAAGACCACATATTTTAGTGATGAATAAAAAGGATTTGATCGACCAAGAAAGATACAGGTTTTTTAAAATTTTTTGAAATTCTTAAAATTTGTTAAAAACGATTTTTAGAGAACAAATAGAGAAACATTACAACTATCAAGGTGTTGAAAACATTTTTTGGACAGATTGCACAAAACGTGTGGATTCACAATGGGATGCTTTAAGAGAAAAAATGTTGGAATTATTACAAAGAGAACTTCGATTTAATAGAACAGTTAAAACAGAATATCAAGTAATGGTTATTGGAATTCCTAATGTTTGTTTTTGTTTTTTATTTGAGATGTAAATTTTATTTTTAGGTAGGCAAATCTTCTTTAATTAATGCTTTTAGAAAGAATAATTTGGGATATGAAAAGGCTCATGCCGAAGGCCCTTTTCCTGGTGTCACTACAAGAGTTCAAAATCGTGTTAGAATATGGCAAGTTTCTTGTATTTTTTGGTAAATTTTTACTATTTTTTTGTAGGGATCGACCAGCAATTTATATTTTGGATACTCCTGGCGTATTAAATCCATGGTTAGTTTTTTTCAAATTTGATAAAGAAATGTTAAATTGATGGTTCCTCGATGGAATGCTCAAAGTTGATCATTTTGATTGATGATATTCTGGGCATATTTTTACATTTTCTGATCAACCCATAAGGCCAAAACCCAGAAAGTCAAGATCCAGAAGGTCAACGACGGATTCATGGAAATTAAGGAGGATATTTGTGGATTTGGGCGGATTAAGATGGATTTATTTGGATTAAGGGAATTAAAACGTAACTTCTCTCATGTGACTGTCGGATAAGGCAAAAGGAAACATGCAAACGTATTCTTGATCTTGAGGCGCTTTTATCCGTCCAAATATTTGGATTTTACCTCCTGGGTTTTGACCTTCTGGGTTAGACTCCTCATCAGGATTAATTTGATTAAAAAACATTTTAGGGTTCATACAGTTGATGAAGCAATGAAATTATCAATATGTAATTTAATTCTAGAAAGTCATACAAGTCCATATTATGTTGCTGATTATTTGCTTTATTATATGAACAAGTAAGATAAATTAAAAAAATTTTTTTTTGAAATTTTTTAGGCACAAAGATTTTTCTTATTTAAATCAATTAAAAATGGAAGAGCCAATTGATGATATTAGACAAGCATTAATTCAATGTTGCAAAGCATTCAATTTACGTGTAAAATCGAGTGTATTCCAAACAACTGAAACAAATAAGGATCTTTGGGATGTTTTTGGAGCTAGCACACATTTTTTAAAACTTTTTAGAAATGGGCATTTTAGTGATAATTTTTTGGATAGAGATTTACTGTAAGTTAAAAATTTTTAGAAAATAATTTTTGGTTAATTTAAGCGGCTTCCATGATTCACGAACAACTTGTTTATCTTCGTCCAGAAATACAAAGAAAATGAAAAAAATGTGATCAAAGTTTTTTTATACATTTAAATTTTAATATATATTTTTTTGTTTTGTTGTTATTTTGTGTTCATCTTGGATTAATTCCAGAAAATTCTTTTGATTTTGCATTATTTTATTTTAACTTTTATAAAAATTTTTGCGCTGGCACTAAATGTCATACATTTTGTATTGTCGCAGTGTTTCTCGCGTTGGCACATTTATTGGCAAACAAACCTCAATAAACTCAACATGTAAATTTTCAAATGTGGAAGCTGATACGTTTAAACTTCAGGAATTTGCTGGAAAATACCTCGGGAATAAAAAGGTTTTAGAGATTTTCTTGATTTTTTCGAGGTTTTTTTGTTCTTAAAGGTTCTGTTCACAGAAGGACTTGAATTTAGAACGCCGAAAGATTGTGATGCAATGCCGATTTATCGATGCGTGGACTCGAACGGAAATTTTTTAGATGAAAATGAAGAACCCGAATTTACAAAGGTTTTTTTTTATCTCGAAAGAGAGAATTTTTGTTTGGTTTAGGAGGTTGCTCAAAAAATTTATATGGAGATGACCAAGTTGAATACTATGGATAAGATACTTTATGAATCACAACGCCAAGGCCGTATTTCGTTTTATATGACTAGCTATGGAGAAGAGGTTAACGACTAGAAAGTTAAGGAGAGAGAATTTTTTATTTTGCAGGCAAGTCATCTTGGCTCACAAGGGAACATTTCGAACTGTGACCAAAAATTTTTAAATAAAAATTATACCATCGTGTAGAGCGTAGTCGAAAACGTATTGTGGTGCCCGGCTTTTCTTCCCCTGACCCCCATTTCGAAAAGTTATAGGGCTTCAAAGTTTTAGACTTTTAGAGCGGTTGAGTCACCCTCATAAAGAGAGATTTTGAATTTATTGAGGAGAAAAATAAGACTCCCATCCTCCTTTTCTCCTTTCCTTTTCTTTTCAATATTAGTTAAAGAAAGAGAAAAGGAGGAGAGAAAAGAAAAGGAAAGGAGGCATGTCTGCCATCTCCTCTTTCCTTTTTAATTGATATTAGCCGCAAGGCAGAGATGCTCTTTTCCTTTCCTTTTCTCTTCTATTTTTTTCTTTCTTTAACCAACATGGGAAAAGAAAAGGAAAGGAAAAATGGAGAAAAGGAGTCTTATTTTTCCCTTTAGGAAGAGAAATAATAAGAAAAGTGGGGGTGACTCAACCGCTCTAAAAGTCTAAAACTTTGAAGCCCTATAACTTTTCGAAATGGGGGTCAGGGGAAGAAAAGCCGGGCACCACAATACGTTTTCGACTACGCTCTACACGATGGTATAATTTTTATTTAAAAATTTTTGGTCACAGTTCGAAATGTTCCCTTGTCAGCAGCAGCATTAGAGCCCAGTGATCTAATATATGGACAATACAGGGAGACAGGCGTTCTTCTCTGGCGGGGATTTAGTCTGGATCAATGCATGAACCAATGCTACGGAAACAAACTTGATCCAGGTTTGTTTTATTTTTTATTGAATTATTTATTTTTAAAGGCAAGGGAAAACAAATGCCCGTTCATTATGGCGATGCTGGACTAAACTTTGTTACCATAAGTTCACCTCTAACAACACAATTACCGCAGGCTGTTGGATGTATTTTTAAGATTAAATTTTAATAATTATCGACTTCCTTTAGCTGCTTATTCATTTAAATTGTCAAATCCCACCAAGTCGTTTGATCAGCGACGTATTGTTTGTGTGTATTTTGGAGAAGGAGCGGCTTCGGAAGGTATGACGTAAATTGGCGATGAATCGTCCTTATTTTTATTAAGGTGATGCACATGCTGCGTTTAATTTTGCTGCAACATTGGTATATTTTAAATTTTTTGGGAAAAAATTGAAATCTTTTTGTTATTAGAAATGCCCAGTGATATTTTTCTGTCGGAACAATGGTTATGCAATAAGTACGCCTACATCAGAACAATATTCTGGCGATGGGTAAATTTTAATGTTTAAATTAAAATTTTGTGTTCTATTCAGAATTGCCGGCAAAGGTATCGGATATGGAATACACACAATTAGGTATACTTGATCTTTTCAAAAATGTTTTAAATTTTAATTTTACCGCTTAGGGTTGATGGTAATGATGTTTTTGCTGTATATAATGCGACAAAAGCAGCGCGTGTTTTGGCATTAACAAATTGTCCAGTTCTCATAGAGGCAATGACCTATCGGCTCGGACATCATTCAACTTCAGATGATTCTACTGCTTATCGGTTTTTATTTGATAAAATTTTACTCAATTTTTCTTTTAGTTCCGCTGACGAGGTGAAAGAATGGACCGAACTGGATTTACCAATTTTACGCTATAGAAAATTTTTGGAAAGTAAAGGATGGTGGAATATGGAGATGGACAAGCAATGGCTTGGCAAAGTTTTTTTTTGTTTTTAATTTTTATGTTTATAAATGTTTTAGATAAAATCTGAAGTATTGGAGTCGTTTAACAAAGCAGAAAAAGTCAAAAAATTGCCACCTGATGAACTCTTTAATGATGTTTATGCCGAAATACCGGAAGCTCTTAAAGTAATTTTCAATAAATTTAAATCTTTTAACTTCACTCCTTAAGAAACAAAAAACGGAGCTTTTGAATCATCTGGAAAAGTATGGAGAAAGATATCCTGAATTGGAAAATTTTGAAAAATAACTTTATTGTATATATTTTTACACCCTGTGATAGTATGCCTTGCACATTTTTATCATTAGTCTGTATTTAAAAATCTGATTTCGTGCAGTATTTCTTACAATTAGAGCGTTTTAGTGGGACGAAACAGGGGTAGGACGAAGTGAGGTAGGCCGAATCGGGGTAAATATTCAGTGGGACGAATCAAGGATTTTTGTTAAGAAGGACGAATTGTGGGTAAGACGGATTGTAGGGATCCTCCTAACTGTTTGAATGAGATTTTAGATGTTTTTAATTTGCGTTTTGTTTTAAATGACATTATATCCATTTTTCTTTATTTCTTAGATTATTTTCCTGTCTCACAACTGAACTGCATGTCTTACTTTTTTCAAGTGAGTAAATTATGTTCTTCTGATTTGTTGTTCTTGGATTTTTTGGGGTACAGCCCGAAATGTCGCGGGCCAAAATGTCGCGGCCGAAATGTCGCGACCGAAATGTCGCGGGCCAAAATGTCGCGAGGCCGAAATGTCGCCGGCCGAATTGTCGCCAAGCTTTTTAATTAAATATTCTGTAAAATAATTACAAAACAAGGATATAGTTTTCAACTTAAACCTATGGAGCGTCGGCGAGGCGCTTGTGCAAAACTCCGCGCTTCGCGCGGAGTTTTGCGGCACGCGCCTCGCGGGGAGTCTACGGTCGCTGGGTTCTGGGCTCGTAACTTAATCCTATTCCTTTTTACCGATTCTCAGTCTTGAATGACGACCTACCCTCCGTAGCAACACCAAAACAGGTATTGAATCGAAAAGGCGAACAAGGAAAAGGCGAAAATATGAAGAAAAGCTTGGCGACAATTCGGCCGGCGACATTTCGGCCTCGCGACATTTTGGCCCGCGACATTTCGGTCGCGACATTTCGGCCGCGACATTTTGGCCCGCGACATTTCGGGCGTGTCCCGATTTTTTGTTATTCAATGCTGAACTGACATAGAAAAGGTGAGTTAAATTTTGATCGTTGTTTACATTATAAATTTTATTTTGATAAAGGACACACACATTAATCATTTTTTTTCTCCTTGCTTTTTTATTTTTATTAACAACAAAATTACAACGAAAATGGAGCAAATTAATTTAACTAACAATCTTTTAGTAAATGGAAAAGTTTCAGATCAACCGATTGCCTTACTTGTTGATGAGCTTTTTAAAGTTTACAATTAATTCTTTTTTAAAAATTTATAAATATTTAAGGTTGATTGGAATCCGTTCGTCGAACATAGGCGGTATATCACCATGGAAGGTATAAAATAAACATTTTTCATATATAATAAAATAAATTTTCAGGTCATATGGAGGTGATTTTATTTGGTTCTTATTTTTATTATTTCCAACTTTATTAAGATTTATAATGCTAATGAGGAAGATCCAGAACAAATTTGGAAAAGACTATACTTTCGCACAAAAGATGGGCGTTTTCAATGGTTTGCGGTTAGTTTAAATTCTTTAAACTCTTACTTTTATTATTCTAAATTTCTTAAATTCCTTTCTAGAGTCATTGTGCAGATGAACATCCAATTTCAGACGTTCTTCTAACTGGAACAGAGATCAAAGCTAATCGAGAGGATTGGACACTTTTGATAAAAGGCGGCAAAGAAAATGCTGATTTATTAGTTCGAGTGCCCTCAAACGTTTTTGATAAATGGCATCAGGTATTTAAATATAGTTTTTTTTACTTTTGTTTTTGCAGACGTTGTTGAGTCATTCCAGTTCTTCCCTGGTAGATGCGTATATCCAGCCAGTTTGGCCAGCAGTCCCACATCGCACAAATGTAATTTGTAGTTCTCTAGTTTTTATAAATAATTTTTAATGTTAGAGAATAATTCTGCTAGAAATTGGTGGCCATTCATTACGAGCTGGAATTCTTACTCAAAAACCTGCATTGCCCTATACTTTTATTCCACTTCTATGTGCTTTACATTCAAAAAATGATCATCTCCAATTTGTAGCTTCTGGAAAGGAGGCAATATTGGCTGGAAAACTAGAAAATTACAATTTAGTCCAACCAATCAGGGTTAGCATTTTTTAAATTTAATCATCGTTATATTATTTTATAGATTTCCGAAGAGGAAACATATTTGGATCGAGCAGCTATGATTTTTCTTTTGCAACGGGTTATGCAAGATATGGCAGTGCAAGCTCGTGAAATGGATATTAGTTTCAGGCCACAGAATTTTTCGGTTAATTTTTATGCATAATCATTTATTTAGGGATTTTCTTTGAATAGGTTCTTATGTCTATTCCTGAATATATGGACATTGAAGCTGCTTCTGATATCTTAAAAATGCTGCTGGATAAATCCTTTGGCTTTAGGGTTACTTTTAAAAATCCTTTCTGATTATATTTTAAATTTATAGAATGTAGGAATTGTTCGACAACCAAGTTTGGTCCTTTATTCTTATGATGTGACAACAGGTGTTGTTGTTTTTATCGGAGAACATTTCTCGATTGTTCCTATTATTGATGGTATATTTTGAACTGATTTAAATTGTATTTTGTTTGTTTAGAGTTTGTTGTTCAAGATGCTGTAAATTTAATACTTCCTTATGGAGCCAAACAGATTAGAGACAAACTACGAACTAAACTTGACTTGAAAGGATGGTTGAATGCCTTAGATTCTACAAATTCTTCTTCGGCGACAGTTGAAGAGCTTTTGTTGCGATTTCTTGTTGAAAAGGTTACTCAATAGTTTATTTAAATAGTTTTTTTCTTTTCAGTGTTGTTTTGTCGCAGCCAATGGATATGATTCTGAGAGGCAAAAAGGTTCCAAAGAAATGGTCGTTGAATTGCCTGGAACATCACTTTCGCTTAAAGTTGATGGCGAAATTGGATTCTCTGCTCCAGAGGGTATTTTCAAACCAAGTCTATGGGGAAAAGAATCTTTAGCCGGGCTTCATCAATTGGTTTGTTTTTTATCTTTTTGAATATTTTCAATATTCAGGTACACGAAGCGATTCAAAGATGCCCGATCGACAGCCGTCGACCTCTCTATAGGTTAAAAATTTAATTGTCTTTAAAAACATTTTCTTTTTTAGAGCGATTTATTTAACAGGCGGTTGTTCATTGTTGCGAGGATTGACGGAGCGACTTGAATTGGAGGTTAACTTTTTATTGGGCATTTTACATGTGTTTTTAGATTTCAAAACTTGTCCCACCATCTATACCTGTACAGGTATTTTTTATACACTTTTTATTCGTCTATTATTCTCTCTATCCACTTATAGGTATTAAATAGTCCCTGGCGGCGGCATTCTGCATTTTTGGGTGCTCATCAAATTTCTGCCGCCTCGGATGAATTTCCGAGAAAATGTTGTGTTGGAGAATCGGAGCTTGACGATTATTTGCGTCGTATGAGCACTCCCACAACAATGGAATAGAAAATTTTTAAAATCCTTTTCTGGCTATTTTAGGTGTAAATTTTATCCTTTTTTAAACTACTCTTACTCCCAACAAAATAATTTTTTGTGCTTTTATTACTCATTGCCAATAACCAATTATTAACACAATTATTTCTCACTCTTGTGATTCTCTAAAACAATTAAAATTCGTGCAGCTAAAAAACCTTTGTAATATTTTAAGACCTCTACCAAAACTGCTCAAATTCGTTTGTTAAATCAACTTAATTTTGATCGTTTAATTTACTTGGATATTGAGCAGTTTTCTTTTTCATTTTTATCATATCTTTATATTTATAGTTACTATATGTGCTTATAACAAATATGTATGTAGCATAATCTCTATTAACACTTCTAAAAAATAAACGAATTTTCTTAGATCATTTTATAAAACTTTCAGATTCCTATAGCGTTTTTATCTACAAATATAGCTTTTTTTTAATTTTTCCTATGGCCACACAACTAATAAAAATAAATTACTGCGCGGATTACAGCTTCAAATACATTCATTATGTTTCCATGCCAACGTCTGCGCAGCAGTTTTCTTAAGGATTTTTCTCATGCTATCAAAATTTTCTATTGACGAAATGTGTGACTGAAGCGCGACTTTTGGCACTCATCTTCTTTTAATTTTCTAATTAGAAAAAGTGTTTTTTGGCATCCTTCAATCCTTTCTCGCACTCTTTTTTGCTTAATTATCTTGAAAATATTAGAGAGGAATGGCTAAAAATTCTTAAAGCAGTTAAGCCGGATTTGTATGAATTTTGAGAGAATTCTTTTCTGTCCGGAAAAGCTTGTCCCCCAAGTTATTATTATTTCTGTCAACATGGCAGCCACTCAACTTTATTACTTCCCAAGATTAGTTTGCGTAACCAATAAATCCCTTTATACTTTTAGTAAACAAAACTATATTTCTTTTTCGATTAAAATTAAGTAGTCTTGCTACTAAAAAATTTATGGATAATAATTTTAATGAAGGCATAGTAGTTCTTCCTTATTATTTCTATTTGTCGTCTTGAGGCAGGCATTCAAAAATTCATTTTGAATTTTTTAAAATTTAATTTTTTAGATTTATTGAAAGAATTTTTAATTGCTTCTATTTTTATTTTAGCCAGGCAATTATAAATTTACAATTAGTTTTTTTTCTTCCATCTCTTTTTATGTTTTGAAAGAGTGTGCCACAACAATGGCCGCCCGTGATGGAAGAAGCAGGCAAAATTATTTACAAGAACATTCAATTCCTCAACTTTTTGAGGTAAAAAATGCTTTCAAAGGCTAAAATATTTCCATTATATAAACTTTTTCAAGGGTTTAATGACTGGACTTATATACAATCAACCAATCGATCCTATTCAATTTCTGGAAAATGCAATAGCTAAACTTCGAAAAAATCCAGATCTTCCATTAAAGTGGTTTGTTTAAGAATGTATAAAATTTTTCTAAAAATTTTAAAATTACAGGGATACTTTCATAAGTGTTTCGCCTCAACAACAACAGCAACAACAACAGACGAGAATGAGTTCTGGAGAAAATGCAATTTCTTATAAACAAAACACTCCGACTGAAGGTGATTTTGATTAATTTTTGAAATTTTTAAAGAAGAAATCTCCGAATTTACCCAATTTTTTAAGAGTAAAAGCACGTGCCCATGCAAAATTGATTTAAAAAATATAAAATATGGTAAAAATATTTTCCTTTTATTGGTCTTTCCATGCCTCTAAATTGTTTCCGGTTGGAGTCTAAGGAGTATTATATCTCATTTTAATGCTAAAATCTTTCAACAATTGAAAAATTATTTCTTTTTTACTATTTATATTTTCCCCTAAACCGTCATAGATTTTTTTATCAAATAATTTCTATATATTCCTTTATAACGACTTTCTTATTTTTAATTGAATGAGTCGCTCAAGGTGTTTATCTCGACTTAAAGTGCCTGGCTGGGAACGTGCGTGTTTAAATAAAAACTTTTCTGAAAATTTTTAATTGTTATATTTAGCTAAACCTCAAGTAACTACTGCTTCAAGTATTAGAAACTCGGGCAAAAGAAGGTATACTTAATAATTTGACAAAATCATTCATTTTTCTATTAAAATCAGTCCTTCCTCAACTCGTAGCAATAAAAAGAATAGTGGACAAACTTCTGGCGTTTCAAATAGCGGTGATCAAAATCGTCGCAGACAAAGTGGAGCAACCAATTCAACAACTGAAAAAGCTTCTTCATCTTCACGTCCAAATTCTTTAGCTCAAGCAGCAAATAATGCTTTTATTGCGCCTGATGCACCTATCATTCTTTTTATGGGTGGGCCTGGTGGTGGTAAAACTCGTTATGCTACTCAACTTCAAGATCAACTTAAAGAAGAAGGTCTTGTGCATATTTGTATGCCTGTAAGCAGAATGGGATATTCTTAAATTAAATATTTTTAATTAAGGATTTGGTTAGATCAGCTATTTCTCGTTATAAAGATAAGCTTCCTGAATGGAGAGCAGCTGCAGAAAAAGGTCATTGGTCTTAATAGACATTTATTTATTTTAACCTCTTCCAGATCAACGTGGAGAACTAATCCCTAATGAATTGGCTCAACAATTAGTGGTTGCTGAAATGGGAAAGCATACACAGGCGCGTGCCTTCTTCCTTGAGGGATTTCCGAGAGAGGCTCACCAAGTGGAAGAATTCGAAAAGAATGTGATTAACCTCATTAAATCTTTATTTTTTCAATATTTTTCAGGTTCGTCCAGTTGATATGGCATTAATTCTTGATTATGATGAAGATGTATTGCGTCGTCATATGCAGGCTCGAGGACTCCTTTCTGACGTTATTGACCGCAGAATAAACGAATTTAAAGAAAAAACGCTTCCTACTGCCAAATATTTTGATGATCAACAATTACTCCATTTAATCCCCGGAGAACGTTCAGATTCTGTTATAATTGAAAGAATGAAGAAATTAACATTACGGGCAATACATGCTGGTGTTGGAGGTTTAATAACTAGTAGTAATTCTGCAAGTTCTTCAGCAACGGGAGGTATATATACGAGGGACGGTATTGGAAGTAGAAATAAAGAAGGAAGTGCTAAATCTGTTTTGGGAACAGCAATTTCTTCAGCTACATCTAAAGAAGATGTTATACCAAAAATTATAAATGGTGGTGATGGAACTGAAAATGGTAATAAAAATATATTTAAATGTTAACTAGGGGTTTGGAAAATTTTCTAAATTTGTATCCTCCTATTAAGTTCTTAATGGGCACTTTACTTTTTCGATAGTCGCTAAAAATAAAAAAATTTATAGCTAACCGAATCCTCAACACTCCAAAAGTTATTTCAGCTACTCCAATAATGCCAGCACCAACTCCCATTTCAACACCTACTAACTCTGTTATTCAACAACATAAAGCTACAAATAATTCCAACCCTTCTACCCCTCAAAGACCTCCTTCTACTAGTTCAAAAGTTAATGGCTCAAGGAAATCTACTCCAGCCCCTGCTCCTCCAGGACCTCCTTCTTCCATTTCTTCTTCACCTGTAATAAAAAATTCTGATGAATTGAATGATCCTTTCCCCAAAGGCCTTCCATCAGAAGTACCTGTTATTCTTATAATTGGTATGTTTTTGGTTAAAAAATGAATAATTCTTTTATTTTAAAGGAGCACCCGGTTCAAATAAATCAACTTTTGCTCAACGCATTGCTCGAAAATATGAAGGTTTTGTACAATTAAGTATGGGTGAATTGCTTAGGTTATTTTTCCTTTTTAAATTAATAATTAAATTTAAAAATAGACGCAAAGTCCTTGAAAATAGAGAAGATGCCCTTTGGTCCCGTGTTGGGAAGAAAATGGATGCTGGAGAAACAATTCCACTTGTTTGTTATTTTTATTTTAAATTGTTTTTTAAACAATCCAATTCTAATATTAAAGAGAATTTGTCGAGAACTTCTCTATACAACACTACACGAACGTGGAAAGAATGCTTGGGGTTTTGTATTGGAAGGGTAAAAATTAAAAAAATATTAAATATTTTTCCTTTTCAAAGGTATCCTCGTAGTGTTGTTCAAGTGGAAGACGTTGAAGCACAGGTTTCTTGATTCGTTTCTTCTTGTTTTAAAATATTTATTTCAGCTCGGCCGAATTGATTTGGCAATTTTAATAGATTGCACTGAACCTTTTTGTAATGAATCCCTAAGACAACGTTATCAAAGGGGAAAAGAAGAAGGCGCGGAAAGAGCAGGTTTATTACATTAATTATATATTTATATTTTTAATAAATTATTTTGTAAATATCTAGATGATGAAGAAGGAATTGTTCGTGTTCGTTTAGCGCTTTTTAAGCTCAACACGCTGCCAATGTTGAAACATTTAGGTAAAAAATAAAAAAGATTAAATGTGGAATTTGAGAAATGTCTGATGTTGTTCCTGTGGTGTAGTTGGAGAAAGCTTATTGTTAGTTTTTCTGTAACATTCCTAGGTTCGAGTCCTTCCCAGTGGAATTTCTATTTTTAGTAAGAAAAAGCTGTTTAACATGAGAAAAAATTAAAATTTCATTTTTAAATGCATAGAATTAAATTTTTTCAGATGATCAAGGATTACTACGAGTGGTGAGCCTGCAACTGCACGAACACGATCCAACAAATTCTGAGCACCAGGTCCGCGGCCTCTAAATTTTTTTAGTTTAGAAAAGAAATAAGTAAATTAATGGCCGCTGACCAGACAAATTCTGTTCTTTACTTTCCTGTCTTTTTTGGGATTTTTAAAGCTTTCTAGAAAATTTCCTTTTTTACACTATATTCACAATATAGATAACTTTATTTGTAAATTTATAGAGTGAAGGTGATGCCGATGAAGAAAGAGTATTCCAAGAGATTTGTGCCATAATCGACAACACTATTTTTGTGCATGGTTTTTAATCGTTAACTATAAATCAAATTAATCCATTAAATTCAGATGATGGCAATGGGATGAGCTTAGAATCCAGTCAAAGGAATTCGTCAGATAAAGTATGAGAGAACAAGCCGGTCTACATAAATAGAGAAAAGTATTCAATATTTTTATAAGCAAATAATTGTAATTATTTTTGAAAATATTTTTTAATAAAATAATATTCTGAAACCGATACTCTTTATTGATTTTTTCGAAAATATTCTGCATTTGTATCTTTGACCTTAGTTAACTTTTTAATGGTGGTCATTTATTTTAAGTTATTTTATTTTAATTTCTAAACGAATAAATGAATAATTATTTTTAAAAAATGGTTGCTTTTAATTTATCAAAGAAGTCCTCCGCTACTTCCTCCACCATCTTTTTTCTGCAGTACTGCGACTGCTTTTAATAGAAAATCAATAGCAGTTTTAGGATCTTCGTAGTCTAAAGCGCTTGATGCAAACTTTGTATATTTTTTGGCCTCCAAGTAATCTTCAAGTTTTAGATCAGGCGCTTAAATTAAAAAGAATTCCTTTAAAAATATCATTACAAGAAACCTGCAGACTGATAACTAGGTGTCGGACTATTTTGGCCAATTCCAGGTTGTGGCGTTTGTTGGGGAGAAGGTCTTTGAAATTGTTGCTGCTGTCCACGTTGTGCAGGAGAAGGCTTTGTTGGTGGTTGTTGACCTTGCTGACCTCCCGGCAAATTATTATATGTATTAAAGTCATCTCGGGGCTGTTGGTGAAAAGGTCCAACTACTGGTTGGAGACCTGGTTTTGGTGAATAATGTTGTTGCGGAGCTCCACCACCAGCATAGGGTTGAGGAGAGTGAGAAGAAAAGTCCTAAAATATTGAAAATTTTGCCCCGTGGAAAAGTTATAAAAACCGTTGGATATTTAGGAGCAGGTGGCCCACTGCTAATATTAGCTGAAGCATTGAATTCGGCACTCAAAGCGTTCAACTCGTTGGAGTCGTCTTAAATATTACGTAAAGTAGAAATGTTATTTAAAAAATAAAAAAACCTCCATCTTTTCCAGCCATTAGTTTTCCAGATATTGGTTGTTCACCTCTTTTCAAACAACCAAAAATATAGGTGGCTCTCCATTTGGAATATTTTCTTGCTGACTAAATGAAAAAATATTTGAAGAAATTTTTTAGTTTTGTTAACATGATTGATTGAAAAAAACTATGGAAACCCTAAACGGCTATTTTCATTGATGGGATTAGAACCTACAACCTAAAAACCCAAAATCAAGGCATTTCCAGCTAAACCACAGAGACCACATAGAATTGACATTTATTTTCAATTTTTGAATGCTCATTAATTAAAATCAGGCCTGTATATTCTCATCAAGTGCACCAAACATACTAAGAACATCAAACAAATACCCGCAAGTATAAAATGCTTTCATCATTTTCTGGTTGAATTGGCCAGAATCATCCTTAACATCTTTAAAATTTTAATTTAAAACCCAAAAAAACCTGAGAATTTGCATATGTGAATAAACGTTGAGCCTGGTCTTCAATGTGTGATTGAGCAACAACATCGAGCCAAATAGCCTCATTATCCTTATTAGCTTTTTTGAGCTAAAAACAATATTCGAAAAACTATTTATTTTAAACCTGCTCGAGAATGTTCATAGCAACTGTCAGGAAATTTTTTGCTTCAGGTGAAGAGCTATCTGTGGCCATAGCATCTTCGACCGCCTTGAAGAGACCTAAATAAAAAATTTTTAAATAAACTCAGCATATTTTCAAAAATAACTTACACCAATAGTAGACAACAATGTCACGATCCGCATGTTCATTTGCTATTTTAACATAATGCGCAACAGAACGAATACTTTGAGGAATTGAGCCAAGTGGTATAGTTGGAGGTGCCGTCGACATTAAAATAATATATATGTATGTCTAAATTTAATTAAAAATTTTATTAAAAATATTCGGAAAAATAAAAATTGTGAAAGAATGACTAATTGCAAAAAATAAAGCGGATAAAATGTCAAAAAAACATAATGCCAATAAATTATTTTTATAAAAATTTTTAAAAAAAAGTAGAAGTGAGTCGCGAATAAGTGAGGTAAAGAGTCACTACTCCCCCCCCCATTAAGGTGAATGAGATATTCATAGATTGAAACATTTCCGGGAGCTAGAAAAGTTGGAGCCACCAGAAACTTAAATTAAGGAACCGTTTTAGTGTCGGAACCGTGAGAAACAAGCTCCAGACCCCAATAAATAAATGTGCTGATGGGACAAAAATTTATCTCTACAAAAAACAATTTTTTTCAACGGATATCTAAACAAATACCCTATTTTCTACTACCAACGATACTAAATTTGCTTAATGCAATAGAACTAGCTTTCCATCTCTTTTGACGGTCTTGTTGGTTTCCTTTATTTCCACTTCTACCCCCAGGGAAGAAAGATTTTCTTCTCTTAAACTCTTCGCCAAAGCTGAAACGACGTGAGGTTCTTCGATGGCTTAAATTTATCTATTTTTAAATGTGTTTTATTCGACTTTTCTTACCCTTGACCCCAAGACAGTTTTCGGCCGGTTTGAGAAGAATCCACTGTATCCATTGACGAGTCACGCGGATGTGAAACAACCTTAAATACATATTTTGAATTTATCATAAACTTCAAAAAATTTACCACAATCTCAGGCACACAATCGGCCAATTCCGCCATTTCTTTCTCATCATAAGTCGTTGTCTGAGCCGGGGTAACTGGTTGGCTTTGCTGTTTTCTTCTCATTGGAACAGCTTGATTAGGTGAAGGCAAAGTTTCGCTGCTACTAACTTGTTGTTGAATATACCCATCTTTTAAGAAAACGAAAATAAAAAAAATCAGAAATTTAAAACCATTTCTAGGTCCTTCTTTAGATGCTTTTTTATCTCTAAATACCATTTGTTGTTGGCTCACGCGTTCAGGTGCTGGGTAAATAGGCATTGCACGACCCATTTCAGCTGCCTGTAAAATGAAAATTAAAGAAAGATTGAATATTTTAAAAAAACTTTTGGTGAAGAGGAAGAAGTTGCCAAAGATTTTGGTGGTGCATGTACTTCTTGAACACGAGCATTTGTTTTGTATATAACAACAGCTTTGGGAGCAACTGGATTTAAACCCAAAGCAAGAGGAGCACCTCCAGTTTGACTGTCGTACAAAGCAAAACGATATTTTTGCTCTTCAATTATTTGCATTGTTCTCCTAAACCATGAAAATTTAAAATAAAATTTTCAAAAAAAATTTTTTTAACCTAAGCGCTGCATTTTTCCCTCCACTAGAGCCACGAACAAGCCATCCATTGGCATATAATGAAGAGCCAGAAGTGAGAAGTGAAACCCAATAGGCTAGAAAAATCATACAAAGGCCCATAATTATTGCTATTGGAATGAGAAAGCGGTTGAAGAACTTTGAGGAAAAATTTTATTTTTTGAAAGTTTAAAATTAAACCTACACTAGTGGTTGGATCGAACCTTTATAAAATTTAATTTTAACAAAAAAATTAAAATTTAATTAACCTTGGATATTGTTCATGACTAATTATTTGCCAGCCAAGTCCATGTGTAAGTTCACTCAATTGAGAATTGAGCATATCTTTTATTTAATAATTCAAAGATCAATTAAAAAATACCAGAGAGAACCAAACTTGGAATCATCGGTTTTTCCGGACCACCTTTTTCCACTGGGATCTTTAAAAGAAAAGAAATTTTAGCCTTCAAAAAATTAAGAATTTTACAGCATCATGCGGAAGAACAACATAAAAACGAAAATTTAATGCTCGATTCTCACGCCGTGGAAAGCCTCAAATTTAATTTATATTTATTTTTTTAATTCAAATTTAAAATTTACTATCAAGCATAACCACTTGAAATTTGTTAAAAGTAACACTAAAATGGGAAAAATAATTCAAAAAAATCGAAACTAAAAAATAAAACCTTTTTTTAATTCCACAAACTGTCGGAGTTCGACAATGCCTGTTTAACATTCGAGCTATTGCTTCTCTAAATGGATCAACCAAGTCAATAACAGCAATTTGTTGACAATCTTTAAGAAAAAGAATTAAAATTTTTTTTTAATTTTCTTACAAGCCATTCGAACACCACTAGTCCATCCAAGGAGAGCCAATTCTTAAATTTAAAAAATTTTTTTATTAAATAAAATACGAACACACCTTGCTGTGTTCGATCTGATTGTTGTCCCCCAAGTGCAACTTGGCCATTTATACAACAAAATTTAATCAAAACAATAAGGGTGATAAGAAAAATAATTTTAAAATACATAGGGAAGGAATGGAAAAATTTTTTAAAGAGGAACTTAAGGACAGAAATAAACCTTCCCCCTAGCTCATTCTAAAAGTAAAGCAATTTCCCAAAAAATAATAACATCAAAAACATTTCTTTGCCAGTTTTATATAAACTGCAAGTGTCAGTTGTTACCTTGATGTATATAAAAAAACGCCAAAAGGAAAGGGGAAAGTTTTGCAGAAAAAGAATTATTAATTCTATATTAATTCTTCTATTACCTCCCTAAATTAAAAATCTTAATTAAATTCTCCTTTATCTTCAAAAATAAATTTAAAAAATTAAAACAAACAAACGAGAAAGTAATTCTTAATAAAATGTATCAAAACAATACTTATTTACGGTCATGTCACACATCTCTCGTACTTGATCTAATGTTGGCATCCAACGCAAATCTCCATAACAAACAAGAGAAGGCCGGTTAATTAACATTGTATCAGCAATTCGTGCAATATCATCAATTTCGACACGGTCTCAAATAAATTTTTTAATTAGAAAAAAATAGTAAAAAACCAATTTGTTCAGCATGTTCCTCAGGTGTTCTTCGCTGCCCATATACAAGCATCTGTTTAGAAATATCTTCAAATTGAACTGGTTTCATCTCCAAATGCATTAATAATTGTGACTTTAATTGAACTTTTGCACGTGCCAAGTCTTCTTTTCGAATTATCCCTTTACTAAGAAAACGCATTTGATTAACAAGAATTGAAGTTAATTTTGTGGCCTAAAATAATGAGAGAAAATAATGAACAAAACTTAAATTTAATTTTACATATTCAGGGCTAGCACTTCCTTTAATACAAAATAATCCACAATCAGTATAAGAATGATATTGAGCAGTAGCATTATAGATCCAGTAATGCCTAAGAGTAAATTTTAATAAAATAAAATCGGTAAAACAAACTTATTCAAAACATCCATGTAAAGTTGTGAAAACATTCCTTTTCCTGGTCCACCAGCACTAAAACTTCCTCCACCACCCATTAAAGTTTGCAAAACACAAAATGGTACAAAATCCTCGTGAAGCATTCCAACGCCCTTAAAAACATCTTATGAAAATAAGTGAAAAAATAAACCTGAAAGCCAACAACTAAATGAGCCAAATTAGGAAAAGGTGTCGGGCCCAATGCAACCTGGCTTAAATCTTTTTCAACACGAACCTCACCACCAGTGTACATAAAAATGAATAAATTTGTTTAAATATTTTTAATAAAAAAGTTACTGTGCCAATGAATCATCCAACGGAGGAATATTTTTAAGTAGCCGTTCAGGCTGTTGAACCCAAGTGCTGTCTCGTGGATCAAAAAGTTCCTTAGCAGCATCAACCAACCAGTCTTGATCGATACCGATACCTTTAAGAAGGAATCTAAAGAATATTAAAAAATCTATACCGGTAACAACAATTCGATCAGGCGTATAATATTGGCTCAAATAACTCAAAACATGACTTGATGTAATTTCCCCAACTCCATCTGACGGACAATAACGGGGAAGACCAATTGTGTTTGATTGAAATGCTGCTTGATGTATCCAATCAGAAAGTAAAGGATCGGGTTCTGGTTGCCTCGCAAGTGTATCATTTTCATATCGAATTACGTCACGACAAATAGCGACCTAAAAACAAGGAAGAAAAATACCAGATATTTTGGTACTTGTGTAGTTTACGTCTCATAAGCCCTGCGTCTTTTCTTCTCTCTTCCTTTAATTATAAAGTGACATTTGGGTCAATATTTTGATTTCTATTTATTTTAGCCCTTTTCCTCTCCTTTTAAGGAAAGGGATAAAAAAAGTGAGGCTAAGGGACGTAAACTACACGAGAAAAAAATATTTTAGTCAAAAACCTCTTCTTCTAAAATTTTAGGCCTTAGAACAGCATCGGCAATCAATCGAAGAATTTCATAAGCATTGCTTATCCTACACGAAGAAGCATACAAAAATGTATCTTTGCTAGCCTGACAATCGACCAAAGCACCACATTTTTCCATAAGTTCAAGCGTATTAGACTTGTCTTCAAAATTTTTTGTTGACTAAAATTGAAAAGTAAAAATAAATATACTTTAAATAATAACCGAAAAAGAAAGTTTTTCAACAAAATGTGAAGTTCCAGGAGGATAATAAACTTCAAATCTTGAACCAGCAGCAATAGCAACTAAAATTGAAAGATTAATCAAAAGTTGACTTATAAATTAAAATGTTTTCAATTCCTGGTAAATTTTTGGAAAAAAAACCCTGCGTAAAAACACTAAAAACTAAACTAAAAACCCACTAAAAAATAACAGAATAAAAATATTTCAAAAACCTCCAACTGTGCAAAACTGTCCATAAGCAGAATGCGAAGCAACACGAAGGCCAGTATCGAGCACAGAATGTACAGTTTCAATGCTGTTATTGCTCGTTCTTAATTTTAATAAAGCTAATATTTTTAGAAATTAAAAAAAAACCTTTTCAAATTCTCAGCAGCTTTAACAGAATATCTTTTTAATGGGAAAGTTGATAATCTTCTAGATAAAGTTAACATTTCTGAAAAAAAGAAAGAATAAAACTTTAATGCTATAAATTTAAAACTAAAAGTCATTTTTAGCTATAACGAAAAACATAAATCCTCGGATTTTATAAAAACATAAATCCTCGGAAAAATTGCATTTTTCGGATTTTCCGCTCTCAGTTGCAGCACTCAATTGTCTGCTTACACCTAGCCAGTTCCACACTGATTCATGTTTTCGAAAAATCTTGCAAATCACTCAAAGACGATAAATCAAGCACCCGCCTTTCTAACATTATTTAAATCAGCATCTAATTGTATATACAAAAATCTTGCTTTGGAAGAATGGATCTTTCGAAACAAAAATTTTTCTAATGAGGATATATTGTTTATATGGAGGTTATTTTGAAACAATTTATGTGAAAATATCCACTCTAATAAAAAAATCATTTTCAGAAATTCCCCTTCAGTTGTCATTGGACGGTATCAAAATCCATGGATTGAGGCAAATGTGAAATTTTGTAAAGAAAATAATATTAAATTAGTTAGAAGATACAGCGGTGGTGGGGCAGTTTACCATGACGAAGGTTTGATTTTTTTGATAAAAAATTAAAAAAATTTATTTTCTAGGAAATTTCAATATTAGCATTTTAACTTCCCAAGACCGTCATAATCGAAAAGGAAACTTACAAAAATTGGCCAAACAATTAAATATGGATTTCAATCAATATTTTGAACCTTTTAACAAAATTTGTGTAAATTCAAGAGATGATTTAATTTTTGAACTGAACAATTCGAAAATGTCGGGGACTGCTGCAAGGATATCCCAAGGAAAAGCTTATCATCATTTCACATTTTTGGTAAATCCAAATATGGAAAATCTGCATTTTTCGCTTCAATCACCATTAAAGGTTTTTAATTAAACTTATTTTTGACCTAAAATTAAAATTTTCAAGGAGAAAATTGAAACAACCGCAACAAAAAGCTTTAGGGCAGTATCTGTTAGTTGTCTAGCAACTGTTTTGAGAATAAAAGGAGAGGGATTAAAGGATAATGAAATTATGGAGATGACCGAGAAAAGTATTTTTAAAGCATTTTCTGCGAATTATGACAATTTGAATATTAAATTGGATGTTTTTCCAAATGAAGAGAATTTTCCAGGTTTTTTTTTTAATTTTTAGGAAGGACCCAATCCCTTTTTATTTTTTAAAAATTTATCATTTTTTCAAGGGATTAACAAAATAATTTCATTATTAAAAAGTGATGAATGGATATTTAATAAAACACCAAAATTCACTCTTAAACTCAACAAGGAATGTCCAATACAGGTTAACAATGGAATTATTGAAGAAAGTTTAGACAAAAATTTTCCTGTTGGTGAATGCTTTCAACAGGCATTTTTACATGTTTTTAAGTGATTTTCTTGTTACTTTTTTTTGTTTTGCGTTGTTGTTTTAAAATGTTCAAATTTTCATGTTAAAAAATTTAAAAGTGACTATTTGGATGTCTACTCACTTTTTTGGTGTTTATTTTTTATCGCGCTTCCCAGGTTGTTTTTTTTCAAAAGGAGGAACATTTACCCAGTAGAAAAGAACAGCCTCCTAACACTAATTGTAAGCTTAAGGATGACGAACTTTTAAAATATTCATTCCAATATTCCCTTGGTTCCTGAATATCGGAAAATTAAATAGAAAATCTTGTTATTTCTGTATATATTTTATTTAATTTTTTTGACATTTTAGACTTTAAAAAACAAAAAAAACAATTATACCTCGAGAAAAATCCTAATATTTGTCTGGCATCTGTTCATAATCAAAAAATCCCGTTTCAACAACAACATAAGCAATTTATTTCTTCGTTTCACTAGATGTTTCACCAGAGAATGTAGAGTATCCAAACGATCCTAACGACCCTGTTGATGAACCTTTGCATTCATGCTTAATTGTTTTAGTGTCCAAATCCCTAGTAATGGTGCATTTCCAGCTTTGGTTTTGCATTTCATGCTTACAATTACTCCACCCCATGCCAATACCTAGAAAATTAAAATTAACATAGGGAAAATCAGAAAAATTAAAAACAAAAGCTGAAGACGTTGGATGGGAAACAACATAATTGGAAGTAAAGATTGGGAATTTAAAAAAAGGTGTAAATTTCAGTAGACGACATAGACAAAGGGTCTGAATCCAGACCAAAACCCCTATCTGTAAGCCTCTATACCTCCCATCATAGACCACAATTAAATAGAAAATTAAAATCATTCAAAAACTAACCAATCCCAGTTCCAAGCCAAATTGGCCATGTCTTCTTAGCTCGCGAAAAAACCAACGATACGATTGTCCCAATTGCTGCACCACCTAAATGGGAAAATTTTTGATTCCACAAATTACATTTTAAAAAGCATACTTGCAATTTTTAACGCGGAATCAGCCATGCAATAATCAAGTTTGTGTCCAAAAACATCCTCCGATATTTCAACTTTCTGATCCTTTTCAGGTTGTTTAGACATTATTGAAGATTATTTTTTGAAAATACAAGCTCTGAAAATCTTTTCCTAATTAAAAAAAGTTATAGTTAGCAAATTGATTCTGCCTACAAAATATTGGCTTTTTAACCTTAATTTTTTATAGATTAAATTTAAACCAGATTGCGTTTTTATACGTACATGAATGAATAGAATCTATAAAAAATAAATGATCAAGGTATCACGACTTTTGCGCCGAGAACATTTGCGCCGCGACTTATGCGCCGCGACTTTTGCGCCGGGCGACTTTTGCGCCGCGACTCTTGCGCCGCGACTTTTGCGCCGGGCGACTTATGCGCCGCGACATTTGCGCCGCCATTGTTTAGAAAATCCGGATCCGAAAAATGACGGATATCCGAAATTTTCAGTTCGGATATCAGATCCGAAGATTTCCAACTATTCGACAACCCTACTAAAGTGAGGTCCGGCTGTAGTTATTGATATATTTTTAATGATAGTGGCGGCGCAAAAGTCGCCCGGCGCAAAAGTCGCGGCGCAAAAGTCTCCCGGCGCAAAAGTCGCTCGGCGCATAAGTTGCGGCGCAAAAGTCGCGGCGCAAATGTTCTCGGCGCAAAAGTCACGGAACCATGATCAAACAGAAAAAATTGGGTTTCTAGACCAAACAGAAACTTTTGATAATCATCAAACTTTGAAAGAAAATTTTGAGGGAATAAAATGAGCATTAAATTTGGAATCGGCTAGATTACAAAATCAAAGCTTTGACGATTAACGAAGCCTTGATCAAGTTTTTTAAACAAAATATGATCAAAGCTTATATTAGATTTTTGTGGGTTATAATGTTTGTTTGGTCCAGTCCCAATCAAAATGAATGAGAAATAATATATGTTTTGGGAGGAAACAAAAATAAAATAAATATATAAAATCAATCTCTCCAATTTTCAGCCAAAATTGAATTTAAAGCTATATTGCCCTCCATCATCTCCAAATGGGTTAAAACCTTCACCAAACGGAAATCCTCCTTGACCGCCTGACCATTGCCATTGTTGGAAACCATGATGACCACCACCACCGCCTTGCGGATCCATTGGGTCCTCACCAGAGTCGAATCTTTAACGAGGAATTTTGATAAAGAAAATTGACTAGATGGGAAACGAGGATGTCAAGGGTTACCCGAAACCTGATCTGAGAAATTTCCCAAAACCAGACCCGACTTTTTTTTCTCCTAATCCCGCTAACTGACCTGACACGAAACGAAGAAAATTTTGAAAACCCGACCCAACATTTATTCTCAACCCGTGGCATCCCTGATAGGAAACAAGGTTGTTTTATAGAAGAATAAATACCAAAAATTATTTAAAAAACTAACATTCTCCTCTTCTCGGGGTCAGTAAGTACATCCTTTGCAGCAGCAATAAGAATAAACTTTTCTTGTGCACGTTTCTTTTCAGCATCGTCTTGGAAATTGTCGGGATGCCACTGTTGTGCTAATTTTCTAAAAATTAAAATTGATTCAAGTTCAGTATGAAATTAAAACCTATAAGCTTTCATAATTGTACGTTTGTCTGCATTTCGACGCACTCCAAGAATTTTGTAATAATCCCTCTTTTTAGCCTGTTTTTGCAATTTCAATGCTCTGTTTAAAGCTTCTTTTGCTTGTCTAGAGTCTTCATTTGCTTTAACAGCTTTTTGGAAGTCTTCGACCGCTAAAAGAATTTTTATAAATTTTTTCAAAAAAATTCCAAACCGCTATCATAATCCTCATTGAGCAAATAAGCCTCTCCACGGTTTAGCAAAACTTCCAAATCATTTTCATCAACATATTTCAATACTTCAGTGCATTCTTGAATTGCCTCAGCAACGTGACCAAGCTGTTAATAGGAAAATATTTTTAATAAAAAAATTTTCAAAAAAAACCTTAACATTGCATTTACACCTTTGTTTATAAGTATCCAACTGGATCCGATCAACATCTTGTTCAAATTTAAGAATTGAGGTAGATTTATCCAAACATTCAGTCCAACGTTCTTTTTGAATCGAATTGTCCAAATCTTTCCGCAATTTTAACAATTTTTTAATTTTCTTATAAAATGGGAAACACAGCGGATGTTCAGGATTCAAATGAAGACACTCGCGAATTTGTGTCATTGCATTTTCTGCATCTCCAGTCTGTTAAACAAAAAATTTTTACAATAAAAATAGCTCGACAACTCACTTCATAGTAAATACGGCTAATCTCCAAGTAAACTTCTGTTGAGTCCGGAACCAATTTTGCGACAGCTCGAATATCAGAAATCGCATTTTGAGTGTCACCACGAGCCAATCGAATTTTCCCCCGTTTTCTATGCAAATCAGCATCCCAATTACAATGCTAGAAAATTTTGAGTTCGTTAAAAACCTACAAAATGAAAGTCGAAAAATACCTCAAGCGCGTAACTAAGAACTCGTTCAGCAGAGTCGTGATCTCCATTTTCATGATAATAATTCCCTGATTTAACCCATTCTCTAATTTGATCAATCATTTTCAATTTATCCCTAACTTCAGAATTCTCAGAATCGTGCCTCAACTAAAAACAATAAACTGTATAAAAATTTATAAAATAAAATAACCGCAAACGTGTAATCATCAGAAGCTCTGTCCAAATTTCCTTGCTTGTAATAAATATTTCCACGTTGCAAACGTCCAGAAATAAAATCAGGTTTTAATTCCACAACTCTGTCCAAATCTGGCAAAGCTGCATTCATTCGACCACTAAAAATTTTATTTAAAAAAGCTAATTTCACAACTAAAAAACCTTGCTAAATGGACGGTTGCACGCCGAAAATATATTTGGTAGTCATCAGGATCTAAAAAAAATAAATTTTAAAAATATTTATTAAATTACAAAATTAACCAAGTTCAACCGCTTGATGATAATGATGAAGAGCTTCTTGTAAATTTCCCTTAGAAAGCAGAACCTTTCCTTTTTCAAGTAGACGTTCAACTTCTTTCCGCCTATTTTCTTCTACTTTACCCATCGCTAAAAAATTTTTAAATTAAAAATTAAAAAAAATATTTACCAAATTGATAAAGGCACAAAGTAATGAGAGAATAGTAGGAAAGTTGAGTGAAAGAAAATGCTGTTCCAAGTGCACCCATCGGTCTGACCCACTGTTCGTCATAAAAATATGTCATTTAAGGGGAGAATAGTTTTACTAAAAATTTAAATTAAAAATTAAACGTTTGAACAAAAAATTTTTTTTCAGTTTTATAAACCTATTTAAACAAAACAAATGATATTTTAGAATTTCTAGAGGATTAAAAGATTTTAATAAATTTATTGACTACTTAAAGTTAGTGTGACAGAAAAGAATTAATTTTATATAAAGATTATAGACAATGGAAGATACGTAATGAATGTACACGCGAATTAAATACTTTAACCAGTTAAAGAGGAAAACGACAAAAATTATAAAGCAAAATTTACTCGTAAGTTAACGTTGACAAAAGCATTATGCCAAAAATAAATTTGAATATAAGGACCATTTGAGTACAGAAATTAAATCATTTAAGAAGAAACGGACGAGAGATGTAATAGAATGGGGAGAGTAGCCAACAGAATGAGAAAAGAAAGAACAAAAGGTGAGGGAAATAAAGATTGCTCTTTGAGTCTTATAAATAGAAGTTGAATTAACGAAAAGGACATTTGGGTCTTAAAAAATAAAAAACAGGACAATTGAGTCTTTAAATAGAAGATAAACGATGTCAACGGCAGAAAAATTAATTTTCCTTCTTTTTTTGTGATGATAAGATCAGATTGGGCCAATTATGAAAAAGATGTCGAATCTCGAGACCTTTTGACGAATATCGGACGAATATCAGAAAGTTATGGCTATATACTGAATCGGCGATACTGAATCGTCCTTCCTAAAACAAAAGGAACATCTGAGTCCTAAAGGAAATAAAACAGGCACTCGAGTCTTTTAAATTAAAGAAGCTGAATTAACGAAAAGGACATTTGAGTCTCATAAATAGAAGCTTCACAAAACAAGCAGTACTCAACGTTTCTTAAATTTTCTAAAATTTAAGTTTTTATTTTCATTTTTTAAAGGGAATTCTTTCTCAATATGCCGTCTGATGCAAAAAAGCAACGGGATAAAGCCAAAAAAGACAAGGAGAAAGCTGCCTCAAAACAACGTGGAGGAAAAAAGGGTGGAACAAATTCAGAACAAAATGCAGTTGAAGACGGATTGAATGACAACAAAATTGAAGAAAATGGAATTTCTCAAGCAGAAATGGATGCCGTTACGGACGTTTTGCATCGTGTTGAATTAGAAAATGCTAAAGCTCGTGCAGTTGCTGGCGTTTTAACTTCACAGGAAAGAAGCATAAATTTAAAAATTGATCAACTGACAATTACTTTTCATGGACGGGAAATTGTGACGGATACAACACTTGAAATAAATATGGGACGAAGATATGGGTTGATTGGACTTAATGGAAGTGGTAAATATTTTAATTTTTGGGCAAAATCAGCTTGGTCCACCTACGGGCATTAGAAGTTTAGGGTCTGTATCTAGGTCTAAAGTCGTCCCAATCGAAATTTGAGTGTCATTCAACTCGACTCGATGACCTCTTTCGGATGGCACATGATTTGTCCCAATTCGAACCTTTTAGTATTCCGAGATTTTTCTAATTTCTTGGGATCTTTTGGTCCTGAGGGTTTTCTTACTATTAATCTATTTTTTCCATTTAATTTCAAAAAAAATTTTAAAAATTAGGCAAATCTTCATTAATGCAAGCAATTTTCTTACGCGAAATGCCTATCCCCGATCATATCGACATGTTTCTTGTTAGTCGAGAAATGGCGGCAGTGGATTTGCCTGCACTCCAAGCTGTTATTAATGTTGATAAAGAACGTATTGCGTTAGAAAAACAAGCGGAAGAATTGGCTGCTTATGCTGATGAAGGTTTTCTTTGTATTTTAATTTATGAAAAAAATTTTTTGAATATTTTTTAGAATCCCAAACAAAATTGTTGGATATTTATGAAAGATTGGATGAAATGGATGCAGACAAAGCCGAAGTTAAAGCTGCTGAAATTCTTCATGGACTTGGGTTTACCCGTCAGATGATGCAAAAACGTTGCAAAGATTTTTCTGGTGGATGGAGAATGAGAAGTTTTTTTCTTTTAAAATTTTTTTTACAAAATTCTTTAAAGTTGCATTGGCACGCGCTTTATATTTAAAACCTTCATTGCTTTTACTGGATGAACCTACTAATCATTTGGATTTGGATGCTTGTGTATGGTTAGAATCTGAACTTTCAAAGTAAACAATTAAAAATTTTAAACAAAATTTTCTCTTTTTAGGTATAAACGTTCTTTGTTGATTATATCCCACTCACAAGATTTTATGAATAATGTTTGTACAAATGTGATTCATTTGTTTCAGAAGAAGTTGATTTATTACACTGTAAAATTTAATGAATTCAAATTTAGGAATTTTTAAGGGGTTTTTTTAGAAATTTTCGTGGTCAAGTCGGAAAGGTGTGGAAAGCCTATTTGTTTCTTTTTCGAAATTAAGTCACCCAACCAGCTCTGAACTTAAAATTTTTCGTCCAAAAATCCTAGGCCTATGTTTTTTTAAATTTCTAGTCTAACCCAAAATTTTAAATTAAAACTTAATTTTTAGGGTAATTATGATACTTTCATCAAAACTCGTTTGGAACTACTCGAAAATCAAGCAAAACGGTACAAATGGGAGCAAGAACAAATTAAACATATGAAGGTTGTTTTATTTTAAATTATTAAAACTTACTTCAAAAAAGGAATACGTTGCTCGTTTTGGTCACGGAAGTGCTAAATTGGCAAGACAAGCACAAAGCAAAGAAAAAACAATGGCAAAGATGATTGCTGGTGGTTTAACAGAAAAAGTTGTTTTGGAACAAACAAAACAATTTTACTTTTTCGAGCCTGATAATATTCCACCACCTGTGATTATGGTACAACATGTTAGCTTTAGATACAATTCAAATTCGGTTAATTTTAAAAAATTCTTTTTAAAAATTATAAAAATTTCTAGCCTTGGATTTACCAGGATCTTGATTTTGGAATTGATTTGGACACTCGAGTTGCTTTAGTTGGACCAAACGGAGCTGGGAAGTCGACACTTTTGAAATTGCTCGCAGCCGATTGTGAACCGACAGATGGAATGATTCGAAGACATTTACACTGTAAAATTGGAAAATATCATCAGGTTTTGAAGTTAAAATTGAACAATTCTTCCAAAAATATTTCCTATAAATTAAAAAAATGTTTTTTAAGCATCTTGTTGAAGAATTACCTTTGGAACTCAGTGCCCTCGAATATATGCAAAAAGCATTTCCTGATGTTCGAGAAAAGGAGGAAATGCGTAAAATTATTGGTCGTTATGGACTTTCAGGTTTTCTGTTTTTTAAAGCTTTTTAAAATTTTTTTTTAAAGGAAGAGAACAAGTTTGTCCGATGAAACAGTTATCAGATGGTATAAATTTTTTTTTAAGTTGTCTGATTTTTCCTCTTTTCTCAGGTCAACGATGTCGTGTAGCTTTTGCCTGGTTAGCTTGGCAACAACCACACTTGTTACTTTTTGACGAACCGACAAACCATTTAGATATGGAGTTAGTTTTTAACATTCAAAAGGAGATCTTATGTTTAATTTCAGGAGTATTGATGCACTTGCTGAGGCTATCAATAATTTTGGAGGAGGAATGATTTTGGTATTCTTTTCCTAATTTATAAATAAAAAAATATTTGAAAACTTTCAAGGTTTCCCACGACTTTCGATTAGTTCAACAAGTTACTGATGAAATTTGGGTTTGCGATAATAGAAAAGTTACCAAATGGGATGGTGACATTTTCTCCTATAAACAACATTTACGTGATCGTATTGAGAATCGAAAAAGAATAATGACTGAACGATGAAGAGTGTTAGAGGTCTAAATTTTGTTATTAATGGATATTGTTCAAGCCTTTCTCTCTCAAACTAAAAAGACGTGTAGACATTATTATAATGCTCCCGTGTTCGTTTTTTGTTTGTTGCTTATTTTTATGGTTATATAAATGGTTGATTTTGAGACTTTTTTCCTAAGATTCTGAAATTATTGAGTGCCCCCCCCCCATGAAAATGTTTCATTTTTTGATTTCAAGGGAAACGAAATTGGGGGTTTGGAAGCAATCTTTATTAAAAAGCTAGCTGTTTACTAATGAAAGACAAATATTATTTTAGTTAGTATTAATTTTTAGTCTAAATTTTCTTCATCTCGACACTTCCACTAAAGAGTGGATTAGTGTAGATGGTTGGAAAAGCATTTCAATCTAGAAAAAAGTTATTAAAAAGAATTATCTTAAAATTTAATAACCTGATCCACTTCTAAGCATCTTCCACCAAAACGATTTTTGAGAATCTACAACGAAAAGGAAAAAAATTTTTTTAAGAAATTCAAAAAATCTTACATAAAGAAACTTTCGAAATTTCCTTCGATCATCAGTTTCTCGTCGTCTTTGAATAACCAATACATTTTCTGCCTCTTGGGTTATTTTTGCGGAAGGCCCTCCAATATGTTGAAGTTCATAATAGCCTTGCTTTAATTTAATTTTTCTTAGGATTAAAGAATTTATAAAGGTAATATGTATAAACCTCATTTGGTTCTCTGACAGGATGTACAACCTTTCCAAAAAGTGAAAATAAAAGAAGGAAAATTAATTGTATACCAAAGTAATATGCAATTCCTGCGCGTTTGCCATTCTCCGTAACATTCCAACAAATCGATCCTTCAAAAAAAATTTTTTAAATTACAAAAAAATTTCTTGAAAAAATTTTCTAACCTGTTGATGTGTTCTTTCTGCTGCGGTCATTGGGTCAATATTCACTGTAGCCATATCAACAAGTGCTTGCTTAAAATAAAATTATTCAAAAAAAGAAAAGTTAACAACCAAATTATCAATAACCAAATGTTGAGTACCACAAGCCAAAGTTTGTTCTCTAATTGCCTTTAAAATTGAAAAAATAAAAATTATATAAAAGAAACAAACGTCAGCAATTTCTTTTAATGTTTTATCTCGAAATTCTTCAGTTTTCATTATTATCAAATCGCTATGAGTTCTTTCAAAACGATCCAACCACATTTCCACTGCAGAATGGTCTTGACGTTGTTGAAGAGGAACTCTGAAAATTTTGTGATCAAATGTCTTTCTTTAAAAAAATTTTTTTCTTGTCGCTTCTCACGTGCCTTCCCAACTATTTTTTCCTTCAAATTATAAATAAAACAACATACGCACTTTGTTCGAGTAGTAAAAGTTCGGGAACGGGCAAGGCTGCGCACGTGAGAAGGACTGAAATGATAAGGATCTTTAATTGAGAAAAAGTTATTTTTCTTCCTTATTTTCTTTGAAAATTTGTTTACTTATTTTTTAAAAAATCCCTTTAATTAAAAAAAATAATTTACATACCCAGCAAATTGAATAATCATCCATTTGAGAATCTGAAAAATATCAAAAATATTTATTTTAAAAAATTCAAAAATTACAAAACCTTTTCTTCGGGCATTTCAAAATTACAAAAAAGTGTTCGAATTCCTTGAGTAAAAAGATCCATAGCATATCTTAATTAATTTTTAATCATTAAAAATTTTTATTTTTCAACACTTACTCGCACATAAATGTTGTTTTGCCATAACTTCCACCACTTAAAATTGTAATTTCTGATGGACGAAATCCACGCAAATAATTATTTAATAAAGCATAACGTTTCCACTTAAAATTTAAAAAAAGTTTTAAAAAATTTAAAAAAGAAAGAAACCATTGTTAAACCAGAAAGTTTTGTTTTGCTCTGAACAATTTCACTTCGAACCTAAAAATAAAAAAAATAGTTTTCAAGTAAAAATATTTAAAGGAAAGGGTAAGGACCCACAAGAATTTATTCTAAAATGCTTGGACGGAAGTTTGAGATAAAAAGAAGATAAGATAGTCCCTAAAACTCAGAGCAAAGCTCCCAAACAATAAAAGTCGAAGGTTCAAGTTCGATCTCTGTTGGTAAATTTCAGACATAAAGGGACTAACACTTAAGTAGACATCGCCAACATCTGCCATGCATCGAAACTGACTCTCTCATAAAGTACAAGTCGGGGGTGTTAACCACTACACCACGACAACATTCCTTCCAAAATTAAAAAAAAAACTAACTGAATCTCGCAAATCTTGAACAGAGCGAAATCCCTTGTAACGAACACGAACAGCATCTTTAAAGTATTCAAAAAAAATTCTCAAATAATTTCAAAACCTTGAATATTATGTAAAACTTCTTTCGCGCGATTATCACGAACTAATTCAACTGGGCGAAGAGATGCCCTAAATATTCATGAAATTTAAATTGAGAAAAATTTAGAAAACAAACGTAATAATGTAACAACGAGCGGCGTTCAAATAAGAAGCATAACTTTAAAAATTTTTAATTAAAAAATTATTTTTCATCAAAAAAACCTTTTGGCAAAACGTTCATGAATGTGAGGAAACCAAATATAAATCTAAATAAAAAAGAACTTGAAAAAAATATTTTTAATTAAAAACTGACCAAATCAAAATCTTCCAAATATGGAATAACTGTAGAATCAAAACGTTCTCCTAATGGCAATGAAAGTGCTGGAATTCCATTTGAAGCGTCATATACTGCCTTTGAATATTTAAAAAACAAAAATAAATGCCTGAAAAACGCATTCCCAAACTCCCGGGATGTTTCAAACGGTCGAACGGCACTGGATCCCGCGGGATTAGTCGAGTAACCACCGTTTGTAGCTTAAAAATCGGGATCCTATAAATCCGCATGAGATCCCGCCTGTGCCGTTCTCTAGACAAAAAATAGTATTAAAAAATATTTACCAAAGCATCACGTTCATTTGTGCATAAAACAATTCTTAAAAAAAATAAAAAACAAAATTTAAAAAAAAATAAAAAACCTATTATCAAATTGCGTAACCATTTGAAGTCCAAACATTCCAGTAAAACGAACTTTCCTTAAAAAATATTCTTTTAAAAATTCAATAGAAACAAACTCTGAACTTTCATCGGGATAATTTTCTTTAGTTAATTTACCACCAGAAACTCTTCGAATTACTTTTAAGCCTAGAAAATTTTTAAAAATTTTTTAATTCTCAAAAAAAATTTTTCCTCTTACCATTAGGAATTCTATTACGAGTTGAAGGACCTCTATAACGTGGATAACAAATAGCTGGTTGATCAAAAGCATCCATATGTCCTCTTACATGATATTGAGAAAGTGTTTCCGCGGAGATTTTCTGTTTTGAAAATTAAAAAAATATAGAAATTTTATTAAAATTTACATCAATTCCAAGTTGAGCACGTAAAGAACGAAATCTGAAACATTTTTAATAGAGTTCGAACTTTCACATTGACGAGCTCGGTATAATGAGAATTTTTTCTTTAAAGCTGACTTGGACGGGGTTTCCTAGCTAAAACTTTGAAAACCGGTTTCTATTAAAATACCCGGTTTCCAAGATACCGGGACCGTAAAACTCGGCCTCAGTCCGGGTTCGAACTCTAATTTTTAATTTTAAAAATGCCCAAAAAAAGCTAAACGATTACTCTGTTTGATCTTCAACATTCCGTATTTCACTCAAATCAACAGCTTCAGACCAAAAATGTCGAATTTTTGGATCCACCATACCTCCACTTGCTCCAATTCCTTCTAATGCCGCTTGTTCCTCTACACCTCTTTTTTGACGTGGAATGTTTTGTTCCTCCGTTTTATCAGCAAAACGCAATAGCGGACTTGTTTTACTTCTTAAAAGAAAATTTTTAAATTTAAAAATTAAAAAAACATTGTAGAAGAAGCAGCTGCTCGTTGAGTATCTACAACTATTGGAGTTGTAGTAGCCAATTCTTTTTCTTCAGAAAAATTATTTTGACCACCTCCACTGTGTTGCAACAAATTTTCAACAGAATTTGTATTTTTAGCTGCTGGTGATTGTCTTGTAGGTGCAGGAGAAATAGCAGCAGTAATTGAAGATTGTTGTTCACTACCAGCACCGCTATCGTCAAAACTAGAAAATATGAGGAAATAAAATTTTTAAAAATCCAAAACTTTAAAAAAGAATTTTTTTACTTCCCTTTTCCTAAAAATACAGACAATCAATTTTTTTCAAAATTCATAAAAATCCTAAACTATTAAAAACCTAATTTTATGGAAAAATAGTACTTTAAGGAATTTAAAAGAATTTTTTGAAAGGTGTTTTTGATAGAAAATAGTTTCCTTATATTTTTATTTCCCCTTCCGTTTTTAGAAAAATAAAAATGAAAAAAAAAGGCCAAAAAATAATTGTTTCCTTCGCAGGGTGGACAATTTTACTTTTACAAAAGACAGAAAAAAATTCTAAAAATTTGTAAAAACGTCTATAAAAAGTGCCAAATTGGTTAGGAAAAAAAAACAAGAAAAATGATATCGTTTTTTTCTGAGAAAAAATTTTTTCAAAGAAAAATCCAACCCCTTCCCAAGTATCCACCCCCCTCCCTTCCCATCAAATTTTAAACATCCACAAACAGTCTTCTCCTTTCCACAACAACAAAAGCTTCATCCGGATCTGTATCTGATGACGGAGCAATAAATACACCCATCTCCGTAAAGTTTATAGGAATTGCTTTAATACTTTTCTGACATTTTCTACTTCCACAACTACTCCCAGCGCGAACTTCACAATCAGCAATACCTCTATTTACTTTTGAAATAGTTAAAGGTAAACGAAAAAGAAAAGATGCTGGAGCAGATTCTGTAGATGCTTCCGAAGTTGTTGATAAAGAGGAGGGAGAATGCCCTAAAATAGGACTTTGAGTAGACGAGGACGGGCCTGGGGAAGACAAATTACTGCCATAAAAGTGTTGAGGAGGCCGAAGATGATGATTTTTTGAAATTTCTTCAGGCCTCGTTTTGCTTCTTTTGTGAGGTTCTTTAACTTGTTTTTGAGAAATTTGTTGATATTTTTCTTCTCTAAATTTGTTTTCATCAAAATCGTCGTCAAATTCATTTAAAGGAGAACAATCACCCAAAGCACAATTAGGCAGAAGGGAACAATCACACATATCCAAATATTTGTATGTTTGGTTGTCTACGGGAAGGACAGGAGATATTTTAGAATCTGAAGGAATAAAAGACGATTCCCTAAATTCTGTTGTTATTCCAGCCGTCTCAACAGACAATGCACGTAGTGGTGGGGCTTGATGATGATAATGTTTTATTTGACCATTTTGGCTATTTTTACTAGTCTGAGAAATTTTTTGTTGAAAATCCAAAGATTTTTGTCGCCTCTTTCCCGGCAAATCTACATCTGTTTCCTTTAATTTTCTTGCTCAATTAGCTTTTTAAACCCTTAAAAACCTCAGAAAGTGATTGATAACGTCGACCTTGCTGCAAAGGCATTCGAAATGAAACGGTTCGTTTAGAGGGAATATTATTCATTAATTTATTTTAATTTTTTGGTTATTAGGAGTAAAAGGAAATTAAAATAAATGGAAGATTGAAAAAATTTCTTGTAAAAACTTGAAAAAATTTTTTTTAGAAAAATTATAAAAGGAACATATATTTTGTCTCGGAGATAAAAGACAATTTTGCTTCAAAATTTTATTTTTTATAAACTCTTAGAAATATCGCCTTTTACCTAGTGACTTTTTATTAATAAAAGACAGCCTAAAAAACTCTCCAACTGTGCTTCCCTCTTTTTCTAAATTTTTTCCCCGTTGGAAGAAATTTATAAAAATTGCTATTTTCCCAAAAAAATCCTCCCAAAAAATTTAAAACTAACGTTGGAGCCATTTCTCCTGTCACTGTTGTTCCTCCACCTCCTTCACGAAGATTTCCCATACTGTGAAACTGTCGTCGTTTTCTTTCAAGTTGATGTGCTTTTACCATATCTAAGCACGCAACACGGTCGTAAAGATCAAAATCAGGCTAAAAATAGAAAAATAAAAAGAATTTACAAATTAAAGAAAACCTCATCTAATCCAAGCACAATTCGTTCAATTTCTTCAAATTCCTCTTCATCCGACATTTTTTTCTTCAAGTTTTTGGCTGTACAACTAAATTAAAAAATAATAATTTTTAAATGAGTTAAAGAAAAATTCTTTCCTTAAATTTTGTGTTATGCTTAAAACTAAAATGGTCATCGAGAATATAAAAGGACGGAAATGTGCCATTATACCTTACAACGAAAATAAAAATTGGGTAAAAATATTATTCAAAATATTAAAGAAAAACATGTGGGGGCAAGGAAGATTTTAGAGAACTAAAACAAATAGAAAAAAAGAACAACCTAATCCGTGGTATTGCTGTTGTAAGGCAAACCCAAATTGTGCATCAGATAGACCCTCCACCTACATTTTTCATTGCTTCCTACTTCAGCGACAGTTAATAAAAGTTCTCACGTAAACACCCCTCCATAAATTTCTGAAAAGGTCAAAATTTGGATTATATGCTAAAAATTAAGATTATCTAGTAAATGAAATAAACTTAAACAGAAAAATCTGGAGAACTTAAATTGTGCTACGACCAAACAAAGTATTTTTTTCATGTTTTAAAAACATTTAAATATCAAAAGAAAACAAGAAAAAATATTTAAAACTTTATTTACAACAAAAAAAATTTATTTTGACTAGTTTATTTATAAAAATGTAAAAAAATATTAAAAACGTTGAATTTTTCAACGATATAACAATAATTATTTTCGGCTCTTTATTTTCAAGCTTTATTCTTTTTGCTTGTTTAACATTTATTCTTTTATTTATTTTTTTGTTTTACAATAGAGCCATTTAAAAAAAAAGAAATATCCAAATTAACATGCCAATTTTTTTATTTTTTCTTTAATAGGCCAGAAATATAGTCGATAATTTTTAATTGATTAAAAAATCAGAATATAATTTTAAAATACATTTTAGACCCTAAAACAAATCGACTACATTCCTGTTTTGTATGCCTCCAAAAATATTCTGCTCATTAATTTTGGGAGTTTCACGACTTTAAAAAAGTAAAATTCTTTCCAAATTTATCCAAAAATTTTTAATAAACCCAAAAAAATAAGCAGAACATTTTACCACAAATAAAACTAAATAATAATCAGAGGGGTCATGTTTTGAACAATTAGAAAGGGACAGGATGTTTAATATACTAATAAATGTTATATTTTTATTTAGCGCTTAAAATTTAAAAAAAGGACAGCGCGTCTTTTAGGAGGTTAAGATGAGAGAGGAATGCCATTCATTACATTTTTTTAAATAATATCATCAAACCTTTGTTTTATTTTTTAAAAATACCAAAGTTGTTTTCCCAACATCAAAAAATTATTTTTTTTATTCATCTAAACTATCGCCCATTTCTTGTTTAACATCAAAATCTTCTTCAAGTTCAATTTCACCATCGCTTCTGTGTTCATCATCATCATCCTCTTCCTCTTTGTGTTCTTCATCTTCATCATAATCTAATGAGGCAAGTAAATCTTTTGGAGTTACTTGCTCCTTAAGAAATATTTTTTTAATTAATTTTTTAAAAATAAACTAACGGATGGTTTTCTCTCTCCATCTGGAATAATTGGTTGACCGTTGCTGACACTCTTAGAAACTGGTGCCCATTCAATAGTAATGTGTGCATTGGGAAAAGGTGATGTAGTTGCATGCGAAACAGCCTAAAAATGATTATTTTTTATCACAAATTTTTGAAAAAAACCTTTTGAGCGGACATTGGATCCTTGTATGTGAAGACCATAGGCTCCGTGTTAATATCTAAAAAATAAAAATTTTATTTGAAGATTTGCACATAAATCAATCAAACCATAGTCAAACAAATCTCCAAATTTTTCCATATAAACTAAAATTTAAAATTAAAAAAATTGAAAAAAAATATTAAGAATTACCAATGAGTTTTTCAGCTTGTTCTTGTGGACAATTCAAAGCGTAAACTACACGGCACAATTTGAACAATTTTTTATTTGGCGTTTTTGGAGGAGAATTTCCAATTGGAGCTCCTTGTTAAATTTTGATAAATTTATTCGAAAAAAATAAACAAAAAACAAACCCTCATTAGCCAGTTTACTCCCATCATGTCCAATAGCATTTTCATTAGTCAAAACAAGATTTGAAGTCATTCTCAATTGTTTACCAGTCTGACGTTGTTCCACAATACGAATTTTATTTGCCAACTGTTCCAATTCAGTTTTAGTTCCTTGTGAAGTACTTTCCGACTTTTTAACAAGAGCTATTAATCGTTTGCGTTGTTCTTTGTCTTCAGTTCCTATTTAAAAATAAATATAATCCTACCAAAAAAACAACAAAAAAGACCTTTCAATTTTTCAAGCAATGTCTTTTGTTGTTCCACAAGTTTAGCATATAATCCAGTCTTCATTCGTTGAAGTTCTTTAAGTCGGCTAAGAACATCACGATCCATTGATTTTCTCTTTCCTAATTTCGCAAAAGTTCCGGCACGACTCTTCCCAGCTTGTGTTGCTATTGAAATATTTGAAGTACTTGAAGCAACAATAGTGGAAGAATTGGTAGTCGTTGATTGAGATGTCTTTGCGAGCGAATCATTTCCTTCCAATCCTTCTGCGCGGTCAACAGCAGGTGCAGATTCTTCTATTGTTGATACTGTTTGAGGTTTGATAAACGTCTTTTTGTAAGTTCCCTGTTTAAAAAAAATAATTTTAAAAGTAATAAAAACTAACTAATGGACGCAAAACAGGTCTTTTAGACAACGGTATTGTTGGGCCTCCAGTTGATGTAGTATTCGGATTTGTATTTTCAGTCATCCCAGCATTTCCATCCTCAGTTGTCGAAGCATTCTTATCATTTTGCCAAAAGATTTTAATAAAACGATTGTTCAAAATTGGTTCAACAGACTTATAAGCAGCCATTGCATCACGACGTGTTTTAAAAGTAACTAATGCTGTGTCTGGTCGACCTTCAAAATGTTAAAATTTAAATAATCATTTTAAAATAAAACCTTCATATTGAACTTGAATATTTGTAATTTGACCAAAACGACTAAAATGCTGATCAAGTTGCGCAATTTTGTTCAAATCTTGAGGAATTTTTTTCACCTGAAAAATTTTTTAATTAAAATATTATGACTCAAAACAAACCAAAAGGCTTCTTGATGTTTGATTACGATTTGCAGGAAAACTATAAGGCTTAAAACGTCCTCCACGCATTGTCATTCCTCCTCCGCTATTTGCAGTCCCAAATCCAGGATTATTTTGTCCAACGCCACCAGAGGTTTGAGAACCATAAATTGCAGTTGTTTGGGTTGGTAAAGTTGAAGCAGTTAATGAAGTAACAGTTGCTGAAGCATCTTGACCTCCACTAATTTGAGATGGACGAAAATGAACAAAACCGCCTGTCGAAGTCGTTCCACCTCCAAATGAAGAAGGCAATAAAGCATTCATAATTTCTGTCGGAAGTTGCTGTTGTGGAGGCGGAATAGTACCAGGCGGATAAATAAGATGTTGAGATGCTGAAAGTGATGTTGCTGTACGTATTTGATGAGGTAATATTGGAGGTGGCGGAACTGAAAAGTCAATGCTCGACATCGATGGTGTTGTAAGTGCAGGAGCCTCTGGATTATATCCTAAGGGAATTTTTCAGTTTAAGGAAAATGAAAATATATTAACCTTCAGAAATACTTCCTCCACCGCTCAACGGTTTTCCACTAGACCCAGAAGATTCAAGTCCCGGTGGAGGTGGGTTTACTCCATAAGAACTACTTGTATCAAAAACAGATCCACTAGCACGAACAATTTTTTCCAAAGCAGTGGCATCGGCGACAACAGGATCCTTAAATGGACGTTTAAGATATATCAATAAAAGTTAAATACCGGTCCGTGATCATATGGACAACCATCCCCACGCATGCAAAAGCCTTTCTCATGGAAATCACGACAACGATGACGACGTAATGAACGCAGGTCAAAATCAGCAACTAAGCGTTTTTCCTTTCTAAAAAAATTTAAAGAAAAATAGTTTAAAACAAACCTGCTAACATGCACAGGTGATCGAGAACGTTCACGACTCTTTGAACGTGCTCGTCTAGTTTCACGGTAATGTCTAGTAGTAACACGCATAGAAGGTCCACCACTAGTACTATTGCCAGTTTCTCTCCCAATAACTACTCGTCTTCTGGCTACAGGCGAAACACGACGTTCTGCTCCACCTCCACCTCGACGTTCTGCACTGTTAGAACGTGGAGGAGAAATACGTTTCCGGAAAGGTCGACCAGTTGGCTGTGAGGCAGTCTGTTGTTGTTGCGTTGAAGAGGTTTTTGTGGTTGTTGCAGTCGTCGTTATAGTCGACGTGTGTGATGCATGTGTCGTTGTACTAGTTCCTGTAGTACTACTTCCACTAGTTCCTTTACTACGAGTTGTTGATGTGGATTCCTTGACTGAACGGCTTGACTTGCTACCACTGTGTGGAGACGACTTGTCAGTTTTACCTTTATCAACTCGGTGTTCATCACGAATGGATTTTGATGAAGTTACCATGCCTAAAATAGAGTTGGTAAACATTAAAATACAACAAGATAACCTGATGCTCTCGTTTGTGTCTTCTTTTGATGATCCTCTTTCTTCTTTTCAACAGGCACTTGTTCAGGACTGTCAGGATCAGTCAAAACCAACTTTAAACAAAAAACGTTAAAGAATAAATAAATTTAAAAACCTCATCAGTCTCAGCAGTTATTGCATCCTCGTCCTGTTTTGTTTGTTCAACCTGCTCCTTAACATATTCTTCTTTTGCCTCTGCAGCAGTTACAACATCCTCTTTTTGAGTTAGATATTTTTCCGATCTTAGCGTAGCGAAAAGTTGATTGACGAAAGGTTCGGTATCTAAAAAATAAGGTTACCTATTAATATATTAAAAGTATTTACGTGATTGGAGAAAAACAGAAAGCTTTTCTAGACACAATTCTTCAAGAACATTTTCAGCCAGAGGCTTCTTCACCAAAGCAATAACATATTTAGCTAGAGCATCTGGTTCTGCGTCACTTCTAAAAATAAAATTTTTTAGAGGAAAAAAGATAGAAAACATACATGTCCTCAACAATGTGTGAAATCCAAGTTTTTAGGCGATTCTCATCTTGAATAATCATTTTTAATGTTATTTCTAAAAAATGACAAATTTTGAAGAAACTAATTATTAAATGAAAAAAGAATAAATTTTCTTCTAGAAGAATAAATCAAACAACACGAGGGAGAACAAAAAAACCTCTTCGATAATTAACAAGTTTTCTCCACAAGAATATTACTCTAACATTAATTTACTTTTATATTATCTGTAAAGTTTAGTAGTGCAAAAAAGCTAGAGAGTGTAAAAAGTTGGAGATTATTAGAGAAAAAAAACAAACGAGAGATTATGATAGATTGGCATTCTTCAATTTCAAAATGTCAAAAACAAAAAGAGTATTGCTAAGATTTATTGAACATTTTGTTATTTTTCTCGTCTGTAGACATTTTGAAATTATACATTTTGTTTTCGTCAAGAAACATCTGTTTTGCTTCTCTTCTCTATTACGAAACCTTGCAATTTTTCTTGTTTTATTGGTTTGCTGGCAAAAATTTTTTTTTAATTTTTCAGGAAATTTTTCGTTATTGCTATTTAATTTAATTTTTAAAGCATAATGGCAACTCCTGGGATTGAAGGTAATTTTATATACTTAAAAATAAAATCATTTTTAAGCTTCTCACGATCCTGCAGCCAATTCTGTTGATGGACAATTGACTGAAGCTGAGCGTGAATTGATCCTTGAAGAGTTGAAAAAGGTTTTTTTAGATTTAAATTTAGACTTTCTTTATTATTTTTTAGACCGAGGATGAAGTTGCAACACTTCGTCAAGTTTTAGCTGTCCGTCAAAAGCAAGTAGCACATTTAAAACATAAATTGGGGATTTCTCCTTTTAATGAGCTGACAAGTGAAATGGCGCAAGGAATTCGGACTGTTAAGGAAACACCAGCGTAAGCTTTTTCTTTAATTTTTAAGTGTATGAGCTTTTTGGGCTTAAACTTGTGCAAGAACTAAACTTACAATTAGGTGTAGAGATCGAACTCGGTTTGGGGCAGGCCCATGGAGGTTTTTTCTTTTCCCAAAGCCTCGGGCTTTATAGGTTTTCCTGGACGCCTTCAAGCCAGTAGACTCAGGATGCACCCTGATACAATGGATTCGTAAATGCCCCAGACTTTCAAAAAATCTCGATCCCCTGAGTGGACAATTTTTAAAAATTGTCAATGACTAATAGTAAGTTTTAGGGTATTTCTACCTACTCTCAAAATCTTACTTCCATTAAATCATCCTCAAAAATTTTCAGATTTCAGAAGACTAGTGAATTTGTTGGAGGAACTGCAGAGACTGTTGCCAATAAATTTAATGATATTCGCAAGTCTTCATTTTTTAAATCATTTGAAACTAAGATTGGAAGTGCTGTTAACAATGTTTCTTTTTTATTTTTTAACCTAAAAAATTTTTTTCAAGGCAAAAATGGTAGCTTCAACTTCAATTGATCATCTGGCTAATGTTGCTGGGGGTGGATCGAGAACTCCTCAAGAAACTGGAGAACGTAAAGTTGTTGGGTCGCCTCCGCCGCCACCGCTCTCATAAGAGAAATTAAATATGGACAGATATTAAAGAGGAAAATATTCTAAAAAGACAAAAAAGGTTGTAAAAATTATTATTTTTTTCTAAAAAAGGTTATCCAAAAAAGTATTCGTTGAGGTACTTTTTGGTTATTTTTCTTAGTTTTGCGGACCGATTACTTCATATAAATTTTTCCACTTTTTCTCCACTTAATTAGAGACTCGGGCCAAGCAAGATGATGTTCCCACTGACTGAGAAATCCTTTTGTGATTGTTGAGAGAACGAAGGTTTGCTATTTCGACGTTTTGGCATATTAAGAGAATTATTAGGGCTTGGGAACCTTTAAGTATTGGAATTTTCTAAAAATCCGTTCTGTCCGCAAAATTATTTAAGAAAATATCGATAAAAGTACCCCATCTTCCACCAAAAAAATTTTTCTTAAAAGGATCAAACACCTTAATTTTTCCAAAAAAATCTACTTTTTTGTATTTTAGCAAAGGTTTCTTTCCTTTCTCTACATTATCTTTTTAATATTTCGAAAATTTCCTGAACTTTATAAAGGTGTGGCCTGGAAGGGAAACTTTTGCTTCACACAGAATTTCTTTAAAGATTCATTCCTCTATTTTAAAGCCATCTTGTGTCTATTTTAGCGTTCTTTATAAATGTATTTTATTTAACAATAAAAAATGAAAAAATTTTGGGAAAATTTTTAAAGATATTTTTAAAGCCTTTCCTCCCTATCAAGAATGCCACTGAGTAATTGAGACCCGAAACTCAGACTTCTTCCGATCCAAGAGAAAATTTGAAACCCCCGACCCGAATTTTTCCGACCCTTAACATCCCTGGTTCCTGTATTTAAAATATATTCCTCCCTCTCCCTTTTTCAGTAAAAAAAATTTAATTCTCGTCTCTCCTTTCCCTTTATTTTTTATTTCAAGCAATTTTCTTCTATTAATTTAAATTTTCCCCCTCTCTTTTCCTAACATTTAATTGCTTATAAAAATTTTGTTTTTAAAAGAAAAGGGAAGAAAATTGGATTACAAAGAAATAAAAATACGAATTGCCCTAAAATTAATTTTTTTCTGAACAAAAAAATTTTGTCCAAAAAATATTTCAATTACATTTTTTCCAATTTTTAATTCAAAAAATAATCTTGGAAAATAAAAAAAAATTTCGGTCTTTTTAAAAATCCTTTTAGATAATTTAATTTTGAAATTAAAAATCCTTCTTTTCTTTCGCTAACCCTCTCGTCATTCAAAATATCATTTTTAATCCCTTGGGAGAAGAAAAGTAAACTTATCAAAAATAAAGCAAATTTTCTTTAAAAATTTATAAAGCCTAGATTATTTTTCAGCACTTTTCTATAAACGTTTTTTTTATTAACCCTAAACCTTCATAAAGTGAAAGCTTCCCCTCCGATCTTTTTCCCAAATTCTTACAAATCCAGTTAAAAATCAATCCAACATTAAAAATTGAAAAAAAAATTCAAGTTAAAAACGACATTAATTTAAATTATAATCAAATTTTTTGAATATTTATTTACGTGCATATGAGCGAAAAAACAATTTTTAAATTAATAAGTATACAAATATTAAATGCGTCATTTTTATAAAAACATCCGCCCACTTTATTTTTTATTTATAATTTGATTAGACCCCTTCTCTTAACTTTCTTCACTATAAAAACTTATCAGCCTATCCTCGACCCCACTAAAAAATCTTTTGCCCCACAAAAACAAAAAACACGAAGGGTCATATCAAAAACATTTTTCTCAACAAATTTTATCAAAATGAGGCATCTAATTTACTTTAAATTTGCCTTATAAAGGCCTTTTTTTTTAAATTATTTTCTATAAAATAATTTTAATTGGTCATAAATTTAATTATCAAAAAAGGGAAAAACCTTTTCTTTTCCCTTCATTTATTCTTCCAAAAGTTTCTTAATCTCCGGCTCCAACTTTTCCGGTTCATCAGTCGGTGCATGTCGACTAACTGGAATTCCTTGCTTGTTTACCAAAAATTTAGTGAAATTCCACTTAATTGCGTCAATCAGAGTACCTTTAAATATTGCAAATTTCTCAATAAAAATTAAAAAAATTTCGAAAAAAACCATGCTGCTCATGCTTCAAAAACTCCCAAAGTGGATGAGCATTTTTCCCATTCACATCAATCTTTGCATACAAATCAGGAAAGAAATTGAACTTCTCATTAATAAATTTCTTTATTTCTTGATTAGTTCCCGGCTCTTGGCTATTAAACTGAAAATTTGAGAAAATGTTAAATTTTGGGATCAAATGTCGCTTTTTTCGAATAATGGATTACTTGATCCAAAGCAGTTAGAAATGGGTTTCTAAACTTGGTTTCGAACCAAAACAACCTTGATTGGGAAAAAATGGCCAGTAATACAAATTGGGATCAAATGTCATCTTTTCCCCAACATTGGGAGTTACCCAAAAATTCAATTTTAAACCAAAAAACAAACCTGATTGCATGGAAAACAAGCAATAGAAAGTCCCTTATCCTTATACTTTTCAAGCAGAACCTTCATCTGTGGATAATTGGTCTTGGTAAATCCACATTCGGAAGCCACATTAACAATTAAGACAACTCGTCCCCTTAAAAATTTTTTTAAAAAATTAAAAAAAAATTTCCATACTTGTAAACATCTCCCATTTTAACATCTTTTTCGTCAATATCTTTAGCCACAAAATTATAAATTGTGTTGGTCGCCATTTTTTCAGTATTTGTGCTAGCACAAGAAATTTGATTAAAATTTATATTTTTAAAAGAACTGCGTAATAATGAAAATATTTGGAAATGATTGCTCAGCAATGTATGAGAAAACATTTTTATATTAATCTATAAAGAAGGGGAAAAGAGGGGAGGAGAGGTTACTTTTCTGCTGATAAAAAAATAAAAATAAGGAGGAAGTGAGAGGGAGTTTGTTAAAATAAGAGAGAACAAAAATATATTGAGTTGTTTACTTTGGAGGGAGTAAACAACAAATAATATCATATCCAGAAGATCAACATTAAAAGAAAATAAGTGATCGGTGAGTCATCAAAAAGAAATTTTGATTTTTGGAGGTTTGACATTCTGGGATTTTTTACACCCGATTTTGAAACCTTCCGATCTTTTGGACCAACCCTGTATACTTTGCACTATTACAACTCTGGCAAAAAAAATAAAAATAGATAAAAAAACAGGAAAAACAAAAAGGGAAAAAGTTATTCAGCGAAATAGGCATTTCAGTCTCGCCGTTTCAGTCTGGGACTCTTTTCCAGACTGAACCGTCCTCTTCCGCATTTTGTGGATAGAGGACGGTTCAGTATAAAAAAGGCAGAAAAAGTTACAGTATATTTTTTCTCAAGTTTGGTTTCGGATATCCGAAGAATTTCCAGGAATCTACAACTCTATAAGTAAGGCAAAAGATGTTTTTAGGGGAAATTTTTAAGAAAAAAAGTAGAGTAAAAACTTGTCAATAAAAAATTTAAAATATTACAGAGGTTAGGTTAACCTTCCCCTTGATTTTTAAAATAATCTACACCATGCTCTAAAAAATTTTGTTCAATTCCCCGACTTTTCTCCCCATCTCTTCTTTCCCCCTAAAAATTCATAATTTTTGCCAAATTTAATTTAACATTTTTATTATTCATCATCTCTCATAATTCCATTTACTCTTCATTGGATTAACAAGGTACACACAAGTATGTGCGCAATAAAAAAAACGCCAAAAATCCGAGGCTTTGAAAAACGCCAAAATTTACATTTCCACTCACAAGTCTAATATAAATATTATTACTTTTAATCCATCTGCGCATAAAAAAGAGCTTCCTTCCCCCTTCCCTTTCCCCCCTATCTACCAATTTTTTTTTATTATTTTCCCCACCCCTTTTGACACGTTATTGACGCTAAAAACAAATGAAGAGTGAAGAAGCCTCTCTCTCTCATAAAAGCATATAAATGAAATGCCAACAACGGATTAAAAGCGACAACTTTTTTTAATATAATGTACATGTAAATATATTTTTTTAAAAACATTTTATCAACTTCTCCCAATGGGGATAAAGGAAAACTTTTCATTATTTTTATTTTTAACATAACGAAGTCTTAGGGGATGAGGAAGTAGTGAGGGGCACTGAAATGTTGAGTGATGCCGGAACTGAATTCTGATTTTTGTTCTGATTTTCTAATTCTGGTTTTTAATTCTGATTTTTATTTCTGATTCTGTTCTGATTTTTTAATTTGTTTTGATTTTTAATTCTGATTCTGTTTTGATTTTGTTCTGATTTGCCTTGGTTTTATTCTGATTCTGTTCTGATTTTCTAATTCTGTTCTGATTTTTTAAATTCTGGTTTTGTTCTGATATTTAATTCTGAATTTTAGTTCGGAGTTCAGACTTTTATTCTGATTCTCTTCTGATTTTTTAATTCAGTTCGATTCTGATTTTAACCACACACAGAAAGCTTTATAACGAGCGTTCACAAATCGCTCTCTAATTTGTAAATGACAAAATATATCCCCACAAAATTAAAAAAACAACTCATCAAAAATAAAACTGTCACAGGTCTACCCACACACAAATTAAAAAAAATTCATTAAAAAATAAAAATTTTCATTAATATTATAGTAAACACATTTCTCTCCTTTCGATTACTAAAATATAATAAAACTTGTTTTTTAAAATAAAACTTTACAACAACACACAATTAATTGACTTTTGTCCATCTTTGGAAATTAAAAAAAAACAAAGAAAAGAATTTTTACGCTCATTTGGGTTGGCAAAAAAGCAAAAAAAAAGTCAATCTCAATAAAGGAACTTTAAATTTATTTTTTCTAAAATTATTCAAAAAAAATTCATTAATATTTAACGTATTCCAAAAGGTCAACATTTAACAGAGAAATTCTGATTTTTAACTTTGAGTTTGTTCTGGTTTTTAATTTAATTCTGTTCTGGTTTTTATTCTTTCTGAACTTGTCTTTTTTCAATTCTGATTTTATTCTGGTTTTTAAATTCTGTATTCTGGTTTTCTGACTTCTTAATTTTTGTATGTTCTGATTTTAAATTCTGGTTTTGTTCTGATTTTGAATTCTGGTTTCAATTTGGTTTTTATAGTTCTGAATATTTATTTTATTCTGGTTTAAAATTCTAATTTTATTCTGATTTATAATTCTGATTTTTATTTATTTTTATTCTGATTTAATTTTATCCTTCAAGACTACACCAAAATATGCAAAAAATAAATTCTATCAAAGCCGTTCAAAAATTCCTTTTTTCATTCCTTTATTCCCCCTTCCTCTCTCTCCTTTTTTTCAAAATTCAATTTCCAGTCCTCACCCAAAACTTTATATAAAAATGTTTCTATTTTTGTGAAACCTCATGTGTTTTTTGTAGTTTAAAACTTGCACAAACCAAAAAATTGTTTTTTCTTTTAAAGAAAATTTATTTAAACTTTAGAGAATCACAATTTTTATTTTTTCACTTTCCTTTCTCTCCCATATTCTCTTAATTTTTATTTTCCCAAAAATTCACTTCAAAAACAATTTTTACAGTCTCGAACACCCCCCCCCCCCAAAACAAATTTACAATACTCCAAGAAGAAATGTCATTTTAGTGTAGTGGGAAAATGCTTGGTTCTGTAAACAGAAAGGGCGAGGGTTCGAATCCCATTTGCGGAAAATAATTTTTATTTAAACAAAAAACTCTAATTTTTAATATAGACTTGTTTTTCTAGCTCTAAAACGTTTTTTAGATTTTTTTTCACAGAAGCAAAAAGTGCTGTGGGATATAAGTCTCCTGTCTCCTTAATTTTTCTAATTTTTAAAAATACCTAATAATTAACAATAAGCCTTAGTTAACATCTTCTTTCTAAATTTAAAAAATCAAAAAAATATTTAAAAAAGAGTAAAAAAATTTTTTTTAAGAAAAAACCAGCTGTGCCAATAAATATACTTAATAATTATTTTGTGACGAAAATTATTTTATTTTACCCCGCGCTTTTTCCGGCCTTTTTTCTCTTTTTTTCTCTTTTGTTTTGTAAAAATAAAAATAAATATTCTATAAAATAAATACTATAATCTCTTTTTTGGACCTTTCAATGAAAATAATACCCCCATTTTTTGGTTAAAAATTGATTAAAAAAATTTTTTTCCTGACTTTATAAGGTCAATAGAATATATGTATATTATACCCCCTCCCCCACACGTCAAAAAAGTTTATCTTGCCCTCTCCCTCTCTTTCGAGGATTAATATAGATCAATCAAATAAAATGCCCCAGACACATGGATTTTCACATCTCCAGTTGCAGACAAAAATTGCGGACGTGAGGGGGTATAAAATGTGATAGTACCAGAAACACTCAATACTGAAAAATTTTCTCTTTCAATTCTGATTCTATTCTGATTTTATTAATTGGTTTAATTTTTTCCCCTAAAGTAGCATCCTTATGTTAGTGAGATTTGACTTATTATAAAAATAAAATTAAAAAAAATTTTTCAAATCAAGCACACATTTGTTCCTCCTTCCCTAACCACATCCTCCTCCCTTTTCTCCCCCCAAAAAAATCAATTTATCATTTCATTATCTTTTCAATTTTTAAAAAAAAGCTTGTCAACACACACACATTTTTACGTTAATAATAATTAACTAGTTTTATGTGAAAAATAAAATTTTTAGAGAAGAAAAATATACGTTTTTCCGGTTAAAATTTAAAAAATAGAGAAGAGAATGAACAGAAAAATTTTAAAAAAATTAAGAGAGAAAAAGTAAAAAAATATTATTAATTATTTTAAAGGATTATAAATGTTTTTTTAATATAAAAAAATTAATTTAAAAGTGATTAATTTAAAAATCCCAAAAATAATCTAAAAATCCCTTCTATTAAAAAATAAAATAAAAAATTCAGGAATCCAAAAATGTCCATATAAGTTTACTTTTTGCTTCTAAGAAAAAAATAATAGAATTTTCATAAGAACGAAAAATTTTCGAAAAATCAACGAAAAAATTTTTTTTCAGATGGGAAAGAATAACAGCAAATTTAATCGGAATAGTAACACAACCGGCGGAAGGACAACAACCACAGAACAATTAACAAATAAAAATTCTTCGAATTGTGGGGGAGGTGTTGAACAAGAAACAGAAAATGTGCCAATAGGGAATGGGTCAAATAATAATTTAAATAATGGAGATAACAATAATAATAAACAAAAACAACAACAAAATGGTGGGGGGAATAATAATAGAAGATTAAAAAAAGAAAAAAGAAAAAAAGCAAATAAAAAATTAACACCCGAAGAATTAAGCGATTTGGAACAAAAAACTTATTTTACAAGAAAAGAATTGAGAAAGTGGTATAAGGTGAAAAATTTTACGAAAAAATTAAAAAATTTTAAAAAATTCGAAAAAAGTTTTTCAAAAAATAAAAAAAAATTTTTGAATTTCAAAAAAATTCGGAAAAATTTTTTTCAAAAAAAATTTTTTTAATTTTTCAGAAAATTCAAAAAAAAAATTTTTGGAAAAAAAATTCTAAATATTTAAAAAAAAATTTTCTTTTTACAAAGGATTTTGTACGTGACTGCCCTACAGGAGAATTAAAGGTAAAAATAAATTTTCTAAAAAATTTTCTAAAATTTTCAAAAAAAAATTATTTATTCAAAGCTTGACGAATTCCAAAATATTTATCGCCAATTTTTCCCAAATGGAGATCCCTCAAAATTTGCAGCCTTTGTTTTTAATGTTTTTGATGATAATAGGGTAAATTTTTTTGAATTTTTTTTTAATTTTTAAAAAATTATAGGATGGACATATTTCATTTAAAGAATTTATTGCAGGTTAGAAAGTCAAGAAAAACGATTAAAAAATTAATTTTTTTTCAAGCACTCTCAATTACTTCGAGGGGGACATTAGATGAAAAATTAGAATGTAAGTAGAAATTTAGAAAAAAATTTTAAAAATTGTTTTGCCAAGTTGCCTTGGCAAAAAAATATTTTTAAAAATTTCTGTGAGAAAAAATATTTTCAAAAAAATATTCTGGTATTTAAATTAGTTGTCTAAGCAACTAATTTAAAAAAGAAATTTAATTTATTTAAAAAATAAAATTTTTTATAGGGGCATTTTCTCTATATGATGTAGACAAGGACGGTTTTATTACAAAGGCAGAAATGGCAGACGTAAGAAAAAAAATTTAAGAAAAAATTTTTTGAGATTGTGAGAAAAGATAATAAAATTATTTTCTGATATTGAAACAAAAATTTTTGAGGGTGAGAAAAAAATAAAAATATTAGAAAAATTCACACCCAAAAAATTAGAAATATTTTCTGACATGAGTGTGGAGAAAAAATTAAAAAATATTTAAGAAAACTTTGCAGATATAAATTTAAAAATCTAAGAAAAAATTTCTTTATTTCCCTCTAGATTGTTGATGCAATTTATAGCATGATAGGGAATATGTTGGAATTACCCAAGGATGAGGATACTCCCCAAAAACGAGTGGAAAAAATATTTGCAAATATGGATTTGGTAAGAAAAAAATTTTAAAATTTTTAAAAAAATTTGAAAATTCCAAAAAAAAATTTTTTTAAGAATTTTGATGGTAAACTCACAAGAGAAGAATTTAAACAAGGCTCCAAAAATGATCCATGGATTGTCCAAGCATTAACCATGGATATGAATAATGGTGAAGAAGTAATAAGCCAAAAAGCATAAAAAATAGAAGAATTCTTTTTTAAAATTATTCCGCCGGTTTGACAAAAATTTTCTTTAAAAAATTATTTTTTAAATTTAAAGTTTGTCCATTTTTGGGAATTTCATTTTAATTGTTTTTTTTGTATATATTTTTCAAGCATTCCATTTTTAGTTATATTTTTCTCGAAATGAAGCTCTGACTCCCTTTTCTCCTAACACTAGGGTTGGCGGTCCTGAGATTTTTTTAAAATATTTTTTGGATATCCGGCCTTCTTTGGATTCGGATTCGCCAACCTCTAATCCTCCTATCTATTGTTTAAAAAATTTTCCTATTTTTCTCTTTTTTCAAGTCAAAAAAAAATTTTTTAAATGAGCTTTTATCATTTAAAAAATTTTCTATTGAGAAAACCAGTCATTTTTATTTATATATTTTAAAATCATTTCAATTATAAAACTATAAATTTTTTTATTTAATTTTATACTATTATTTTTTTGAAAAAATTAAAATAAAATCAAAAAACTCATTTTTCTACTAAAATGAGACCAGAAAAATATTTTTTTAAGTAAATATTTAGTCATTTAAATAGGTCACCAAGTACTCGGTTAAAAAATTTTTTTTTCAAATAATTTTTAGGTTCTTTAAAAAATCATAAAAAATATAGAAAAATGAACCAAGTACTTGGAGATAAAATAAATTTTGGGAGAAAACTTTAAAAAATTATTTTTCACATTATTAAAATATTTTCTTTAATTAATTTTTTTATTTATTTTTCAAAATCTTTACCTCTTTTTCTTTTCCTTTTTTGTTGTTTTTTCTCATCATTTTTATTTTCCTCCAACATTTTCTTTTCTTTAAATTGTTTTGAAAGTAATTCAAAGGGAGCAAGTACTCGAGAACGATAAAAATCAAACAAAGTTTGGACTGGCAATAAATGCATTTTTAGAACTTGATGGACTGGATTCTATAAAGAAAAAAGAATTTAAAGAATTTTTTTGATTAAAAACTACTCTTTAAAAATTTTAAATTAAACAAAAAGGTGTTTTTTAACAAGTTTTTTACCACTAATTAAAAGTTTAAATCAAGTTGGAATCGAACCACCACCCTTTGGGTATAAAAGACCGAATCATTAACCACTCGACCATCCCCACTCATAGAAAAATTATTTTTAAAAGGCAATTTAACAGTTTTTTAACACTGAAAAATAGACTCGAACCAACAATCCCACAAAAGAAATTCCAAATCGCTAACCACTCGACCACCTCACACAACACGACAATAAAAAATATAAAACCTTAAATTCCGCTGAAGGCTTTCCTTGTTTCAGTCGATTTCCCAACATTTTAAGTTGTTCACACATTTTATTCAATTTTCCATCCAAAATTTTAGTTAAGGCATCAATACTTCCTCGATCAATTTCTTAAAATTATTTAAATTAATTGTTCATTTTTAAATTTAAAAAACCAGAAAATCCATGAAAGAAAGCACAACAACAAACAGAAAATTGAATTGATTTTTTAATTTCATTGTCATCCAAGGGGGAAGGCAAAGGTTGTAGTGAATTGTTATTACTACTAGAACATTGCTCTTTGCTTCTAAAAATTGTAAAAAATTTAAAATGTCAAAAATTAATGTTTAAAAGCTAAAAATGTCTAATCGATTTATTTGTCAAATAAAATCGATTTTTAAAAGTCTAATTTTTAGAATGAATTTTTGATTTCCCTAGTGGTGTAAGGAAGGAAGATACTTCTGGTTAGCATTTAAAAATTTACCGAGTAGCAGTTTAGAATTAATAAAAGAAAAACTGAAAATAGCACCTGCACATGGTGAGCGATACTAGCAAGGGAGGTCGCAGGATCGACGCCTGTTTTAAGCTAAACCTTTACCTCTCCTTCCTCTAATCTAAATATTAATTTATACCTCGATTCCTCGTCAATAACAGTCGTCTCTGAAAGCTGTCCTTGTACCACCACAGCCTTTTTTGATTGAAAATTTTCCATAAAGCGAAGTTGAATCGCCCAAACTGTGCGTTCATCAATCCCAAGCCTTATAAAAATTTAATTTATAAAAATTTTTTTTAAAAACCTTAAAAGTTGTTCAGGTTTTAATTCATCAACATTCATTTAATAATTTAATTAAAAAATTATTCTTTCAATTGATATATACAATAAAGCTTAAAAAGATTAAAAAATTAATGATAATTGTTGGTGAAGTTGGTAAGTGAAAATGGAAAAAATATTTCACTTTAAAAATTATTTATAAATATAGTAATTGATCCTTATTTGGATAAATTTTGTCTTAAACATTATCTACCTTTAAGATAAAAACATTTTCCACTGATAGGATTCGAACCCGACACCCTTAACTACTGGAAACACAACACTAACCAACTACACCAACCGACACATTAAAGATCGATAAAATATTTAGCTTGATCTTAACTAATAAAAGTTATAAAAAATACAAAAATAATTTTATTTCAATAAAAAAATATTTTAAGCATTTTTTAAAGAAATTGAAATTATAGAAATTTCATCTCGTGGACGTCCACTTTTTTCATGAACAGGAACTTGATTGATTTTCTTTGAAAAAAAAATTTAGAAATTATAATGGAAAAAAGCAAAAAAAAAAAGACGGTAAAATGGCCACCTCATAAAGCCGTCAAAATGTTAACAATGAAAATGACAACTAAAATGGCAAACCCACATCCGTTGTTTGAACAACATGTTGACATTTCGTCAGTTTTTGAGAGTTTGGTATTTCAATAGTTTTTGGGGTTGTCATTTATACGTTTTGCCATTATGACCCGCTCCAAAAAATGTTTATAAAAATGAAGAAACCTGTACAACATTAAACCCTTCCAAAACTTGTCCAAAAATTGTATTTTTTCCATCTAACCATTCAGCTGGACAAACTGTTATAAAAAATTGTGAGCCATTAGTATTTGGTCCAGCATTTGCCATTGAAACACGAAATGCTCTGTCATGCCTCAATTGTGGATGAAATTCGTCTTCAAAATCATCACCCCAAATTGAATTTCCTCCTGTGCCTTTTCCTGTTGGATCACCAGTCTTAAAGAAAAGAGAATTTTAATGGAATGACCCACACCGTTACTGTGCTATATATGTAGTTAATAGATAGGATAAGGGTCTTATCAGGGTCCGATTTAAACAATATAATTCGCCTAGGATCTCAAAATCCTGGCTGCCTAATGCGGTTGGTTCGATGTTAAGACGTTTAGGGTCATAACAATGAACACGCTAAAACACCTAGGATTCAACAAATTTCTAAACATTCTTAGGCGAAGGGGTGCTCTTTGAAAGATCGGCCAATCCCAACCAAAAAAATTAAAAAAAACCTGAATCATAAAATTTTTTATAACTCGATGAAACGAATGTCCATTATAATAACCACGTCTCGCATGCGTACAAAAATTCTCGACAGTTTTGGGTACTTTGTCTGGATACAATTCTATAACAATATCCCCATATGTGGTGAAAATAACAGCTCTTTAAAATAAAAAATTATTTTTAAAAATTTTGTAAAAAAACTGTGTGCTCAATTTTGATTGTTGCATAGCATTTTCATATTCAACAGCAGTTATCATATCTTCTTTCAAAGGTTTTTCATTAAATACATCTCTGTTATAACTTGTAGAACCATCAATTTCTTCTGCATAAGGCTCTACATTTGTGAATAAATAAAAACGATTTTTTCTGTAAGCGGTGGCGACCTTTTTGAAGAAAATTATTTTAGAAAAAAAATTTTTTTATACCAGCATTGGATCAGGTTCTGATATCCTCAAATTTGGATTTTCGGCTGCTTCAACACGCACACTTGTTGCTGCGCCTTGTAATTTTTCCTTTAAAAATTTAAAATTTTTAAGAATAATTATTAAATCAAACCGTAACACTTGGAACTGCTCGACACAATGCAATGCCTTAAATAAGTTTTTGAAAAATTTTTCATTTATTCAAAAATTTTCCACAAAATGTTTTAAAAAATTTACATAACGACAGCAAAATAATAACCACCGATCGGATTCGAACCCACAACCATGAATAATGGAAAACTAAAAACTATCCAACTTAACCAAAAGAACAAAAAGATTTTCTCAATTTTTAGAAAAAATTTTCAAAAAATTTTTCTAAAAAAATCCTCTCATGAATGTTAATTTACAACAAACAAACAAACCAAATAATCTCAAATTTTCACTCGTCCCAATTTGTCTAACCAATTGTTTTGTGACCAAATTATAAACAGAAATTCCTAACGGAGTTGGATAAATAATAAAGTTGCTAGAATCATCAAAAATTAATTTTATGTAGCGAAACACGGAAGAATCCCTTGTCGCCATTTCCTTTTCTAAAGCAACTCTACGAGTCCATTCCATTGGTGGAAGTCCATTTCCTCTATTTTTAAAATAAATTTTATTCAGTTCCAGAATTTCAAAGTGGGTCATTGGTGAACATATAAAATAATGGCCATCAATCGGATTCGAACCCACACCCAATAAATAATGAAAACTGAAAACTATGCAACTTAACCAAAAGGACACAAATGGCCATTTCAGTGTGCGAATTCAATGAGAGGCATTTAAATGCGGTTCTCATACATATATTGTTATTTAATTTTTCATTTTAAAAATAATAAAAATCATTAAAAATTTCAAACTTTGTTTCATTTCCCATTTGAATATATTTTTCAATCGTTTCATCCAATTTTAAAATTATTTTGCCACTTAATAAATTAAAAATATAAATAAAACAATTGCTAGCAAAAATGGCAAATATTCTTCCATTTGGACTTATTGACATTGAACGTGGAATTTGTTTTATCTAAATTTGAAAAAAATATAAACTGAAATTCCCAAAGGAGTTGGCTAAAAATAAGACCACGAACGTTATGATAAAATAATGAACACCGACCGTATTCGAACCCACAAGATGAATAACGGAAAACTGCAAACTACCCAACCTAAACAAAAGGACATAAAATGGGCAAAACATTTAATAAAATAACGATATAAAAGAGTTGAAGAAACTTATTTTTAAAAATTTTTACCTTACAAAATTCATACAAATCTGTATCCATTTTATATTTGAAATCAACAGAAGTAGGAAATTCATAATTTGATTTTGTTCCAGACCAATATTCAATCTAACAAAATTTTTTAATTTAATAAAAGAATAAAATTAATACCATTCCCATGTCATCTATAGAAATTGTAACATCGGGAATTGCTGCATACTTAAAAATTGAAAGTTATTTGAGAAAATAAAAAGTTAACACTAAAGAACGTTAAAATAAAAATATGACTAGTGAACGGGTTCGAACCTCAACTAGTATAAAAATGGAAAACTTCCAAACTACACCCACTTTACCAAAAAACTACAAGCTATCCAACTTAACCAAAATGCGATAAAAATCAAGCTATTTAATTTCTCGAATAAAATAAATCCCTCGAGCGGATTCGAACCTACAACCATAAAAACGGAAAACTACAACTACCCAACTTAACCAAAATGCCATAAAATGGCCAAACATTTAAACAAAAACCTGCATTAAAATAACAGGCCGTTGGTGTAGCTTATCAAGCAGATAAATTGGTTCATTATTCCCATTGGAGTCAACAATAATTATATTACCAGAACGGGCATCAGAAACAGCTAGAGCATTGACAAGATCAGAACCTAAAAAAAATTTTTTTTAATTAGAAAATTAAAAAGAAACCTTGATGAACAAAACAAACAATTCTTGGATTAAATTCAAATTTAAACATATTCTAAAATATAAATTAAATTTTAGAAAAAATTCTTTTACTTACAATCATATCAAAATTAACGACATCAAAAACTTTGACAGAACGATCTTGTGTGCAACATGTAGCAATTAAAGAACCATTATGGTTGACAGTTATATCAGAAAATTCTTCTAAAATGTTTATATTTTTTATAGGGAAACTAAAAACTATCCAACTTAACCAGACATTAAATGGGCAATTATTGTTTAGTGTCAAATAAAATAAAAATCTCGACCGGGTTCGAACCCACAACCGAAATGGAAAACTACCCAACTTAACCAAATGACAAAAAGCTTCCAAATGGCTCGAAATAAAAAACAGAGGACAAAATACGAGAATTTTGAAAATAAAAAAGGGACTCGTAAGCGACATTACCACCCAATTAAACTTAAGTTTAAAACCCTGGATTTCCCAGAGGAATTCCTAAACTAATATAAAAAATAAAAAATATACTTAAATGACATCGAAAATGTTTAACAAATTCAATTCCTTCATTGTGCTTTTTCTTCCAAAATTTCAAGTGTCCATCTTGACTTGCCGTTACTATAAAATCTTTTCTAAAAAATATCAAAAATAATTTTTTAAATTATAAATTAAACTCTGTTGCCAAAACGTGTGTAATCGTATCTCTGTGCATAAATGATTTTTCATATTGCGAAGCCTTTGGAATTGCACGTAGATAAACTTGTTCATATTTTAAGGCTTAAAAATGTTAAATTTTTATTAATTTTTTGAATAATCATTAGAGAAATAGGTCAAAAAATGTACATGTAAAAATTCGTAAATTCTTAAACACTGTGGATAAAACTTAGATTATTGGAGCGCTTGCTCATTTTCGCCCGCCATATTTTCTGGCCAAAGGGTTCTAATTTACAAAATTCAAAAAAAAACAAACTTGGATCGTTCCTCAATTTCTTAGGTTCTGGGGAAATTGCATCCTCTTTTCTTGATATTTTATGTATTGAAAATGAGGTTAAATCAGCTCCATCACCAGCATCATGAATAGAACATTGGGGCACTTCTGTTTCCTCCGAATTGTTTTCGACAATATTTGACATGTTTTAGCCTATCTAAATAGAAAAAAATGTGAAGAAACAAAAAAATCAATAGGCACCAACATTCAAAGAAATCAAATTGTTTTACATCAATTAAAAAACAAAAATAAATGAAAACATATTTTTATCTAGAGGTATCGCGAATTACACAATTAAAAATCTAAAATAATATTTTTATTTCCCAATTCTTTGTAGTCTTCTTCCTTTAATTTTGATGCAGTGTATTTAAACTTGAAGTCGTAGCAAAATATAGCACCATCATGCTTATACTCGAATATTTTCATGCAACCCCAACTTCCTCTATTCAAAATCACCTTTTCCGTTTTATAATTCCCCAGTTTTTGTTCGACTTCATTTGGATCAATTTGTTCAACTATTTGAATAAATTCCTCCACTTCCTCAATACAAAAGGATATTTCATCGAAGTCTGCTATATGTTTACTGAAAAATATTCTCAATATAATAAAAATTATCAAAAATTACGATTTTGCTTTAAAAAGGAGATATTCATCCAACAACCCTCCAGAACATTCAATTAAGATTTTACTAAGCACAATGATGGCACATTGTGATTTCACATCAATAAAAAAATTTTTTGCAAAGTATCTTTTAACGCAACATGCGAATCCACCCCACAGCTTAAAAAATTCACATCTAAATTGGAAATAATATAAAAACCTTTTCGATGCATTGATTTATTTCCAAATTCGCCTTACATTCACGAGCCTTTTTCATCAAGTCCATAGGCAAATATTTCACCTATTTTGAAAACAAATTAATACAAATAAGAAAGGAATAAAATAACTTTTTCAAATCCATTCTCAGTATATTCATAAAACACAAAATGCTGATTCAATAGTTCAAAATAAAAATCAGCATCATAAGCAGACTTTCTCTTTATTTTATCCAACACAGAAGGGTTTTGAGAAGCAAGAAAATCACGGAAATTTTTTAATTTCCTTTCAATATTAAGCGATCTTTCAAGAGAAACCTATAAATAATAAAATAGAAGCAGGAAAATTATAAAAAAACCTCAAACGTTTTTATTATATGATCAAATTCCTCAGCCTTCTTTTCTACTTCAGAAAACTTTTTTTCTTCAGCAAAAATTTTGGCAAGCAAATCTTTTAATTCAATATTTTTCAACTCCTCCTTTTTTAATTGAATATATTCCGATTCGTCAATAGAAACTCTGCTTGATGGCGTCTAAATTAAATTTATACAAAATATAGCAAAAGCAGAAAATAATAAACCGAAGCATTAGACGAATTTGAAGCTGAGAATGGCGAGGATGAATTGGATTGGCTGACTGAATTCTTCTTTCCTTTCTCATTTTGAAACTAAATTTTAAAGATTAGCATAAAGACATAAATAAAAAGATTTTCCTCGACATTGACAGTAAAAGTCGTTTGGTGGAATAGGCCCCAGGGAGTCGGTTTCCGGAGGGGGTAAATACGCTTACATATTAAGAGAAAAATAAAAAGGCAAAAAACCTTGTTATTTGAATCCAACGCTATAGTAGGCTTTGATTGTTTTTGAGAAAGTTTGTCCTTGTTTGAATCAACAACTTTTTCCTAGAAATTTAATGATTTTGCAAATATTATTTTTTAATGAAACCTGCACATTCTGCCTATCACCATAAACATTTGTGATCTAAATTGAGATAAACAAAAAAGATACAGACAAAATGGAAAATAATGCAAACCTTAGAAGAAACAATTTTCAGCAAATGCTGCAAATTTGAAGGTCTAGATGAATTGCCTTGTCCATCAAAATTTTCTTTTCCCTCAGCCTAAAATATTAGCATAAATAAATGTTAGAAATTCCAAGCTTCGTGCCACCCCCCATTTTTCATTTAATATATACATAAATAATGATCTGTTTTCTTCTTTCTCTTTTTTCACTTTATTCCCTTGTAACAAATTCAACTAGGGACATTGATAGAGTAATTAATTTTATGGTCGTTTAATTTTTGTTTCAGGAAAACATATCAAGGAATTTCTGTTTAAATGCAAATAAAGAGGAAGGAGAAAACTGATCATTATGTATATTATTAAGGAAAGAAAAGACGGAAAAGTATGGGGTTTGGTAGGCAAATGAAACTAAAAAATGTAGAAAAACCTTATCAGAAGAAAAATTTTTTGCATCTGGAAGTGACTGTGATTCTTTTGCCCTCGAGTCATCAGTTTTGTTTGTCACGTTCTGTTGAGACTTTGTACCCTAGAAATTTAAATTGATTTTTATTTTAAATTATGAAATTACTTGAGCATTTTCTTTGTTATCTCCGGTCTGTGGTTGAAGAAAATTCCTCCCTCTTTTCGGTTTGCCTCCCATTTTTTGAAAATTTTTTTTTAAAAATTGCAATATCAAAGGATCTAAAATAAAAATAATTGCTAGTTACAATTATGCACGGCGGAGAGGGCATCTTATATTGTTGCGTTGTGACGAGAGAGGAAATGGATGTAAAGGAAGGATCTGGACTACATCGTGCCAGAATAGGGAGTTTATTCGATTGGTCACCGACCCAATCATTACAGTCTTAAGTTTCAAGCGACCTGTAAAAAAGGACCTTTGCGACAAAGTGGTCCCGACAAAGTGACCCGCGACAACGTGTCCGTTTTTAGCTTGAATAGAAAAAATTTGAAAAAAAAAAATCAATAGGCACCAATATTCAAAAAAATCAAATTGTTTGAATCAATTAAAATACGAAAATAAATGAAAACATATTTTTAAAAGAGGTATTGCGAATTATACAATTAAAAATCTATTAGAAAAAAACCTAATTTATGTCAACAAAAAATTAAATAATATTTCTATTTTCCAATTCTTTATAGTCTTCTTTATCCAACTCTGATGCTGCATATTCAAACTGGAAGTCGTAGGAAAATATAGTTCCAGAATGCTTATACTTGAATATTTTCATCCAACCCCATTTTCTTCTACTTAAAAACACCTTTTCTTCTACTTTGTAATTCCCCAGTTTTTGTTCGACTGCATTTGGATCAATTTTTTCAACTATACGAATAAATTCCTCCACTTTCCCAATACAAAAATATAAATAATCTAACTCCGATGTTTCGTAGTAGGACGTGTGGTTACTGAAAAATATTCTCAATATTTTTAATAATAAAAATTATTAAAAATTACGAATTTGCCATAGAGAGGAGACGTTCATTCAACAACCCACGAGAACATTCCATTAATATTTTACAAAGCACACTTACTGTACTGTGTGATTTTACATCAATAAAGAACTTTTCAGCATAATATCTTTTCACACAACATGCGTATCCACCCCACAACTTAAAAAATTCAGTATATAAATTGAAAATAATATAAAAACTTTTTCGCAGCCTTGATTTATTTCCAACTTAGCCGCATATTCACGAGCCTTTTTCATTAAGTCCATAGGCAAATATTTCACCTATTTTGAAAGCAAATTAATACAAATAAGAAAGGAATAAAATAACCTTCTCAAATCCATTCTTGGTATATTCATAAAGCACAAAGTGTTGGCTCAATAGTTCAAAATAACGAAGAGCATTATAACCAGATTTTCTTTTGATTTCATCCAACACGGAAGGGTTTTGAGAAGCAAGAAAAGCACGGAATTTTTCCAATTTGCTTCCAATATTAAACTTTCTGTCGAGCATAGCCTATAAATTAAAAAACATTAGAAGCAGGAAAATTAAAAAAAAACCTCGAAAGCTTTTTTCATATAATCAAATTCCTCAGCCTTCTTTTCTAGACCAGGAAACTTTTTATCTTCATCAAAAATTTTAGCAAGCAAATCTTTTAATTCAATATTTTCCTTCGCCTTCTTTTTTAATTCAATATATTCAGATTCGTCAATAACTTTGCTTGATGGCGTCTAAATTAAATTTATACAAAATATAGCAAAAGCAGAAAATAATAAACCGAAGCATTAGACGAATGTAAATTTGAAGATGGCGAGGATGAATTGGATTGGCTGACTGAATTCTTCTTTCCTTTCTCGTTTTGAAACTAAATTTTAAAGATTAGATAAAGAAATTAAAAGATGGTTAAATAAACCAAAGGGATGCTTAAATCAGTTAGGCAAAAAACCTTGTTAGAGGAGTCCAACGGCATAGTAGGCTTTGATTGTTTTTGAGAAAGTTTGTACTTGTTTGAATCAATAGCTTTTGCCTGAAATTTAATGATTTTACAAATATTATTTTTCAAGGAAACCTGCACATTCTGCCTATCACCATGAACATTTGTGGTCTAAATTGAAATAAACAAAAGATACAGACAAAATAGAAAATAATGCAAACCTCAACAATTTTATGCAAATGCTGCACATTTGAAGGTCTATATGAATTGCCTTGTCCATCAAAATTTTCTTTTCCCTCAGCCTAAAATATTAGCATAAATGTTTAGATAATCAAAAGATTTTTGTTCAAATGAAACAAAAAAATGTACAAAACCTTATCAGAAGAAACTTTTTTCGCAGCTCGAAATGACTGCCACGCCCTTGCATTGGAATCAGCAATCTTGTTTGTCATATTTTGCAAAGACTCAACACTCTAGAAATGTAAAATTGCTTTTGTTTAAAATTATTGAAACACAAATAACATGCAAAAACCTTATCAGAAGAAACATTTTTTGTATCTGGGAGTGACTGAGAAACTTTAGGTTTCGAGTCATTATTTTTGTTTGACACATTCTGTTGAGACTTTGTACCCTAAAAATTTAAAATCGCTTTTTATTTTAAATTATAAAATTACTTGAACTTTTCCACTGTCAGGTTTTCTTTCCATTTAAATCTTTTTTGAAAATTTTTTAAAATTGTAATTATCAAAGGATCTAAAATAAAAATAATTGTTAGTTACATAAATAAAAATGAAGAAAATATCAAGTTTAAGAAACAATAAAAAAAACGCAAAATGAATTATGGAAAAATTTGCTCACAAAAAAAACGAATCATATAACTTTTAATATTTTTATATAGGGAACAGAAAAAGTGATGTTCTAACAAAATTCGACTGTACTTTAAAAACAACAAAAACAAAAATATATGTATTTCAAAATAATTCTATTTTTCTCCTCGTCTTTCTCCAATTGGAATCATATTAGCACCGGTTCCAGCCTTTCTTTTACTTTTAAATTTATTTGTAATTTGATTTGAACGGAAATTTTGTTGTTCAAAAATTGGTTTGAACATTTTTGGTCTATTTTGTTGTAAAATTCTTTGAGGAGAAGTTTTCAATAATTTATTTTCTTTTAATAATTCAACATTAGTTGTTGCTTCTTCTTTAATTTTTCTTCCAATTTTTATTGCTTCAGAAAACATTTTCATATAAAATTCAATTGAACTTATTGAATCATCATTTCCAGGAATTGGATAACTTATGTAACTTGGGTCTGAAAAAAATTTTTTTTTATTTTGATTCTGATAAAATTAAAATCATTTCCCACCAAAAGGATTCGAACCCGAGACCCCCTACATTCACAAACGAAACTCAAACCCACTACACCACAAAACACAAATATGAGATTCATGCACTAAATAAACCCCATTCTTAATCACTTATAAAAGAAACCAACACTTAAAAAATTTAAAAAAAAATACCACAATTAGAATCAACAACAGCAACAGTTGGAATACACAATTTTGCTGCCTCAATTATTGCTGGATGTCTTTCCATTGCAGAAGTATGTGTATTCAAAAAAATCATTGCATCTGGAAATCTAACTGGACCACCAACATGATCCTTTCTGTTTGTAAAAATATCTTGCCGCCAAAGGCGAGTATGGGAGAAATGTCCTAATTCTGCTGCTGTTTCTTCTACTAATAACATTGATGCTCTTAAATTTTAAAAAATTTTTTCAATTCTAAAAAAATCCGCAAATAAAATTTGCGGACAAATCTTGCGGACTTTTGACATAAAAAACAGGAATGTTACGATGTCACGCGGTACCCTATACTCTAACTTTTTCGACCCAGAATCCGATCCGTTAAACTTTCTAAAAACCTTTTCCCGCTTAATTCCCGTACAAGCCCGCTCCAAAACTCGACACAATTTTTTCTCACCCCGTTAAATTCCTGACACAGAATAAAAAAATACAAAACTAACTTGTTCGTCGTCAAAAATAAAATTTTTCCATCACAATAAGACAATGCAGAAATAAAATTTAAAGCCCTAACCATATATCTTTGAGTAATTTCCAAATCAAAAATACAAACACCGAGGCGTTCTTTAAAAAAACTTTTTTTTAAATTAAAAAAAGAAAAACCTCCAAATAATGCCCATTTCATATTATCATTTAAAGTCCCAATCTAATAAATTTAAAATAAAAATAATTAAAAAAGGAAGGAAAAACCTTATGACCAAAATGAACTCTTGCATTCATAAGTTTTTCAATTGTAACAATATCCATAAAATTGTGCGGATTATCATGTTGCAATATTGGAACAGGATCAATGTATGGCCTAGAAATCTAATTTTGGTTGTCAAACAATTAATGCTAAAAAGCCGAATAGTTTTAGAATAAAGTCAAAAGTTAATGTTTTCTCCATTTCACATGCATGGAAAACGGGCACCGGTAAAACTATCAGATCTATAAAACCCTTCAGGTATCCGAATCTGAACTAAAGAATAAACCCAAAAAGCCCAGAACCTCCAACCAAACTCAAACCTCCCCCTTTATTCAAAAACATGCATGACAAAAGATAATACAAGTAGAGGATAGTCGGTTCAACAAAAATCTTCAAGTACCCGAACCTTAACCAAAGAACAACCCTTACAATCATCGGCTCTCGCCTTTAAACCCCAACACTTATCGTCGTTTAAAAAACAAAATATCACAAAGAAAACCTTAAAAGTTGAGGCCTAACTCTAGCAGAAAGCAATAATTCAGTATTTGGTTCATCTTCTTTAGTATCAAGTGATTCAATTTTGGGTTTATAAAAAGCTGGAGGTTCAAATGCTTTTGGAATATTTTCTGCAGAAATAAATTGACGAAGACCTCGCTGTTGAATTTTTGCAGGAGACAAATAAATAAAATTTTTAAATAAATTAAACTTCATCTAAAAAATTTTTTTTCTTAATTAACGTTAAAATAATTTTAAAAAATAAAATATTAGATTGCAAATATATTCACAAATATTTCACAAAATAATTTTCAAAAAAAAAATAAAATTTATAGTATAAGTAGATTTTTAAAAAAATAAATTTTTTAAGCCGTTAAAACTTAAAAGCAAAAAATGCGATTTAAAAAAAGGAATGGCTTAATAAAAAATAAAATCGCTTATTTTTAATGATCGGATTTGAACTAAAAATTCGTCAAAAAAAACAAAAAAAAATTCAAAAAAAAATTTTTTTAAATAAATCCGATCCTTATTTAATTTTACAAATTTTAGAGTTTCATAAAATTAAAAAAATAAATATATAAGCCTAAATATTGCTTAAAAAATAATTTAAATATATTTAATAAACTAAAAAGGGTGTCACAACGTTTAATCTCTCGTGAAACCGACAACCCTATTCTCAAAAAATATTCATCATCTTTTTTTAAAAAAAACCTCCTTCCAACATCTAAATTCATAATATTCCTAGTTTTATCAAGCAGTAAAACGATGCGAAAGAATTGTTGTCCCATTACCCCAATAGGCCAACTGAAAGAAGAAAATCTTTTCATTTTAATATTTAAAAAACCAACCAAATGAGTAACACCACGATAATCAACAATTTTAATTGGAGTACCACCGTGAGCCGACGGCAAAGGTAATTCACGTTCGGGAACATTATCGCGATAAAACTTTCTTAAAAATTCAAAAAAAATTTTTTTAAGTGAAACTTTTAGAAAAAACCTAAAAGCATTAAAATTGTTCTTTCCTCTCTTTGCCAATTCGTGTGCTTGATATACTGGCGCAGTTAAAGACGTCGCAATGTTTACAATCTAAAAAAGACAATTTTCAAATTATTTAAAAATATAAAAAAACCTGATGGGAATAACTTAATGACATTAGAAATGCTTGAAGTTCGTCCATAGTTATACCAACTCCGTTTTCTAAAACTGCATATTCTATAGCTTTTCCAGTACCCTAAAAATTAAAAAATTGTATCTAAATTGGACATCAAAAAATTAAAAAAACAACCTTTAGTGGTACATGAGGTTGCATATAAAATTCAGTCAAATCAGCCCGCACAATTTGTTGATCAATAACCGAACCTGGTGGAAGGTTAGCGCTGTCAGTTAGCCTAGGTCCGTTCTCGATAAAGAATTTTTTGAAATGACGCTATAAATGAAATTTTTTTTTTAATTTAAAATTAAAAAATCAACCTTAGTTCCGACAATAAGTAAAAAACGTGGACGATAAGAAGGATCATATTCTTTACATCCAATACGAATAGCTTCCAATTCTTCTTTACAAGCCATAGCAAATTGCCCTTCAGAAAGCCCATCACGTATAATAAAAATAAAAGGTGGACGACGATGTTCAGATCGTCGTTGCTCTAAATTACGCAAAATCCAAGAAACTCGATCAGCTAATTGACGCATGTCTAATGCTTCACGACGTGATTCTGTGAAAAAAATTTTCTGGATTATTTCTAAAATAAAATTTTTTTCCACCCTGATAGAAATAATCGCCAACAAAAGCGTGTGGATTGTCTGCCATATTTGCACAAATCTTTTAAAATATAAAAAATAAAATAAAAAATTTCATTTAAATTACCCCAACAACAGAAGGCTCCAACGAACTTAAACTATTCTCCCCTTGAGCCGTCAGTCGTCTCTTGTCTGCTGCTCTCATTGGTGAAGGATGAGCAACATCATAACCAATCGAAAATTTTGAAAAAAAAAAAACAAAAATAAAATTTTCAAACAAATTTCTTACCACCAAAACTTTTCCAGTTTCAAGAGCAAAACGTTTACCAATATCTTCAATTTGTGGTTGATAATTTAAGCCAAAATTCTTCATATTCATTTTATTTAAAACATTTTCGAGTGTCTGACGTTGATTTTTATTGACAATATCCTAAATTTAATTCATGATAAATTTATAAAAAAATATAAAAAATACCCGAGCTTTCTCAAGCGTAACATGTTGTGTTACAATTGGTTTATACATTGCCTCGTATAATCTTAAAAAAAATTTTAAAAATTTATTTTTAAAAATTTTAAAACTTACTTCAACAATCCATGAGTGTCATTGCGTTTCATATCTATCAACATAATAAACTGAATCCGATTACTAGCACATTTTTCGAATTTACTCGACCAGTCACGATCATTATTCTTAAAAATTTAACAATTTTGGCTAGTTGGATATTTTTTGATACACGGTAAACATGGGTTCGAGTCCGGTCGCGGAAATAATTTTTATTTTTGTCGCAAAATATTTAAAATGCTCGACTAGTCATGATTATCGTTCAAAAATTGTTAAACGATTTTGGTTTAGTCGGATAATTCTGAGTTTTTATTCCTTGGACCCAGGTTCGAACCCGGTTGGGGAAATAATTTTTTTATTTTGACGCAGAATAATCGCATCGAAAAAATTAAAAATTTATAAAAATCTCAAAAAAATTTTCCAAACCTCCGAACAACTGAAAGGAACGATTTCAGGTTCTGCTAATTGCATTCCCTTTTGTCTCCCCATATCTAACAACATTCTAGCAAAACGATCAGCAAGTTCACCATCTCGATTAGAACACAAAATAATCCAATTGTGTAATTGCCCCATAGCCTGTAAATATGGAAGACGGCTTCCATCTCTACGCCATTCAGCTTTTTGACTATCGGGCTCAACAACACGATTTTTGAAACGTAAACGAGGCAAAGAACGAACACCAATAACAATCTTTAAAAAAATTTTTTTAAATAAAAATAACAAAAAAACCCGATTCGATTTTTGATCAATTGAGATACCAAAAGCATTTAATACAGGATTTCTATCGTGAAATAAGCCAAGATCCATTCCTAATCTAAAAAATTTTTTTTCAGATTAAAAAATTTTTTTCAATAAAAATACTTATTAATAGCGTCCATTCGTTGACCAGGAAGCATAGAATTAGCCTATGAAGGAATTTTGAAAAAATTTTTTGTTAAAAAATCTTACAACAAGCAATTGTCCCATCAACTCAGATGAAGTTTTTTGAAGAGGAACACGCTGATCCTCCTTTATGAAAAAAATTTTTTACAGACCAAAAATTTTTTACAAACCATAACATTTAAGACTTCCAAAGGAAAAACTTCAGGCTTCTTTCCTGGCGGTAAATAAGAGTTCTAAAAATATTCAAAAAAAATTTAAGAAAAGTTTAAAAGAGAAAACCGATTTAATACAAGGCAAGTCAAGATACTCCAATTTAATATTATATTTCCAAAGAAAATATTCTGCCAAAGACATTCTTTTAGTTCCTGCACCATTAGGCAAGTCAACATCAATACTTAAAAAAATTTTTTTAAGTTAATTTTTGGCTATATCTACATAATTTCAAGCCCCCTGGGGAACTTAGGACCTACAGAACTTAAGTTATTTGGGGGTTAATATGAGGAAATAGAGATGGATGGGAAGGGTCGTACGAGAAGATCGCGAAAAATATGACCGAGAACTTATTGTTTACAAGATTATAATCGAGAGTAAAGTCTTTGAAATGAGGACATGCCATTTTTTAGTCCTTTCTGATTTGGTAAATCCTAAAGGAAAACTAAAAATAAATTGTGAAGACTGGCAAAAATGACAGAAATTGACACTCCAATCTTCACAGTGCCTTATCCACTTGCTGACAAAAAAAACCCAGTTCTTAACCAAATTACAAAGATAATTTAAAAAAACCAACTATAAATCTCTCAAAGGTTTTTCAGTAAATTTGCCCAATTGAAAAGTTCTTGTACGTCTATAAACAACTTCAACACGCAAATCTTCTAATAAACGTTCAACTTCTTGCCAAACTTTTGGTGGATGATCTGAAAGACGTGTTTGACGACCATTTGATCTTGGTAGCATGTCCAAAACAGTCAAATGCAAAGCTTGTGGTTCAAAAAACAAAGCAACTTTTGCTAGAAATTTTTTTAAAATTATTTTTCAAAGAATTTTCAAAAGAATTTTTCAAGATGTATGGGGAAAGAAAATTCGTATTTGGATATTGAGAGGCAGAAAACAGTAAAAAACGCAGAAACCGCTGCCCACTTAATCCAATTTTTTAAATCACATAAGCGTGATCCCAAGAAATTAAACTCACAAAAAACAAATATAGGAACGAATTAACAATTTCCACATTTAAATATTAAAAAATAAAAATATAAACCATCCAAGACAACAGCAGCTCTCGGTCCTTTGTTGTTATTTCCTCCTCCATTTTTCCCATTAGTAAATGGGTTATCGTTCTTAATAACTTTAACACCCTTTGAAAGTCCTTTACGCAAATACATTCCATTACCAACACGCTTAGGATTTTGACTTGGATCAAAGTACTCGAAAAGTTTTCCAGCTCCAATTGATACAAATAATTCGCTAAAATATTAAAAATTTTATAAAATATGACTAGTCGTTTTTTTGGAAAATCGGAAACAGAAAAAAGGCAGTGATTCTTCGTGGACTAAAAACTCTGTCCACTTAGAGGATTCAAAACTCTGTCCACTTTTTGACTAAAGATGGTCAATTCAAGACCCGATCCACTTCTTGATAGATGATCCGGTCCATTCAAGACCCGGACCACATCTCTAAAATTAAAAAAGGAACAAACTTGTTTAATGCAAATTGCGATATAGCAATTTCAAAGAATGTTCTAAGGGAATGATCTTCATTGAATACGCTTGTTCCATTCATATATTGAGTAAAATCGTTCAAATCCAATTCCGGCACAGACGAATTTCTTTTAATATGAACAAGAAAACGAACATTTTGTCCATCACCACAATAAGCACGAACATAATCATTAACCTGGTGATTTTCTAGAATAAATTGATGACCTCCCTGTACATCAAATGGTTGTATAGGCATGGAAGTGAACTAGAAAATTGAAAAAATAAACAAAAATGGAGATTCGAAGCAATTATTTTCTAAAGTTATCGGGCAGGAATCGAAATTGAGAACTTCGGGGAGGTGCCTCCTAGTCAGAGTTACCGACTGGTGTGAGTGGAATCTGACTGAAGCACAATGGCTTAACCAGAGTCAGATTTCAAGGCGGGATCCAACCATCTTAATCCCTTGTGGAGCGTATCTTATTCCTAAACTCCCGTACAAATGTTAGCAAGCTGGTGGATCATACTTTCTGTGTAATTTGAAGAAACGAGGATAATAACTAAAAAGAAACAAGGCGGAAGGCCTATCTTTGTAGGCGTCCTTTAAATCTTTTTAATATAAAAAATTAATAACCATAACAGCTTTGCAATCATAAACAATCTCATGACCAACAGGCATTCCAAATCGATTGTTAGTTGTAAATGCCAATGTAATTAGTTCGAAGCACAGATTGCGATTTAGAGCACGCTGTCCACTACAAAAATACATTCTTTCAAATTCATTAAAACAAAAACTAACTCATCAGCTCCTCTTACAAGACTTTTGCCCTCATCCATAGCTCCATTACGTTTAGGCATAGGAAGTCGACTTATGTCAACATCATAGCGAAAAGCTCTTCGACCAGGCTCCACTTTAAGTGTATAAATGGAGCATATGCCCTGACACTTTTGGACGAAACCAGTTGCTGGTAGCATTGGCGGAGGACAGGACAACTATCAAAATTTAATCATTAAAATGTTTAAGAACAAAAAACCTCATCCACACGCTTCTGAGATGGCATCAACTCTTTCTGTTGCTGTTGAACTGGAGGAGCCATCATATGTGCGGGGAGCGATTGCTGCTCAGGCTGTGAAGAGGTGGATGAACTGCTTCTAGCCGGTTCTTCGCGATATCCCTAAAAAAGAATCTTTAGAAATTATCTAAATAAATTGATCAATAATCCTCTGGTTTACAATTCACTAAAAATTGGGGGTAATCTTCAGGGAAGTCTGAAAGCTAAAAAAATCAAAATAAAGGAACAAACCTTTGCAAAACTAAAAGTAAACCAAAAGATTGCCGTTCAATTAAATTACTTGTGAGAATCCTTGTGGTCCACGAGAACTACCACCTCCTCTATCCTGCCCTCCTCGAGGTTGGTAGCCTCCTCCACCGCCTCGAGATTGATAACCCCCTCCTCCACCTCCACGATGCCCACCACCGCCTCCGCCACCGCGATATCCACCACTACTTCCTTCATCACGTCGTCCGCCACCTCCACCGCCTCTTTGACCTCCACCACCACCTCCCCCTCGTGATCCACCACCACCTCCATAACCACGTTGGCCTCCTCCGCTTCTACCATCGCTTCGTTGCATTTTAGAATAACAAGATAATATATAAATGAATAAGCAAGCTAAAAATGAAAAAATAAAAATGGTACAATTTTGTTTAAAAATATTCTTTCGGGAGTATGACTAATAGAAAAAATCAATAAGAAAAGGTCAAATTTCAATGAAAATAAATTTTAAGACAAAATCAAAAAAATATTTAAATTGGATTTTAAAAAACCAACAAAAAAAGAAAAAATTTAAATGTCGTTCATTAATTTATCACAACAAAAAAAGGCAATAATAGGCAAAATGGTAATAGTAACGTTTACGGGCCCCCTTTTTCCTTCCAAGTTAATATGTCAAAATGGTCAGACTTTTTCCTTTCTTCCATCCCAAAATTTTGCTTTTCTATATTTTGCCAAAACTTAGGGGAAGGAAAAAAAGGTGGTCAGTAAACGATACTATTCCCGGCAAATATACACTGCTCCACATAATTATAAGTCCACCCCTTTTTTCGGGATTTTTTGACTCACAGTGATCCAAATTTTCTGGAAATTTAGAAACACACCTTTTAGTGAATAACTAACAAGGTGTGATTCGATTTTTGGCTGAATTTTTTTTAAAAAATTTTTAGACCAAAATTTGCGTTTTCGGCCTCCACAAAATTATAAGTCCACTTTTCAAAAAAGATATTTCCAAGTATAGGAAAAATCTACAAAAATTCTAGCAACAATACATAATGATATTATGAATAAATAAAAAAAAATTAGACCCGTATCTTTACCCGGAGCTGAGATCCTGAGACCTCGAAAAGCAACGTAAAACGGGGGTAAGGTCTTCAAAAAAATTTTTTCGACCCCTTATCGATTATTTTCGATTTTGATTTTGGGCTCATTCGAAAGCCCTTGAAATTTGCTACAAGATAGCAATAGTCTTATTTCTCAGAAAAATTCCATAGAGAGATACAAGACGATAAACTTTCTATGTGTCATTAGAGGGGATTTTATGGGGGCATTTAGACGATTTTTGCTGCATCAGAAGATTAACGGCCCGTATCTTTCTAATCGAATTTCCTATAAAATTTCATTAATGCTATCTTGTAGCAAATTTCAAGGGCTTTCGAATGAGCCCAAAATCAAAATCGAAAATAATCGATAAGGGGTCGAAAAAATTTTTTTGAAGACCTTACCCCCGTTTTACGTTGATTTTCGAGGTCTCAGGATCTCAGCTCCGGGTAAAGATACGGGTCTAATTTTTTTTTATTTTTTCATAATATCATTATGTATTGTTGCTAGAATTTTTGTAGATTTTTCCTATACTTGGAAATATCTTTTTTGAAAAGTGGACTTATAATTTTGTGGAGGCCGAAAACGCAAATTTTGGTCTAAAAATTTTTTAAAAAAAAATTCAGCCAAAAATCGAATCACACCTTGTTAGTTATTCACTAAAAGGTGTGTTTCTAAATTTCCAGAAAATTTTGATCACTGTGAGTCAAAAAATCCCGAAAAAAGGGGTGGACTTATAATTATGTGGAGCAGTGTATGTATGTATAACCAATAACCGGTAAATAAATAGAAGGTCCAAAAGATTGGTTAAAACAATTTGAAAGAGCAAATAAAATTTAAATAAATTCTCTATTGTTAACAAATCCTTTAGAGAAATAAATAGGATTTTGTATAAATTATTGCGAATCAGATTTGAAAAAAAAAAAACAAAAAAAGAGATTGAACCCTTTTTTGAGAATAATAAATTGAGAAAAAAAAATATATTATTTTTTTGGAATGAGATGAGAGAAAAATCAAGTCAAAAAATGAGATTTTTGACAATTAAAATAAAAAAATTTGTCCTCATAAATGAGAGTATATAACGGGTCAACTAACAATAATCTATTAACAAAACTAGCAGACAAAAAACAAACAAAACTTAAAGTTTAATTTTCGTCCATTCATTACTTGCCACATAATCAAAAGCAAACGGTCCCGCTCCATAAATGCGATCATGATGAGGAATTTTCGTGAATTTAACATCGCAAAATAATTTAGAATCTCCTTTTTTCTTCGGTAGATGAGTTTTAAGAACAGCCCGAACATCATCTATGTTAATTTGAGAAAAATAAAGTACGATTTCGCCAGCAATATCAATGTATTTCTCAACAACTTCTCTACGGTCTGAGCCACAATAAAAATTGACATGGGCACTTAAAATAAAATATAAGAATATAGCTAGCCTTGGGTTATTAAAATTTTGGGGTCCCTTTTAAGCTTAAGAAAGGACACACGAGTTTTTGAACCTTGTCCTTAAAATAATTCCAAAATAGTTAATAAATTTTACATACTTTTGAATAGTGTCAATAAGATAGTTTCGAAAATATTTTTGGTCATGATGAAAGGTGGAGAGAAACAAAGCCAATTTATTGATACTTGTATGTGAAAGAATTCTAATCTCAAATTCCAGAAAAAAATAAGCCAATGTAGCAACATAAGCAGACCAACACTAAAAAATAATAATAAAAGATAAATTTTTAAAAATTAAAAAAAAAAACCATTTCCGAGCAAAGAACCCAATCATTTTCTAGTTCTAAAAATTGAATTGCCCTATCAATGCACATCTGTGGATTTGTGTATTCCATCTGACTAAACGCTATTGCACGAATTCGTTTGTTTTGTCTGATAACTTTTAACATCCTGAGAAGAAAAGCTTCTTTGCCGCTTTGTGTAGTCTTTTGTAGATAAGGAGTCAATATTTTTGAAGGAGCATTAAGACGGTGCAAAATAATATTCTCGTTCAAATTGTCAGTCCTACAACATGAGAAAATTGTAAAAAACAAAAAAATCACAAACTTGACAAAATTAACAAAAAATCCATCCAATTTTGGTTTATACAATTGAATGTAGCTAGATTGAGACGATTGGAGGTAACATTCCTTGTTCATTAACCGCGGAAGGTTACAAGTCAAAAGTCTAAAATTTATTGAAATTCAATTAGCTTTAAAAATTAACCGAGAAGCATTGTCCAAATATTTTAATCCCAACATTCCTTCAAAAAAATGTAATTTCTTCAATTTCTTTTAAACCAAATTCTCTAAAAATTAAATAGAAAAAAGTTTAACATGATAAAAGATATTTAAATTAATTTGAAAAATTTCAAAAAGAATTTTTAGACGTCTATCATCAATTTATTACAACAGAAAATACAGAGAAAAACGGATCAATTAAATATTCCTTTTCAAAAGTTACAACACATTAAGCTCCAAAAAGATCATCCAGAAAATTTTTGAACAAAAGAACAATTCAACAAAACTCTCCAAAATTTTTCTCAATATAATCATCAGCCTTCGTTAACATTTCTTTCATTTCCTCACGTCCAGTCAAATCCAAAGCATCAGATAACTTGACCCAACGAAAATCCAAATGTTCATGTGAAAGCTTAACTTGAAGATTAATATCATTTGCTTTAGCCAACCAATAAGTGACCTGCAAAAGAAAAATTTTAAATTGAAGAGAACTTGTAGAATTTTTTCTGCCTACAGGAAATAATGTAATGAAAGGGAAAAGTATAGTCCAACAACTTTTTGTTAGTCGATAAAGCGACTTTCCTAGCAATAAGAGACAGGAGCCGAAACCAAACAGTACAAACTAAGCGACCCTCTTTCCAATTATTGCTAAGGGCTTAAATCATCGATTAAACCCTTACTATCGACCGGGCACCGGAATGGAACAGGATAAATCTTAGACCCAACCTAAGCAGTTTATATGTTAGCCATTAGGATCACAACATTCCCCAAACAAAATTTATCCTATAGTGTATTTTAATGTCCTATCGTTACATGATATTAGGCAGAAGCCACAAATAATAAAGTTTAGCTCACCGGGCAGGAATCGAACCTTCGCATTTTGTTAGGGTCATCTATGCGCTTATTGCTAGGCGCTTCACTCATCACATACAAAGATAGGTGCCCAATGATGAGGAATAACCAGAAGAACTATAGAGGGTAGCGGTACTCGATATTGATAGGGAAAACGGATTTTCAAGACAAATGGAAAATTCCACAGGGTCTGATCCCACCCAATCAACCAATTGTTAACCGTTTTAATTCACAAACCCGCTTCAATTCCGAATTGACATAGTAAAACATTTCATGCTTAAAATCCTTAATAAGAGTCAACTTCTCATTTGCATCAATTCCAGACTCTTCCTTAACTTCTCGAATTGCAGCCTGCCACTCATTTTCGCCTGGATCAGCATGACCTAGAAACACGTATTTAATTAACACAACAACCCAAAAAAAACCTTTCGGAGGTGTACAATGATATGAATACCAGAAGATTGCAAAAGCAGGTATTCCACAAAATTAGAATTTTTCCTATAAATTAACAAGCCAGCTCCACGAATCGATGGTTGAACAGAATCCAAAGAAAATCAAAATAGTTCCGACCAGCTTTCTAGTCTTAAAATTTTCAAAAAAAAATTTTAAAAAATTCAAAAACAAACGTAGAACAACACAATCTTTGTCCACCACCATTTTGTGAAGGTGTACATTCAAATCCAGTAGGGCATATTCTTTTATTACTTGTTGAATGACAAACAACTGGACGTTTTCCATAAAGATAAGGGGAACGATCATTTGGACATTCAACAACAATGGTGAAGTACTTTATAGGTATCTAAATTGAAAAAAAAAGAACAAAAAATTATAAAAAATTAAAATTGGATTTTAAAAACCAACTAGAAAAAGAAAAAATTAAATGTCGTTCATTAATTTATCACAACAAAAAAAGGCAATAATAGGCAAAATAGTAATAGTAACGTTTACGGGCCCCCTTTTTTCCTCCCAAGTTTATATTCCAGAATGGTTAGACTTTTTCCTTTCTTCCATCCTAATTTGCTCTATTCCTGCCTACAAACAATCAAAACTTCGGGAAAGGAAAAAAAAGGTGGTCAATAAACGATACTATTCCCAGCAAATATATGTATGTATAACCAATAACCGATAAATAAAGAGAAGGTCCAAAAGATTGGTTAAAACAATTTGAAAGAGCAAATAAAATTTAAATAAATTCTCTATTGTTAACAAATCCTTTAGAGAAATAAATAGGATTTTGTATAAATTATTGCGAATCAGATTTGAAAAAAAAAACAAAAAAAGAGATTGAACCCTTTTTGAGAATAATAAATTGAGAAAAAAAAAATATATTATTTTTTTGGAATGAGATGAGAGAAAAATCAAGTCAAAAAATGAGATTTTTGACAATTAAAATAAAAAAATTTGTCCTCATAAATGAGAGTATATAACGGGTCAACTAACAATAATCTATTAACAAAACTAGCAGACAAAAAACAAACAAAACTTAAAGTTTAATTTTCGACCATTCATTACTTGCCACAAAATCAAAAGCAAACGGTCCCGCTCCATAAATGCGATCATGATGAGGAATTTTCGTGAATTTAACATCGCAAAATAATTTAGAATCTCCTTTTTTCTTCGGTAGATGAGTTTTAAGAACAGCCCGAACATCATCTATGTTAATTTGAGAAAAATAAAGTACGATTTCGCCAGCAATATCAATGTATTTCTCAACAACTTCTCTACGGTCTGAGCCACAATAAAAATTGACATGGGCACTTAAAATAAAATATAAGAATATAGCTAGCCTTGGGTTATTAAAATTTTGGGGTCCCTTTTAAGCTTAAGAAAGGACACACGAGTTTTTGAACCTTGTCCTTAAAATAATTCCAAAATAGTTAATAAATTTTACATACTTTTGAATAGTGTCAATAAGAAGTCGAAGATATTTTTGTTCATGATGAAAGGTGGAGAGAAACAAAGCCAATTTATTGATACTTGTATGTGAAAGAATTCTAATCTCAAATTCCAGAAAAAAATAAGCCAATGTAGCAACATAAGCAGACCAACACTAAAAAATAATAATAAAAGATAAATTTTTAAAAATTAAAAAAAAACCATTTCCGAGCAAAGAACCCAATCATTTTCTAGTTCTAAAAATTGAATTGCCCTATCAATGCACATCTGTGGATTTGTGTATTCCATCTGACTAAACGCTATTGCACGAATTCGTTTGTTTTGTCTGATAACTTTTAACATCCTGAGAAGAAAAGCTTCTTTGCCGCTTTGTGTAGTCTTTTGTAGATAAGGAGTCAATATTTTTGAAGGAGCATTAAGACGGTGCAAAATAATATTCTCGTTCAAATTGTCAGTCCTACAACATGAGAAAATTGTAAAAAACAAAAAAATCACAAACTTGACAAAATTAACAAAAAATCCATCCAATTTTGGTTTATACAATTGAATGTAGCTAGATTGAGACGATTGGAGGTAACATTCCTTGTTCATTAACCGCGGAAGGTTACAAGTCAAAAGTCTAAAATTTATTGAAATTCAATTAGCTTTAAAAATTAACCGAGAAGCATTGTCCAAATATTTTAATCCCAACATTCCTTCAAAAAAATGTAATTTCTTCAATTTCTTTTAAACCAAATTCTCTAAAAATTAAATAGAAAAAAGTTTAACATGATAAAAGATATTTAAATTAATTTGAAAAATTTCAAAAAGAATTTTTAGACGTCTATCATCAATTTATTACAACAGAAAATACAGAGAAAAACGGATCAATTAAATATTCCTTTTCAAAAGTTACAACACATTAAGCTCCAAAAAGATCATCCAGAAAATTTTTGAACAAAAGAACAATTCAACAAAACTCTCCAAAATTTTTCTCAATATAATCATCAGCCTTCGTTAACATTTCTTTCATTTCCTCACGTCCAGTCAAATCCAAAGCATCAGATAACTTGACCCAACGAAAATCCAAATGTTCATGTGAAAGCTTAACTTGAAGATTAATATCATTTGCTTTAGCCAACCAATAAGTGACCTGCAAAAGAAAAATTTTAAATTGAAGAGAACTTGTAGAATTTTTTCTGCCTACAGGAAATAATGTAATGAAAGGGAAAAGTATAGTCCAACAACTTTTTGTTAGTCGATAAAGCGACTTTCCTAGCAATAAGAGACAGGAGCCGAAACCAAACAGTACAAACTAAGCGACCCTCTTTCCAATTATTGCTAAGGGCTTAAATCATCGATTAAACCCTTACTATCGACCGGGCACCGGAATGGAACAGGATAAATCTTAGACCCAACCTAAGCAGTTTATATGTTAGCCATTAGGATCACAACATTCCCCAAACAAAATTTATCCTATAGTGTATTTTAATGTCCTATCGTTACATGATATTAGGCAGAAGCCACAAATAATAAAGTTTAGCTCACCGGGCAGGAATCGAACCTTCGCATTTTGTTAGGGTCATCTATGCGCTTATTGCTAGGCGCTTCACTCATCACATACAAAGATAGGTGCCCAATGATGAGGAATAACCAGAAGAACTATAGAGGGTAGCGGTACTCGATATTGATAGGGAAAACGGATTTTCAAGACAAATGGAAAATTCCACAGGGTCTGATCCCACCCAATCAACCAATTGTTAACCGTTTTAATTCACAAACCCGCTTCAATTCCGAATTGACATAGTAAAACATTTCATGCTTAAAATCCTTAATAAGAGTCAACTTCTCATTTGCATCAATTCCAGACTCTTCCTTAACTTCTCGAATTGCAGCCTGCCACTCATTTTCGCCTGGATCAGCATGACCTAGAAACACGTATTTAATTAACACAACAACCCAAAAAAAACCTTTCGGAGGTGTACAATGATATGAATACCAGAAGATTGCAAAAGCAGGTATTCCACAAAATTAGAATTTTTCCTATAAATTAACAAGCCAGCTCCACGAATCGATGGTTGAACAGAATCCAAAGAAAATCAAAATAGTTCCGACCAGCTTTCTAGTCTTAAAATTTTCAAAAAAAAATTTTAAAAAATTCAAAAACAAACGTAGAACAACACAATCTTTGTCCACCACCATTTTGTGAAGGTGTACATTCAAATCCAGTAGGGCATATTCTTTTATTACTTGTTGAATGACAAACAACTGGACGTTTTCCATAAAGATAAGGGGAACGATCATTTGGACATTCAACAACAATGGTGAAGTACTTTATAGGTATCTAAATTGAAAAAAAAAGAACAAAAAATTATAAAAAATTAAAATTGGATTTTAAAAACCAACTAGAAAAAGAAAAAATTAAATGTCGTTCATTAATTTATCACAACAAAAAAAGGCAATAATAGGCAAAATAGTAATAGTAACGTTTACGGGCCCCCTTTTTTCCTCCCAAGTTTATATTCCAGAATGGTTAGACTTTTTCCTTTCTTCCATCCTAATTTGCTCTATTCCTGCCTACAAACAATCAAAACTTCGGGAAAGGAAAAAAAAGGTGGTCAATAAACGATACTATTCCCAGCAAATATATGTATGTATAACCAATAACCGATAAATAAAGAGAAGGTCCAAAAGATTGGTTAAAACAATTTGAAAGAGCAAATAAAATTTAAATAAATTCTCTATTGTTAACAAATCCTTTAGAGAAATAAATAGGATTTTGTATAAATTATTGCGAATCAGATTTGAAAAAAAAAACAAAAAAAGAGATTGAACCCTTTTTGAGAATAATAAATTGAGAAAAAAAAAATATATTATTTTTTTGGAATGAGATGAGAGAAAAATCAAGTCAAAAAATGAGATTTTTGACAATTAAAATAAAAAAATTTGTCCTCATAAATGAGAGTATATAACGGGTCAACTAACAATAATCTATTAACAAAACTAGCAGACAAAAAACAAACAAAACTTAAAGTTTAATTTTCGACCATTCATTACTTGCCACAAAATCAAAAGCAAACGGTCCCGCTCCATAAATGCGATCATGATGAGGAATTTTCGTGAATTTAACATCGCAAAATAATTTAGAATCTCCTTTTTTCTTCGGTAGATGAGTTTTAAGAACAGCCCGAACATCATCTATGTTAATTTGAGAAAAATAAAGTACGATTTCGCCAGCAATATCAATGTATTTCTCAACAACTTCTCTACGGTCTGAGCCACAATAAAAATTGACATGGGCACTTAAAATAAAATATAAGAATATAGCTAGCCTTGGGTTATTAAAATTTTGGGGTCCCTTTTAAGCTTAAGAAAGGACACACGAGTTTTTGAACCTTGTCCTTAAAATAATTCCAAAATAGTTAATAAATTTTACATACTTTTGAATAGTGTCAATAAGAAGTCGAAGATATTTTTGTTCATGATGAAAGGTGGAGAGAAACAAAGCCAATTTATTGATACTTGTATGTGAAAGAATTCTAATCTCAAATTCCAGAAAAAAATAAGCCAATGTAGCAACATAAGCAGACCAACACTAAAAAATAATAATAAAAGATAAATTTTTAAAAATTAAAAAAAAACCATTTCCGAGCAAAGAACCCAATCATTTTCTAGTTCTAAAAATTGAATTGCCCTATCAATGCACATCTGTGGATTTGTGTATTCCATCTGACTAAACGCTATTGCACGAATTCGTTTGTTTTGTCTGATAACTTTTAACATCCTGAGAAGAAAAGCTTCTTTGCCGCTTTGTGTAGTCTTTTGTAGATAAGGAGTCAATATTTTTGAAGGAGCATTAAGACGGTGCAAAATAATATTCTCGTTCAAATTGTCAGTCCTACAACATGAGAAAATTGTAAAAAACAAAAAAATCACAAACTTGACAAAATTAACAAAAAATCCATCCAATTTTGGTTTATACAATTGAATGTAGCTAGATTGAGACGATTGGAGGTAACATTCCTTGTTCATTAACCGCGGAAGGTTACAAGTCAAAAGTCTAAAATTTATTGAAATTCAATTAGCTTTAAAAATTAACCGAGAAGCATTGTCCAAATATTTTAATCCCAACATTCCTTCAAAAAAATGTAATTTCTTCAATTTCTTTTAAACCAAATTCTCTAAAAATTAAATAGAAAAAAAGTTTAATATAATAAAAGATATTTAAATTAATTTGAAAAATTTCAAAAAGAAAAATTAAACGACTATCATCAATTTATTACAACAGAAAATACAGAGAAAAAACGGAAACCAACATTAAAGCTCATTAAAAAATAATTGGATTTCGTTCACATCTACATACTAAAAAAGCCAAATAAATGTCAATTCGTCTTCAATTTAAAATTAGTATTGAGCTTTAAACATTGGCAAATTAGAGGACGGGTGGAATGGAAGGAGACATTATTTGACATCGAATATGTGACGGAGCATATTAATTGTATTAGAATGACTTTTGACGAGAAGAGAGAGTCACATATTCAATGAGAAGTAGAAATTTCATTTTTTATTAAATAAATATTCCTTTTCAGAAGTTACAACACATTAAGCTCCTAAAAGATCATCCAGAAAATTTTTGAACAAAAGAACAATTCAACAAAACTCTCCAAAATTTTTCTCAATATAATCATCAGCCTTCGTTAACATTTCTTTCATTTCCTCACGTCCAGTCAAATCCAGAGCATCAGATAACTTGACCCAACGAAAATCCAAATGTTCATGCGAAAGCTTAACTTGAAGATTAATATCATTTGCTTTAGCCAACCAATAAGTGACCTGCAAAAGAAAAATTTTAAATTGAAGAGAACTTGTAGAATTTTTTCTGCCTACAGGAAATAATGTAATGAAAGGGAAAAGTATAGTCCAACAACTTTTTGTTAGTCGATAAAGCGACTTTCCTAGCAATAAGAGACAAGAGCCGAAACCAAATAGTACAAACTAAGCGAATCCTTTTTCCAATTATTGCTAAGTAAGAGCTTAAATCATCAATTAAAACCTCACTATAGACCGAGCACCGAGATAGAACATTCCATAAAAAATCTTTGTTCTATAGAGTGGATTCTAATGTCCTATCGATACACGATAATGGGCAGGAGTCGCAAATAATAAAGCAAGTTTAGTTCACCGGATAGGCATCGAACCGTCGAATATAGATAGGGTCATCCATGCACTTATTGCTAGGCACTTCACTCATCACATACAATGATAGGTGTCCAATAATGAGGAATAACCCGAAGAACTATCGAGGGTAGCGGTACTCGATAATGCTAGAGAAAACGGAATTTTCCAGACAAATGTAACATTCCACAGGATTTGTACCCCAACCAAGCGCCCAATTATCCCCCATTTAAATTTTTCACAAACCCGCTTCAATTCCGAATTGACATAGTAAAACATTTCATGCTTAAAATCCTTAATGAGAGTCAACTTCTCATTTGCATCAATACCAGACTCTTCCTTAACTTCTCGAATTGCAGCTTGCCACTCATTTTCGCCTGGATCGACATGACCTAGAAACACTTATTTAATTAACCCAACACACAAAAACCTTTTGGAGGTGTCCAATGATGAGGAATACCCGAAGATTGCAAAAGCAGGTACTCCACAAAATTAGCATTCTTCCTATAAATTAACAAGCCAGCTCCACGAATCTTTGGTTGAACAGAATTCATTAGAAATAAAAAAAATCTACTTAAAAGAATTAAAAATTATCAAAAAAATCATAAAAAAAATTAAATAAAAGGAGAAATAACACAAAAAAAAGAGAAAAGACAAAGAAAAAAATTTTTGGGATATTATGTCATTTAATAATAAAACGCCAATTTTTACATTATTTCAAAACAAAAGACACTAGAGTCTCACGACAAAAATTACAGTGAAGGGTCCTTAGAGTCTCACACCATAAATTACACGAAGGGTCATTCGAGCCAATTACCGTAATGTTGTTTCCCCTTTTAAAGACATTCGCGGAAATTCCTAAACATGTCGAACCCGAAGCCCGGTCCCCCTTTCAATTTCTTCATGTTTGAATGGCTACTTATTAAATTAAAACGATAATAGAATATTTTTGGAAAGTGAGTGAAGTAGAAGATTTGTATAATTTAAATATCACTTCTTCTCTTTCACTAAACGTAAAAATAAAAAAAAATTTAGGCCACTAGACTTTGTTTTTGATTCATCAAAAGAGAGGGGAAAATTTTCCCTTAAAAAAGGATTATTTTCTAAAATTGTGTAATATTGGTGATAGTCCAAAAACAATCATCATCCCCCTTTTTTCTCTCATCTTTTGTTAAAATTTTATTAAAATTTAGCCAAAAATGGTTCAAATTTTATTAATATTAATTTTAATATTTTTAAATATTTCTTTAACTTTTACCCAAATATTCCCTATGGGAAGTGCCCCTTTATATTCTAATCAAATTCAATGGCCCTCTTCAAATGGAGTAGGAGGGGGAGGAGGAGGATATTTTTCAGGTTTCTAAAAAAGCTTATGTCCTTTTTTCCCGTAGTCGAAACTTTAGAAAGAGCTCGAAAGAACTCGAAGCATTTGCGTATTCTACGTTTTGACCCTAAAAAAGAGCTGTGATGTTTTGATTTTTAAGAGACCTATCACTAGGTACCGGACTAGGTAACGGACCAAATTCTCTTCCACTCTTAGTTCCACTAAAGCTTTCTAAACTCTTTTTAATGTCACCATGCTTGGGTTTCTTCGACCATAGAAAAAAGTGCATATAAATAAAAAGAGCCAAAATTTTCGAAACACAATTTAGTTTTAACACCAAATTATCAACAACCCCAACAACAACAACAACCTTATCTTCCCCAACAATTAATTGTTCCATATGGTTCAAATACTCTTTGGCCATTTCCTCAACAACAATCAGCAATTTCTTCTTCCTATTCAACAGATGACCGAGGAAATTTAAATTTTATTGGAGGAGGAAATCCTCCTCTTCCTCCACGTTCAGCCTTTCAACAACAACAATCACCTTTAACCTTCTATGCTGGATGGCCCCAACAACAACAACAATTTCCTCCACAACAACAAAGAGACAATTCATCTCCTCTTAATGAGCTTATTTCTCAACTATCATTAGCACTAGTTCGCTCATTTGCTCAAATGCTTGCACAACGTGACAATACAAATAATGACAGTAGTAGTGGGGGTGGTGGTGGGGGTTTAATAAGAACACCTAGAGAAGGAGGAGGTTTTTTAGGAATTCCTTTTGGACAACCACCACAACAGCAACAACCGGCTCCATCGTTTCCAGGAAGAGTATCCACAAACTATGGTAAATTGAAGAAAAAATTTGAAAAACTTTCCAGGCACAAACTAACAGTTTTCCGACTGTCATCCAGAAGTGAATCGGAAATGACAAAGCTGCCGGAACTCGGAACTGTCTGAAATCGGAAATGGGTCAAAAATCGGAACTCGGAAATCAGCCTAAATTTTCGGAAATCGGAAAAATATCAGTTATCTAGAACTATATCTTTCCGGAACTTGTAACCTTTAACTTATAACCAATTATTATACATACATTCCCGAGACTATTGAAGCCTCACTTTTTCAATTTTCGGTACTTTATGGATATGTCACCCCCCTCCTATTTTGAGTCTCAGAGTTTTCCTTATACGTAGAAAATGGTCAGAGATTATTTTCTTCTCCATGTCAATCTTTTTTTCCTCTTCAAGTATTTTGCTTGTTTATTTTGCCTTTTCACATATTTTTGAATTTTGTGCTTACATTCTTTCACTCATTTCGTTTCCAGATCTACCACATTTCACTTATTTTGCTTGAAGAAAAAAAATGATTGACATGGAGAAGAAAATAATCTCTGACCATTTTCTACGTATAAGGAAAACTCTGAGACTCAAAATAGGAGGGGGGGTGACATATCCATAAAGTACCCAATTTTCAACAGGTTATGGTGTAAATGCTGGCGTTTTTGCTGGAACTTATGGCGGTAGCGAAAGCGTTGCTAGTCCCTACGGGCCCTATGGATCATTAAATAGTCAAACTGGTGGAGGATCTTATAGTGGATTGTCACCTTGGCCTTTAATTCCTGGGTATGTTGTTGAGACGAAATGAGAAAATTTGGTGGAAAACCTTGGAAACTTAGTCTCTTTTTAGAAAATATTTTTTACAAAATTAGTAGCAACTCTAGCCATTAAAATCTTTGATTTTTTCACCCTTCTGATAAAAATTTTAAATCGCTTTTTTGTTTTGCCAATTTTTTCCCCAAGCCAATTCAGACGACCACAACCTCCTTTACAACCCTCAACCAATGGAGGAAATTCATCTACTGGTGGTGGTTTACTTAGATTAGAAGAAACTGCAAGAACAGGACAAGGAACAATTAGACAAATACCCCTAACAGAAAATGTACAAACAGAAGCTGGTGGAGGAGGAGGAGGAGGACAACATGATGAAGGAAGTGGAGAAACTGTTTAATAAAATTTTTTTGGAAATTATATAAAGGAATTGGTACTATTTTCACACCATAAGGGTCCAGAAAAATTTTTTTAAATGGGCTATCCTTAAATTTGGACCAAAGGGTTATTCAGAATTTGACCTGTCGAATTAATTTATGTTCCATTAGACTCAGCTAGGCGAGAAGCGTCAAATGGTCCTCTCCTAATTTGAAAAAATGCCTGAGGGGATGATCTGTACGGTCACGGTTCCATGGGTTCCGCGTGGTGTAAACGACAATAGTACCAAGAATTTTTCTTTATCATTTTAAAATACCTTCAAATTTTTATATTTCCTTCGTCTTTCAAAAATTTATTTATATTTTGATTTTTTTTGTTTTTTTTGTTTGAATACTTTTCTAATTTTTGATTTTCTTCGTTAAAAAAAATTTTTTTTTATAAAATTAAATTTGTTTTTGCTTAATAAATTAAAGCTTCATTTAAAAATAATTTATAAATATATTTTTTATTTTTACATTTAAAAATCCTTCTCTCTTCATCATCTTCCTTTTTTATTTCAATCATCTGACTGAAAAAGTACTTGTTTTTCATCATAATGTTTTGTTAGAATTTTATTTTCTGTTGAGTTTTTAGTACCATTTTGTTGCTGTTTCTGCTGCAAATGTTTTTGTTGTTTCTTTTGTTGTTTTTGTAATGTTTCTTCATCTTTTTCAACAACTTTTAATAAATCTAATAATTTTTGTTTTTCATCTTTTTTTATATTTTTTTCTGTTGAAGAACCACCACCCTTTTTATACAGCACTTTCTTCTCTTCTTCAATTACTTCCTTTTTCTCGTCTTTTCCTCCCTTCACTTGTTTATTCTCATCATTCTCTTCTTCATCCTCATCTTTTCCTTTCTCTTTCCTTTTTCCATCCTTTTCTTCTTCATCTTCTTTGTTTTCCTCTTCCTCCTCCTTCATCCTCTTCTCTTCCTTCTTCTCATCATCATCTTCCTTCACCTTCTCTTCATTATCTTCCTTTTCCTCTTCCTTCGTCCTCTCCCCTTCCTTCTTCTTCTCTTCATCTTCTTTTATCTCTTCATTCTCTTCTTCATCTTCTTCAATTTGATCAATTTGTATAATTTGTGTTGTAGTTTCTTCCACAAGTTTACTACTGCCACTACTAGTCAAATTATTCAAATCCTCTTCTCCCTCTACTAAATCATTTAAAAATTCAATTTCAAAAAATGTTGTTGGTGGTGCATCATCAATATTATTATTTTTATTATTTTTAAAAAATATTTTTTTTTCATTTTCAATTTGTTCTTCAATTTCTTCATCATGTGCAAAATCAAATAAACGTTTTGACGATACATTTCCTTGAAAACGACTTCCTTCTACTTCCATACAAATTCCCTTCAAAAAAATTATTTTTTAAAGACAACACATTTTTTCGGTTCTATATGTATTGGAATAGGGACAAATCATTTTTTGTGGATTAAAAAAAATTTTTAGTCCGCAAAAAATTGTCCGAGAAAATTTTGTCCGCAAAAAAATTTGTCCACAAAAAAGTTTTCCGTCCGCAGAAAATTATCGGATCCCTTCTCCTACTATCACAGACCGCAAAAAATCCCTTCTCTCCAGTACCCTCTTCGGTACTTTTCCGTTTTGTTACACACCCCCATATATTAATGCTCAAAATGTCACATATAAAGTAATAAAAGGTGCTGAGTCGAACGGTACCTTTCTTTTTCCCAGGAGATGTCTGTGGACCGAGATATAGGGCTCGAAATGGTCAAAAACCGTAGGGGGGAGTAAGTTCATTTTTTGGGGTAAAAATTCGAATATACAAATAATACCCCATTCGAAAGAGCTTATAGAGCTGAGTCGAAAGACACCAAGATCAACGGAATCTGATTTGATTTGACCGAGATTCAGGTCCCTGAAAATTGAAGAACCACACAATTTTTTGTATCGTAACTCGGTCCAAACTTGTTCGAAGACGGTAATTTTGATGTCATTCGACTCAGCTCGTCGAGCTCGTTCGAATGAGTTATTATTTGCATATTTGAATTTTTTACCTCAAAATGGCCCAATGGTTTTTGACCATTTCGAGCCATTTATCTCGGTTCACAGACATCTCCTGGGAAAAAGAAGGGTACCGTTCGACTCAGCACCTTTAATTACCCTATATGTGCCATTTTGAGCGTTAATATAGGGGGGTGTAACAAAACGGAAAAGTACCCCCTCTTCTCTCTAACCAACCTTTTCTGTTCGATTATTAATATCATCGATCCTCAATTCATATCCTGGAGTACATTGACATGTCAAGCTTTTTTCACTACAATAAGCATTTTTGACGTTACATTGCTCTTCTGGCACAACAGAAGCTAAACAAAACCCTCCAATTGTCCCATTTTCTCTATTGTCAACAGAATCCATAAAGACAATTGATCCCAAATCGTAGCAACGCCCAGCAATTGTCAACATAGCCTCAGGGCATTGAAGAACACAACGAGATTCGTGAATTAAAAGAGGGGGTGGGCAGGCACAATAACCTCGAGTACAGACTGTGCCGTTTGAACGGGCTGTACATTGTTGGTCTGTTTCACATCCTGGTTGGCCAATGAAGAACACTGGAAAAAACAGATAAATTTTAAAAAAAATTTTCAACCCCCTCCCCATCCTTCCCTGGAAAAAAACAAAAGAACTCACTTCGTTTACAAAGCCCACCAATATTAATCATATTAGAAGGGCATTTACCAATACCATTATTAAAACTAGACGAACTATTTAAAGTTCCATTATTTTGTGTTGAATATTGAAAATTAAATTGTGGGTATTGTTGTTGTTGTTGCTCTATAAAATTCAAACAGAAAATTAATTTAAAAATCCTAGTTACTGAAGAGAGGGGGAATGTGCGTCATTCTTGTTGGCATTTTTCTTGCGGGTATTTATGCGAAAAAATTTTTTGCGAAAAATATTCTCGTGGACATTTTTTAAAGATATGTTTAAAAATGTTCGTGAAAATGACGCCTTCCTCCTCCTTCATTTAGCACCATCATTAGAAATTTTTCCCCTAATTTTTTTTAAATATACCAACCATCAGCTAAAATCGCTGCAGTATTAGCTTTAAATACAATACGATTATCTAAAGGTACAGTTGTACAACAATGAGCATTTCTTCCATCTGGGAAGTTTGAATAACAAGTAAAACTTGAAGGACATTTAATCCAAGTTGAGCAAGAACGGCCTAAACCTGTTGAAGAATCTAATAGGGGACGACTCCAAGGTGGACAACTTGCAACAAATAATGAGGAGGAAGAGGAAGAGGATGAAGGAGAGGAGGAGCTTGAAGCAGAAGGAGAGGAAGAATTTTTTGATGTCCCATAATTTGCATAAATTGAATGTAAAGCTGCTGAGGCCAAATTTTCTGCTGCAGAAATTGCTGCTTGAGAATAAGGATAATTATTTGATGATGATGAGGAGGATTGTTTTGGTTGTTGTTGTTGTTGTGCTAATTGTTGCTGGGCTATTTGTTGATTATATTGTCCCCCTCCTCTTCCTCCTTGCTGTGATTGTTGCTGAATTAATTGTTGTTGTTGCGGTTGTTGTGATTGTTGTTGATAACCCCCACCACCAACAACGCCACTCTGTTGTTGTTGTTGAAGTTGCAACATTTGATTAGCTGCCGCTATTTGTTGTGCCATTAAAGAATCGTTGTTCTCAAGCCCGTCCCCACCACAACCTTGAATAGTAGAAGAGACTTGTTGAGCTTGTTGCAATTGTTGTTGTTGTTGTTGAGCAGCTGCAACTTGTGAAGCTTGTAATGCCGCTGCTGCTTGAGCTGCTTGTTGTTGTTGTGCTGCGGTAGCAGAATTTCTATGATGAAATTGTTGTTGCCAATGTTGTTGTTGTTGTTGCAACCATTGCTGCATTTGTTGATTTTGTTGCTGTTGTTGTTGACTTTCTCCTAGAAATTAAATTCCCAGTAATGTATGTAATTTAATCCGCAAGTGTAAAAGATTTTAACCTTCCAAGGGAAAGTTTTTTAACACCCAAGTGTCCAAAAAATTCATTTCTATATGTAAAAAAATTTAACCCCAGAGAGTAAAAAATTTTTTTAACCCCTCCAAGGGAAAAAATTTTTCACCCCCAAACGTAACCAAAAAATTCATACCACGTGAAGGAAATGCAGCAACAGCAGCAATATTATTGTTATTATTAAAATAATTTCCAAAGCGTTGATGCCCAGCAGCAGAAGCACAACAAAAAGAATCTTGTTTTTCAGTTGAATAAATACATTGATATGGAGGCCCAATTAAATTATTAGAAGGGCAAGGATTTAATACTTGATGACAATTTGTTGGAATAATAAAATCTTCTTGTTGTAATTGTTGTCCGCTATTAATTAATGGAATTTGTCCAGGAGGGCAATAACCATCATAACGATTATCCAAAGGTAAAGAACAACAAACATGTGTATTTGCAAGTGTTGAACGTTTACAACGATAACCGAGAGGGCAAGTCTTTTAAATAAAAAAAATTTTTTTAATTAAAAAGATTTTTTTAATTATGAAAAAATTGTTAATGAAACCACCCCTCCACCTAGAATTTTTTTTTAACTGAGGCCTTCTCAACGTGGAAAATTGTTTGATGAAACGTCCCTCCCCTAGAAAATTTTTTTAATGGAGGCCCCTTTCCCTCCGAAAATTTTAAAAATTAATACCCCCCCCTCTCTCTCGCAAAGTTGATTTTTTAATGGTGGCCCCTCCTCTTAAAAAATTTTTTCTTAAAACCACACCTCAAGTGTTGGGTCACATATTTGATTTCTTCCGGTAGCTAAAAACAGGGAAAAAATTTAAAAAAATTTTGTTTCAAAAAATTCTTACAAGGATCAAGATAGCCAAAACCAGCAACACATTCAGGTGCATGATTTTCTGGCCTACAAAAAATTTTTTTCATAAAATTTTTCCAAAAAAAAACAAACGTAGAACAACACAATCTTTGTCCACCACCATTTTGTGAAGGTGTACATTCAAATCCAGTAGGGCATATTCTTTTATTACTTGTTGAATGACAAACAACTGGGCGTTTTCCATAAAGATAAGGGGAACGACCATTCGGACATTGTAATTTATTTGCACGCATTCGACAACAAATGGCACGGTCTTTTGAACCTTCACAGCTTTAAAAAATTTTCAAAAAATTTTCCAAAAAATTCCAAAAGAAAAAAATACGTGTATCCTTCAGGACAATTATTTGCCATCCAATTACAACCCAAAGGTTTGCGAGATCCTTCAACAAAAAATGGAGAAGCGCCTGCTGGACATCTATCCCATGCTGGACAACAATACTAAATTTTTAAAATATTTAACAAAAAAATTTTTATTAAAAAATTTTTGGAGTCGTTTTTGCCAGAGAGACCCAGTACCGAACGAGTAGCCATGGGAGAGATATTTATTCCATTATGTACTTCCCCCTCATTTCTCCCAAAATCAGTAAAAAAAAATAAAAATTTACAAATTGTTCATCAGTTCCCATTTCACATTCAAATTCTTCTGGACATTCATCATCTCTATCTGCTGTACATTGTTGTGGAACTATAAAAAATTATTAAAAATATTTTTTTAAATAATTAAAAAGAAACCTCTACTTCCCAAAGCAAAAAAAGGCAAAGCTCCATCCTTTGCACATTTCGGAACAATTTTGGGAACATGCGAAAAAGAGGTTGAAGCTGAGGAGGAAGATGAAGAAAGTGAAGATTCAGGCCTTCTAATTGTTCTTCTATCAGAATTTGAAGATGAAGATGAAGCTGAGGAAGAAGAACTGCTCCCTTTGACATAACCAACAGCAGCAGAACTTTCTCTTGGCATACAACAAATATGAATGCCAGATAAAGTTGATCGAGAACAACGAGAACCTTCCGGACAACCTGCTTCCTCATCACCACAAGTCAAAACCTTGAAAAAAAATTTTCTTGAAATATTTTAAAAGATAAATTGGGACAAAATGTCCATTTTTAGTTAAATATCTCAAAAAAGTTCAAAAAAATTTTCCGAATATTTTTCAGAATTAATGGGATAAGACGTCCAATTTTCTCTTAAATTATTCAAAAAAAAAAAAAAAAATTTTTTTTGAAATTTTGAAAATCGGGACAAAATGTCCATTTTCTCCTAAATTAGTCAAAAAAATTTTAAACCTGTTTAGGCGCAATATAAACAGGTTTCCGTCCTTTTCTAGTACATTTAGGTTGTGCTTTACAACAAACACCTTTCCCACCCGAAGCAATATTATTATCACCAATACACAAATATCCTAGAGGGCAAGCTTGTATTTGATTTACAACACATTTAGCTCCATTGGATAATAAACCACTTGGGCATTTTAATACAGAATATTGATGTAGTTGTTGGTGTTTTTGTTGTTGCTGTTGTGCTGCATTTAAATTAGCAAGTAATGAAGACATTGCACGCTTTTTTGCAGCAGAAACAGCGCTAACAACAGCAGAAGTAAATGAACCAATTTTTGATCTTTTAAAATAAGAAAAAAATTTTTAAAGTTGAAATATTGGATTTTAAAAATATATTCGAAATCAGGCACGTAGCCCAAGAAGAAATCCTTCTCATTAGAATTTGTTCTTCTCCTTCCTCCAAATTAATTGAAAAATTTTCCCGAAAAAACTTTTTCTTGAAAGTGACTCCCCTTCCTCGTCAAAAAGTTTTCCCAGCTACGTAATGTCAAAGGCAAATACCTCTCAATTCCAACAATAAACACCTCTCATTTTAAAATAAAATTCTTACTCGAAAAATTTATTTTCAGTGAGGTTCGAGGTTTGTATAAAATTTAAAATCGAAAAAAAAAAACAACTCTTACAGTGAAGGCAAATCAGTATTTCTTCCACCACCACCACCAACATTGTTATAATTATTAGAGGAGCAACACATATAAAATCCAGGGACATTAGCAGACTGCATACATGAATATTTTGAAGGACAATTTTTATTAAAATTTTCTTCTTCCTCCTCTCCACCTCCACCCATCAAAGCTTCAGGCACACAAGCAACTATAGAATCTGAATTTGGTATTAAATAAGCATTTCTTCCATTTGGACATTGTGCTACAGAAATACAACAAATCCATTTTTGGCTGTTTTTGTTATTTATTGACTGAACACAGGAAGAACCTTCTGGACATTTTTTATAAGAAGAAGAACTTCCAGCTCCATTTACTATTAAAATTTTTTAATAAAAATACATAAAAAATCCAGAAAATTTTTCGAAATATTTTCCAAAAAAATTTGTATAAATTCCAAAAAAAATTTCAAATTTTCAAAAATTTTTTTCAAAAATTCTTCAAAAAATTTTCAGAAAAAACTTCAAAAAATTTTCGTAAAAATTTTCAAAAAATTTTTAAGTTCAAAAAAAACCTCACAATTATTCGAAGGTTGACGGCAACTTTGTATTTTGCTATTTCTTCCTCCTCCTCTTCCACCGGACGCTAATAAGGGTGCCATACCACGTGGACATTCATCACCCCCATCATTATTTAAATTTTCTTGTTTATTTAAGCACATATATTCACAAGCTTCACGTTCAGAAAAACGATTTGGAGTTCCACCACAACCAGAATATTCAAATGGAAGACAAGAATCTGTGTCGCTATCATAATACCTTTTAAATTTGAGATTAAAAATCTTTCCCAAAAAACTTTCTTCCAAAAATTTTTTTGAAATTTTTCCAAAAATTGCGAAAAAATTCTAAAAATCTTCCCGAAAAATTTCAAAAAAATACCAAAAAGTTCCCGGCCTCTGACTTAAACAAGTATGCCCAATACTTTTTTGACTTGAACAAGCAGTTTCTCCATGAGGACAACAATAACTTTTTTGATTACACCAACTCCCACTTGGGCATTGAGAATTATCATTACAACGCTGGACATAGTCGCCTGGATCGTTTAAGGGGGCAACACCATTGCAGCCTAAAATTAAAATTTTTTTTGGGTTTTATGTGACATTTTGATCATTGGCAATTTTATAAAATGCCTAAGCTCAAGCTCTGTCATTTTATATCCTTGGCATTTTGTCAGATGACACTTTGTCCTTTGACATTATGTACTTTTAATTAGCGTAATGTGTATTTTTCGAATTTTTTAAAAATTTTAAATTTCCTTTAGAAAAATAGAAATTCCTTACTATTTTGCACAGAAGGCACACACTGCATTTCACACTGACTTCTTGTAATAAAATTATTTCCAGTCCCTCCACACCCATAATATTGAAAAGCTTCACATTGTCCTTTATTTTGATTAAAATGGAAACGTTGAATAGTTAAAAAAGGGCCAAAACAAGGAACTCCAGCAGCAACAGGTTCTCGACAAACTTGCTCTTTAAATAAGAAAGAAAATTTTTGAGGGAAAAATTTTTCGAAAAACTTCAAAAAAAAATTTGAAAAATTTTCAGAAAAATTTTTAAGAAAACCTGGACTACTACAACAAACAAAATTGTGTTGTCCAAAAAGCGGTTGAACACAAACATAATGTGCTGGGCAAGTATCTGCTAATCTTACACCATTTTGTTCTCCAGGACTGCAACGAGCTAAAGATGGGCCAGCACGCAAACCTGTTCCTTTAATTTAAAAAAATTTTCCCCCTCAAAAAATATTTTAAAAAACCTCCATCCGGACATTGCGATTCCAAACAAAATCCTTCACATTGTTCAAGAGAATCAAAATTATTTGCATTTCCTCCACATTGTGAAAATTGAAATGTTCTACACGAACCTGTTGTCGAATCAAAATAAAAACGAGAAATTGGAGATAAAACACGTGCTGGACATTGAATACCAGAATCATTAGGTAAGGAACAAACGTGTTCTAAAAAAAAAGTTAACAAAATTTAATTAGCGTATGTCCACCAATTTTTCAAGAAAATCCTCCTATGATTAAGTGGGATCTGTTTAGGGTTGCCAAATAATTTAGAGCAAGGTTCGAACCGGTTCTGGGATAAAAATTTTGGAAATTGGGCAAGGGTTTAACCCTTTTGAAGTAAAAATTCTTTAAATTAAAAGTTTTTAATGAGATTTTTTTCAAAAAATCTTTACAAAAAGATTTTAAAAATTTCAAAAAAAAACCTGGAGAAGGACAACAATATTGATGTCCATTATTCGTTACACATTGGAAATTGTTTGGACACGGATTGCCGTTAGCTGAACATGAGGTCACTCCACCAAGAGGTGCCCCAACTGGACAAACACCTTCAAAAAATTTTTTATAAAAATTTTCAAATAAAAAACCTTTGCTAGGACAGCAACGCCCATTCCGACAGGAATATCCCATAGGGCATGGATCAGAGGCAGAACAAGGATTTGGCCTAGGCAAGGGTGATTCACCTCCACAAACATCAATTGGTGCATTTGAAGTGTCAGAACAACAAATTCCGGTATTAAACATTGAAGACTAAAAATGTTTAAAAAATTTCAAAAAAATTAATTTTTCAAAAAAATTCATCAAAAAACCTGTGTACAAATAAATCCATTTGGACAAGAAAGTGGATCAGCAGAATTACATTGAACATGCGAACCAGTTGTTGGGTGAACAAAACCAGCTACATTTAAATTAAATGTTAAAGACAAACCTCATTATAGGATAGAAACCCTGAAGCAGGAAAAATTTTATAAAAATGAGGTGTATCTTAAATAGAGGTTTACCTTATATTGCAGGTATCTTATATAAAGGTATCATTTTAAAACCTTATAATGATGCCCCACAATTTTTAAAAAGAAAAATTTCAAAGAAACCGGAATTTGCCGGACATCCAAAATCCCTTCCACAGCATCTAGTAAAAGCTCCATCAACCAAATTACATCCAAAACCTGTTGGACAACCAGAAGGTGAAGTTAAGGAACAAGTTTTGGGTAAGCCAGAAAATGTCTCAAAGAAGGTAACTTGCAATCCAGAACATAAAGGAATATTTCCTGAACTTCCTTCAGGTCCAATAGACTCAATAGAGGCCTGACAACAATAAGAAGTTCCAGTTCTTTGATGTAATGTACAAAGAAAACCTTTTGGAGGAATAAAAAAAATTTTGATTTATTTTTTGTAAATTTCAACAAACCATCAGGACAACTTGAAATGCTTGGATTACACATCTAAAAATTAAAAAAGGGATAAAATGTCTCATAATCACAGAAATTTTTTTAAAATTTTTCAAAAATAAAAAAAATTTTTCTTACCACAGGCGCTCCAAGTTTAGTTAGTGGAATTGCGCCAGAACAAATATCATCTGGAGCTTGAAATTGAGGTTCCTTCAGCACATTTTCTTCATCAGTATTGTTGGTTTGATTTGACTTGCTGGCGGTTGTAGTATTACTGTTTTTATTTTGCTTCTGAAATATTTGCGGATTTTGACCGAAATGATCATTTTTTTGCTTTTAGGTCCTAGGTTGAAATAAAGGATGGGAATGGACTTTTTTCGACCCCTAACCCAATTCAAAGAAAAATATCCACAGTTCAAACAAGGGTAGCTCCCCGATCCTTCGGGGTCGAATGTATTGAGGTTTGCCGGGGTAGACCCTTCGGGGTCAGTTCAAACCCCACCAGTATTTCATTCTAATAAATTTCCTAACCTTTAAAGAAGTCTGTCCATCAATTAAACCTTCACTTTGAAATTCCCCAGGATCAGTCTTTCTTCCTTCTTCACACCCCAAAATATTAATATTAAATATTTTCTCATCTGGACAGTCATGTTTTTCCAAATTTCCATTTTCATTGCATTCAAAATAAGAAGTATTTAATGTTGGATGTTTTGTTAATTTAAATTGGTTTGGATTACAATTTTCTTCTTCTTCAATTTTTACAAGCTGACAAAATATTGAAGAAAATAAATTAATTAATACAAATAATTTTAAAAATATTTTATTGTTGTTGTTGGTATTTTGTTGAAAACATTTGGATATTTTCATTGGAATTTTGTGACTAAAAATTTTTTTTAAATAATTTTCTTTAAATTTTAAATTATTTAAATTTTCCTAAAGTAAAAAAAATCGATTTTCCATTAATTTTTCAAAAAACCCCTCCGTGGCTTAGAGGGATCGTTTTAGGCTTGATAACTAATTAAGGGCAAGGTTCGAACCCTCTCAGGAATAAAAATTTTTCTAAATTAATTTTAATGTTAAAAAATGTTTTTTAATGTTTTTTGACCTTTCTAAAAATTTTAGAAAAAATTCACAACCATAGAAAATTAATTTTTCAAAAAACACCTCTGTGGCTTTGTGGAATCGTTTTAGGTTTGAATTTTTTTCCTTAGTTAGGTTCGAACCCCTTCATGGATAAAAATTTTCTAAAGCTTTTAGAATGATTTCTGACTTATTTTAAAACTTTAAAAAATTTCCTAGCTTTAGAAAAAATTAAAAAATCCCGACTAAAAGTACATTTTTCCAAATTAAGTGGATACGGCTTTTTTTAACTTTCTTTTCAACAAAAATAATTTCAGATCAATTAAAGAATAGAAAAATTTGTAGAATAGTTGGTGTGGTCAAAACATAGGACACGACACGATTTTTTTCAAAAAAAAGTCCTCTAATTTTTCTTTTCTTTTTTCAATTTTTTAAAAACAATAGGCCAAAAAAGAGGACAAATAGAAGCAGAAAAGGGGGACTAACCTAAAAAAAAATACAATAGACTCCCAACAAGAATTTCTTCTTTTTGGACAGGTCAAACTAGTGGGAGAAGGGGACCACAAAATAAAATTAACAACAACAACAACCCCTCCCTAACCTTTCCTTTTTTCCCTTTTGTTTTCCCCTCCTATTTTCCTTCTCCCCCCCCCCCTTCCCTCTCCCATTTTCTCTTTTAAAAATTGTATTTTAAAGTATCCGCGCAATATCCCGCACAAATAAATAAATGAAATGCTTTCCTCTCCCTCCTTTTCTTTCTATTTTTGTTCTTTCTCGTTTACCTTTTATTTAAAAGAATTTAAAAAAAGGGAAAGGGGAAAGAAAGAAAAATGCTTAATCTCTTTTGGCCACAAAAGAAAGAGTGACCAGTTTATATTTTTAAAAATTGATCAAAAAATAGAAAGTCAAAACAATTTAGTCAGTCAACAATTTATTTATAAGAATCTGAAAGGGGCCAAATTTTAGAAAAACACAAAACACGAGAGAAAGAGAGAAGCAAGTGAGTGAGATGAAATAAAGGAGGGTAATCCACCCCAAGACTAAAATATCTCCCGGAAACTAGAAAACACAAAATCGACTTTTATGTGTAGTTTCAGAGAGATTTGGGGCGAGTGGACACAGCGGAAAATCAAATAAAAATTTTTTTAACCTTGAAGCGCAATTTTACCAAAAATTGTTCAACATCAAAATTTGAAGGCGTATTCAAAGGCAAACCAAAAGCAGATAAACCAAGACACCAAAAAGAAAAGAGGGTACTTTATGGATATGTCACCCCCCTCCTATTTTGAGTCTCAGAGTTTTCCTTATACGTAGAAAATGGTCAGAGATAGTTTTCTTCTCCATGTCAATCATTTTTTTTCTTCAAGCAAAATAAGTGAAATGTGGTAGATCTGGAAACGAAATGAGTGAAAGAATGTAAGCACAAAATTCAAAAATATGTGAAAAGGCAAAATAAACAAGCAAAATACTTGAAGAGGAAAAAAATGATTGACATGGAGAAGAAAATAATCTCTGACCATTTTCTACGTATAAGGAAAACTCTGAGACTCAAAATAGGAGGGGGGGTGACATATCCATAAAGTACCAAAAAGAGTTCACCTAACGCTTCATCATCTCTCCAACCAAATGCAAAAAATAAAATCAACTAAAAAATCAACAAAATTAACTGAACAATTAATTTAAACCTGAAAACCTCACAGAGTTGTTCCAATTAGAGCCCGGATCGAGAAAAATCTCGAAGAAAAATCTAGGCTACCGAGTCCGATATTCCTCTCGTATATTCCTCTCACACAAAGACCATCGGTTTCTCTAGTCTTCATTATATCCTCAACCAAACACTTCTCTCACAGTTTTTAAAAAGAAAATTAAATTTTAAATAACTATTTAAAATATCCGCACCGATTTTTACGAAAAAAAAATTTTAAAAAATAAAAGAACAATTAATTAACAATTTTATTAATTTTTTCCTAATTTTAAAACAAATTTAAATTAAATAAAAAAATAAATAAACCGGCAATTACACAATAGTTAAGTGAAATATTAATAATTAACAAATAAAGCCAAGGGAACAATTTTAAGTGAAAAATAAATTTTTTTAAAGGCCAAAAAATTTTTTTTAAAAATCTTCTTTATCAAATGATAACAAATCACCACAATCATCATTAATATTATTTCCAAGCATTCTAGGAGTAAGTAGTTTACGTTTATGGCGTTTACTGCTAAAAATAAAAATAATAAAAATTTCTGAAGATTTTTTTTAATTTTAAAAAATTTAAATAAAAATATTAAAATAACTGTTTAGAAAGTTTAAAAAAACAAAAATAATAATTTGGAAAAAAATTAAAAAAATATTTTCCACCATTGGGATTCGAACCCTAACCCTTTTTGTTAACGAGTCAAACACCATCCCACTACACCAAGAAGCAATTTTTCTCAAAAATTTTATTGAAACTCTATTTTCCGGGGAAGAATTTTATTAATAATTTGCTTCCTTCCGGATAAAAATTAATTCCCACCAAAAGGATTCGAACCTTAGACCTTTTAGGTTAGTGAGTCAAACATTTACCCACTTAACCAAAATTTAAAAATTAAACAAAACATTTATAAAAATTAATTTTTCAAACCTTTGTGTACATTTTTGCTTATCTTCACAACAACAAACAAGAATTAAATTTGCCCCATTATTTTTATTATCCTCCTCTTCCTTGAAATAATTTGTTATTTCGTCTGTTTGTGTTCCAAATTCTTTACTAAAAAATTTTAGAAAATTTTTTTTTATGAAAAATCTTTTCTTTCTTAATTTTAAAAATTATTTTCTTACCAATTATTTTTAACATTTTCTTCTAAAAAACGTTCATCCCGACAATTTTCTTTTTGTTGGTGTTTAATTTCTATTTCATTCAAATTATTTTTGATCAGATTTTTATTATTATCAACATTATTGGAAACAGCAACCTCCGTTACCTTTCTTGAAAGCCTTAAAAATTAAAAAAAAATATTAAAATAAATGTCTAGAATTAAAAAAAATAGAAAAATAATAATCACAGAAGGAATAAAAAAATATTTTCCACCAAAAGGATTCGAACCTTAGACCTTTTGGTTAGCAAATTAAAAATTATCCCACTACACCATATAACACACCTCTTAAAAATCATCTAAGGCATTTTCCCCCAAAAAAAAATGAATTTTATTATTTTTTATTCTCTTTCGGAACAAAACAAAAAAAAATATTTTCCACCAAAAGGATTCGAACCTTAGACCTTTTGGTTAGCGAACCTCACTATCCCACTACACCACAGCAACATCTTTTTCAAAAAATTTTAATTTATTTACCTATTAAAAACAAAATTAATTCTTGCTTTCTTTTTCAATATAATTTGTTGTTTTCTTCTTTTTTCTTCCTCTTCCTTATCTTCCCTTTGTTTCTTCAATAATAATTGTTTTTGTTCTTCTTCTTTTAGTAAATTTTTATTTGAAGAATTTGTTGCAGCAGCAATTATAGCCATTAAAAAGGCATTGGAGGAAGACAAGGTCGAAGAAGATGAAGAAAACGAAGAGTTGAAATAAGGAGAATCTTTAAACGATAAATTTGAATTTTTTGAAGATGAGGAAGAAGATTTGAAGGAAGAATCCAAGAAGGAAGAGTTTGAAGAATTCGAAGATAAATAGGTTGGGGAAGATAAAGAAAATGTTGAGGATGGTGAAGAAGGCAAATTTGAAGAAGAAAACAATTTATTATTAAGAAATAAGGGTGATGAAGTAGCATTAGTAGAAGGTGTTGTTGAGGAAGATGATGAGGAAGAACAAAATGATGAAGAAGAAAATAATTGTTTTTTGAATAAATTTAGACTGTTTTCTTCTTCTTCCTCCTCTTCTTTCCCCTCTTCTTCTTTTATCTTCTTTTCTTCATTATTTTTTGAAAATTCTTCCAATTTTACTATTCCTTTTTTATCAAAAATTATTTTTTTGTTTAATATATCCTTTATATTGTAACTTTTTGGTGTAATTTCTTCTTTATTTATTTGAATTATACTTCTATTTCGTATTGTTGTTGTTTTATTATAACAAATATTTTTATAACATTTTAGTTTAAATCCACCATTTTCTGCTTGTCTTCTGGCACCAGCTAAGGATCTTTAAAAAAATTTTGTGAAAATTTTTTTTTGAAAATTGCAAAAAAAGTTTCTTGCGTAAATTTTTATGAATTTTTAAAGCTAAAATCTTTTTTTCAAAAAATTTTTTGATAAATAGCCTCGGTCATGAAATACCAAAAAATTTCTATTTTTCAAAAAAAAATTTCAAAAAATTTTTGGTACAATTTTCCAAAAATATTTGGTTAACTAGCCCATATAAGATAACAAAAATAATTTTTTCTTTGATTTTTTTGATTTTTTAAAATTGTAAAAAAATCGAATTTTTAGGTGAAAATTTTGAATTTCTTTTTTCCCATTTTTTAAAGTTCCAGAAATATTTTCTAAATTTTTTCCCTATTACTGGCCTACAGACTCCAGCAAAATTTTTATTTTAAATAAAAAAAATCCTTTTCCTTACTTTTTCAACGATTCCCGATTTCCAAAATTTGACCCTCCAGTCATCATCAACGACGCTGCTTCATTTATTAATTCAGTTAAATTAGCTTGAGGACATTCTATGGCAGCAACAATTAATTGACTCTTTTAATAGAGAAAATAAATTTTTTTGAATTTTTAAACAAAAAAAAACCTTAAAATATTCAAGCTCCGCAATCTTTAAAAATTAAAAAATTTTCAAAAAAATTTTTTAATAAAAATTACTTCATGTTCTGGTGGGTGGTTATGCTCTCCTTTTGAAATTCCATTTTTATCATTATCCCAAGTTTCAGCCCTTCCTTTGCACCATGTACGAGTTCTAAAAATGCGATTTTTTAATAAAAAAAATTTTAAAAATTTTCAAAAAAATTTTTGAAAATTTTTCAAAAAATTTTCAGATTTCGGAAAAAATTTTTAAAAACCAAAAAATTTCAAAATTTTTCAAAAATTTTCAGAAAAAAATTTTTGAAAAATTTTAAAAAATTTCAAAAAAAAAATTTTCAAAAAATCTGAAAATTTCAAAGAATTCAAAAATTTCAAATTTCTCTTACCCATTCAATTTTTTGGCACAAACACATCTCCATGTTTTTACACCTTTTAAAGGCACAATATGATGAATGTTATAACGATATCCCTCAAAAATTAATTTTTGATTGCCTTAAAAATTAAAAAAATTTTGAAAAAAAACCCGAAAAAAACCTTTAAATGAGCAAACATTTCGCGGAAGAGAAGGATCATAACGTTTAAACGTATACATCGAAACAAGAAAATAAGGCAATTTTAATAATATTAAAGCAAGTAATCCTGCAAAAAAAATATAAAATTATTTGAAAAATTAAGGAAAAAAAAATTTTCTGTAAGCCGTAATACCAAAAATGTAGAAATACCAAACTCTGAAAAAAACACAACGAAATGATACAAGAAATGTGAATTGCTAACACCCTTCCACGAAATTGGAATGCCCCTATATATCAGGGATGGATAATTTTCAATTTTAAAAAGCGGCAGGCGTAAGCGGAATATAGCGGAATAAAATTAAAAAGTGGAAGACGGAAGGCTGAAGACTCGAAAAAGTGGGAATTCTGCGGAATGAAGAACGCGGAAGGCGAATCCATCCCTGCTATATATTTTTGTATTTTTAAGAAATTTTTGGGAATTTGGTATTTCAACGTTTGGTATTAAGGCTTGCCCCTTTCCATCAAAAAATTTTAGAAAATAAGAAAAAAAATTTTTACTAAAAAAAGAACGGCAATAAAAAAATGGCAACTATTAGAGCTAAATATTTATTTTTGTGGCGCGCAATGTCCCATCTCTAAAAAATTTTTTTACTAGAAAAAAGAATTGGACGTAATTTTGGGGAAATGCCCTGAGGGAAAATGCGCAAAAGCAAGTTATGGAATAAATAAAAAACAGCAAAAAACTTTTGTCTATCACGAAAATTGCCATTCCTTTTTTGGGGCCAAAGCCCCAAAGGCGGTCATAGAGAGAAAAAATATTTTTTTGAGTAAACCATGAAAAATAGCCCTATGAGAATGGTCAGAGCAGAACGAAAAGGAGACGAACACTTAATTTTTTTATGAAGATACTTAAGAGAAAATGTGTTTGATAAGAATGCCAAAATTCACGTCAGAAAATGACCCAGACAAAATTTGTTTTTTTCTTCGAGAAGACAAACAGAATTATAATGTATTTTATCGTGAATTTTCTGAAGAGGGACCGAATGTCCAAAAAATTCAAAACAATTAAAAATAGCCTACAAAGAAATCCTTTTTAAGTTCGCGCAGCTTGAAGAAGAAACTCGAAAGAAAATTTGAAGAATAAAAAAGCAAATAATTTTTTTTATTTAATTTTCTACGGGGGACCAAATGTCCAAAAAATTTCAAAAATAAAAAAAAATTAAAAATTTAAAAAAAATTAAAAATGAAAACCACATAAAAATGTTGAACTTAGAAAGCTTGTTAAAGTTCACGCAACTCGAAGAAGAAACTTGAAAAAAAATCTCGAAAACAATTAAAAAAAAATAAGAAATAACAATCTAAAGAAAAGCAACAACAACTAAAATACTTAATTTCTTCACTCTCTCCCTTTAATTTACAAATTCAGAGAAAAGCGCGCGCAATTTATGTGCCTTTTTATATACAAAAGTTGTTGGCTGAGTTTGGACAAAACAAGAAAAATAGGTACTAAAATGCCTTGAAGCAAAATGCCTTGGGGCAAAATATTTTTGTTGACTTAAGTCTCTATGGCATTAAAGGGGACCAAGTTTGATTAAGCCGATAACTACTTAATAAAAGTAATTTTTTCGTGCAGGAAAAAATATTTTTGAGGTAAAAAAAATTTTTTTGAAGAAAAACTAATTTTTGGATGAACAAAAGTATTTTTTACGAAAAAATTAAAAAAAGGATTAATTTTGTAAACCATGTGGATAAAAATTCCCAAATTGATTGAGAAATGTTCTGTCCTATTTTAAATGCTATAAAAAATAATTTCACCTCAAAAGGATTCGAACCATGGTCACTGTCTCTACAAAATCAAAAATTATCCCACTACACCAAAACGAAAAATTTTTCAATAGGATGAATTTTCTCAGGATTTTTTTAAAGAAACATTTTAAAAAATAATTTTTTCCTAAAAGGGAAACCATAGACATGCCCCCAAAAAATCAACGATTATCCCACTACACCAAAAAATTTTCTGAGAGTTTTCTCTTATAGCTGGCCCTCAATAAAAATATTTTCAAAATAATGGGACATAAATAAAAGAAAAAATGAAAATTCAACTCTCAATGGCAGCCAAACTTATATTTTTGTTGTTGTCATTATATTTTTACAAAAAAGAAATTTCCCGCCGAAAAAAAATTTTTTTGTGTTGGTTGTTGTGCGGGAAAGCTGATCATTTTTAAATACAAAAGAGAAGAGAAATGCCTTCCCTGTGCATACAAAGTGTGAAAAAAGAAGAAAAAAAATTAGAAGGGGGGAGAAGGAAGATGAAAGTAATGGCACACCAATATGTGAATAAATAAAAATGTTTTGAGGAGAAAAAAAAAGAAAAGGTGCAGACTGGCACTGATGATGGTTTTGATTTTAAAAATGTTGTTGATGGGTGGAAGAGCGAAAATAAAAAGAAGAATAAAAATACTATAGTTGCCGTTTAAATCGATCAAAAAAATACACAATTAAACAATTAAATTTTAAGAAAATAAATTTACAAAGAAATTTTAGGCGCCTAATTTTCTCAGGTTTTCGAACTTTCGGACCCCTAGTTTCTAGAATTTTTACCATTTTGAACCCCTGTAAGTTTTTGCCTATTCTGAACCTTTCTATAACCAATAATGCTTTCGAGACTGATCTGGTGTAAATTTTTAAAGAAGAAAATTTTTAAAAGGTCAAAAGTTTCAGAAGATAAACATCCGTCCCCCTCTCGCAATCATTCAATAACCAAAAAAATACAAATCCGCCAGGTAACAAACAAGAAAAAAAAGAAAATTCAAGTTATTTAAGAAACGTTCTCAAAGAATTTTTTTGACTCATCACCCGCAAGGCTTGCAGACACTTTTCCCTTTTTTACAACAACAAAAGCCAGTTGACGCTATCACTAGCATCTTCATTTTTTCTTCCTTCTCCTTCCATTCCTTTATATTCTTTCTTTCCCAATTGCCATTTTCATCCAATTTTAATTCATCGGCTCGGCGTGATTTTTATATTTTCTTGTTTTTGTTGTTGCCGCTTTGTGACAATGTCAAAAGGAAATATTAGCCAGAAAAGGGAATAGGAGAGAAGAAGAAATCACACACAACAGCAACTAGAATAAAACAACTACTAGTTCTTCTTTACGTCTTTTTAATTTTTTTCTTCCCCCGATTGCCAGCTTACAAACAAAACAACAAAAAAATTTATATTTTGCCCATATATGTGAAGTAGAATGATGACTGCTTTGCCATTTTTCCATACATCGCCGCTAATTTTTCCTTCCCCTCTCTCCCCTTATTTTTGCGTAATTTTATAAAGAAAATGCGCGAAAAAATGTCGTTGTTGCCGCTTTTCTTTTTTTTAATTGAATTTTATTGAGAAGATAAACAAAACTAGAAAATTCAGCAAAATCAACTAGAAAAACTTGAAAAATCAACTTTTGGTCAAGTGGGTAAGAGCGCAGACTACAACTATAAAGAGGTCACAGGTTCGATTCCACCAACGAGTAGATGATTTATTTTTGTGAATTAAGGCTTGGGAAATGTTAAATAAACAAATTTAAGAAATTTTTGAGTCAAGAAAAATTTTTAAAAAATTTTAAAAAATTTCTGAAGGTAGTTAATTGAGAGAAATATTCAATATGGAAAGGTGTCGTTGAAGAAAGTAATTTTTGTTGTTTAAAAATGGAAAATAAAATAATGATGGAAATAAAAATGTGTTTAAAAGGCAAATAAGACCAAAAAAAGGCAAATATAAAAATTTGATGAGGGAAATTGAAAAAGTTTTTTTTTCTGTTTAAAATGCCAACTCACAACAATAATAAAACTAAAAACACGTTTTTAAGGATAAAAAATTGAAGTTAATTTGTGAAGAAGAAAATGATGATGACAATAAAGCCTCCTCTTTTTTGACGAATGAAAAGAAAAGAGGAAATGAAAAATTATTTTTTGGCAGTTTTTTTGATCAAAAATTTTATATTTTTTTTTGGTGTGAAGAGATTTTTGCCATATGACAACAAAATTATAATTATTTTTACAAAAGAGAAGTGGAGCAACCTAAGGAAGAACTAAGGAAGAATTCTTAATTTCACCAAAAGGTGTTCGGACAAACAAGAGACGTCTTAAAAAAAGCTACGGAAAATGGACACCTTTTTTAACCCCAATTAAAAATAACCAGGCTCTCCTCAGATTAAAGTTCAAAATTAACTTTTTTGACAATTTATTTGGAATAAATTTTATAAGAAGAATTTGGACATTTTTTTGGACATTTTTTAAAATAAGGATAATGTCAGAAAATTATTAAAAGAAATATAGGCAAACAAAAAAAATTAAAAAGTTGATTCAAGCGGCGACTGTTATATCCCCTTCAACGAGAGAAAAACGACGAAAGAACTTTTTTAAGAAGGAATTGACCATTAAGTGTATTTACAATGAGAGAAAAGTGCGGTAGAAAAAAGAACAAATATTTAATGTCCAAGTATGACTCAAATTAAAGCGCCAAAATGTTTTTGAAAGAATTCTTTTCTAGGCAAAAGTTGAAGAGAACGAAGAAAAAGGCAAAAATTGGAAAAAAGGTCATGAAAAAATGAGGACGTGACCTAGTAAATATTAAGAGGCCAAAACGAAGAAAAAGAGAAAAGTAAGGCAAAATGAGACAAAATTTGACAAAAAAGGCGTTCTGTCAAGAAAGGGATATCCTAAAAATCTACGGAAAAAACCCTAAATCTGACCCCAGCCCTAATCAAGTAAAAACAAAAAAACCTTCCAATTTCCTCGTAATTCCAACACTTCAAGAAACAGTCGTCTCTCATTTAAACTAGCCTTTTTCCAATTTTATTCGTCTACATCTCCATCAAAAATTCTATTCCATAGACAATCCTACAAAAATAAACTTGATCTCTCCTTTTAAAAAATAATACCAAAATTAGAAATCTCGAGCACAAAGTTTGTCCAACCAAATTTTGTAGAATTTGTGTAGAATTGGGTCACATTTGTCCTTCCTGTTGTCCATAACTTAAAAAAACTAGAATATTCCTTTTAAAGTTCTTCTTTTGTCCCGAAAAATATTAGTAGCCAAATAATAATAAATATATATATAAACTAGAATTAATACTAGTTATATTCAATTAACACAAAAATAATATTCAACTCTTAAAAAAAGATTTATTTGTTTATTCAATTATTTTTTATTTATGAAAAAAGAGATTGACAAGAATAGAAAAAGAGATCTTTTAATAATTGAAAAATATCTAAAAACAAAGGAAAAAATTTTTTTCAAGTTAACAGATCAATTGTAAAATGTTCTGTCCTATTTTAAGTGCTATAAAAATAATTTCCCCCCAAAAGGGTTCGAACCATGGTCATTGTCCCCACAAAATTAAAAATTATCCCACTACACCAAAAAGAAAAAATTTTAGGGAACGAATTTTCACAGAATTTTAAAAAAAAATATAAAAAAAATTAAAAAATAAAATAAAAATCCTCTTTTCACAATTTTTCTCTAATCATCCCATACAGAATTAAAACCATTTGTTTGTCTTTTTTGTTGTTCATTTCCATATAAAAGTTGAGGATCATTAATTCCTTCAATTTTTTCATAAATTAAAGGAGTATTTAATATTATTTGTTTTTGTTGTTGTTGATTTGTTGTTGTTGTTGTTGATGTTAATGTTTGTTGTTCTCCTACTCCTTCAGTTTGTGTATTTGTTGGCGGTAAATGACGAAGGAAAAACATTAAAGGAGCATAACAAAAATTTATTGCCGCTATGAAATACATCATTCTATTTGAATAAAAAAATTATTAATTAATTAGATTATTGAAAATTAGCATGTGGAAATATTTTTTGGCATTTGAACCAGAGACCTTGACTTCACAAAATTGAAAATTATCCAACTACACCAGAATTGGCATTTTTATCTTTGGGACATTTTGTCCAAAGATGGGATTTGAGATTTTGATATTCCCCTCATTACCTTTGGCTGTGTGTTTGTCCCTCAAAAATGATTAAACGTTTTGTCCAAAAACCCCTAATGTCAAACCCCCAAGGGTTTCCGTAGGAGTTAATAAAGGGGATAATAAAATTAAGGGGATCAGAATCGTAAATCAGGGATTAAGGTAATCATATAAGGGACATTGAGAGATTGGGGGGAGGATTGGAAATTTTGTCCTTGTGACATTTGTCTTTAAAAAAATTTTGTTCTGGCAATTTATAGGCAGCACGTTTAAAAAAATAATTATGTCCATAAATTAATATTTTTAGAAAAAACTCACGTAGGAAAGCCAACAGACCTCACAAGAGGTCCACTAAAGAACGGCCCAAGAAAAAAAGCAAAACAAAAAGCAGCATCAGCAATCGCATAAATTGAACCATAAACACCTTCAAAAGAATTTTTAAGTTAAAAAAATTAAAGAAATAATTCATACCAACATGACGAATATCAACAATGTAACCCATCATTGGAAACATTGAAGCATCAATCATCCCAATAGAGAATCCCATAAAGAAATTAGGTAAGACAAGTCCATAAATTGATTCTGCTGAAGGAATCTTTTAAGAAAGAAAATTTTTTTGAAAAAAATTTCTTTAAAAATACCAAAATTAAACAAAATCCAATTACAACAATTCCAATAAATGTACTCAACCATCTTTAATTTAAAAAATGTATTGTCTAGAAAATTCAAAGATGTTGTTCAAATTATTTTTGAATTATTCTTTAGGTTGGGGAAAGTTTTCTGGAGTCGAGGAAAATATTTTCTTGTCTCATAAGACACAAGATGCGATCAAGGATACAATGAGACCCTTAAACAACTTCATCAAACCAACGGTCTGATGAAAACAACAAAATCTTGCCAAACCATGGAAAAGAGATCGAAAAATAAAAAAAAATTTTTAAAGCCTAAATTGGGTAAAATAGTCAAAAATAAATTAAAAATATTCAAAAAAATAAAAAAACCTTCCAATTTTGTGAGCTAAAGGTCCAAATATATTAGTTCCAATCATATAAGATATTGAAGCTGGCTAAAAAATATTTGAAAAATTTTTCAAAAAAATTTTTTGCTTACAAGAAAAGCAGCTCCTCTTTCAAAAGATGTTGCTTTAAATAAATTGTAAAAAATTTCCTTTTAAATATTTTCCTTACCAGACCAACTTTCCATCATCCAAGGAGGCAGGGAAGGTTCAAGTATTGCAATACCCAAATTTCCAATAGTTATTGAACCTTTAAAAATGAAGATAAAGTTAAAAAATCTTCTAAATATAAGGAAATAGAAAACATTTTTAATTTGATTCATTAAAAATAATTCTCCCCCGAAAGGGTTCGAACCATGAACATTCTCCCCACAAAATCAAAAATTATCCCACTACACCAAAAACACAAAACGAAATTTTTTAAATACTTAAACGAATCATTAGCTTATTATCAAAAAATAAACCTGCGGCAACCACAATATAAGGGTCCTTAATTAATTCCAAAATTGCTGTTCCTTCAGGTTCTCCTCTATCAATTTTAGGTTGTAGCAGTAAAAATTGAACAGCTTAAAAAAGAAAATTCTTTTTTTAATTTTTTTAAATAAAAACAAACTTCCATCAAACAATGCAAGCAAAGCAAGTAAAATGAAAGGAAGTTCCTTTCCTGCCCATTGATAAAGCAAACTTGAAAAAAAATTTTTTAAGCTTAAAAAATGCCTTCTTAAAAATACCCTCCGTAAGGCGGCCCAACAAGTACGCCCAAAGCTAATCCACCCAAAGCAATACCCATTGCACTTCCACGTTCAGCATCATCTGGATAAGCTTGGGCAAGCATTCCCATACCTTTAAAAATCAAAAAAAAATTTTTTTTATTTTTTTAAAAATTTACCTGAAGTGCTGGTACATGCAGAACCAACACCTTCAAATAAAAATTTTTTTGCAACTTTTAAGAAAACCTTGTAAAGCTCTAGCCAACCAAAGCGAGCTAAAAGAACTTCCAAATGCAAAAAGCAATGTTGACAGAAATAAAATAATGAAGCCGCCAAACATTGGTACTGTATAACCAATCCTTTTTTAATTTTTAAAAATTGAAGAATTTTTGAAAAATTTTCCAACTCACTTATTCGTCAACGGTCCAATTCTAAAATTGAAAAAAGAATAAAAATTTGTGTTTAAAAATAATTTTCCACCAAAAGGGTTCGAACCATGGTCATTGCCCCTACAAAACCAAAAATTATCCCACTACACCAAAAAACACAAAATCCGCAAATTTTGTCAGCAAAAAATTTTAGAACTTGCGGACATTCAAAAAACAAAAAAAAAACTTTAAAAAAACCAACAAAGGATTTGTAATCAATTGGATTAAAGCTTTTGACCCAAACATTAATCCAACGTGAACATTTTCATCTGCTAAAGTTTCATGTCGCAAACGTTCTTTTTGTAGACGATAATTTTGTTGTTGTTGTTTTAATGTGGAATTTTTTCTTGAAAATTTTGAATTTAATTTTGGTTGTATATAAAAATTGTCGTCATCTAATTGGCTGTTTTCTTCCTAAAATAAAGAGAGAAAAAAATATTTTTTTGTAAAAATCAAAGAGACATTTCATCCCATCCCTCGAATTTAAAGTCCAGGGAAACAAAAGCAAATCTAAAACCCAAAATAAAAAGGATTTGTAATTAGAAGGGTGACATTTCAAAAGGGTGACATTTCATCCAAATTTTAGAATCTCCCGTGTATCGTCTTTAAGACGTTAAAAATAGACTTAAACTTGCATTTTGTCCAATATTAATTGCTCCAGGAAGTGCTTCATAATCATTGGTGTTGTCATCTTCTTTCAAAGATTTTTCAATGAATTTATTATTAGCTCTCATCCCATTTCCTTTGTTACCTTTTGATTTTACCTTTAAAAATTAACATAAAATATTTCAAAGAAAAAATACTTTTGACTTTCTCCTCAATTCCTTCTTTTCATTAAAATCATTATTATCATCCCAATCAGGACTATCCCAAGACAAAGTTTGACGTTTTCTTCGTTGATTTTCATACAATTGTAATTCATCTCCATTTAAAGAAAAATCATCTATTTTATCGTTTAAAAGTAAATCTGTTGAATTTGGGTGCTGGATACGCAATAAATACTCAGGGATTATTGGTACCTTGATAAAAAGATACCTAATTAAAATAGTTAAAAACTGCTAAAAAAGCAAGCCAAAAATAATCAAAATTTAAAATGACAAAATATCCCAATTTTTTCATACTGTACTTTTCGTGTCGAAACTTTGCGTTATTTTTATTTTCAAAAAAATAAAATAAACTTACCACAGTTGTTAACAACATGTTGTCCAAAAATATTGCTACATAAACAATGGCAAGAAGCATTTTTCGATTTTGGCGATAACGAAGAACAAAATTGTTTATATAATCCATAGCTTGTTTAAATTATAACCTAGCTTTAGCTAAAAAATTTTTTAATAAAGATTCTGCCAGGCACCTTAACAAAAATTATAAAATGTAGGGAGAGATCAAGCTGACTATCATTTAAAACGCTTACTAAGCGGGGGCTTAAGATCTATTTTTAAAAAAAGAAGGTGAGGTGAAGAAGGCTGCCATTCAGCTGGTGAATGACTCAGTAGCCCCTAGTAATGCCAGGAAGGCCGCAGGATCGGTGCCTTCTCGGGGCTAGACTTAAATGGCGATTTATGCCAAGAAAAGCTCCTTATTTCTTAAAAAAATTCATTTTTAGGTTAAAAAACACAAAAAATAAATTTATTATTGAGAAGATTGTCAAGCTCTTTCTCCTATTAAATGTTCTCTTTGTAACCATATACTCCTTAAATATTTTTATTTATTTTTCTGAAAAAGAGCATCAAGCACAAGCAAAACAAGCAACCTTTCCGTTACAGGAGAATGCGTGTAAATGATGGGTTTTTTGTTGTTGTTGAGGTTTTTTAAAAAGAGGAAAAAATGCCAAAAATATATGAGATCCAACTAAAGCTAAAGAAGGGGAAGAAGGAAATTACCCACTTAAAAAATTGAGAGAATAAACCTTGTAAAAAATCTTTCTCTCCCACAAATCTCTCGCAATTTTCTCTCCTTAAAGGGGGAAAATGGGGGGAAAGGAAAGCTTTGAAAAAAAATTTATTTATTATTATTAGGGAGAGAAAAGCCTCTTTTTTTCTTGCAATGGATATGAGGGCCTAAAGAAAAGAATATATTAAAAAAAATCTTGGCCCAACAACAAAAAATAAATTCTCGATGGCGCATTTTCTCTCTTTTACTTTTTTTTTACTCAAGAACCATAAATAATAGTGTAAAGGGGCTTACTATCTCAACACACCTACGCAAAAAAAAATATTTTTTTATTACCTATGCTAAAATAAAATTTTTTTGTTCCAAACAAAAAAGGGAATATGGAACAGTTTACCCCCAAAAAAGTCTAAAGAAAATTATTTTAAAAATTTTGTAAGTCAGAGAATGGAATCAGAAGAAACAATGGTCAACTATAAGGAACTCTTATTTCTTTATACCAGGTTCCCGAAAATCGGGACTTCCCGACGATTTTCTGGGTCGGGATCCCGATTTCCCGAAATGGGGAATTTTATTTTTGTCGGCTCGTTCCCTGGTTTATAAAAATAAAAAGACAAAAGAATTAAATCCATAAATATTATACAACGGCAAAAAATCCTTTAAAAAGGGATACCTATATTAAATTTCAACACAACAAAGCCTATATATGCTTTGTTCTTAACTAATTTAAAGTAAAAAAAAGCTGTTCCTTTTTTTTTAAATGTTTATATTTAATTAAAAAAGAAAGAACAGCTTTATAGTCTCCAATTTCTCATTTTCCCAATTTTGGAAAGGTCCAAGATTTTTGGATTGAACCTTAAAGTGGTCCGTTAAAATTCCTTAAAAAGGAGGTTGTTAAATTCATCACTTTATTGAAAGGACAAAAAATTATTTTTTTTTGAAAATCAATTTTATATTTTTATTTTCAAAAAAAGAAAAAATATATCCAACAATAAAAGAACCCACGAAAAATGAATAATAAAATAATGCTTTTCTCAAAAACGTGAGAAAAAAAAATTTTTCTTGACTAGAAAATTGGATATATCATCATAATAAAGAGATAAAAATTTTTAAGTAAAAAATGAAGATTCTTGACAGTTATGCCAACCGAAAAAAAACAAACAAAAATATTTTTGAGACAAAAAAAACAATAAAAATAAAGAAAGACGAAGAAACTTAAAAAAATTTCCACTATAATGAACAAATTGAATAAAAATAAATTTCCCCCCTAAAAAATATTAAATATAAAAATACTAAAAATTTAAAAAATTGTAATATCGCATTATCGGAACATTTACATGGATTAGGTGATGGACTTTTAAATTTTAGAGTCAAAAATCAAGTCTAACTCACTCTATGTGGCTCACTCTATGTTCAGAATTTTATTAATCCTCTCCAGAGATCGTTCGGAATTTCAATTTCCGGAAGTTCCGATTTTCGACACCTTCGTCATTTCCGAACGCCCTCTGCGATCCTTTCCATATGAGAAAAAAGCCAAATAAAACAAATAAAATATGGACCGATAATGCAATAATAAACAAAAAATATTCATTCCCTCAAATTTTTGTTTAAAAAAGTTACCCCTATTTAATATATTTTGTATAAAATTAATTTTTCATTTAAATATTAGAATTTATTGCTGTTGTTGTAACTAAACCTGGAGGGGAAGAAATAATATTTGTTGTTGTTGCTGGATAATTTGAGAATGATGTTGAAGGTTGTTGTTGCTGTAATCCTTGCCCTTCTATTACAACAATACTTCCACTACTTGTTGGACCAACAAGTTTATTACGCGAAGAAAGAACGGAAAAAAGAAAAAAATTTTTTCGAAAAATTTTTTAATTAAAATTTTCGCGAAAATTTTCCAAAAAAAAATTTTTTAAAAATTTTTCAAAAATTAAAAAAAAACCTTTTCCCCCTTCAGTAGCTTCATTCCGTTCAAACCCTCTACTCGTAGATTGTATTTGTACAACATTTTCTTCTATATTTGAATTATTTGCTGTTTCATTTTCACATCTTGTTATAATTCCAATTAAAAACATTAATAAAAAGAAAGCAATTCCAAAACCTTTAAGGAAAAAAATTTCCAAAAAAATTTTTTTAATTTGAAAATTTTCGAAAATTCTTTAAAAAAAATTCTTAAAATTCTCTGAAATTTTTATTAAAAATTAAAAAAAATTTCCCGCATTAATTTTCAAAAAATTTGAAAAAAATAAGAAAAATTTTCAAAATTTTTCAAAATTACCAAAAAAAATTTTTTGAATATAAAAAATTTTTTCTCAGAAATTTTCCCAAAAAAATCTCCTACTCACCCAAAACACAAAAGAAAACAATTTTTAACCAATACGGATATTGCACATCCTCTCGATTATTTTTATCATTAAAATTATTTTTTGGTGTCAATTCTGTTGGTGGATAAATAAATGGATTTGTTGCTTCATTTTCGTCATTTAATAAAGGAAAATTATCTTTAAAAAGAAAAAAATTTTTTTTTGAAAATTTAAAAAAATTTTTCAAACTTGAAATTTCTGCTGTTGTTGCTATTTTTGTTAAATTGTCCTCCAAAATCTTATTTTCAAAATTTGTTTGTGAAATTGTTGTTGCTTCAATCAAATTTTGATTTTGATCATTTTCAATTAAATTAGGTGGCCATTGAGGGCAATCCTTTCAAAAAAAATTTTTTTTTAAGAAAATAGGACCCTTTAAAAATAACGTTTAAAAAAATAACCTTCAACTCTCCTCTAGAATTCTCCTTAAATTAATAACAAGTGAACTCCCGCTAATACGCCACTCTATTAAAATTAGCATTGAAATACCACTAGTACATCACCCTCGAGGACTTAAAAAGAACCTATACATATAAATAAAAATATGGTGAGATAGGGAGCTCGGGAGTTGTATTAGAAGGATTCTCCACTGTAATATACTTTTATTTCAAAACTCGTCCCCAAAAAATTTAAAAAAAATTCAAACTTTAATTACATCAAAAAATAAAGAATTTCTCCTTCCAGTCTCATTCATTAACATTTTTTGTTGTTGTTGTTGATTCTTTAAATTAATTCTTTCAAATAAATGGCTCATTAAAAAAGCATTTCTACCAGCTGCCAATGTTTCGTTTGTTGTTAATGCATCGCTATAAAGAGAAAAGAAGAGAAAAAAATTTGGAAAAATTTTCAAAAATTTAAAAAAAAATTCTAAAATTTTTTGAAAAATTTCTTTAAATTTTTCGAAAATTTCTAGAAAATTTAAAATTTTTTAAAAATTTCTAGAAAATTTTACGGACAATTTCAAGATTTCAAAAAGATTCCCAAAAAAATTTTTTTTTAATTGTAACAATTTTTTCTAAAATAAATTTCAAAAACATTCTTAAAACGTTTAAAAAAATTTTAAAAATTCCTTTTAAAAATTTTCTAAAAAAACAAACTTTAATATTGGCGCTCTCCTTTCAATTGAATTAACAGGAAGTATCGAAGCTTAGAAAAATTTTTTATTTATTTAAAAAAATTTTTTTTTAAAAAACCTGTCAAATATTGAATATAAATTAAGCCAAATATTATTATTTTTAATATTATTCTTCCATTTATTATTGACATAATTGAAAAACAACAACAACAACAGGAACAATTATTTTTAGTTTATAACATTTTTCCGAAAAGGAAAAAGAGCCCACAAAAATACTTTTCTATGGCAAAATTTTACTAATAATTTTTTGCTTTAAAAATAACAATAGAAAAAATGACGAAAAAAGGTGGCCATTTATTTCCAAAAAAAAAAGAAAAAGGAAAGAAAAAAATTCTTGACAGGGTTGCTCGGATACCTAGCAAAAATGAAAAAAAATTCCAAAAATAATCAAAAAAAATTTTTTTAATTTCTACTTCCTATTCATTTAGAAAATTAGAAGAAGCACATTTTAAGGAGATGTTAATCCTCACATCCCCCCTCTCTCTCACAACTAACCAAAAATTTATTTAAAAAAATTTATGAGATTAACCTGAACCGACTCCCTCTAAATTTAAAAAGAGAACAACATGAGGGAGAAGAAATCAAGATAAACCTTCAAACCCACAAATTTTTTTGTATAAAATGAAGGAAAAAACCAACTAATAAACTTTCCTAAACCATCAATCCCATTCCTCCCCCTCCCATAAAAAAATTAAAAAAAATATACCATTTTTTTGTTAAAATTTTATGGCTCTCTAATAAAAATTGTTTTAATTAATAATTTTTTTGCTATTTTTTCCACTAAAATATAATATATTGCGCTATCATTAATATTAATATATTATGGTTTTAAATATTATTATTCCAATTTTTTGAACTAAGAAAATTTTTTCCAGAAATAGTCAAACATTTTTTTAATTTCGAAAAACTCCAAAAAAAATTTTTTTTCCTAAAAAATTTCTGAAATTTTCTAAAAATCTTCAAAAATATTTTAAATTTTAAATAAACCTCAATGGAATAATAATTAATATTGAAAATTAATTTTATGACGATTTATAATCATCATCATCACTTGAAACATTATTACTATTAATATTACAGCTATTATTATTCACATCATCAACAAATGGTTTTGAAGAAGAAAAGATTGTTGCACAATTTTCTGCCAAAACCTTAAAATTAAAAAAAAAATTTTTTTTTATTTTTCAAAAAATTTTCAAAAAAAAACCTCATCAATAACATCACCAGGATCACGTCTTGTTCTTTGAACTCTCATTGACATATTATGCCCTAAACCTCCTGGGACATTTGGAAATATTGAAGAGATTGAAGAAATTGTTGTGGAGGTTGAAGGAATTGTACTAGTATTTGATGAAAGATTTGTTATAAGACTTGAAGATCTTTCTTCTTTTGGGTGTTGAAAATGTTCTTTTGTACAACCTGGGGAAATTTTTAAAAAATTATAAAAAATACAAAAAAAAATTTTTTGGCAATGATCTGGTTTATGCGTCCAATAAAACTTTAGTCCAATAAAAAATTTTTTGCTGAAGATGTTAAATGGGAAAGAACAACAGTCCACAGAAGTTATAAGTTATTAACTTAATTTGAATAGATTACTCGCAATAAATCCCAACAAATTACGATGTTAAGGTACTCATCAATTTAGAATAATTGAACTCATAAATTAATATTGGATTTATAAAATTTTGTTTGGACACAAAAAAATTTTAGGCGTTGGTAAAATGGAATCGTAGACATTTTATTGGACTTATAAAGCTTCATGGACACAATAAATTAAACCAAAGCCATTTTTTATTTTTAAAAAGTAAAGAAAAAATTTTAATTAAAAACCTGAAGATGATGTTAAATGTAACGATGTTGCTAATAATGATATTGGTGGTGGACAACCAATTGTTGATTGTATAGTTAACGATGCTGATGTGGCTGGTAATGTTGTTGTTAATAAATTATTTGAATCAATTATTGGAATTGGATTACTGCTGGTACTATTATTATTTATTGCTTCAAAAAAAAGAAATTATTTAAATAGTTAGAATTGAGGTATAAAATTTTTCATGAAGGTTTAGAAAATGGGTATCCCATTGTCATGTTAGCAAATACGCGAACACTTTTTTGACCCAAAATTCGTAAGCAAAAATTTAAAATTGTCCCTATTTTATTTATCCGAAGACATCCCTAGTTATGAAGAAATTAAAAGAAAAAATTTTTTGTAATGGTAAAAAGCATTTTTACAAAAAATCACATCAACTTTTAAGAAACATTCTTAAATTAGGAAGCAGTTTCCATAAACCACGAATCATGCCCATGAACCCGAGCTATAAACCACACCCCGTAAAATGCGCCACCACACCCCGTAAAAAGTTTCTCTTTTTCTCAAGAACTTTTGCCAAGTTTTTCACCCCCCCCCTCCAACAAGAAATATTTAACACAGAAAAGCGACAGGAATTAAATGAATTAAAAAAAAACCTCCAGAATTTGTAGTTGCATTATTTACATTTCCACTAAAACTTCCTCCAACTCCATTATTATTATTAATTTCATTAGGTGATGGAGGAGGTGCACGTCTATCAACAGGATTTAACCATTGACCTAATTGATCATGTTGTAACAATAAATTTGAACTATTATCTTCAATATCATTTTGATTTTGTTGTTGAAATAATAAAGACGCAGAATTTGGACTGAAAAATTAGAAAAAAATTCCAAAAAAATATTATCTAAAAACTGAGGCAAAAATAAAAATTGACATTTCATCCTCGTAAGGACCCGAATTTATAAGAAAAAATAAAGTAGAAACTCAAGTTAAGGTCAACAGAAATATAATAGAATGATCAGAAGATGTTTAAAAACGGAGGCGGGCCGAAAAAATAAAAATAAGCCAAAACATAAAGTTCAACGAGCTCTGGTCAAAAAATGATAAGATAGCCGGAGCGGAATCAAAAAGGAGAACCGAAGATTTTCTGGGCCAGTCTTCCGATTTAAATCCTGCTATCCAAAGATTTTCTAAAAACCCTAGTTTCGTCATTTTTTGCTGTCAGACCCAATCAAAGATAAAACAGTCAAAAATATCACGGAGAGATTAACATGAAAAAAAAATTTAAAAACTCCTTACACTTTAAAAAGAGGATCTAATGAATCATGCTGCATTCTAATAAAAATATGAACACGAGAATTGTCCTGTCTTTGACTTGTAAAATATCCATCAAGTAAAAAAGACTTTCTAATACCAGTATTTCCACTCCCAGCAAATTCAGAAAGATTAATTATTACATAACCCAATTTTTGTGGATTACGTCCAGCACGGTCTTCCTAAAACAAATTTTTCAAAATTAAATTTTTAAAAATTAAAAAAAAAACCTTTCTTAATGAAATTTTGCATCGACAGGCCTAAAATTAAGTACAAATTAAAGAAAACAAAATTTTAAAAAAAACCTCAAGTTCTCCAGAATATTTAGAATCATAAGGGATATAACAATAAAAAGAAAATGGTTGTGTATTTTTTTCAGCATAAGCTAAATTTCCAAGTTCATCGATAAAGTATTCGGGCTAAATAAAAAAATTTGTTTAAACGAATTTTTCGAAGTTTCAGAATTTTAGAGGACCCAATTTTGCTTAACAATTCTTACTTTTATAGAAAATGACATAGAAAAAGTTGGTGTTCGGGCTTTTTTCGGGCCGAAAAAAATCAGGGTTTCGGGTAACTCATTCCGTATCTGATATGACCTAGAGATCAGGGACAGAGACTAGATCTCGTTCAGTAATATCCGTTATGAGATAAATATTCTTATGTACTTGTGTGAACTAGTAAATAATCCTTAAGCGCTACCCAACTTAAATAACCAAAAATCCAACCAATTCTAAAATATTTCAAACAAGAGAGCTCAAATGGACAAAAAAGATTATAGTGTACAAAAAACATTAATAAAAAACCTGATCAGAATCGCGAATTCTATTCTGTATTAGCTCATCAAATTCATTTTTAATCCCATCTTCTTCCAATAAGTGTTTGCATTTTCGATTGCGCGCATCAATTTGCTCCAAAATTTTTTGATAGCTTGCCTCATCGATTTGGCTGTTTTCTGCTTGCGCTTTTAAAGCTTCTTCAAAATCATCCCATTTACGGTGAGCATCGTCTAATTCACGTGGAGAACGTTCAGTTAAAGAATGACGCCTTTCAATTTGTTGAAATTTTCTATGAGAAGCTGGAGATAAAGAAAATTGTTTATGTTGTTGTTGTTCTTGTAAGGAATTCATAGAAGAGGCGATGGAAGATCCATCAATTATGTCTGTTGTACTATGCCTAGAAAAAGGAGGAAGAAATGGTTATTCAACTCTGATAGGGATTTTTGTAAGAAAAATATTTTGGGCTTGATAAGAGAAAACTTGAAAATTTGAGAAAAGCAGTGGTAAACGTCGCTTACTGGTCCTTTTTCAGCCCTCAAGTTTTTTCCTATAAATGTCCAAAATGGTCAGAGTTTATTTACTTTACTTGTTGCCAGTTCCAGCAATTAAAACAAGTCTTCCAAATACAAAACCCCCCAAAATTTTAATAAGCTAAAAACCTATGAACATTTGCATTTGGATAAATTTGCCCACTGTTCGTCCTACTTCTCATGCGAATATTCGAAGGTGCAGAACTATTAAACCGTCTTGAAACTGAAGGGATCATAAAGTCAACTTGGTGGGAACAGACTGGTCTATGCAATGTAGTGCCAACAAAAGAACCACATTCGAGTAGACGAACCTTTGAAAAAATTTTTGATAAAAATTTGCAAAATGATGAATAAAAGGGAGCCAGGAAATCGTGACAAACATATAGTGACATTTACATATAAAAACTGCTACTTTAATGGTTTCACGCCCTAAGGCCACAGAGTCGTGCATAGTAAAATGTCTTAGTGAGGAAGTTCCAGAACCATAGACAAGAAGTTATTTTAGTCACCGCAGCTCAGATATGTCCGTCCCGATATTTTTCCTCCCTACCCCAAAAATTGAAGGATAAAAAATACCTTTGCAAATATCACAGCATTTAATAACGGAACATCAGTCAATTTTTCCACGACCAATGCAACACTGAATTTAACCTTCTTTTTTCGAAGAAAAGCCATCTACTGAAGTTGATCAAATATAAAGCAATAAATATATAATTTTTTAAATGCAATCTAAAATGAAAGTTTTATTTTAATGATGAAAAGGAAAAAAAGCTGATTTCAAATGATTCAGCAAAAATGAAAAGCGCAAACAATGTGGAATAAGGAAAAGGGTGGAAGAAAAAATGAAAAAAAAGCGCATGGTGAAAGAAATATCGGCGGGGCAGTGAAAATTCTTTAAAGAACGCTTTAAACAAACAGTTTAAAAGTTTAAAAAAACGTCAATCGGAGACCTTATCTACACACATAAGGAAAGTAGCACAATCGTTCACTGTTAATAATATTGCAAAAAAAGTGAAAAAAATGCCCCAATACAGAAAAAAAAGTGCTTCCCCTATTCAGCAACAAGAAAATGTGTAAGACTCAAACGCTCCTCTCGAAGAAAATTTCTCTGACATCTCTAGCAATGCTATTTTTTAATTGGATAAAATGTCACATATATAAACAGAATGCCATAAATTTGAATTTAAAGAAAAAGAGCGGCATAACCCGACTTAAAGAATAGGTTAACCCTGAATTTTTCACCCCTAAGCATCTTAACCCTAATAAGATTTGCTTTACCCCCGCTTCTTGAAAAACCTTGACAATTTGTTGACCACCATATTCTGACCATCCAATGGTGAAGATCAACCTGTTCTATAAAAAAGGCTAAAATTGAAAAGACGAGTTAAAAATGAGTGGACAAAGACAAAGGAGAAAGACAAGTGAAAAAAATAAGCGAACAAAAAAGTAGAGGGTAGCGCTCGCGCATTTAAATTTTTGGCATTTTTTTGCTTAAAATTAAAATTTTTCGTACCAAGGCCAGTTGAAGTGTTGACACAGCAAGCCCACCATGTTGAGCACCACAGAGCCGGAGTTGCACACCAGAACTGGAGTTGCACCCTTACTTAAAAAACCACCCCTCCCACTTTTCCTTTAATTTAAATAAAAACCACACCCAAAAACCATCCATCCAAAAGCATATTGACCATCCATAGCATGTTCTCCAACCACCCAGAAGCATGTTCTCCAACCAACCAAAAGCACATTGTCCACCAACCATCCAGAAGCATGTTCTCCAACCATCAGCAGCAGGTAGACCTAGCTAAAAATACCCACCCTCCTCCCTTATTTTTTGTTAAAAAAACGACCACACCGCCTTCCACCATAAAGCATATTGACCAGTCCATCCATGTTGACGTCCTGAACAAAAAAAATCAGCCATAATTGAAAGACATCAAAAAACCATTGTGTTGAGTCGGCAGACGTCTTAAAAGAAAAATGTGAAAATTTCGAAAAAAAATTAACAAAATCAAAACCTCCAAACATCCATTGAAGTTGAACCACCATCCAGAAGAGCATATTGAAGACCACCATCCAGAAGAGCATGTCGAAGACCACCATCCAGAAGAGCATGTTGAAGGCCACCATCCAGAAGAGCATGTTGAAGGCCACCATCCAGAAGAGCATGTTGAAGACCACCACTTGTTGAAGAGCATGTTGAAGGCCACCATCCAGAAGTGCATGAAGAACACTGAAAAATCAAAATTTTAGAAAAGTATTTAAAAAACACAAAAGTTAAACCACACCACCACCAACATCAGCAGGCCACGATGAGTATGCTGGAATTTGAGGGAATTAACTTTTTTAATCAAAATTAACTTTATTTTTTTAAATTTTACGCCGCGCGCGCATAAAGGGGATAAAAAACACATATAAACACATAAAAACGAAAAAAAAATAAAAAAAACCCGTACCGCGGTACGAAATACCCCTAGAGCTCGAAGAAAAAAACAAAAAAATTTGTTTTTCTCTAACCTGCTCGTTTTTGTATTTTAACGCTTTTCCATTTTCACATTTCGCTTCGAAACTTTTTTATTTTGGCATACTGTATTTTTATTTTTTATTTTAAATCCTTATACTATTTCTTTTTTCTCTGACTCTCTGCCGTTTTACGTTAAATTTTTCCAAGCGGAAACACACGTTTTTATTTTGTTGGAAATTTTTGCTTGTTTTTAATTGTTTTATTGTTCTTTTTTATTTTAGATTGTTTATTATCTAATTTTCGCCGTTTGACACTTTATTTTTAATCAGAACATGTCTTCAGATTTTGGCAATCCTTTGAAGAAATTCAAGCTAGTATTTCTTGGAGAACAAAGCGGTTTACTTTTTATTTTGGGTTTAGTTGGCCTCCATGACTGTCAAAATTTATAATTTCCTTTTGGAAGAGAAACAGACTATTAAGGATTGTTGGGTAATAGATATCGAGTTGGGTCTAGGCCTAGATTTTTCCTCTCCTAGAACTTGGCTCTAGGCATTTTTAAGGTTCTTTGTTGTTTCCGGGACTAACGATTTCTTTCCGGTTAGCGGATTTTAAACTCTGAGATAATCCAGGTCAGTCGGTCCTTTTAAAAAATTTCGATCTCTATTAGTTTTGGGATTGGATATTTTGTTTGGGATGTAAAAAACCACAAATCGTTTGGGATCTTTGCGAACTTGTCCACCTTTCGATTAATTCTCACGGCTCTTCTATAATTAACTTTTTCCCAATTGCTTTCCTTTTTTATAAATTTTACTTTTTTTCCAGTTGGCAAAACTTCCCTCATCACCAGATTTATGTACGACAGTTTTGACAACACATATCAGGCGACAATTGGCATCGATTTTCTCAGCAAAACAATGTATCTTGAAGACAGAACTGTGAGCCTTTTTTTCTATTTCTGAATTTTCGAGTTTTAGGTTCGTCTACAACTTTGGGACACCGCCGGACAGGAGCGTTTTCGATCTCTTATTCCTTCCTATATTCGTGATTCTACAGGTTTTTTTCTCTCCTTTTTTTAATTTTTTAAATAATTTTTTGTTTAATTTAGTTGCTGTTGTTGTCTATGATATTACAAGTTTGTTCACTATTTTTTTAAATAATCTAGGAAAACCTCTCCAGATCTGGGAAATCAAATCTGGAAAATGCCTTGATTTCGTTTCTGGGTCAAGAACAAAGATTTGATCGGTAGAGCTCATGTGAAAGTAGAAGAAGGCTAGCACGTCTTTTCGAAGACGCTTTTTACGCCTTGACTTGGGTCTCACCTTTCGCTTCTTAAAATTTGTTTCGGTATTTCGCCACACATTTGATACTTGCTTTGATTTTTTCATAAGTAGGATCCAATTTTCATCGTTGTTTTGGGCCAAATCTTTGTCCTGGATCCAGAGACACGATAACAGGCTTTTCAGAACCTTCGTTTGTTGAATCCAATTTCCTTTTTTTTTCAATTTATTATTCTTTATCTCGTAATTATTTAAATTTTACAGACGCCAACTCTTTCCATCAAACTTCCAAATGGATTGACGATGTTCGCACTGAACGCGGAAGTGACGTTATTATTATGCTTGTTGGAAATAAGACTGATTTGACTGAAAAACGGTTTTTTTACTTCTCTAAAGTTTAATCCGAAAATATTTTTTTAGCCAAGTCTCCACAGAGGAAGGGGAACAGAAGGCTAAAGAGCTTAATGTAATGTTTATTGAGACGTCGGCAAAGGCGGGTTATAATGTTAAACATGTTTGTTTTATTTTTTTAAAATAATTTACTTGAGGCTAGAAAATGGGGTTTAACCTCTATTTTTAGGTTGATTTTATAAATTCTTTAGAAAAAAATTTTTTAGAGTGGGGGAATTTTAAAGCCGGATATTTTATCCTATTTTCTAATTGGAATTGTTTTTTTTATTAGTTGCTAGAATATGGGATTTATGTATGTTAAAGTTTAAGTTTGTTTATTAGGATTGGGTTGAACCCATTTTTCTATTTTTTCTTGCGGTTCGAAAGATCAATTCGGGCATCGAATTTTGGCCCGAAAAAGACTCGGCCGATCTAACCCGATAAAAATGACTCGAACGTCGTCCCGGTCCGAAAACCCCAATCTGTTCTTTGTTTAATTTAGGATCGAATCCGAAGAAAAAATTTAAAAACTGAGTGAATTTGACTTTCATAGAGTTGGTCCCATTTTTCTATTCCTTGTTTGGGCCTCTGCCCAAACTCATGTTACAAAAAAAGGTCACTTTGGAATAGCAAGTCGAGGGATTTTTGGGTTCCCAATGTTTTTAGAAATTAATAAAATAAAAAATTTTTATTTTTTTTTAGCTCTTTCGACGAATAGCTAGTGCATTGCCTGGAATTGACGTTGAAAAACCTTCAGACGCCAGTATTTTTTTAAAATAATTTTTCAAAAAAATTTCTCTTTTTCAGAACAAGTTGTTGACATTGGACCGATTAAACCACGCCAAATTGTTACGGAAGAAGGATCTTGTTGGTGTTGAGAGACAACTTAATAATTTAATTGACCTGTATAATTAAAAAAGGGCAGCAACAAAAAGAGGTTAAAAAAAATTTTTTTTAGAAAAAAATTCCAACTTTTATTTTTTTTAATACTCTAAAAAATTGTTTTTTTCTATTTTAATTTAAAAATTATATTTTTAAAAATAGACCTAAATATTTAAAAATAATCTCCAGAAAAAAAAATTATTTTTTTACTAGAGGATCTGGATCCAGACCTTTATTTTTTCTGGATCCAAAGTCCAGATCAAGACATTTTTCAGTGTTCCTTGATTTTTTCTTGACTCAAGGTTAAGAATTTGGTCAAGGTACCCAACCGAAATCAAGGATCAAGGTCAGGGTTTTTCGAAAATCTCGCTATTTTTGACCTTATTAAAATTTGGGGATAATGGGAATTTTTGATTTTTTTGAAATTTTCTGGGAATTTTTCTGAAAATAAAATTTTTTTGTCTATTCAATTTTTTTTGGCCATCAAAAATTTTCCTGAAAAAAACTGTCTCTCTCTCATATCTACATTATTTTTGTTATTACTATATTTTATCAAAAAAAAGAAAATCTTACTTCTGTTATTAATTTATGTGTTCTAAAATATTTGTTTTTATTGTGCAAGAATTGGAGAGGGGGAATATACGGGGGGAATTAAAAAATTTTTTTTTGGATAAATTTTTTTGAAAATTTTCGAAAATTTGTGAGAACATCTAAAAATCCCCACATACCTATATTTCCTCTGTATGACTCTACTGATTAAATAAAGTCAGACTTCTCTAATATATCACCCCAAGGGATCGAATTGATCTGGAAGGTTCGACTCTATGTAAATCCTTTTTGTGTGTTTTAAAAAATTCGTTTATTTTTTGTTAAATAAACAATTAAATATATATGTTTTTTATTTAAATAAAAATTTGATGAAAAAAATATTTTTTGATATTTTTTGGAAAAAATGAAGAGGCTAAAATAGGAAAAAAAATATATTTTAAAAAATTAATGGAAGGACCAGAACATTAAAAAAAAATTTTTTTTTTTGAAGAAAATTTGAAGGATTTTTATGAAAAAAATTTTTTGATATCAAAATGATCAACTTTTTGAGGTAAAAATTTCCCCAAAAACTTTTTGGAAAAATTAAAAAAAAATTAAAAAAATAAAAAATTTTTTTTCAAAGAGAATTACTATTAGAGGATGTAGTAGATTTAACACCACACCGCCTTATTAAAATTAGGGAAGACAAAATAATTAATAAAATAATTGGGACAATAATTAAAAGTGCTTGATTATTTAAAATTTGTAAAAAATTATTTTTATTAGCATCTTTACCTCCTCTTTCTGTTCTACTCGAACTTGGAAAGTTTTTATCTGTTTGGGGCAGTCTGTGTTGGTTGTAATTCTCTAACTAAAAAATAATAGGTTAAAAGGGGATCAAAATGGTCCTTTTTGAGGTAGAAAATCGATTTTACAAACGATAGCTCACTCGACAAAGCTCATCGAGCTGATTCGAGTGACATCAAAATCATCGTGATTAAAAGTTTTGACAATTTTTCAAACTCTCTGGGATTCCCACTTTTCCTTAAGGTTTCGGGTTCTCTTTTTGTCTATCTTTATTTTCCGGAAAATTTAAAAATTCTCTGTACTCTCCGAAAAACAAATTTACACCCAACTTTCTTCCCTAATGGCTCCCAATCTTTCCGGAAAGTTTCCGGAAAATTTTTTAGATTTTAAATTTTCAAACCCTAGCATTTGGATCACAAATCCAACGTTGCATCATTTCCAATTCTTCCATCACTGTCATTGCACAAGGTCTAGGGCATGCTACTGCGCATTGCTCTAACGTCTCAAATGTGTGTACAAATGTTTGTAGACGTTCATTTATTGGCTTAAAAATTAGAAAAAATTAGAAAAATTTGGAACACTTGGGCCTCACTATAAAACACCCCTTGGGAGCTGAAAAATTGTATCTTAAAATGGGGATGTCTTAAATGGAGGGTATTGCTTATATAGAGGTGTTTACTAAATAGAGGGGTGTCTGAAATAGAGGGTATCGTCTAAGAAGCTCCCCCACCCAATGGTTAACCAGTGTATCTTAAATAGAGGTGTGCTAATCCTGAGGGTATCTCAAGGTGAGACCTAAAATTAAAACTAACAAATTGAGCTGATGATCCAGAAGAAGAATATGGCGATAAATTTGTATTTTTCCCCAAAGCCTTATGCCTGTTAATTGTTGTCCCCCCAAAATTCTCTTCATATGCAGAAACTGAAGAACCAACACCTCCAGCATTCCCCACATTATTTAAACTTTCTTCAAACAAAACGGCAGCGTTAGAAATTAGAAAAAAGAAAAAATGGAATAAATTAAATGATTGAAGGAAATTGATGAAAATGAAGTTTTGTTGCATTTGTTGGGAGAATTCGGAGGAAAAATTTTTTTCTTACATTTAGCTTTGAAAGTATAAATTATAGTAAATCTCGTCACGTAGTATCTACGAATTCGTTTCCAGCGTACGAATTCGTTTCCAACGAATCTTGAGAGGTAGATAGGCAAGTAGAAGGTATACTAGTTCAAAAAAGGAGGTGGCCACGGCCAACGGGTATAGATTAAAGAGGAAAGACCCACCATCATTTTTGTCTCTTGTAAACAATAACAAATTGAATAATTTTCAAAAAAAATCCCTTTTTTGATGAAATGGGGCATATAGTGTTTTTGAAAGAATAAATAAATGAAAAGCGCTTTAAAAAAGATGAGCACAGGAAAAGGAATTAGCCATTAAATGAAGGAGGAAAATGACTATCTGCCTTTAACCCTCTCGTCTTTACTCTTATCCTCCTCTCTTTTTATTTTTCGTTTATCCTTTGGAGAAAAGGACAAATGAAACCCTAAAAATGAAGATGAAATGTATTAAGCGCCTTGTTTAACATAAATCGGGGGGGGGGGGGTATTGGAATTTTTAGAAAGGAGGATTTTAATTTAAAAAATTATTTAGGAGGAGAGGGTGGGGGAGGGAGATCGTGAGTTCGTTGAGTAAAGGTAAATAAAGTCAGACCCTTACCATAGGGCACCCCCAAAAAAGTTCGCCAATGGGTGGATACGTCTACCCCACCCCTCCCATTCAAAATACCCTCCATTATAAGAAACAACTTTTTAGCTCCAAGAAGGTATATTAGAATGAGGTTCTGGACGATGAGGTTGCCTAAGCTCCCCACCTCCTTTTAAGTACCCCTCATTATAAGAAACAATATCATCAACCTCAAAGGGATATCCTACTTATAGTGAGCTCCAACTCTGTCATTCACCGATGTAAAAATCAAAAAACAAACTGATCCTCGCCTAAAGGATTCAATATCCTCCCCCAACATCCCAACTTTAAACTAATACCTCTTTCACTCACTTTCCCCCTATTTCAAAATCAATAGCCCCCTCCATCCGAGCAACTCTATTAAATAAACTGTGCTGCGGGTGTATTCACTCAAGCGTTTTATTTTTTCCTTAAAGCCCTCTTTATTTTTTTCTAGTCAGCTTTATGACCAAAAGGACACAATAACACGCCGCTTTAAAAATATAAGGGGAGAGGGGGGGGGGGGAGTTACTGGAAGAATTCCATTAGTATACTCGAGGGAAAAGAGAAAAGTCATTATATACAAAAGCATTTTTGTGTGTGAAATTTTTATTTTTAAAAATATTATTTTAATAAATAATCCGTTTTTCCCCGCCTAAGTTTATGCCTCTTTTTCCTTCCTTAAAAGTATTACAAGTTGGATAATGGAAAAAATGGGGGAAGGAAATGAATAAATTTGCACTAATTTTATTTTGGATTTTTATGGAAGAGAGAAGAAATTTAAAAAAGAAATTAAAAGAAAAGGTGAACACTTCTTAAATGTGTTATAAAGAGATTTTTAGAAGTCAGAAAAAAATTGGAAAATTCTTTTTAAAAAATTCTTAACAAGAAAAATAAAAGTCTTGAAGATTGGAAACCTTATAGGATTAACTTTAAAATAAAAACAAATTTTTGTTATTGTCAAAAAATTTTTAAAAATCCCAAAAATTTTTTCTTCAAAAATTTAACTAGACAAAAATAATTTTTAACGACGTTAAAAAAACAAAATACCCAAAAAACCCCAAGAAAACCAGAAAATTGGAGGGACCCAAAAAGGCGATTTTTCCGTAAAAAAATAATTTTTTAAAAATATTCCAAAATAATAATTTTAACTACAAGGAAACAGTAATTGCAAAAAACACATTTTTGTCATTGTCAAATAAATAATATATATTTTTTAAAAACAATTGTTGTCACGCTTCATATCACATTTAAGAAGGGGAGGAGATAAAGGAAAGCAAAAATTAGTAATATTGTTGTTTTTGGGAGAAAATAGAAGAAAAAATAAAGTGGGGAGGGAGATGAAAAAAAGAAAGAAATGGCCACAGAAAAATCATAAAACGAAAAAAAATTTTTTTTTAATCTAAAAAATCAGAAAAATTTCCCTTTTTACGAGATCCTCATCCAGAGTGTTCTCCTGGCCGTCCAGAACTATAACGCCAAGAAACGTCATCCTTTGGAAAATTTCAGAACTTTCCAGAAATTCAGAACTACGGAACCTCCCAGAATTTTTAAGAAACCGAGGGAACACTTTTAGGATGAGGTGTTAAAAATCCCAGCAAAAAAATTTTTTTAGACTAAATTCATTTTAAAATAAAATAAACGTTTTTCTTGAAAATCGTTTTGATTTTCAATTTTAGGAAAATTATTATTATTTTTTACCCATAAAATTATTTTTTTAATATACCAACCAGATTTTTGTTGCAAATTTAATTCCAAATTGTCTTCTATAATTAATGGAAAATATTCCTCATCAATTTGTTTTTGTTCTTCTCCCTCAGTATTTTTGTTGTTGAAATGACTAAATTAAAATTAAAAATTTTTTTTAAATTTAAAAATTAAATTTTTCAAATTTTTCAGTTTCTCAGAACTCGGTAAAGTTTTAGTCGTCAAAACATTTTTCAGAGTGAGCTAGGTTAATCATCATAGAAACTGACGTGAAAAATCATAGAATTAGGAGGGGGATAAATAAATAAAGATAGAAAGGAATAGAACTTTATGCTGGAGAAATCAACGAGGCTAAACCAGAACCAACTTAACCACCGCTTAACTTATAATCGAGGCGAATATTTAAGCTTAAAAAATTGGGAAAAAAGAAAAAATTCACATTTTAACCAAAATTTTTCAATTTCAAAAAAATCTTCTCACCGGAAAATTTTTAAAGTTGAAGAAATTTTTTAAAAATTTCAAAGAAACCTAGAAAATTTTTTGGTTATTCCTTGAACATTTTCTGGTTGCTCTTCGGATTTTTTAGTTTTAGCCAATAAATGTTCAACATTTAAGCTGTTTGAGACTTCTATAACAAATTCAACGGGAAATGATGATTTATAACTAAAAAATACTTTTAAAAATTTTTTATAAAAAAAAACCTCATCTCCAAATATCGATCAGTTTGTTCAATTAAAATATTGCACAGGAAAAGGCTTAAAAATTAACTATTAAAATATTATTTAAAATTTATTTTTCCGATTTTCAGACGAAGGGTTCCCCAACCTCGATAATATCATTAAAAATTTCATGGAATATAGGTAATTTAAATCCCAAGTTAATTAAATCCGAGGGAAGAACCTTTGAATTTTTAAAAAATAAAATTTTCAGTCAAAAAAGGGTCAGGTCTCAAAATGGCAAAAAATTAAAAATTTAAATAAAAAATCTTTAAAAAAATTTACTTAAACATTCCAACATTGTCAATTAAAATCCCAGGCTTTAAATCCTTTGAAAATGCTGTAGAACTCAAATAAAAAGGTTGAATGTTGAGATTCTTCATACAAAAATTATTTGTTTCTTCAGAACAAAAATCAAGACATTCTGAAGAAAATCCAACAGAAAAATTTGTACAAAATTGTTTTGAGACCATTTTATGGGGAAATAAATAGGGCTGAAAAGAAAAAGGAAATTTTTGGATTTAAATAGGTATATAAGCTATAAATGATTTTCTAGTGGGCACAATCAGAACAGAGGATAGATACTTGGGACAAAATTGAAACCCGTTGGAATTGAAAAACAAGTGGGTACTGATAGGTGACAAACATACTTTTAGATTTTGGTGTGGTTTCGAAAATTAAAACTATTAACTCGAGACCGGAATGAAAGAGTCGTACGAGATACAAGAAATAGTATCTTGGAAAATATCAATGTGATGAGTATTTGTTTGAGATCATGTCACGGTAGATCTCTATTATAACAATGCTACAACTAGAAGGCATCCAAAACTCTAATAGGCTCACTTAAATACTGTTGTGTCCGCGCTTGCAGAAAGAACATAAATGAAAATAAATAACCCAGCAATGGGTTGGATGGTGGCACAGTCGGTTGTGCTTCGGTCTGGGCTCATTCCATGATGGTTCAATTCCATCTACCATCCACAATTTTTCCACAGTACGAACACTCGGACATGACAAATGGCGCAGTCGGACAGGCCAGGCTTAGCCTGAGGAAATTTCAGCGAACCTTCAAATGCTGTGATGATCTGACATTCTGTCACTGTGGAGAGAAAAAGGAGAAGACCCTGTGAGAAATTAAATGCCTGAGTTGTGATAGGCTAGCCGGTGTTGCGAGGCTAATATAATATAAAAATGCGTAAGGCGCATGAAGCGCAGCAAATGCCACAAAATGGGTTTCTGTGTGTGCTCTCCAAAAATCGAAACAGATGATAGTTATAGAAGACAAGCAACAAGCGAGGACGCTTGGTTTCGCAAGGCGGAAGGAGTGTTGTGTCCGCGCTTGCAGAAAGAACATAAATGAAAATAAATAACCCAGCATCGGGTTGGATGGTGGCACAGTCGGTTGTGCTTCGGTTTGGGCTCATTCCATGATGGTTCAATTCCATCTACCATCCACAATTTTTCCACAGCATGAACATCGGACATTATAAATACCATTACCCCATTTTGTAACATTATCTAGCCCAAAAAATTAAGTAAAGAATAAAATTAGAAACCTTTAACAAATTCCAGAACTTCTCAGAATTATCAAAAAGACTAATTTTCTGATCCCTTTTAGGACAAGTCTCGCAAATCCAACCTGGCGCAAATATTGCTGTAGAAAAGTTGTAACGACGAATAACTTCCAAAGGTTTAAAGCATTCCCAGCCTCCTAAAAATATTCTTAAAAATTTTTTAGAAGGTAAAAAACCTGTACAACCCCGTCCAAAAACATCAATTCCAATATAAATATCAAAAAGAGATTTGTCCTCAGAAAAGTTTTTGTAAAAAGTTTCGAGAGTTCGTTGAAGATGACATTCTGTCCAGCCATAATTTGTGTAAAAACCATCAACAGATGAGAACCAACGCCTTAAAGTGTTTTTTTGTTTATTTTAGCAAGAGTTCTAGTCTAAAAGCTTTTTTTGTCAACGGGCAGGAAACGGCAAAAATAACCGTTTTACATCGCAAATTTTTGGTTATAGTTCCCAATGTTCAGTTGTGAGTTAATTGATTAGAAGTTATTTGTAGTTAGGCACTCCCCTCACTACGTTCAGGTGCTAAATTGATTGAGGTTTCAGAGGTCTCAAGTCTTAAATCCATATATGAACGTTTTAAATTTCCTAGCCTGATGGGATTTCCCTTGTTAAATTTTGGATGTTGTTTGTTAAATTGAATAAAAGGGAAGAAAATAGAGAACCAGGGACCAACTGGAAGCTATTATATTAATTTAACTTTTAAAGATTTCCTACGAACATATTGTCCTTATTGAGCTCATTCTGCCAACACAATTCACCAGAATTTACAACTGAGTCATACCAAATTACTTGAAAACAAAAAATTATTTAAAAATCCTTAAAAAACCTTGAGTGCAATTATGAACATTATCTCGCAAATCTCGTCTCAACTTTCTCAGAAACCCTTCTAATCGGTCCAAATAAACAGAATAAACGCGATTTTCAATATTAATAAGCCAGCCATCTTAAAATGAAAACTATTTGAAAATTTTTAAAAATCCTTAAAAAAACCAAAATTCATATTTTTGCATAAATCAACGAGGGAAGAAACAATTTTATCGGTAATGGAATCATCAGAAAAAGATTGATTGAAAAGAGAGACTGATTCGATTATAAATATTCCTGAAAAATAGAAAGATTTTTAGAATGAAGGAGAGGTGAATTTAAGACTTAAAAAGCGCCGGTAGATAATATGGTCAGCCATTGTCAGTCAAAATGGGATGCTATGAACGTAAAGCCTGGCTATGATCCGGAGACAACACCTACATTATCCCCCTCCAAGTTTAGGCGTTCTCATGGGCAATCGGTAGGAAAGCTGACTATAAGTTAGGGAGAACAGATTGACACTAAGTTGAGCGTTCCAGTACCCAGTTAAAAGGAGAGCACCTGAACATGGTGAACGAGGCCCTCAGTATTACTGTCAGAAAGTCACAAGTTCGATCCATACCGGCTAATCTCTTTCTTAACTTTTAATAGAACCTTAAAAATAAATCTAAAAACGAACCTAAAATCAAAACTCCGTGTTGATGTGCAGCCAAAATCCAAACATCAGGCGGCACAGTAACAAAATGATGGGAGAAATAAACAAAAATGTCAATATACCACCAATGAAAAAATGAATAAATTGGAATTTGGCGTTCTTTGTCTTTGTTTGGTAGAGAAGTACAAGTGATACCTTGAAGACTATAATGAAAAAAATTTGGAAGAAAGGAAACTGAATAAAACAAAAATAGGATTAATTTGGGGAGATGTCACACAAAGTTATTCAGCTCCCAAATTTATAGGGTAATTAGCCCCAGGCAGGCATTGATTTTGTGGCCTCCTGGCAGTTATTAGGCGCCTTTGATAACGTTGTACAGGTACTATACTGATTAAAAATAAAGTACCCAACCTTTATCCTTGTCCCTCCTTATCTTGTAATTTCTTAAACCCGCATTAAACCTACCCGACTTCCTTACATGGAGAAAATAAAAATGGAGCCCCCTCTCCTTAAAGTACAAAAAATTAAAAACCTTTCATATTCCAAATAACCTCCACGATGATCATGGCAAACCAGAGTTCGTGGTCGTTTTGCTGCTTTATTCCAATTAAAATTGTTCAATTTGTAAGTTGATTGATGAGGATTTGGAGTAATATTCTCTATTTCATTCCATAGAAAAAGACTTTCAGTTGTGTCGAAACAAAGAATACCATCATTTTCGGACTTACAAATTACCTCCATTCTAAATTAAATTTGGATAAAATTTTAATAAAAAGTACCATTTGGGTAAAATACTATTGGACTCAACTGGCACCTTCAAAATCAGCACTTTTGAGTCTCAAAAGTTTTTGCGATTTTTTGATTTGCGAGGATGGAATGGGATCGGGAATTTTCGGTTTTTCGGTGCCCGTCTTTTTTTCTTTAGAGTTGCTCTCGGGATCCCGCAACGGGATTTTTTTCAAAATTTTTAACGGGACAGGATCCAGCGGGATTAATCCCGTAAACCTGTAATCCCGTTCGTTGCTTAAAATACGGGATTTCGGGACAGGACTCGTAAAATCCCGTTCGATATCCCGTCCTGTCCGCACTCTAATCGGAAACTTTTTCAGGTTGCCAGTTGAGTCCACTAGTATTTTACCCAAATGGTACTTTTTATTAGTTTCTTTCTCGGGCTGACCAATTTTTATTTTCTGTTTCCCGGTCCAGGCTCTGTCCTTTTGGTTGTATTTTTTGCTACTAATTTTATTTTTTTAGGGTTATAGGACTCGATATAAATTTATTTTTTATTCATTATCTGGACAGAATGTCAATTATTTTTCATCGACGGCTACTTCAAAATAAATTGATTTGCGCCTTAACGAGACGTTCAATGAGCTTTGATTTGTCTGATCAGTAAATTTTTTTTAATTTTTAAAATTTTCTTGGTTTTTAGGCAACGAGAAATACAACAAAATGCATTGAAATTTGCTAAAGAAGTTATTTTACCAAAAGCAGCAGAGCACGATAAAACAATGGAATTTCCTTGGGAGATTATAAAACAAGCACATTCCCTTGGTCTAATGAATACTATGATTCCAGAGAAATACGGTTTTTTATTTAGTAGACAAGTTTCGTTAAATCGGGATTAAATGTAGGTAACGGTAGCTAGTAGACATGGAGATTTTTGAAAAACCTGGACCTGCTGTTCTTGGACTCTGTGTTTGATTTATTGACCTGGGCATGATCCTGGGCTGTAGGCCCGGATCCAGGGCCTGTAGTCCAGGAAAACCCCAGAAAGGCCAAAAAATTCCTGGGCCTAAGCTCTGGGTACAGAAAACCCCCAGGCCTTGGTCCCAGACACAGCTCGATAACTAGAAGCTAGCAGGCCTCGTTTTCCGGTTTTTTAAACTACTTCCCATCAACTAATACCCAAAATTTTTTAGGTGGCCCGGGTTGTGGAAATTTGGAAACAGCATTGATTATAGAAGCATTAGCTTATGGATGTTCTGCAATTCAATTAGCAATAATGGGTCCATCCTTGGCATTAGCTCCGCTTTTGTTGGCTGGGACTGAGGAACAAAAGAAAAAATATGCTGGAATGTTGGCCGAAGAACCTTTGATTGCGGTTAGTTTTTGACGGAGTTTTCAAGTAGTTTTGAATAAAAGATGACTGAAAATCATCAATTTCCGTCTTAATTTTATAATGAATAACTCTTCCATTTGAAGATTATTTTGAGACTAGTAAAAATATCGTTTATGAGACACGAACCCGGACCTCTCTTAACATAAACAGATAATCTAAAGACAAATTAGAGACCGGTCCGGAACGTAATCTCGAATAAACAACGCGTCCTGGTCTGTGCTTTTTCATGATATCTCGTATGAGTATTGTACGATTCTCTTTGCGACTCTTCCATTCCGGTCTCATCTCTGGAAATTACCCCACTAAAAAAGGATTTTACCACCTAGCCCATGTATTTACAATAAGCTGGGAGAAAAAATAATAAAATTTCTGGAAGTTAACGAGTTTATTTGTTTATTTTTTGCCAACATTTTCCGTCAAAAAATTTAATTTTTAGTCTTATTGCGTCACAGAACCCGGTGCCGGTTCAGATGTTAGCGGTGTTAAAACAACCTGTGTATTGAAAGGTTAATTTTTGAAATTTTTATTTCAAATTTTTTAAGGTGACAATTGGGTAATTAATGGTTCAAAGGCTTGGATTACTGGTGGAGGGTATGCAAAATGGTTTTTTGTTTTGGCTCGAAGTGATCCTGATCCAAAGGTTTCTGGATTTTTTTCGTTCTTGAAATTTTTGTCTTTAAGGCGGCAGCAGGAAAGGCTTTTACGGCATTTATTGTTGACGGTGATTCCAAAGGAATTTCTCGTGGAAAAAAGGAATTGAATGTTGGCCAGCGTTGTTCTGACACGAGAACTATAACCTTTGAAGATGTTCAAGTTCCAAAAGAAAATGTTTTGGGGGCGCCTGGTGGTGGATTTAAAGTGGCAATGGGAGCATTTGATAGTATTTTTAATTTTTTTTTAAATTATTTAATGTTAAAAATTTAAGCAACGCGTCCTGGTGTTGCTGCAGGAGCTGTTGGTTTAGCTTGGCGTGCATTGGATGAGGCATCCAAATATGCGTTGGAAAGAAAAACTTTTTCTGTGCCAATTGCTAATGTAAGCAAATTTGTTAGAATAGTGGTCAAACGACGAAATACCAAAATTGTGGGAGCAGGCCAGTGTACCGCAAGCCCAATGTACCGCCAGCTTCAAAATTGTCGAATCCGTGCACCCTGGTATGGTTCGGTTCAGCATATTGAGCCGCATCGAACCATACCAGGGCGCCACGGATTAGACCATTTCAAACAAAGTTATAGATCCGCGGTACATTGGGCTCGCGGTACATCGAGGTGTACCCCTAAATTGTGTCAGAGGCAAAAATAACCAAACCCAAACCTACAGAGAAATGTTTTCGCTTTTTTGTTTTTTCACCTTTAGATTTTTAGAATTTTTCGGCACACCTCTGCTTTGTATGCTTTTTTCCTTACAATTTGTTTGGTATTTCGGCGTTTAATATTACATCATCCCAAAATATATTTTAAAAAATTTTCTTTTTTAAAGCATCAAGGCGTTAGTTTTATGCTTGCTGATATGGCAATTAATTTGGAAATGGCTAGACTTGTTACTTATCGAGTAAAAAAATTTTTTTCTTAAAAATAACAATTTTTGTTAGAGCGCCTTAGACGTTGACAACGGTGTCCGTTCATCATATTATGCTTCAATAGCCAAATGTTTTGCTGCTGATACAGCTATGCAAGGAGCAATAAATGCTGTACAGGTTTTTTTGTTTTTAGAAGGAAAAATTTTTTTCTTTTTTAAAAAAGATATTTGGAGGTAATGGCTACAATACAGAATATCCTGTAGAAAAATTAATGAGAGATGCTAAAATATATCAGATATATGAGGGGACGTCTCAAATACAAAGACTTGTAGTTTCTCGTGAATTGCTTCAACGTGTTGCTCAAACAGGAAGTGCTTCAATTTGAGAAAATGTGAAGGAAGCGAAGTTGTTTTTTTTGTGTTTGTAGAGGATAAAGGGGATGTGACGGGTTGTTAGAAAAAATTTGGGCTTAAGGTTAGGTGTCCGGTTGGGATTTTCAAAATATTTTTGTGAAACAGGTTTCGAGTTGGGAAATGTCTGTATTTCCGGTAACCCGTCTTATCCCTGATGTACTATAACAAGAGGGTGTGCCAAATTTTTGATTTTATACATTGAAAAATAAAAATTAGTTTGAAGGACGAAAAGCGAAAAATAGAAAATACAAAAAGCGAAACACGAAAATAGCGAAACTCGAAAACGGAGCATCACAAAAGTGAAACTCCACAAAATCGAAAAACCAAAAAGGGGAAATATGATAAGCGATTAGGGTTGTCGTTTTCGAACCGGGCCGTTGAGTCATTTTTTCGGGCCTCTTTTTTAGGGCCGGACCGGTCGAGTAGTTTTCGGGCCGAAATTCGATGCAACCCTATAAGCGATACAAAATAATCGTAGGACTAAAAAGCGAAACACTAAAAAATCGACATACGAAAGGCGAAATACCCAAAAAAGTGAAAAACTAAAATGGCACACCCCTGACTATAAATAAAAATAAATATCGAAATTTTTTAATTTAGTTTAAACTAATTTGCCAATATATTGTCCTATACTATTTTTATAAATTTCTTCATAAATATTTGATATTTTATTGGAAAAAATTTTCTTTAAGCAAGTGAAATTGGCTTGATATTTTTTAATACTTTGTTTTAGCGTTTTTTATTAAAAAAATTTTTTTTTAAATATGACAACTTTAATTGAGCGCTACAAAGAATTTTTTTGTGGGGCAAGTGCTGGATGTATTGAAACATTTATTTTGTTCCCCAAAACAAAAATTATATTTCGACAACAATTGCACAATATATCGCTTGTTGATGCTGCTAAACAAGTTTTTTTAATTTTAAAATTTTTAAAAAATTTTTTCTTTTAAGTTAAAACGTGAAGGAGCCAGAAACTTGTAACTTCTCACTTATTTTTTGATGTAAAACAATTTTTTTGATTTTTTTATGTTTCGTGGCCTTCTGCCTCCGTTGATTCAAAGGACTGCAAATCGTTCAATAATGTTAGTTTTTATTTCTTATAAAGGTGAAAAATCTTTTATGTCTTCGAGCTGGTGTTTCTCGGGCTTTCTCTTAATTAGATTAGGTATTGGATCATTTTTGCCTCTGACTTCTGGATTTTGGTGACTTGGGTTTCTTGTCTTATAGGTGTACGTAATTATGAGGTCTTAAGTAAAACAGCGGCATATTTTCCAAATTATCCCTTTTCGAGTATAACTTCACCCCATAGCAAATGTTCGATGATGTTAGTTGTCGAGCCATAACCTTGTTCAATTTCATTGAAAATAGTGGAGGTTGACAAGGTCATGATTCAGCGCTAAAATGGGTTCGTGGTTCATTCTTCTTATTTTTTCTTTATAAGGGTTGTTCTCACCGGTTAATCTTTGCCTGTATCAACTCAATATTCTTATTCTTCTCTATTTGATCTGCCAAAGGCAAAGATTTGCCGGTGGTGAACCTATATTTTTTAAATGATTTTTTGAAAGCTTTTGAATGAAAAATTTTCCTCTTTAAAGGTTTGGAACAAACGAAAAGTATCAACGATTATTTGGCTGCTCTGAAAGGGATCCGAGCATTTGTCGTGCATTTTGCTCTTTTTTAGGTTTATTTTCTTTAAATTTTTAGCTTAAAAAATTTTTTTCAATTTAAAAAGCTGGCGCAACCGAAGCATGTTTATGTCCATTAGAAAGAGTGCAATCCCTTTTACAGACAACCAAACATTTGGACAAATTTAAAAATACTGGACATACATTTCGTTTAATTTATAGAGATTATTCAATTAAAGAGTTTTGTTTTTTTTATTTTTTAATTAAAAATTAATTTTTTAAAATTTAGATTTTATCGAGGATATTCATTAATGGCTATTAGAAACGGGTTAATTTTTTTTTAATTTTAATGTTTGGTTTGAGTATGTCTGTTCACACTTTTTTCTCTCACGGGTCATATATTCGAGACCCGACTCCCTTAAAGCCAGAATTTTTTTTAACACAGAACCTGATCCGAACTAAATTTTGGAAACCTCAACCAGACTTTCTCAATCCGTGACATCCCTGTTATATCCCCTTAAATTTTTTGTTTAAAAATCCGAATTAAATTTGAAGAGATTTTTGGATAAGCACAAAAGAAACAACTCTCTCCTTTGTAGTTATAATCTTTCGGAATTTTGGTTAGACAAAAAGCGAAATAGTACACAAAATTGCTGGTGTGTATAGAGAGACAATTCCGGAACAGACAGTTTTTATTTTATTTTTAATTTGGTTAGACAAAAAGTGAGAGAGTACACAACAATAGGCATTCATAAGAGAGAGACAATTCCGGAACAGACATTTTTTATTTTTCTTTTAGGTGTAGTAATATTTTATTCTTCTCACTACGCGAACCTTTACGTTCTCCTCTATTAAAATTAACTCCACAACAAGTTGATAGCAATAACAATACTCGTAAAGGATTAATTCATTCACTAGCAGACTTTGTTTGTGGAGGTTTTCTTGGTGGATGTATCTCAACTTTATTTTATCCAATCAATGTTGTGAAGAATAGAATGCAGGTTTTTTTTAAATTTTTATAAAATAGGGGGGATAGGCTTATAAAAAATTTACCTGGGGGGATCTGTAGGGAATTTTTGATTTTCCAAGGGTATTTTTTAATTCCTTGAGATTGTTTGGGTTCGGTCCAGCCGGATTTTTTTGATTCCGTTCGGTATGTTCCCAGTTTCTAGGAGACTTGCATTTCAACAGACTATAGCTCGTAAGATTCGGGTTCTTCCTTCATTTTCCGGGTTCTTCCTTCAGATTCAGTTTCTTCTTCATTTTCCTTCTTCTTTCTCCTTTCTTCCAAATTTCTTACTTCTTTCGGTTCTTCCTCTTTTCTTCTTTTTCCTTCCATCTTCCTCCTTTCTTTCTCTTCTTTACATCCTTCTTTTTTCATTTTTCTTCCTTCTTTCTTCTTACTCCTTCATTATTCCTTTCATTCTTCCTTCCTTCATACGTCCATTTTTCGGATTCCCCCTTCCTTCCTCCTTTCTTTCTAGATCCTTCGGTTTTCTTCCACTTTCCTCCTTTTCCTTCCTTTTTCCTCCTTTCTTTCTCTTCTCTACATCCTTCTTTCTTCTTCATTCCTTTTTCCTCCTTTCTTTCTCTTCTCTACATCCTTCTTTCTTCTTCATCCTCGATTTTTCCTTTTTCTTCCCTTTAACATCCTCCCCCGGAAATATTCTCCCAATTCCTTATTACATTTTCCCCCAAATTTTTTTCAGTCAAGTGTTTGTGCAGAATTTATTTCTTCCTGGCTTGTTCTAAAAACAATAATGACTGAAAGAGATGGATCAATACGTGCTTTGTATCGTGGTGCTCAATTAAATTTTTCAAGATCGGTTTTAACATGGGGTATAACAAATTCAGTTTATGGATTTTTAATTAGAGAATTTTTTTGAAGACAAAGAAAATTGACAAGAGATGATTGAAAGAAGATTTTTATTACTATTTTATATGTTTATTTTTTATTTATGAGTCAAACCTTTTTTTATGACGAAAAATAGGGTTTAACTTTGTTTTTATAAAGGAGCGTAGTAGCATATTGTAGGGCCAAAAAATACCGAATTATTGCCCACAGTATCCGATGTTCGCTAGTTAGTAAAGTTTTAGGAATTTCTCTGAAGCCATTTATTGTTTGACTCAAATATGTAGAATTATTTTGACCCAAGGGTACTAAAAAGGGAAAGACAAAACTTTGAGTTATTTGCGGCCCTAAGAAATTAGTCAAATTGTCGTATTTTAGTTACTGACCCAAACGAATTTTAGACGTTCTGATATTGGTAAACCGTTTTACAACGCTTTTGAAAATTTCATTTTGTATTTTTCGTTTTCTTTTTTCGTTAATTGCCATTAATTTGTCTTACTTTTTTTTCTTTTTTTTTTCTGAAATCTCAAACAAGTTTATGGCCTATTTTTAATACATTTTTTAATGTTTTTTCAGATAATTAAAGTTCCAGCTCTTTTATTTGTTTAAAATGAAATTCAACCCATTTGTTTCTTCTTCTCGTCGAAAGTCTCGTAAGCGTCATTTTAATGCTCCGTCACACATTCGACGTCAAATAATGTCTGCACCGCTGTCTAAGGATTTGCGTAATAAACATAATGTTCGCTCAATGCCAATAAGGTTTTTTTTTATTTTTATTTCGAGCCTTTGATTAGAACGGATGCCCTGTGGGTCTGGTTGTTGGGTTTTGGGTGATAGGTTCGCATAAGTGAGTGGACGCTAGTGACCTGGTCTGGACCAAGGCCTCGGTTTTTCCTGGACTATAGGCCCAGGATCTGACCCATGTCAATAAGTCAAACCTGGGAGCAGGCCCAGGGTTTTAAAAAATCTCGATCACTAGTAGATGCACAAAGTTGTGTTTTTATTGCGAATCCCGTCCACTAATATTTGGTTTAAAGTGTACATAATGGTCGGAGCCTTACTCTGGCAGATAAGTTTACAGCTCCGCATTGAAGAACCCATGCCTGACAAAAGTACCCAAACCCGTTCTCTTATTCTTATTTAAGAAATTCTGAACTTGTTTCCTTTGTCAGTTATTAACAAGCCTTTTCTTTTTCCTTGTGGGGTTTGCTTGCATTTTACAAATCACATTTTTTACTTTACTTTTTTTAAGAATTGAAGACGAAGTGACTGTGTTGCGTGGACATTTTAAGGGAAACAGTGGACGTGTTATGCGTGTCTACAGGTTTCTGATTTTTATCCCCTGTGTCTTTTTAGCCCTGCCCGCTAAATTTAAATTTTCTTTTTTAACTTTTTTCTTTTTTAGAAGCAAATACGTCGTCCACATTGACAAAATTACTCGTGAAAAGGCTAATGGAACAACTGTCCATGTTGGTATTCATCCATCCAAAGTTGTTCTTACAAAACTTAAAATGGACAAAGATCGTCGTGCATTGCTTGAACGTAAAGCTGCAGGACGTGAACGTGTTACTGGTGTTTTGAAAGGGAAACATACAGAAGAGACTATTGAAGAATAAAAATTGAAAAGATGGAAATTTTAAGAGAAAAATTTTCGGTTATTTTTAAATAAAAGTTGTTGTTGAACTATTTTCTTTTTGTGTTAAAAATGTTAAAAAATTTTTTTGTTTTAATTGTTAAAATTGGATTTTTAAAATCCATTACTCTATGAGATAGAGTATTTTTTTATTTACTATTTTTATTGCAAATGAAGGTTTTTTGTCATTTTGGGGGTGTCCGCAAGTTTTGTCCGCAAATTTTTTTCTTTGGGTTTCCTTATTGATTTCTGCTTTTTATCGCTTTGAGGTTTATTTGTAATAAATTTCGCTATTACTTTGGCTGATGCTCTCCCTCCTTGCCGGTTTCCCTGACAATTTTAAGCTTTTGTTTACCATCAAATTTCTATTTGATCATTTTTATTTGTACTTTTCAGCGTTTTTTCATCAAAGGATTGCTGAACATTTAAAATGCCACCACAGGGAAAAGATAAAAACAAAAACGGCAGTCAACTTGGAGGAGCAAATTCTGGACCAAAAAGTGGTGGTAGAAATAATGGACAAAAACGTTTTGAAGAAGCTGGAAAATCCTCTAGTAGTTCAAAACAAAATGAAGAAACAAAAAAAGTGGTAATTAAGAAAAGCACATAAGGTTTCTGAATCTTAACTATTTTCTTTTAGCTAAAGGGAAAAGAAAATGTGAAACCAAAAGAAGTGCCTTCCAATTTGGAACAGTCTCCTGAAATTAAAGCCTTAAACCCCAGCAAGGTTTTGTCTAACTTTTTTGTTTCTTTTTATTTTTAGTTGCGTGTGAAAAATTTTTTATCTGTTGTGTCTGGCGGTGGTGATGAGGCTATTCTTTCTGAAAATTCTTTTGTTGCTGGCAGTGGTTTAGGAATTATTTTAGAAGAGGTTTTGCTTTTTATGTTATCTCTTAACTCATTTTTAGTCTTCTTCTATTCGATCTAATTCTGAAGCTGTAAAAACGAGCAGTAAACGAAAGCGGAATGGAAAGGTAATTTACAATTTTAAAGGAAAAAACAAATTCTTAATTTAATTTCATTTTATTTATAGAACAAAAAAGAAAATGAAAAAAAAATGTCTCCTACTCCTGAAGGAAATAAATCTTCCGAACTTGGAAGTAGCGCTGGTTCTGGTACTATTAGTGAGGTTTCTGTTTAATATTCTATTTTTGTGTTATATTTGAACTTATTTTTAGCCTGAAACTAAACGTTGTGCTGGAGAAGAAGAATCCGGAGTCCCTTGTATATTTAAAAAGGGTTATTTAAAAGTATCGAAACGAAATAAGATGTTTAAAGAACAGAAAGAGGAGTTTGAGAATACCATTCTTCAAAAAGATAAGGATTTTAAAGCATTGGTGAAGGAACTAGATGGATGTTTTGAAAAGAATAAAAAATTAAAGGTTTATTTTATGTTGTTTTATATTGAGTCTATCCTTTTCTAAGGAGATTTACTAACAATTTTTGATTAAATTCAGTTAAATTTAGGATGAGATTGCCGTTACAAAAGCTGAATTGAAGACTGTGAAAAATAAATTCGAAAAACTTGAAAAATTTCATGTATCAATTTGATTTTTATTTATTCATTTAAATTTTTTACTTGACAGTTTTTGTTGGAAATTCCTCATAATACAGTTGTAAATATAAAAGAAATGATGGATTTAGATGCTGAAAAATTTTATGAAAGAATTTATGAATTAAATATTGAGTTATGTCATTCAGCTGGAAAAAAGAAACGCAAAGTTCAAAAGAAGATATACAAAGACCCAAGAGAACTTTTGGATAAGGCGGAAAAAATTTTAGCTGATGAGGGTGATGGCATTTTTGCTTGTGAATTAGTTTTGTTTTAATTCTTTTAAAGTACATTTTTTGTTTTATTTTAGATTTGGGCTTCTTTTGCCCTCGTCATGGCTAGATTTTTTATGAAGTGGAATATAAATATTAGAGGTCACCGAGCTTTGGGAGAATTAGCAAAATACACCGTTAGATTTCATAAGAAGCCATCGGCTCGTGATTTTCTCAGACTTTTTGTAAAGGACATTCACAAGTATTTTTTGTTATATTTTATTATATTGGTTAAGAATTTTAACTTATTAGTATACCTTATTAGAGTTTTTAACTTATTAGTATATTAGTAATAAAACCGGGTAACTTTTATATTTAATTATACAACTGATAATTTGAGTGGGTTTATTGCCTTCTAATTAGGTCCGTCCTCATGAAAGGATCAAAATTGATCTTATAACTTTTCAGCACACATCGCATTTTCTATTCTGGGAAGTACGAAATAGAAGAGGTTGAAGAGTATATAAAAGATTCACGCAAATTTATTAACTACATGAAGGCAATCAACGAAAATGCTCTTTTTGCTGATTTTAAATATTATTTTCCATCAGGGGATGAATTGTACAGAGAGTTTGCTCAAAAAGTTTATATAAATGTTATTAATGAAGATATTTGTGTTTTTGGTGATGGTCCATATCGTTTCTATTACCAAGCTGCTGATACTCCTCAGACTGTTGCAACTCAAGAGACTGTTAAAACTCCAAAGAAGTAATTATTTTTGAAGTTTAATTTTCATAAAAATTTTGTTTCAAAACAAAATAAAAATTTTGTTTCCTCTTTTAAAATTTATTGTTATTCTTTTTTAAAAGCATATTCATTGTTTTGAGTGGGAGCATTTTGTTGTGAATTTTTTTGCTTTCTTCTCTCTATTTATTTGTTGTTTTTCAAAAAATCCTTTCTTTAGTGGGGGAAATTGATTGTATATTTTTCTCTCTTTTTTTTAAATCATTTTCAAGTATTTTAGCGAGGTTTTTAAGTAAATCTTGACCTTTTTTGACATGTTTTTTGTATATTAGAATAATGGGATTTGTTGTGCAATATTGACTTGAAAAAAAATTTTTTTAAATGATTTTTCACACAAATCCTATATTATTTATTTTAATTTATTTTTTCAAAAATTCTTTTTCTCATAAAAATAAAAATATAAGCTTATGTAAAGCTTTGAATGATGAAAAATTTAAAAATATTTATACTTTTAAAAAATTTATTTCTTATGATTTTATTCCTTCAAAATTTTTTAGCAATTCTTTTCTGCATGGGGAAGCAACAAAGATCAAGAATAATGAAGAAAAAATTAATTTTAAAAATAAAAAGAGGAAAATTAGAAGAGCAATGGACTTGAAAACTTTGGAAAATAAATCGAAAGAAACGCCAAAATGTAAAATAAAAAATGGAGGAATTTATGGAGAGGAAGGAGAAGAAAGGAAAAAGGCGAGAATAATGAGGAATAAAAATGGATTTTGGACACAGGTTTAAAAATTTTTGAATTGAGAAGAATTTTTTGAATTTAGATTGTGCATCCACCTTCTCCAAAAGAAAGAGATTGGGTTATGATGACTGGTGTTGAACATGTAATTGATGGGGTTCTGGTCTGTTCTTTGTCATATGGAGGTTAAATTTTTTGAAAAGCCAAGACAAGTTAATTTTTGACCACCCATGAGGTGGAAAATGAGTAGTAAAAAATTTTCTGCCCTCTTCATGTGGAGGAAAAACTCCGTTTGGTCTATTGCTTTTATAAAGGAATACAGCTTAAGTTCTCCCCCAACTGGAAACCAACCAAACGAATTTTTACAGCTCCCTCATCCAGTGTCCTACCAGATTTAATTTTAAAAATCGCATCTTAAATAAAAGGTATTTTTATTGAGGATTAACTGGGCTTTGAATCTTCAAAAAAATTTTCCTGCTCATCTTTTAAATTAATTTGTTTCAATTTTTAGGTCGGCTAGTCTCAATGGGACATTTTTGGGATACTCTTGGTCGTCTAAATTATTATGCAATAATGCACAAATTTAATGGTCCTGTGTTTCTAAAGCCTGAACCGATGACTTATTCTGAATTATTAAAAGAAGCACAGTAAATTTGGATAAAATTTTTTGAAAAATTTATTTTTTAAGAGAAAATGAAGAAGTCGATTTGGCATTAACTCAATTATGTGGACAAGACGATGATGGGGATGGAAAAGTATATTTTAGTACTTATTGGGAAAGATTGCCTGGAGTTACTACGAGGGTATTTTTTAATTTTTTTTTGTTGGGTAGCCGAAGGAATCTATTTTTTAGGAAAGAACTCAGGTGGATGGAAAATCCATTTTGGGGTTTTCATTAAAAAAGGAATGGCTGCCCCAATTTTTTATTTAATCGGTTTTCTTTTCGTGTCTTTGCAAGAAATTTTCTCCTTTCCTTTTTCTGCCTTCTTTTTCTAAGAGATTGATGTTATTATTTGATGGATTGCGAAAATATTGAAAAATCTTGAAAATTTTTCCAAAAATTTTTTATTGGCTTTTACTAATTTCAGAGAAGGGCTTAATCTTCTCTTTTAATTCTGTCTACACCTAGCTAAAAAAATTTTTTAGATTTAACAGAAAATCGTTTACAAAAAATATTCCATTTTTACAGATTTGGTTTCCCGGTTCGCCTGAATCTGATCAACAAAAATTCATTTTCGAAAAAGAAGGATTTCGATTGATTAGCCTTTGTGGATATAACATAAAAAATGTGAGAAAAAGAATTTTTAAAAATTTAAAAAAATTTTTATATTTAAAGAGAACAGCTCGTTATGTGGGTATATGGCAAAAATCAACAGCAAAAAATGTATCTTCCTTAAATCCATACGAAGCACATTATGGCTTAACATTGAGTGAATGTTTGGAAATTAATGATAAATTGAGCAGCAGGTTTTTTGAATTTTTTGTAATTGAAAGAGAAATTTAATTTTAAAGGCAATATGTGGCTGTACAATTCAGAGTGTTTCGCAGCTTGGATGAGGTTAAAATTAAATTTTATTAATAAAAGATTTTCCGGAAGGATTATTTCCGGAAAGGTTGTTAGCCTTTTATTTGACGGATATTTGGGTATTTTATTTGAAGGGATGACTGGTTGTTGTTTTGGTCGATTGGTTAAGGTTTCTGGCTGCGAGACTAGTTACTTTCTTAGGGTTGAGGGTTCGATCCTTTGGAGGGGAATTGATTATTTTTTTAATTTTTTAAACAAAAAATGTTTTTTAACGATTGCTAAGGGTGTTGTAATGGAGTTCTGATTTTTTGTTGATTTTTGAAATCGATTTTTTAAATTAACACAGATTCTCTGCTGTGCAATTTGGGAATATTTACCAGGTCATCGTCATTGGATAGAAATTGGTCTAAATTTAAAACAAATGCATCAAAAATTTTCACGGAATATTTTCAAAAGGTTTATTTTTGTTTTTAAAATTTAAAATAAATATTTTTTTTCTAAAATTTAAGCAAAATAGTCAAACGAGAAAATTCAAAATTAATTTCTTCTTCTATTCTACCTCGTCAAATATCTCATTTTTTTGATGGGGATGGTGAAAGTTTAAGGTTTGTTGTGCTATGGAGTGATGTTAATTACTTGAGATTCTCGAGGGAACCAGAACTTTGGCCGATGGGAAGGAGGTTTAATTAAAATTGTTAAATTTTCGACGTTTTGGGTTTTTCGACATTTTGAAATTTTTAAAATTAAAATTTTTTTACATTTAGAATTCCCTCTACTTATCTGAACGGAGTGGAATCTCAATTACAACCTGAAAAATTAAATTTTGTTGCTAAACGTGTTGAACGGTTTATGCGTGAACTTGATATTCCTGGTATTCTTTTTTTAATTTTATAGAAAAATAAAAAATATTTTTTATGTTTGTCTGTGGCTATTTCAAAAGATGAACAGCTTAAATACGCAGCAGGTTTAATTACAAAAATTGTTAAAAATTAAAATTTATTTTCAAGGTTTTGGCTATAGCAATATTCGGAGAGGTCATTTGGTCACTCCAGACAGTCAATTTAGAATTGGATCTGTTTCGAAGCCGATAACTGCTGCTGCTGTTCTTTTATGTAAAAATTAATTTTCCTTTGAAATTAAAAATTTTTTTTCAAAATATTTAAGTAATTGATCAAGGCCGATTAGAATTGGATCAACACGTTTTTGGCCCAGGAAATTCAATTTTTGGTTTTCTTTTTAAAATAAAATTTTTTAATTATTCTAATTAATTTATTTTAAGGTTATGAATTTGCTCGTAAAAAGCCTTATGAAAAATGGGTGACAGAAATTACCGTTCGTCATTTACTTGAACATACTGCAGGTTTTTTTCTGAAAATTATTTTTTTTCAAATTTTGGACATTTTGAATTTTTTACAATATGAAATATTTTCTTTTTTCGACATTTCAACACCAAAATTTTTTTCGACATTTTGACACCGAAATTTTTTTCTGATATTTTGACATGAATTTTTTGACATTTTGACACCAAATTTTTTACGACATTTTGACCCCAAAATTTTTTTCGACATTTTGACACCGAAATTTTTTTCTGATATTTTGACATGAATTTTTTGTTAATTTTGACACAAATTGCTACCTAAATTTCTAAAAAATTTCTTTTAAGGTGGCTGGAACAATATAGATTCAGACCCAGCATGGCTATTACCAACACAAAACACCGCAACTTTAATAGAAAAAGTTTTGATTGAACAGCCATTAATTACCCAACCTGGAAAAACTTGGATATATTCAAATTTTGGGTATCAATTGCTTGGATATATTATTGAAAGAGTTAATATTGATGGATTTGGATATGAACAATTTGTTAAAAAATATTTTTGGGAACAAGTGGGAATTAATGATATTCAAGTGGCAAGGCCTACACTTTCTGAAAAATCGAGGTTTTTTAAAAAAATTTTTTGAGAGAGATAAATTTTTGTTAGGAGAGGGGAGCTGTTTTTTGTATTTTAAGAAAAAATATTTTTGAGACTATTCAAAGCCTTTTTTGTGGCGTTTAAATGAGAATTTTATTATTTCCAAAAATGCCGGGAAAAGGAACCGGGCTCGTCGTCAAGACTTGTATTTAATCAGATCAATTATTTGTTTTTCTGAACAACGTTTTGGTAGAAGTCCTAATTGTGCTGGAGCTGGTGACTCAAGGCATACCCTGTTCATTTGTGAGAAAGTCTGACCATTATATACAGGGAAATAGAAAGTAAACTGACTGGGGTGGGGGCAAAACAAATTCCACTATTATTTGGTTTTTTTGAATAATTAATTGTTTTTAATTATTTTTTATAGACGTGAAGTTCTCTACGTATGTTTTTATGCCATTGGTTTATTTCTGAAAATAAATTCAAAAAATATTTTTAGTATATGGCTGGTGGTAACAGACTTGGATTTAACCCTTATGATCTTTTGCCTGCTGAAAGGATTGGTATTATAATTTTTTAAGAATTTTAAAAGAATTTTTTTAGGTCCGTGGGGTGGTTGGATTGCTTCACCAATTGAACTTCTCCGTTTATTAATTTTTTTGGATGGATTTAAAAGGCAGGAAGACATTTTAAGTGATTGGGCAATAAAAGAATGGGCTACACCAACAATTGCTTCTAATGAAACGTTTGTTTTTTTTAATTTTAAAATTTTTGGGAATTTTTTTTTGAATTTCGGTTTCTCTCACGGAAAATTATTGATGAATCCGGAATGCTTATAGTTTTTAAATAAGTTGCTTTAATTAAGTTGGGTTGTGGTGTAGTTGGTTGTGTCCGGGTTTGGTAATTGCAAAGTTGTCGGTTCGACCCCCCGCTTATTTTTCTACCTTTTTTTGCTAAATTTGATTCCCAAAAATGGAAGAACCAATATTAGAAAATTTTAAAAGTAAAATTTTTTTTAATATTTTAAGTTATGGCCTCGGCTGGTCTCTAAATATTATGGGTTTTAATGGTTGGCAACATGATGGAAGAATGCCCGGTTCAGCTTCAATGCTTGTTCGTTTAGATAATGGAATTTCTATGGCTGTTGTTGTAAATAAAGAATATAGTGATAGAGACTTTTTTCATGAACTTGGGTATATTCTTCACCATTTTGGAAGTAATTGTGATTGGTGGAATGGAACAGGTTTTGATTTATTTGGAGAAATGGAAAATTGATAAAAAAAATTTTAAATAAATAATTGTAAATAATTTAATTTATTTTTTAAAATTAAATTTATTTAACTGGCAATTGGAAAAGATTTTTCGACAGGGGAGATCTAAATATGATATAAGTATATAAGGTGAGAGAGAAAATTACAATAAATTAGGAGATATTAGAAGGAGAGGAGAGGATTTAAGGTTGGCGGATCCTGACTCAAACACAGCCGGAAATTTTCGGATCGGATATCGAATCATGATGTTCAGAGTTTCCCAGGATCCGTCAACCTTTGTGTTGATTACAAAAAAATTTAAAGGGGAATGTTTTAATTATTTAAAATTACAAGTAGGCAATAAACTAGGCAAGTTAAACTAACAATAAATTATTATAACAATCGGGACCTCGATTTTTATGTGTTGAAAAATTATCAAAAAAATTTTTGGTGAAAATCGAGGTACCAGATTATATTTTAATACAAGTAAATAAAACTAGACGTTAAGCTAAATTAAATGAGTGTTTTTAAGGGTTTGGGCAAGAGCGGCGAGTTTTCTGTTAAAGAGCGGGTTTCCTGTTAGAATTAAGATTTTGAAGAAAAAAATTTGAAAAAATTTTCAAAAAAATTTTTTTAAACAAAAACCCGTCCTCTAACTTTTTGAGCAAAATATAACAAAAAATACCTACTTAAATCTCTTTATCTTCTAATTATTTCACTTCTCTCCTTTAATTTTCTTGACATATTCTGCCCTCATTTGTTTATAATTTATTAATAATTCGTCTAAAATTGGAGAGGGTTTTTAAGGGTTTAAAAATTAAACTTACAAACACTTTTTTCTAAACCAATAGCTTCACAATCCATTCCTTCAGATTTTAAAATTCGATGAGTACAAACAACCATTTTTCCTAATAAAAGGGAATCATCTTCAGCTGTGTCTTCCAAAATGGTAGTGGTGGTATCATTAATAGAAGTAAACGTTTTTGTTGTGTCTGTAAAAATTGAGAGGATTTTTTTAATTTTTGAGAAATTTCCTCCTTAAAGTTAAATCTTAAAATCCCCCACATCCATTAGCCATCAAAATTTTCAAGAAAAATTTTTTTCCTTCACAAAAATATGATTTAATGGTCTAAATCTTGAGAGCCCCAAATCCACCTCCTTTGGGGAGATGAAAGATTTTTATCCTATATGAGGTGATTCAGGCAACTTTTCCCCACCCATAGGACAACCAAAATTTAAATTTAGAAAAAAGTTTTATATAAAAAAACCTATTGTGTTGTTTGGCGTCTCATGAATTATAGCAGTTGCAACACTTTTATTAGCATCATTATTTTTGGTGTTTTCATCATTATTAGTATTATTAATTGGCTGTTGTTCTTCTACTAAATTTTCAGCAGATTCAGCGTCTTCAATAATTTGTAGACCTTTTTAATAAAATTTTATTTTAAAAATTTTTTGAGAGAGGTTTTAAAATTGTTTAGGTCATTTTTAATAGGGTTGCGCCCCGAGCCTTCGGGGTTGAAAAAGTCTGGGGTCGTTTTGGGTCAAAAAATGACGGGGTTCGGGGTCGGGGCGCAACCCTAATTTTTAAGATTACGAGATAACTTCCAATTTCCCTCCTTTACCCCGTCTTATTCATCTTTCTTTACCAACCGCCCCATAATTATGAGACCTCTTCACATCCTCAATTTTACTTTCCTATAAAAGTAAGAGAAAGATTAAAGAAAGAATGTTTGACTACTAGATATGAGAGAAGAGGAAGATAAAGAGGAGTGGGTGGGATTTTTGTCCCAAAATTTTTTTTCAAAATTTACACACACATTTAATTATAAAACCTTCATTCCCGCTATCCTCATCATTATTAACAAGATTATTTTCCCCTCCATTATTATTCCCAAATTCAGCATCAAGCATAGTTAAATCTGAAGGAGAATCATCAGTCGTTAAATTTCCTTCATTTAAATCAATTAAAGAATTTATCAAGTCAAATCCTTCATTTTTATTATTATTTTCGGGTTCTTCAGTCATTTCTTTTTTTGCCCGTTTTTTCCTTTTTGGTTTTTCGTCGAGACTTCTTTTCTGTTTTTGTGTGTTTGTATTATTAAGAAAAGCCATTTCTTGTAAAAATTTCCATTTGGAGTCAGACTTCCGACGTTCTCGACGAAAACAAACGTTTAAAATACGCCAAGAATTTCGAAGAGAGGTGACTGGAAAATTAAAAAAAATTATTTTGGATGAGAAAAAGGGTGAAAAAGGAGAAAATGGTTTAAAATTGTTGAAATAAAAATATTTTTCGAGAAGAGGGTTCGAACCTTAACCTTTTTGAAAGGATAAAATAAAGATTTTCCCCTAAACCACAAAAACAATGAGTCAAAGAGGAAAAAAAGGTTAAAATTGTTGAAATAAAAATATTTCTCAGGAAAGGGTTCGAACCTCAACCCCTTTGGCCGGGATAAAAATTAAAATTTTCTCACTAAACCACAAAGACATTTTTATGAAAAAACCTGTAAATTTTCAATAAAGGGTTGAAAAGGGAAAATAAAGATAAAATACATGAAATAAAAATATTTCTCAAAGGAGGGGTTCGAACCCCAACCCCTTTGGCTTGAATAAAAATAAAGATTTTCCCACTAAACCACAAAAACATTTTTTATAAAAAACCTGTAAATTCCCGTTTAAATTCTTTAGACATATCATCAACAAGTGAATTAAATTCGTCATGTTTATTTTTCCAAGATAATCCATGTGAAGAATCCCAAATAGTTGGCTTGTCACGAATTAGAGAAATTAAGTGAAATTTTTCTTTATCTGAAAGGGGCTGTGTTTCCATTTTTTGTTGTTAATTTTTGGTTTTTAAAGAGAAATTAAATCTAAAATGAAAGAAGAAATGTATTGAGTGGTTAATCAATTAACAATTTTTAATTTTACAGTGTAAATTAATCAAAAACTCTCGTGATATTAAAAAGATTAAAGATTAATTGGCTAAATGTTACATTTTATTAAAGTTGATATTTTGATGATTTTTTGGCTTTAAAATTTCAAAATGTCGAAAAGTTGAAAAAATGACAAAATGTCTAAATTTTGCTGTATATTCCTGTACTTTTTCATTTTTCTGCTTCTCTAACTTACACTAATTTGTTTTGTTGAGTTTTTGAAGGATTAACTTTAGTAAATTACAAAATGTCTAAAAGAAATAAATTTGTCATAATCCTAAATTTTTTAATTGCTTTTCTCCACTCTCTTATTTCTCTTTTTCTTTTTTTATTGTTTAACACACTATTTCATTTTAGATTTTTATTTTATAAATATTTATTTTTGTGGACAATGTTTGACAGAATAATTCAACAACTTTTACACAGTGAACAGTTTATTCAAAAGGTATTTTTAAATATTTTTAATGCTGTAGGAACTCAGTCTTACTCGAAACTCTATTATACGTACAAAATTTTTTGAAGAGTTGTTTGGTCTTTGGGAGAGGATAGGTGGGTGGAGGGAGGGGAAGCTGTCCCTAAGCGCTACCTCCAAGTTTTACGTTCTCCTCAGTTATAAGGAGATTTTTTCCATTCTCAAAGGGCTACTTACAACCTTGCCCATTAAATTTAAAAATTTTCTTCTTTTTTCCGTTCAGTTAGTAGATTCTTCGCCAATTCGCCGAACAGCTCGTTTCCTCATCAGGACAACCTTTGGAGCCAAATCAAAAATTTTAAATAATAAAAGAATTGAGAGATTTGGACAATTATTTAGAGAAGAATATCAAAAATCGATTAAAGGAAAGTAAATTAAATTTTATTTTAAATTAGTTTATCCGCAAAAATTTGTCCGCAAAAATTTTAATCAAAAAAATAATTTTTGATTAAAATTTTTAAAAAATTTTTTGAGACTTTTTAGACATATTTTTAATTGTAAAATTAAATTAAAAGAAAAAATAAATAATTTATTATTTTTTAAAAGGCATTTTACAATTAATTTTTTTCTATTCCCGTGGGAAATTTTTTTAACAAAAAAAGTAAAAATAAAGACAAATTGTGTAAAAGATGGGGAAAGGCTTTGAATTTTATATTTTTCTTGTTTTTAAAGGCAACAAAAATAGTTAAATATTTATATTAATTTGTTTTAATTTTTTTTGAATTTTGCGGACGTTGAATTTGTCCGCAAATTCTGTCCGCAAAATTTTTTTTCTGTCCGCAAATTTTTTAAAATTAATTTTGAGTTTTTTTTGTTGTCCTTGGTTGACCAAAATGTTTCATAGGTGTGGGATTTGACAGAATTTTTTGAGTAAATTATTCTTAAACCTCTGCCTAGCACTGAAACTATCCGCAAAATTTGTCCGCAAATTTTTTTCTGTCCGCAAATTCTGTCCGCAAATTTTTTAAAATTTAATTTTGAGTTTTTTTGTTGGTATTGGGGCTGGTTAAATATTTTATAGGTATGGGGTTTGATAAAACTGTGAAGACTTGGTTTCTTAAACCTCTGCCTATGCACTGAAACTATCCGCAAAAATTGTCCGCAAATTTTTAATTAAATTTTTCCCTTTAATTAATTTTAAGGTTATTTTTCTTTTGCAACTTAAAAACATTTTCCAAAACCTTTATTTTCTTTACAAATATTTTCCCATGCTAAATTGGGCATTTTTTTAGTTAAAAAGAAAATATAAACATATAATAAATGTCGCCGCTCATTTGTCATTTTTTTCCTTTTTTAAGGTTGTTAGGGTAAATAAATAATAAAAAATATTCTTTATGTTGTTTGTAATTTATCTTTTCGTTTTTTGGCAGTCACATTTCTTCTGGGTCCTCAAAATTTATTTTTGTTAGTTGAGGTAGTTGTGGTTAAGTTGGTTAGCTGTCTGTCTCCCCTTGTAGGGGTGGTAGGTTCGAACCCGTTCGGGGGAAATAATTTTTTTTTTCGTCTTTTTGAGGAAAAATGTTATGAAAAATATTTTTAAAAATGGTCTTTTTATTTTTAATAGTGGTAGTCGTAGTTAAGTCGGGTGGGTGTTTGTTCACCCTTATAGGGGTAACAGGTTCGAATCCTTTTGGGTGCAATTTAATTTTTTTCCCGTTTTTTTTGAAGAAAAATAAGAAAATTATTCATCTTTTTTAAAAATTGGTGATAAAAATATTTTTTAAAGTTAAAAAATGAATACCAACAATACCCAAAATATTAACTCCCCAATATTCCCTTCCCTCTCAATTCAACCACTTGGAGATTTGCGAATATTTGGAGTCTCATCTCGCTTAGTTTATGGTGAATTTAAAATTATTAAAAAAAATTTTTAAAAATTAAAAAAAGAGGGCAGTCCTTGTGATGCCTTTCCCTGTTGGAATGGAGGTATTTGCATTGAATTGCGCAAAAGAAAAAATTTAAATAAATTTAAACAAGAAGAAAAAATTAAAAGAAAAGAAGGAAAAAAATATTTTTGTAAATGTAAAAAATATTTTGGAGGAGAACATTGTGAAGAAAGATTAATTATGGTGGTTCTTTAATTTTATTTTTAATAAAAAATTTTTAAAAATGAAAGAAAAGATTAATTTACCCCGAAAGTTTCGAAACTTACACCCCCTTCAGAAAGGAACACACTACTAACCAACTGAGCAAACTGGTCCGAGTTTGGAGGTTTATAATAGGAATGAATAAGAAATAGAAGAGAGGCCGATTTAAGCCACCTTATTATAAAAATTTCCAAAAGGGACGGGTTGGTTAAGTTGGTTAGTTGTATGTTCACCCTTGGAGGGGTGTAAGGTTCGAACACTTTCGGGGTAAATTAATTTTTTCTTCGTTTTTTATTTAAAATTGATAAGAAAAACTTGTTTTTTATGATAAGATTTGTTCAAATTTTTCTATAAATTAAAAAAATATTTAGCCAAATAAAGAATGCTCCAATCAACTACTTCCCTGCCCCAACGGAACTTTTTGTTGGTTTAATAAATTAAATACAACTTCAGAATGTATTTCCTTAGGAGAACTAAATGCCAGAAAATACGGTAATTTAATAGGAAAATGAGAAAAGTTTAGGAGTTGTGGTTAAGTTGGTTAGTTATGTATTTCCCTATTATAGGGGTTGTGGGTTCGAACCCGTTCAGGGGAAAATATTTTTTTTCGTCTCTTTTTTTTATAAAAAATGATAAGAAAAATATTTTTTTAATCTTAAAAAAAATTTACAAGATAATTTAACAACCATCAAAACAACTTCAAAAGAAGATTCATTTTCATTTTTAAACGGATTATTTATTCTAACCCTAATTTTATTTTCACTTGCATTAATTTTATTGTTATGCCATGGGCCTGCTTCGTCGGCTGGAGCTTTTTGTTTTCTCTATATTAATTTAAATGGTCTTTTAAGAATTTTAGAAATTAAAATAATATTAAAATTTTTTCAAAGAAAATTCCTCTAGAAACGTGTCTAGAGGAAGAAAATGCCCTAAAATCAGTCATTTATTAAACTCAGAAAGAAAAATAAAAAGAAAAGAAGATAAAAAGTGGATGATTGTTATTGAAAATGAAGAAGAAAATTTAAAAATTGAAGAGTTTGAGTTAAAAAATAATTTTTTAAATGGATAAATTGACTTGAAAAATTGGCAAAAATTTTGTGTTTAAAGCAAGACTGATGTGACTAAAATACCCAATTACCTAATTATTAAAATATTTATAAAGTTGAGAAAAATCGCTGAATCCGGTAAAAGTGTCCTTTAATTCTCTGGAAATAAAATTTTGCCCCTTCTGGTTAAATAAGCATTAGTGGTTAAGTCGGTTAGGTTTGTGTTCACTAGTAGAAAAGGTCGTGGGTTCGAGTCCTTTCGGTGGTAATTCATTTATTTTCTTATTTTAAATAAAAAATGATAAAATAAAAAAATATTCCAGTGTTTTTTTAAATTTTATTTCTTTTAATTAGAAAATAATTTTAGAACATTTATTTAATATTACTCGCTAGTGTAGTGGTTTAGTATTGTGTTGGCCTTTTTTGGTGGTAAAGGTTCGATGCCTCTCAGGGAATTTTTATTTTTTAATGTTAGAAAAGTTGTAGAGAACTATTCTCAGTGTATTAGAATACTGGAAACCCTTTAAAAAAATTTTTTAGAGACTTTAAAAAATTAAAAAAACACCCAAAACTTAATTAATTTTCATTGTTTTTTAAATTAAAAACTTTAAAAACATTAATTTAATTTTTTATTTTAATTAATTTAATTTTTAATTAAAATTGATTAATCAAATTCAATCAATTAAAAAATTTTTATTAAAAAAAAGCGTGGCAATATCATGAAGTCGTCTTAATGTTAAGGCATTTTATCGGGAGAGAGAGAGAGAAATACAAAAATTAAAGATGATAAGGCCCCCTAAATTTTTTAGCTTTCATTCACTTAATAAAGTGCATATAATAATTATATTTAAAATAATAATTCACCTAATAATTAAAAAATTTTAAATAAATTATTCGTAGTTTAGTGGTGTATTATTGTGTAAGCGGGTGGTCGGGGATGCAGGTTCGATGCCTCTATGAGTATTTTTATTTGATAATGTTGATAAATCGTAAAAAATTATTTTTAGTCAGTGGAAATATTTAAAAACTCGTTTACAATTTTTTAGAAAGCAAAAAAATTTTTTAAAGAATTTTTAAAAATGTCAACAAAATTATTTAAATTAATTAAATTGTTTCTATTTTTTGTTTTTATTATTAAAATTGTAAATTGTGGGTGTTTTTGTGGTAAAGGAGGAGATGGTTTAGAGGATAACGATGCTGGAGGTATATCAATTGGATTTTTGAAATTTAGATTTTTTAAATTTAATTATAGGTAATGAAGGAGGAGTCCAACATGTTGCTCAAAACGAGGGAGGAGAACAAAATATTGGTCAACACCAGGCAGCCCTAAACCCTCCAAACCTTGTAAATTTTTTAATTTTAAACATTTACAACTACAATCTCGAATTTTTAAAAATAAAAAATTAAAAAAATAAGGCAGAAAAATCCCCTTTTATATCAAAAATTCGTAAAATATTAAACAGAAATTGCTTGAGCCGGGGCGAAAATTTTGAGAATTTTGGCAGATTTTATTCTAAAAACTAGAAGAAAATATAAAAAATCCTCATAATCTTCAAGAGACAATAAAAATCCGCAAATCCGCATTTTAAAAATAATTCTCATCTACCTATCAAAAAACCCCACAAAATATCGTAATTTTAATCCTGAGGGCTTGAATAAATTGGCTGGATTTTTGTTTTTAAATTTAGGAAGAAGGAAATGTAGGAAATGTAGAAAATGTACAAGAGGGGAATGAAGAAGAAGGGGATGAAGAGGAAGAGGGGGAAGAAGGGGAGGATGGGGAAGAAGATGAAGAGGAGGAGGATGAAGAGGAGGAACTTGATCTTCAACAAGCAATTGTTAATTTTGAGGAAGGTCTTGATGAAATGTCAGGTAACACAACACCAGGATTAGCATCAGGAGGCGATAGTACAAGTTCTACTAATTGAGGAAAGAGGAAGAACCTAAAGATGCTAAAGAACCTAAAGTGAAAAAAACCTAAGATGATTTTTTTTAATTTCTATCAAAAATTGAAAATTCAAAGACAAAGTTACAATGTTTTCATTTATTTTAATTTTTAGTATGTAGTTATCTTTTCATACGAGCATAAAAAATTTTCTATCTAATGCAAAAATCCCAACAAATAAATTAATTAAATACTCGTTGTAGTCAAAAAGTGTCTCTTCTTGATTTCCTCCTTCCTCATCTTCAAAGAAGATGATACTTCAGACAATTGAGGAAAGAGAAAGAATCTCTTCTTAAGGGAAGAGGAAAAAGAAAGCTTGTAAAAATGTCGTTCTCTAAAAGTAATCTTCAAATGAGCGTTAATGGTTAAGTTGGTTAGTTGTGTGTTCGCCGTCAGGGAGGGTCGTGGGTTCGAGTCCTTTCAGTGGCAATTTATTTATTTTTGATTTTTAAAATAAAACTGATAAAATAAAAATAAAAAGATGAAATGCCAGTGTTTTTTAAATTTTTAAAATGTGTTTCAATTAAAAGTTAAATTAATTAAATTAATTTATTAAATAAATATAAGCCATTAAAAGCCAAATAGATCAATGTTAGAAAGAATAGTCAAAACAAAAAGCGTGGCAACAGGAAGCTTTGCTGATAGAGCTATGGAGAAGCAGGAGAAGGAGGTGATGGGGAGAATTTAAAATTAAGAGGAATTAATGAGGGAAATTGAAGAGAGAGCGAATATGAAATTCACTAGCATGTTTACTATCCATTTACCAAATAATTTTATAAGAAAGAAATTTATTAAGAAAAAAATTTTTTTTAATTCTATTCCCCTATTAAAATATTTTAATTAAATTAAAAAATTATTTTAAAATTAATCTTTAATTAATTATCCGTTGGTGTAGTGGTTTAGTGTTGTGTTAGCTGTTGTTAGGGGGTGAAGGTTCGATGCCTCTCCGGGTATTATTATTTAATAATCTAGACGAGTGGTAGAAAAGTATTTTTTAGTCTACACATTCCGCTCCCCTAGCAAAATAATTTACCTATTTAATTAATTACTCGTTGGTGTAGTGGTATAGTGTTGTGTTGACAGATTTTTAGGGTGAAGGTTCGATGCCTCTCCGTGTATTATTATTTTTTTTATGTTAAAAAGTCGTGGAAAATTATTTTTAGTAGTGGAAATATTTAAAAACTCGTTTAAAATTTTTTAAAAAGCAAAAACTCTCTTTCTGAATTAAAAAAATGTCAACAAAATTATTTAAATTAATTCAATTATTTTTATTTTTCGTTTGTATTATTAAAATTGTAAATTGTGGGTGTTTTTGTGGTAAAGAAGGAGATGGTTTAGATGATGATAACGATGGTGGAGGTATATTAATGGGACTCATATTTAAATTCTTTTTAATTTTATTTTAGTTGTTGAAGCAGCACCAAGTTTTGGTCAACACCAGCAACACGTACAACATCTTGATCCAAACGAAGTAAAGTTTTAATTAGATATACCTGATTCCTGTTAAACGGCACCAGAAACTTTGGGAATAACTAGAGCACGGAGCCAAGAGTTCTAATACTCAGAGCCAGAGCCAGGATTTGAAGGGGTTTGAAGGTGTCGGATTTGATCCAGGTTTAGATATCAGATCTGAATTTGGTTATCAGTGATTCCAGGATCCACAACCCTAGTCCTTGACTATTTTAAATTCTGAGTGTTTAAGCAAAGATAACAGCTGATATTTTTTTGTAACAACTCTTCTCCTGTTATAACGGCACCAAAAACTTAAGCCATAAACATTCTTTCGAGGAGGGATTGAACAAATATGTGAGGCAATGATGGACATATTTTTGTTTTAATATTTAGGACGAAGAGGATGAAGAAGAAGAAGATGGTGAAGAAGATGATGATGATGAAATCCATGCTGCTCCAGATAATTTTGAATTTGTTCCACAAGGAAATGAAGAAGAAGAGCAAGATGATAATCAAATTCCTAATGCTCCAGAGGATTTTGAATTTTTTGC